AAAAGTCTTCCAGTATTTTGCTTCATAAAACACAAAAGTTATCAGCGCATACAGTTTTAGTAAAGAATCTCCGTAGCTGGTGTTCTTTTCAGTACCAGGAGGTAAAAGGTCTGTAAAATATGTCTTTGTGAATTTTGATTTGCCGTATTCGACTATAGAAGACTTTCGTGACCGCAAATAGTTTCTTTCAAGGTAGCTAAACACTTGACTTAGTTTCACGATGGCCGTATTCCAAGTCTTCCAACCTTTGAGAACGTGTTCACAGACTTCCAAGGAGTGGAAGAGCTGTCCCCCCTCTGATTCCGTAATGCCTGCATCTTCGACATCTGCAATTGCGTTCTCGATCTTTTCTTTGAAAAATCCATCAAGCTTGTCAAGCAAGTAGTCAGCCAATCCTTTTTGCTCATTATGTTTGTATCGGCAAATTGCCTCGACTCGACTATAAAGAAATGGCACAGAATGGCCCATCGTTTGACCTGCAATTATTCGATCGATAACATTGTACAATATTTGCTTGCTTGCATCTAGTTGACGTTGCGTTGACTCTGGTACACTAGCAGTATCTCTTTCTTCATCTTGTATTATTGGTGTTCTTTTCCTTTTTCTCGGTCTATTCTGTATTAAGTGACTTGTTCTGATTCTCGACAATTGTGGCTCGCCAGCAAAGGAAAGGGACGAAGTAGATGCCATACGGGACGAGCCTTCTGTTGATTCCACAGAGTTTAATGATGTTGATGACGAGTCTAGGTCTAATATCTGTGGGATTGTTTTAGGCATTATTTGATAGAGCTTTTACTGGAATGAGGGGGAGCTTGAGAACGCACACATTGCAAATTGAAAAAACTCGCGATAATGTTTCTGAACAGACTCATTTACCAACGTTTGTTTTAACATTTGCATCACGACATGTCTAATGATAATAAACAGGATACATCTTCTAAGGTAACAGATCCCAAGCAACTAACCACAATCTACAAAAAGAATGGGACGTTCGATGCTAAGAGAAAGGAACTCCTATCTAACTTCAAAGAATCAGAAACATGCAACAACTTACTCCTCAAGCTACGAATAATGGTTGAGTCCAAGATAAAAGCCGACCCATTGATACTAATGAAAAACAAAGGGAAAATGGCAGCATTAATCCAAGGAGAAATCGTCAACCGATCAAATATTAACGATCCTGCATCATCGAGTCTGAGTGATAGCAAAAACGATACCGGGATACTAAGTATAGTTGATAAGGATATACAGGAAAAGATTATCGATTCATCTCAGTTTCATGAATTATTGAGAGAAGAGTTGATGGATGTACAACGTAAAATAATGGGGATAAGCGATGAAGAGTTTGAGAAAATGAAGACTGAATTGCGAATGAAAAAGGAACAACGGGAACAAGAGGTGTTGAAAAGAAATGCTCGATTGGAAAAGGAGAAACTTCAAATGGATTATAGGAATAACTTCAAGGTCAAAGATTTGACAAATGGTCATGCTGCGACAAATGGGCATCGTGTAAATAAAGCACCAAGGTTTAACTTAAAGAGTAGTACTGATGGAGACAGACCTGATGCCAAAAAAGTTGAGAAGAAAAAGGTTACCAAGATGATGTACTGAGAGAGGAGGCTTTTTCTTTCACTAGGTGTTGGGTCTACTACATGGAAACTTGTTTTACGCGACGGGTATTAATATTACTATTAGTCTATACGAATTAAAATTCTGTTTTGTTTGTTTTATTCTTCATCAACTTCAAAAATATCAGTAGCTATAGTCATCAACTCTTCAACGACTTTACTCTTAAAACTCAAGTCTTGTGCACTGGTCGAGTTATTGTTGAAAATAACAGGACCCCAAATTATAGCCAACGATTTAGCATTCATTCTATTCTTGGCTTCGTTAGCAGCAATCTTGTTCAAATGGAAAATCAAGGCCCGTAATGTAAAATATGAACCATCAGGTAAACTGAATACCAAATGGTGCAATTTTTTATGAATCAAATTCTCATCAGCCAACTTGACAGTCTCTATAAATGATTGCGAGGCGGCTGAAGTCACCAATGGCTCTGGCAAATTGGCAAAGTAGTACTTGAGCAATGATGCTACGCAAAATACATCTGAGTCAATTACGTTCGACTCATCAATATCTTTCCCAATCAATAAGTAGTTGGTGAAATTTGAATCAATGAACTCACGCAATTTCTGCACTTGGTTGACATTGGAGCTGGTTCGGTAAATTCCAACAAGATCAATTCCATAGGACTCAATCACCTCAATACATCGACGGACAACCAATGGTACGTTATCCACACCAGCAAACTTGATTACATCCTCAATTGAAACACCAAACGTGGGTTGTTTAAAAGAGGCACTTGAATTGAACGGTTTTGGCCCATTAAGATTTGGTGTAGATGGTTGGCTAGCTGGATCCAACGAAGAATAGCCCAGTGGAGGATTGTTGGTATAGGAATCAGAGGCCGAGGTGTCAAGTGCAGTACCCTTGTTCGATGTATTGTTGTTGCTTGGTTTTGGCGCCGAATATACTCCTGAATAAGGTGCCGAAACATTAGAATCACTTTTTGCATTGCTGCTACTGGTGCTACTTTCATAGATGTTTGTCTTTGGCTTGTCATTATTCCATTGATTTCCCGAAGCAGCAGCCTTTATATTACTAGCACTATTGGACTGCTTTCTATCCGTATTGTTCAAAAAAGGCTTGCCAATGTCCTTCGCTTTTACTAGTGAAGGATGGATGTGGTAGTCGATGGGGACAAGTGACTTGTTTGTAGTTTTTGACCCATTTTCTAACAAGTACTTGTACAAGTCCTTTTCATTGTCGATTGAGCTTGCCATTGACTTCATCGACAACTTTGTTGCTTGTAGTGGACTAATCAACACACCCGAATTCATTATTAAAGTTTCGTTATAAGTTGCATATTTTTGCAACTGTACATTTAAAGCAATGTCCATTTCCAAAATCAAATTTTTCAACTTCTTTGCATTGTTTGGACGATGCAAGACTAATATCTCATCTTTGAGCTTCTTACATGTGGCAACTTTCGATTTATATTCCTGATCAGCAAGATCAACTTTTCTTTGCAAATCATCTTCCTGTTGCTCAACCGTTTTATTCTTTAAACTAAAGGATTTCTTTGATGGATCAGAGTTTTTAAGTCTCTCCAAGTCTTCACACAAATGGTTGTACCTTGTTTTGGCCTTTTCTGCAGCAGATATAGAGTCAATGCATTCCTTATCTTTTCGTCTGTATTCGTCCTTGATTGTTTTCCTCGACCTGATAATAGTGTGTACCAACGACATCAATTCATCATACATCGTGCTCAATGCAGTAACATAGCTTGATCCAACACCTGACAAGCTTTCATCAAATCCTATAATTCTATCCATTTGAATTTGCAACGAGTCATTTTTCAAATTCTTACTATTATTCTTCATGCTCGTTCTAATTTGACTGGCAAACTTCTTCAATTGGTTATAATGATCATCTTCAATCTGGGCCTTCTTTTTAATAAACTTGCTAAACTCTTCAGCTGACGTCAAACTTTGTTTCAACCGTTCCAGAAGCACATCAAGCGCTGAATCACTGTTGAGTACCGCCTTTATTTTGTCGTCATTGAGTAGATGCGACGAATCGACTGCATGAGAGCCAGTAGATGTGCCATTATTATTGAGAGTGCTGCCTGTGTTTAGCGACGAGTTAGATAAGCTATGTGTTGGTGCTGGTGGTAAATTTGAGTTGGTATTGGCTGTAGTAGGATTTTGTGGAGGATTGACCTGGTCCTTTTTGTCATCCATCTTCGGCGGGCTTAGTGGTAATTCAGTTCTATGTGAATAATTGATTTGTTAGTGGTGGTGGTGTGGTACACGTATTATGAAACGATAGTGTGCAAAGTATGTGTCTCGTATAGACGATGGTGATGATGATTGATAGTTTTATGTGTGGTTCGTTTAACAAAAGAATGGGAAAGTTTTTTATTTTTTTTCGTTCTCTTAAATTACGTAGCTGTTTTTATTTTCTTATACACACACACATCAATGATTTTGCGTTTTTCATTTACAATAATTATAGCATTTGCATTGCAAGAGTATAGACTACTAGTAGATATAGGGGCCAGCTATACACGTATCATTTAACAGAGAGAAATCTCTACCCAACTTACAAGGCTTAACGAAAAAGATGCAATCTAAAAGGGGGGCTATGACATGTTTTTCAAAGTGTGATCAGAAAAAAACAAAAAGAAAGATCAAAAAGTGTCGCGTTTTAGTGTGAAATGTTTATTTGACACAAGTTATTATCGCTCATATTGTCCCCCAATTGAATGTGTATACAAAAAGAGGCTCGAAATAGGATGTCAGTGTCAAAGTCGGGCCGTCACCTGTGGCAAATGGTCATGTTGTTTTTGCATTAACTTCAGGAGATGAAGGTGACAAGGAAACAGGAAGCTATGGTGTATTCACTCTAAGATCAATATCGTTATTTCAGTTGTTTTACGCGTTGAGGCTTGTAATAATAGCATATATTTGACCTTATCTTAGGTGAGATAGGACTTCCACACTGGGCTCGTTGTGATGTAATACTTTAGGACCCCAATCTTTCAGAAGCAACATACGAAGATTTGCTAAAAGCGAGTCCTAGATCAATTTTACTCTCAAAGCTTTAGCTAAATCTGCTGTAGAAGCTTCAAAGACTACATAAGGCCAAACCCCCTTCAGTTCTATATCAACCTCACTATTATGCCTGCCCCACTTACATCAAACGATGCTACCATCTCCAGTCTTAAAAATAGAAGAAGTGGAGTAATAAAACAATCTGAAAAATTTACCCGTCCGAGACTTAGAGCGGAGCGGAATTATAAAGACTTTGCTAATCAGCGCATAATTATGCACAAACACAAAAAATACTGAAATACCCCCGCTTGAAATGGATAGGATATCTTAGAACTATAAATATAACAAGTGATTGTTATCCTTTAATTGGGTTTATTCACAACAACATCTTATTTTTCACAACAAAGAAAAAGCACCTTCTAAATTTATTCAATATGCCTACACAGATCGGTTACGGATACGTCAAGGGCGCCACGGAAATCACTAAATTCATCGACTTGCCAATCCCAGAACCAGGTCCAAATCAATTATTGTTAAAGATTGAGGCAGCAGGATTATGTTTATCTGACCCCCATACGATTATTGGTGGACCACTTGCTCCTAAACCACCCAAGCCAATGCCAACAAAGTTTGTCATGGGCCATGAAATTGCCGGAAGTGTTTACAGAATTGGCAAAGATTTGGAAGACAAGCCTCAATTCAAGCCGGGATCACGGTTTGCATTGCAAATAAATCAAGCTTGTGGGGCTTGTGAGTTTTGCAGAAGAGGTGATGATGGTAATTGCAGTGAGTCAAGCCAAGCGTATGGGTTGAATGAAGATGGTGGGTTTCAGCAATTCTTGTTGATTAAGAACTTGAGGACTCTTTTACCAATTCCTGATAATGTGAGCTTTGCCGAGGCTGCCGTATGTACTGACTCAGTATTGACGCCATTCCACGCAATTCAGAAAGTTAGAGACAGAATTAAACCTAGTTCAAAGGTGCTTGTGCAAGGATGTGGTGGTTTGGGATTAAATGCAATTCAAATTTTAAAGCAATACCAGTGTCATATCGTTGCTACTGATTTGAAACCGGATATTGAAAAAGTGGCTAAATCGTATGGTGCCCATGAATTTTACACAAACTTGAACGACTCCAAACATGAACCCATGTCATTTGATGTTATTTTTGATTTTGTTGGTATACAAGAAAGTATCGACATTTCAAACAAGTACATCAAGAGAAGAGGTACATTGTCCCAAACTGGATTAGGTAGGTACAAGTTTAAAATGCCAAATTTTACATTTGCATTTAGGGAAGTTGAGGTTTTCTACAACTTTGGTGGTAGTTCAGCCGAGCAACTTGAGTGTTTGCAATGGATTGCCAAGGGGTGGATTAAACCTAATGTGCAGCTTGTTGATTTTGAAAAGTTGCCTCAAGCAATGCAAGATTTGACTAATAACAAAATTAGAGGTAGAGTAGTCTTTAGACCAAATAAGTTATAAAGTAGTTAGAGACTAGTTAATGAAGTATGAGTTATGTGATGATTATTGAACTTCAACAATCTAAGATTCTTTAGTGTCTGTTTTGTAAGTGCACCGTGGAGGTGTAGTTTTGCACCCTTTTCCATACTCGCATTAGTTTCCGTGGAAATCGAGAAAAAAAAAATTGGCAAATTCTATTCACCAGTCAATCGCCATTCTACACTTTCTCCACTGTATAATATATAACAAATTACCAATTGGGCAAACAATGGCAAAGAAAACAGGAGAAAACTCGAAAAAGGCAGCAGGAAATGCTCGTAAAGCAGAACAAGCCAGCAAAAAGAAACAAGACTCACTCAACCAACTAGAGCAAGAGGAAACAGCAAAGTGGGATGAAGGATCGAAAAAGGGAAACAAAAAGAAAGAAGAGGAACAATTCAAGAAAGAAGAAGCAGCTCGTAAAAAGCAAGAGCGTGATCTTCTTCTAGCTGCCGAAGAAGCCAGCTTGCCTTCCAAACCAGTCAAATCAAAGCAACGTGGTGCCGATAAAGTTGCTTCCAAACGTACTGGTAAGATTGATGATTTTCTCGACTTTAATAAGGATACACCGGAACTTAGTGCTTCAGGGTTGGATAATGCATTGGCTGCATTAGCTTTGACTGGAAAAGATTCTGGTGTTTCAAACAAGGATATTGATCGTCACCCAGAGAGAAGAGTTAAAGCTGCTTATAATGCATATGAAGAAAGGAGATTACCTGAAATTCGTAAAGAAAATCCAGGATTAAGGTTGCAACAAATCAAGAATCTTGTGTTTAAAGAGTTTCAAAAACTGAGTGAGAATCCAATGAATCAAGAAACAAATGTACATTATAATGCCAGTAGGGACGAGTTGGAGAGCAAGAAGTCAGAAGTTAGACAATCAAGGGAAAAGAAGTTTAATTAGGTTTATATGAGGTGGTTGTAGATGCTCACTAGTGTGTAGATAATGAAAGATGTATGTGTAGTAAAATCAGAGCTGATAGTTGTAGATATGAATCTTTATACCATTCTGGAACATTCAAACGTTTCTGCTGCTTGTGAACAGCTGTTATAGCTACGACAACTGGTGATGGCAATTTGTGTTGCCAGTTTCACAGAAAGCTTAATTTGAACAGCACAATAGAAAAATGAATACGTGTCAAAGTTGATTGTTAAAACGGACTAGCAAGTGTAGCCCAATTATGGTCCTTGTGAAAAAGCATACAGCTTAAAAGCTGAGACCGATGCTTTGCCCACTACACTCCTCCCCGATTTTAGTAAGCCCAAGTTTGCTCTAGAGGGTGATACCGCGTATGCGAAAACGTTCTTTTATTGTTTTTCTTTGTGTAGAGTAATCACGTGAACAAAATAAAAGAAATAGTTTTCTCTTTCTTCGCGTCTTTTTTTTTATTTTTTTTAGGAATGCATATTGATGATGTAAGTGTTGCGATTACAAGGTGAAATTACAAAAAACAAAAGCGTTATTCAATACACACACTCTCTCTATTCACGTAGTTGCTTAGAAACATGCTGCCGATACTATATAAGTGACAGAAGTGGGAACAGTTGTCGTATATAGGAGTACAAAGAATAAACAAATATTGTATATACGTGGTAAATGATGGTAACAAAATTAACAAAATTAACAAAATAAAAAAAAAAAAAAAATAAAGAAAATAAAAATTGATGAATTTGTTGATGATTGATGACTTCTTTTAATATAAATATAGAAATAGAAAAAGAATTAAAATCAACACAATTCGCACAAATTTTTCAAATTGTTTTTTTTTTTTATTTTTTTATTTTGTTAAATAAATAAATAAATAAAATAAAATAGCTTGTCAGACGTACACGACCTTATATACTACTTTTGCAGTCAAAAACAAATCAACCATTATATATATATATATATATATATAAGGCAAAACAAACAAACACGTTCACACAGGAGGGTATCAATTCACTTCCACAGAGAAGCCCTATTATTGCCATCATTAGCTTCTAATTAGTTACACTTTTTTTTTATTGCCTCATATAAATGATACACACAACAGACCACTATTATGTCGAGATTAGATAGATTGGTTGTATTACTAGAGACAGGATCAACCTCATTTATCCGAAACACAGCTGCTGATCAGCTATCAGACTTGGCTAAAGCTCATCCAGAGGATATTTTAAACTTGCTTGCTCGTGTATATCCTTTCCTTAAATCACCCAAATGGGAAACAAGAGTCGCAGCTGCACGAGCGTTTGGAGGTATAGCAAATAATGCACCACTATGGGACCCAAATTCACAAGAGCAAATCAAGCAGGAAAACCTGGAGGAGACATTAGTTAAAAAGGAAGTAGAGGACAGTCTATCATATGAGACCAAGGACTTTATAAAACAAGAAGCACATGAAGAAGTCAAGATCAAGATTGAGCAAGATCAAGAATTGGATAAAATTGACGACTCCATATCAAATTTGTTACTGTTTAGCAATTTTGACTTGAATGAATTGATCAAAAGCGGAACGACGCTATTGGCGTCAAAATCAGACAACACTTTAAACTGTGATGACGAAGTTGATGAAGATGATAGGACTTTAATTGGCAGGATAAAAAGACATCGGGCTAGCATCCTACCCAAGCAAGAGGCACCAGAGGTAGAAGTTGGCAAAACCATGGATGCTGGAGATCAGAAGCGGAGTAAAATCAGTTCCGACCCAGTGATCAAACAAGAACCATTGTATGGAGATGAAGTTGTATCATCAGATGCATCTACAACAGTACAGTCACCAAGCGCTATTAGACCGCTGCTTGATAATCCATCAAAGCCAGTATCTAGCGCTAGACTTAAAGCCATGCAAAAAAGGAGAGCTAAATTTAGTGCCAAAGCTGGTGGCAACAAGATGAAATCAATTGATATCTCGCAAAGCTCTATTTCAAGACAAATGGTGGAAAATGGTGATGGAATGGACCTTGACTCCGATAACGATGGCAATAACAGTCACCAGCAATATGACGTTACTTCACAACAGGGAGGAGAAAAGTTGGTTGTCGAAGCTAAAGTGGAAGAGATTTCGCCTTTACTTGCTTTGCATAATAAGGTGACTGGATTAATATGGCTTTTTCAAGGAGTTTATGAATTGCTATTAGCCGACTTGTTTGACGACAAATGGGAAATCAGACATGGTGCTGCATTGGGGTTGAGAGAATTGATTAGGAAACATGGTAAAGGCACAGGGAGAATTATGAATAAAACCAAGGAGGAGAATGACCGCAATAATAAAATGACTTTGGAAGATTTAGCCGTAAGGTTGTGCATTTTATTTGTGCTTGACCGATTTGGTGACTATGTTTCTGATACTGTTGTTGCCCCAGTGAGAGAATCAAGTGCACAGACATTGGCTGCGCTATTGATACATTTAGACGATGAGACAGTGATCAAGACTTTTAGTTGTTTGTATACCATGACGTTGCAAAACGATTTGCCGCCTCCGAAATGTTGGGAAGCTAAGCATGGAGGGATGTTGGGTGTTCGTTATCTCGTTAGTGTACGAACTGATGTGTTGCTTAAGAAACCCGATATGTTTGACCAAGTGTTGAACATGGTTCTTCATGGACTCCAAGAAAGTGACGATGACGTTCAGTCAGTGGCAGCATTGACATTGACACCAATTGCATCAGAAGTTGTATCTACTCGAAAGTCCATCATTCAGTCGTTATTAGCGGTAATATGGGACTGTTTGGTAAATTTAAGAGATGATTTATCTGCCTCCATTGGGTCAGTCATGGACTTGTTGGCAAAGTTGTGTAGCCATAGAGAGGTGATTGATATAATTCAGCATGATGCAGCTAAAGATGACAGGTATTCATTCAAACACTTAGTGCCTAGACTATATCCATTTTTGAGACATTCAATCACAAATGTCAGAAAAGCAGTTTTACGGACTATTTTGGAATTTTTATCAATACAAGAGGACAACATCACAAATACTTGGATTGATGCCAAAGCAATAAGACTCATTTTTCAAAATTTATTGGTCGAGCAAAACTCTGATGTGTTGCAATTGTCAATCACAGTTTATGACAAATTGTTAGAAGAAGTTGACAAATACAAGATGAATTGGGGGGACCTTTTTGTATCGCAGTCTCTGGATTTGTTATCTTTGACAATGACACCAATTGGAATAGCAAGACAAACTTACCAGATGAATACTCGATTGATTATGAGACCCTCGGGCCAAATGGTGGGGCCGTTGGATGACGAAGACAGTCGTCGTTCTAAGAAGCGTAATAGACAACAAACAGAAACACCAGAATCAGATGCGATTGAAGGTAATGGCATACCCATTGAAGATTTGAAGATCAATATTGATGCACCGGTGTACAAGGGTGACGTCATGCTCATTGGGTTTGAAAAGATGATTGCTACTCGTTCGGCAGCTGCAAGTGCTTTTGGTAAGGCACTAGCGCTAATCAAAGATCAAACAACATTGAACCAAGTTTTCCAAAATTTGTTATCCTTTTTAGATTCACCATTTGAAACATCTAGATTATTAGGAGCATTCATTATTGAAGAGTATGCTACGTCAGTAAAGGAGCAGCACCGGGAACCAAATGAGGAAACTGTTGCCATTTTTGCCAACACATTGATGGCCGTACTTCAAGCTCCATCTTCGCTTCCATACTTCCGTGAGTTGATACCTTCCCTCAAATCTGTACGGACTACGTGTCTACAACTATTTGACTGCTTTGTATCGACTGCTCGGTTATCACCATCAAAAATACCCCAAATTCCTATCCTTGTGCAAGGTGAAGCCGAAGCAGGCCCAAATGCTTTTACTTTGGAATGTGCAGAAAAGGTAAGTGGCGAAGTGTTTGACAAATTAAAGAAAAGTTTATCGAGCAGTCACCGTTTGGCTGCAAACCAGGCTCTAGAAGATGCCAAGCATAGAATCACGCTTGCGGTGGATGAGTGTCGAAGTTTGGTAAATTCGAAAATTACCGCCATTTTAGCGTCTTTTGCTGGTGCTGCGTTGGCATTATCAGGTATTCCCAAAAAATTGAATCCGATCATCAAGTCATTAATGGAAAGCATCAAACTGGAAGATTCCCTTGTATTGCAAAAAAAGACTGTGTTTTCAATTGCTAGTTTGATTCGTCAATTGAATGAAACGGGAAAACGGAATGTGGCTGATAAAATCATCAAGAATTTGTGTGCATTTTTGTGTGTTGACACTGCTGAAGTACCCGAGTTCTATCATAACGTTGGCTTCAAGACGAACATTTTATCCTTGAAAAAGGAAGAGAGTGCTAGTGACCATGCTGATGCTGCAGCACATGAAAGAGCAGTTCACGAAGCAAGAATTAAACGTCGTGGGGCTTTGCTACTGCTTGAGGAGATAATTCTGATGTACAAGCAAGATTTGTTTACCGAAGTGCCGAAGTTGAAAGAATTGATGGTTGGTCCATTAAAAGAATTGGCTACAGTAAGTGGTGAAGCAATAGCCAAAGACGAGTTTAAAGGGCAAAGTATAATCGACGCTTTGGGTATATTGAAGGCATTATTACCACAGATAGATAAGTCATTACACCCGGAGATTACCGATCATTTGGATCTTTTATTACCTGGATTGAAATCAGAATATTCAGCTTTCCGATACTCGACTGCTAAATGTTTTGCCACGATATGTTCAGTTGCTCCTACTAAAGCATTTACATTCTTGGTTAATTCCGTATTGCCCATGTTGAAAAATGCTGGTAGCATAATTGAAAGGCAGGGAGCTATTGAAACTATATATCACATTTCCGCAGTGATGGGTGCCAGTATCTTGCCATATGTGATGTTTTTAATTGTGCCGGTATTGGGGAGAATGAGTGATTCAGATCACGATGTGCGAATATTGGCCACTACTACCTTTGCTTCGATCATCAAGTTGGTTCCATTAGAAGCTGGTATACCCGATCCTGATGACATGCCGCAAGGGTTGTTGGAAGGTAGAGAAAGAGAACGAGATTTCATATCGCAGATGATGGATCCAACAAAGATCAAGCCTTTTGACTTGCCGGTATCGATCAAAGCAACCTTGCGTAAGTATCAACAAGAAGGTGTCAATTGGTTGGCATTTTTGAACAAGTATCACTTACACGGGATCTTATGTGATGATATGGGTTTGGGTAAGACATTGCAAACTATCTGCATCATCTCCTCAGATCACCATATTAGAGCTGAGAAGTACACAGAAACCGGTGCTGTTGAATATAGAAGGTTGCCGTCGTTGGTGATTTGCCCACCCTCTTTGACCGGGCACTGGGAACAAGAGATTAACCAGTACGCTCCATTCATGAAGGTGTTGGTCTATGCTGGAAATCCAAGTATTAGAACTCCCTTGAGAAGTCAATTACCCCATGTCGATGTTGTTGTGACATCTTATGATGTTTCGAGAAATGATGTCGATTTCTTGAGCTCATTAGATTACAATTATTGTGTGTTGGACGAAGGGCATATTATAAAGAACGCCAATTCCAAGCTCTCAAAGTCCGTGAAGCAAATTAGAGCTGAGCATAGGTTGATCTTGTCCGGTACACCTATTCAAAACAATGTGTTGGAGTTGTGGTCGTTATTTGACTTTTTGATGCCTGGATTTTTAGGTACGGAAAAGGTTTTCCATGAGAAATTTGCCAAACCAATTGCAGCCAGTAGAAATAGCAAGACGTCGTCTAAGGAACAAGAAGCTGGGGCATTGGCACTTGAGTCCTTACATAAACAAGTGTTGCCGTTTATGTTACGTCGTCTTAAAGAAGATGTTCTTTCTGATTTGCCACCCAAAATCATCCAAGATTATTATTGTGAATTGAGTGACTTGCAAAAGAAGTTGTACAAGGACTTTGCCAAGAATGAAAAAGAGAGTATCAAGAATGATGTATCATCGGCTGAAAAAGAGGGCAAGACACACGTTTTCCAAGCATTGCAGTATATGAGAAAATTGTGCAACCATCCAGCTTTGGTTGTATCTCCTAGCCACCCTAAATATGTTGAAGTGGAACGATTCCTTGCTTCAAGGCATTCAGACTTGAAAAATATAGAACACTCGCCAAAATTGCAGTCTTTGAGGACGTTATTGCTCGAGTGTGGTATTGGGACACAAGATTCTGACTATGGTAGAGTAAGACAAAAGAAGACCAACGACGCGCTTATGCCTCTTGAAGGAGTCATTTCGGAACATCGTGCTTTGATATTTTGCCAATTGAAAGATATGTTGGATATTGTTGAAAATGACTTGTTGAAAAAGTATCTTCCATCGGTGACTTATATGAGACTAGATGGTAGTACTGATCCAAGAAATCGTCAAGCTATTGTACGCAAGTTTAATGATGATCCATCGATCGATGTCCTTCTCTTGACTACGAAAGTTGGGGGATTGGGGTTGAACTTAACTGGTGCTGATACTGTCATTTTCGTTGAACACGATTGGAATCCAATGAATGATTTACAAGCGATGGATAGAGCTCATAGGTTAGGGCAAAAGAAGGTGGTGAATGTGTACCGTTTAATCACAAAGGATACATTGGAAGAAAAGATTATGGGATTGCAGAAATTTAAAATGAATATTGCATCAACCATTGTTAACCAGCAGAATACAGGGTTACAATCAATGGATACTAACCAATTGTTGGATTTGTTTGACGTTGAGGACAACGGAGTTAAAATGGAAGAAAGCAATAATTATGATGACGACAAGAGAGTAAGTGGAAATGGAAATGGCACGAACATAGGAAGCGGAAGTAACGTGACAGAGGAACTTACTGGTGGTTTGACTGGTAAAGCTGCAGGTGCTGTTGGTGAATTGGCTGAGTTGTGGGATGAGCAACAATATGAAGATGAATATAATCTTGACAATTTTATCAAGACATTAAAGTAACGGTGTGATTTGAAGATGATGTTTGTAAATATATAGATGATAATGAATACTTGCATGTTATAGACTGGAAAGATGAACATTTGAGGAAGTAGCATTGGTTTACTAATTCCAGGAACTCTATTTGTGGATGTGTCACGCTACCAGCTCATGCGATGGGGTCGATGAGCTACTGTAGTAGTTGCAATATCAAGTAGGTTATTCTAGAGCTAAATGATGGGGCTAAGCTTTCGTCCTAAGTAACAAATTATACATTGACTAAATGGAATTGACACATGTTTGAAACAAAATACCACACCTATTCTCAAGCAGTTCTTGACATACGGAGTTTAAATTTTTCACTTGCACTCGTTACTTTTTTTTTCGTATTACCAAATGAGGCATTGAAAGGAACCCTTTGATCACACATAATTCACACACGCATTCGATCAACCACTGATAGATACAAATTTACTGAGATATATATATATAGCTTGTTTTGTTATCCGTTAAATTTCGCTTACCCATCCATCTGTGCATAGTCTAGTATCTTGTTTTCCAACAACTAGCTGTTCCCTAAATTTAGCAATCACACGATGGCCATATCACCCAAGGAGCAAGATAAACTAAAAAGTTTAGAAAAAGATGCAGAAGTAGCATACCGCTATATGGCTTCTGATGAGCAGTCATCTACTTTCAAAGATAAAGAACTAATATATGAGCTCGAAGCAGCAGCTCCACAACATCAAGGCAGCACAGCAGCGACGAGAATATCAAAATCAGAAATAAAAGAGACAAAACCTTGGGTACATTTCGTAGCTGGTGGGGTTGGTGGTACTGTTGGTGCAGTTGTCACATGTCCACTTGATGTTGTCAAGACAAGACTACAATCTGATGTATATCACAATGTTTACAACACAAGTGTAAAGTCGGGCAATCCAATAAGACAAGCATTTCAACATTTAGCAGAAACCGGTGGTGCATTAAGAGGCATGTACGTGAATGAAGGAGTAAGATCGTTGTTTAAAGGTTTGGGCCCAAATTTAGTTGGTGTAATACCGGCAAGATCAATCAATTTCTTCACCTATGGTGCCACTAAAGATTTCTTGATACGAAATTTCGGAACCAAAAACAACGAAAAAACTGAACAAACGTGGATGCATTTGGTTTCAGGAATAAATGCTGGGTTTGTAACTTCGACAGCAACGAATCCCATTTGGTTGATTAAAACACGATTGCAATTGGATAAATCAAAACTGAAAATTTACAAAAACTCATGGGATTGTTTAAAACATATTATGAAAAATGAAGGGTTTTTTAGTTTATACCGTGGTTTAAGTGCATCTTATCTTGGTGGAATTGAAAGTACAATACAATGGGTGCTATACGAACAAATGAGAATGTTTATTAATAGAAGATCACTACAAATCCATGGAACCAACCCCACAAATAAAACAACAAGAGACCATGTTATGGAATGGTCTGCTCGATCAGGTGCTGCCGGTTTAGCAAAATTCTTGGCTAGTTTAATAACGTATCCCCATGAAGTTGTGCGAACTAGATTGAGACAAGCACCATTGGAAAGTACTGGTAAACCAAAATATACAGGATTGATTCAGTGTTTTAAATTGGTGTTTAAGGAAGAAGGTTTTGCTAGTATGTATGGTGGTTTAACGCCTCATTTGCTTAGAACTGTGCCTAATTCAATCATCATGTTTGGAACCTGGGAGTTGGTTGTGAGATTGTTGTCGTAATAACCAATGCTTTTGGCTTGCTTTGTGTGTCTGTATATATATTGGGGTTGCTTGTAAATAGACGAATTTAATAGATTATCCGTATTTAACCTTTTTCAAGTCGGGCTCATATGGCTCTTGTTCGCTTAGGTCCAGCTCTTCTGAGGATATTTTATCTCGAATAGAATGTGAGGATTCCTTCTCTTGATTTAAATAGAAATTTTTCTTTGGGTGTAGATGGTCCTCATTATTGGAGTTACTTTCTTTTGATCTTTTTGGCTTTTCTGTATTTTGAATGAGTTTATAAAACCTTGGTGGCTCACCCTTGGGCAATGTAACACTCAACTCGTTAATTAGTGGATCTGACTGGTAACGAATCTTATCTCGTAGTGGAACTGTCAAGTTCTCTAGCGGACTCGCAATTTCTTCATTGAGATGGGTGACATTTGGAACCTTCCCCAATGGGTTCAATTCTGGATTGAAGTAGATTGATTTGTCACCCCATAATTTACTCTTTTTTTTGAGATTCAATCGTTCTTGTTTCCGTTTCTCCTCTAAGAACTTCTTTATCTTACCTTGATGCAAGTTATTTTTCTCGATAAATGACCAATCTTCTTTTAATGACTTCAAATAATCCTCATCTCGATCTGTTTTGGATTCTTTTGACTCGAGATTTTCAATTCTATGGTATAGCTTTATCGGATCAGTATTCTTTAGTTTTTCTAGTTTATGTTTGTGTTTCTGTCGCTGTTGTACTTTGGATTGTTGCTTCCTCTCATTTTGTTTAAACTCCTGTGCTAGACTCCAATTGCCTCTGATCATTATTTGGTTGTGGATGCAAAGAAATGGGTGTTTCAAATGAACCAAAAAAAAAAACCCACAAACTTAGGACCTTTATTAAACACTTTTTATACCAAGTTACCCTACATGATGAACCACACTCCTGTACCTTCAACCCCTGCGGCTCCACCACAATTAGACTTTAACCAAATACCGGTGGATGCCCTCGAATCTATCCGTAATAGACTTAACCAAATTCATGTCTCCCTTCGAAAATTATCAGACCAAATAAACGCCCATAATAGACACCCAACAAAGATCAAGTTGCCAACATTTACCCATTTCCAAAATCAATTTCAAGTCCTCATAACACAGCTAACATCAATTGCCAATATATTGTATAATAACGAAGAGCTCCTTTTAAGAACAAATGTTTATCCTACAGTCAATTTTCCTACAAGTCAACATGAAGGGTTATTAACTACATTGTTAAGGAAGAAGGCACTTCCAGAAGTAGACGAATGGATCAACTCATCAATAACGACGATCGAAGAAATTCAAGAGAAGGGACCCGTGGATTTCGAAAAGGAAGACGAATACGTAGCATGGAGTCTTATGAAGATGCAAGAACTTCGTGATGAATTTCAATTTTATGGTTTCCACACCGTAGAAGAATTGGAGCACATGGAGACCCCAGAAGGAAAAGCAGAAGCCAAATTGAAAAAGGAGGAAGAAAATGCCAGAGAAGAAGCTGAAAGCAAGATAACACGCGGTGGAAAGAAGGGGTTGCATCCTAATCAAGTAATGAAGTTTCTATGTCAGGGACAATTGTAAAAGAAACTCCATTTGATGAATGAAAAAGAAATGAAATGAAAAGAATCTCTATATCTATATACTCTGTATAAACCTCAACTAACTCTCGACATTATAATAGGCGTCGTAAAAGTACAAGATTGAAAATACAAAAAATGCAATAGCACCGCCTAAGGTCACATTTCTCATGGAAATCTTTTTAGCCAAAAGCTTACCTCCAAGACATGCGGCAGCAGTACATAACCCATGACCTATTATTGCTCCGAATATAACATACCAGTATTCAGATCCGGCAGCCATAGCAATCGTGGCGATTTGAGATCTGTCTCCCCACTCTCCTAAGAAAGTCATGACGAAAACCTGGATCCAAATAGGTGTGAATATAAAAGAAGCCAAATTTTGTAACTGTTGCGTCACCTCATCAAGCCAGGAACGTTTTGTACTCTGTGCCGAACCAGCTCCGCCTTCCATGTCGTCTAACTGTGTATTAATCTTACTCGAAGCAATTTCCTCCTCTACTTCAGCCAACTCTTCCTCAACTCCCAAATCTTTTGACATGCTCAACCCTTCCCTTAGCAATTTTGCTCCAAATACAACAAACAAGACAGCGGCCAAGAATTGAGTGACGCGTTGAGATATCAAAGTCGGTAATGCATGTCCCACAATACCAGACAACACCGTCATGACCACTAATGAAGTAAATGCAGCAGTAAATACAATAACTCTTGAATTTCTCATAGCCATTAAAGCCGCTATAAGGAAAGTTTTGTCTCCGATTTCAGAGACAACAATCATTGATACCGACATAATAAAAGCATCATAATTCTTGGCTTCTGGAACTTCTGCGGCAATGTTGTCCTCAGCTGCAGTTGCTGATTTTTGGTACGGGTCCAACGGCTGTTTCATATGGTCAGGCGTTGGATGATTATCTTCCTCCTCTAATGGCTTGACACCTAATTTGTTAGTTGACTTGTCATGGCCTGTTTTTGTCTGATCGTTTGAAACTACCGCAGCACCAACTGCATAATCCTCATTAGCCACCGCAGCTAGGATAGTTGTGGCTATGTATGCAAGTGGCAAAATAAATTTTTGGTATTTCATTTTCGTGTTCTTCGGAGTTTTATCTTTGCAGAGTCGCGAGCTCTGTTGTTGGATTAAATTGGAAGTTGTTGATGGAAAGTGAAGCCTCAAAAGTTAAGTGTTGGACACAGTTCGGGATTATATTTGTCACGATATATTTGGGCAATGAAGGAAGTCAAATACTGGACAAATGTGTTGTATTTCTAATCAGGTAAAGTAGGCGTTGCTAAAAAATTTTGATATTTGTTAAACCCTCTCTCTCTCTTTCTCAATGAGAAAAAGATTCAGAAATCTTTTATAGTTTAGTTTTTGTGTTCACAATGAGGAGTCATAGAACAAACAACAAACATTTCATACTTGATGCTTATACGAATGGCATTTGACAGAGGATCACTACTAAAATCCTGGACTATTTACTGCAGTTTTTATTGACTAGATATAAATAGGAATCATTATACACTTTTGCTCAATGGCCATGTGGTATTGGGTTTTCAACAACAACACCATTCTTTACTTTACCTCCATCAACCCATCCACCATAATGAACGTGACCTAAATCTTCGTGCTTCTTTTGATACTCATTGATTCTGTCAACCATTACTGGTCTGAATGATTTGATTAAACCTTGCACTGGCCATGCGGCAGCATCACCAAGCGCACAGATGGTGTGACCTTCTATTTCCTTGGTTAATTCAAAAATCATATCAATTTCCCTTTCAGTTGCTTGACCACTTTGGAATCTGTCCATCATTCTTTGTAACCAAGTGGTTCCTTCACGACAAGGAGTACATTGACCACATGATTCGTGCTTGTAGAAATGGGCAAACCTTTGAATGGCTCTTATTACATCGGTCTGTTTGTTCATGACAATAACAGCTGCAGTACCCAAACCAGATCCTACATCTCTTAACGCGTCGTAGTCCATCAAGACTGTATCACAAGTTTCTTTTGGCATGATTGGGACAGATGATCCTCCAGGAATTACACCCAACAAGTTATCCCAGCCGCCTTTAATACCACCACAGTGCTTTTCTAGTAATTCTTTTAATGGTATGGACATTTCTTCTTCAACAGTACATGGTTCATTGATGTGACCTGATATACAAAACAACTTGGTACCTGAGTTTCTTTCACGACCCAAAGAGTCAAACCATGCTCCTCCCCTTCTTAAAATAGTTGGGGCAACTGACACCGTTTCAACGTTGGCAACAGTGGTTGGTCTTCCGAACAAACCAACACCGGCTGGGAATGGTGGCTTCAATCTTGGCTTTCCTGCTTTACCTTCTATGGACTCAATTAATGCAGTCTCTTCACCACAAACATATGCACCCATACCTCTGTGGACATATATATCAAAGTCATAGCCTGATCCACATGCATTTTTACCTATCAATCCGGCTTTGTAAGCTTCATTTATGGCATTTTGTAGTATAACAGTTTCGTTGTAAAATTCTCCTCTGATATAAATATATGCTGCAGTGGCATTCATTGCTCTACCTGCCAACAAACAACCCTCAACCAACTTGTGAGGATCTTTTCTAATAATTTCTCTATCTTTACAAGTACCGGGTTCACCTTCATCGGCATTAACAACCAAGTATCTAGGACCAACGTTCTTCTCCCATCCAGGTGGGTTCATAAAGGACCATTTCAATCCTGATGGGAAACCTGCACCACCTCTTCCTCTTAATCCGGACTTTTTCATTTCATCAATAATCCATTTGTCTCCTTTCAAGATGATTTCTTTGGTCTTGTACCAATCTCCCATCTTTTGTGCTGATTTCAAATCATGTCCATAATTTCCATAAAGATTTTGAAAAATACGATCTTGGTCCTTCAATCCACCATGGTGTCTGTTTGGGTTTGCTGCTGGGTCTGCAGTTGTGGCCAATCCACGAAGTGAAGCCAACTGGCGTGGCCTTATTTTAAAGTTACGAAGCATTTAGTATATTTGGGGTTGGTGTACTCTATTGGATCAGTGTAGTTCTATAATAATCGATGATTATGATGATGATATGTGTGATGATTTCAACAACTAATGATACTCAACTTAGAGGTACAATAAAACACCTTTTTGACTATAGCAGTGACTTCCAATGTGTTTTTTTTTTATTTTCCTTTTTATGAAGAAGAAAAAAAAATGCATACTTTTAACTATGCGAATGGATTTATGTCATTTTTGTTTCCCTTTTTTTTTAGTAAAAGGGATTTCACCGCATTTTATTGGGTGAAAAAAAATTATTATGCACACCAAAATTGGTAGCTTTCAGCGATCAAATCAATCAATCAATGAGTTTGATCCATACAAAGCTTTGCTATTTCGATGATTACATCATGTATGTATATTGGAGTAGCATTATTTTGCTCTTCTGACAAGTTACCAACTGCTATGCTGGGTAACTTGCTGACTCGTCGGCAACTCAATTGGTTCGCCTACAATAGTTAGTACAAGGCGAGGGACTTCAAACGGGAGAAACGTTTACGTACGTGACAGAAGTTGGCAAGTTGTTGCAACAGGGATGAAATTTCCAGCTCCGATAAATCCCCTTTGTCGGGGTTAATGGTATCGAGGTTAGTTCTTAATACTTGTTCTATTTCGGAGAAGCTGGGACTTCCAAATTTGAAAATTCTAACTGCCCTGTCCAACACAGCCGTATCGATGCTACTTAACATATTGGTAGTAGCAATAATCACCAAATTTGGAAACACTTTTAAGCGATCCAAATATGTGATAAGAATATTGACGATTCTCAAGCCGTCGGAGACTTCATTATTGCCCATTAAACTTGTTCTACTTGTAGCAATCGTTTCTAACTCATCCACAAGTAGAAATACTATAGACGTTGGGTGTCGAAGTAGTAGCTGTTCGATAAATAAAAGGAGTGCCAGGAGCTTCTTTGGTGACTCGCCGAAATACTTTGAAAATATTTCGCCGGTGGAAAATTCCATCATAACGCTGGGTTCATATCTACCGATCCCCTGCTTTGCAATAGATAATTTTTGAAAGACCGCTTTAGCAAGTGATGTTTTCCCAGTACCAGGCATTCCTTCGAAGATTACAAAGTTCCCTGTCTTAAGGTGTAGCTTGGTTGAGTTCAACATGGTTTTGCAACAGTTTAAAATTGATCGCTTGAATTTTGCACCCAATATTATAGTTTCCCAGCTCAACAACAAGTCCTCGTGGGGGAGCTTGAAAATCGTGAACGCTAGATTTGTGGACGACATTATTTCCTCCGACAAGGCGTTCACCTCCTCAAATACCTGCAAAGTAGGTTCACTTTCTATTAACACGTTGCGTCCCGACTCCGGCTTCGGGATTCCAATAAAAGATGCATCTTCAAACTGTTGCGTAATATCATCAACACTAAGATCCAACCGCGGATTTGTTGAATTGTACACTCTTTCAACTTGAGTCGGAACAGAATAAAAGTTAAATTGGAACTTTGTTGACTGCTCTATCGTAATGGTATCTGATATGGCTCTTCTTTTCCGCATTTCATCGATTAGTTTATTGGCTGGTGAGTTTGGTGTCAACATTTTCTGAGTTGTTGCAAATATTGACGTGACTGCAAATTTTGATTTGAGAATGTGCTCGACTTCTGATACGAGGGGAAGACTCTTGTGTAAGATGGATGCTCTGTGCTCTTTGAATTGCTGGGACAAAACTAGATTCATCAAGCAGCCATTAACTAGGGCTTTCAGTATGGGAATAGATACCTTATCACAACGTCTTTCAAAATAGATCTGAGAAAACTGCTCCGAAGAAATCATTGGACCTTCTTTATCATCTTCATACAACAAAGAGCTCTCCACCGCTTCATAACCTGTGCTCAATGATTTGTCGATTTGCATGGGTTGGTTGCAATTTCGTATATAGTTAATCAAGTGCACCGTCAATACCTCTTCAAAGCTTATACCATCTAGTGAAACTGGGTAAGTATGATTACCCTCTTTTTTCTCGTAACCCTTTAGTGCCAACCATGGTCGAAGACAGCATTCAAAAACTAATGTAGTCATTTGCTGAAAATGGTGGTGTAGTAAAGTGGTTGCCAATTTTTCTTTCACCAAATTTTCCAACCCACAGAGTATCAAATCATTTTCATCAAGACTTCATTGAAGTGTATAAAAGTACTATTTCGTTTTTGTTCAGCTTTTCGTTCGTTATCTGCTAAGCACCTTTGATATATCTTTCCCGTATCCAGAGCCGCATCAACTCGATTGAAACGAAACACACACAAAATTGTCGATGTAAAATCATCAACTTCTTATGATCCCACCAAAACACATATGACCAGGATAGTCACATTATCAGCGACGCTCTTAGTAGTAGCAGTTGCTATAAACTATTACCTTGCACTGACATATATACTGCATGGACGAATACAGAAAGAGTCCACGTACACTTACAACCCCCTTGCAAAAGGACAACCAAAACTAGCGTCCAATTCGTATCTTCGAAAACAGTTTCCACCTCGAAATTTAGAGCAGATTGGAAAGGAAAATGCTACTATGATTATGCTTGTCCGAAATGGCGAGCTCGAGGGAGCACTTTCCTCGATGCGATCTTTGGAAGATAGGTTCAATCGAGAGTACAAATATCCGTGGGTCTTTATGAACGATGTACCCTTCGACGAGGAATTTATTGAAAAGACAAGCCTTATGGCAAGTGGTAAGACGTATTATGAGCTCGTTCCCGAGGAGCACTGGCACCCACCTTCATACATAAACAAGACCAAATTGGATGAAAACTTAAACACGTCAACTAGCGTACTTTACGGATTTCTGAGATCCTATAGGAACATGTGCCACTTTTATTCTGGCTTCTTTTACAAGCAAGAGCGATTATTGAATTATGAATGGTATTTTAGAGTCGACCCTGACGTTGAGTATATGTGCGACTTCCAATACGATCCATTTCAATTACTACGAGAGAATAATAAAATCTATGGGTTTGTTATTGCCCTTACGGAATTCGAAAATACCATTCCAACGCTTTGGCAGAATGTTGAAGCATTTATAGAAAAGTATCCGGACCTACTCCATTCCAACAATGCCCTCGATTTTTTAACAACGCACGAAACTTCAATCACTCATTACATGCCTTTTACAGAATCAACAACAAGATACAACTTGTGCCATTTCTGGTCAAATTTTGAAATTGCAAACCTAAACTTCTTCCGGAGTGAGGCGTATGAGACGTATTTTAGGCATTTGAGTGAAGCTGGAGGGTTTCATTACGAAAGATGGGGCGACGCTCCTGTGCACACTATCGGTTTATCCCTTTTAGCTGACAAGAACCAAATTTATCATTTCGAAGATATTGGGTATTACCATGTACCCTTTTTAGCATGTCCTCATTCAGAAGATGTTATTGCATCAAAGAGATGTATATGCAGGCCAAGAGATGCATTTGAAAAGATGAATCGTACTATTGATGTAAATGCCCACAGTTGTTTATCGCGATGGTGGAAGTACGGTGCAGGGAAATCGTTCTTGAACGAAGCTGATTATCGTAGGTGGTGATTCCAGATGTGGTGTATATCTCAATAATCTAATAGGCATTTAGAACTACACTTTTGCCTATTCAATTGTAACGTGGGCTGGTTTGTATGTCTTTGATATTTGTTATAGTGATTCGTTCCTGCATATAACTATCTTCCTATCCAATGACAGTGTTGAAATTTGGTATTATATTTTTGTAAGAAGAGAGAAAATTTAACTCAATAACAATTTCATCAACCACCCTTAGGACATAAACACAACCAAAAACTAGTCAAATATGGCAGGTCCACCACATCCACATGCATACATGGGCTGGTGGGGAGCTATTGGTTCCCCCAAGCAAAAGTACATTACTCAATACACTATCTCACCATTTGCTGCTAAGCCATTGAAAGGTGCAGCTTACAATGCTGTCTTCAACACATTTAGAAGAGTCAAAAACCAATTCTTGTACATTGCCATCCCAGCCGCTATTGTATACACTATCTTCGACAAGGCAGAAAGTTACAACGAGTACTTGTACACCAAGGAAGGAAGAGAAGAATTGGAAAAGGTCAATGTATAGGCGTTGAACAATTTTTACATAGTAATAACACGATGTTCATTTTATAAAGGTCAATGAGTTTGACAGTGCAACTTTTGTATATGATGCGCTTATTTAGATCTCTTATACACTTTGTTCAAAAATGTAGTCAAGACATCCTTTTTCAAGCCTCTTGACTCGTCAATTTGATCAATTTGTTGTCTCAATTTTTGGACTGTGGATTCTTCATAATCGTGATATATCTTTTCAATACCCATATCCTTAAACAACTGCTTGCATTGAGCTTCTGATGTGTCATCTTTTTTCCCGTAGTTGTCGTCTAACACCTTACGTTGTTCCGGAGATGCGTGTAATAATGCTTGATTAACAACCCACGAACACTTATTATCCTTAATATCTGTTCCAATCTTTCCAATCTGTTCAGGGGTTCCAAAACAATCTAAATAATCATCTTGGATTTGGAAATACTCACCAAGAGGAATCAAAACGTCCTTGACCTGTTTCAAGTCCTTTTCGTCGCTGATTCCAGACATATACATTGCTAAAGCGACAGGCAAGTAAAATGAGTAGTATGCAGTTTTGAAAATAACAATGAATGAATGCTTTTCCAAAGAAAACTTGTCTAAATCAACATGTTCTTCATCAGCGGTTACCAAGTCTAACAATTGACCCAATTCAGTCTGGAAAGTAACCTCATGGAACAAATCCAACAAGTCGATATAGTATGAGTCCTTGCGGAAATGCTTTCTTAAAATCTCATAGATAGCGCCATCTAGCATGAATGAATCATTAATGGCTATATTTCCCACACCCTCTTTCAAATACCAGCATGGTTGTCCTCTTCTGGTTTTCGATTGATCCATCATGTCATCGGCAACTAAAAAGTATGCCTGCAACAATTCAATAGCCCATCCTAAAATGGCAACTTTCTTGTACGTCTCGTCATCTAATTTGTCGGAAGAAGTGTTGTTTAAAATAGCATACGTGTCAACTACTGACAATCCACGATTCAATTTTCCTCCAGGGGTATTGTAGTTTAAATTGTTCTGAAACCAAATAATAGCCTCTTGAGGCATCTTGTAGGAAACAAGAATGCCCGTCAATTCTTCGACAATCCCGTCAAATACATTGACAAATCTAGATCTTGCTGCTTCCTTGGACATATCCGTGTGGGTGGGTAAGTGAATGCGTGTGTGTGTTAATCAACGATGTCAACAATTGACTGAAAAATTTATGATAAAATTTAAACGACGCGATTTTAATTTTACGAGAGATTTGTAGGCAGATGTAACAACTTCATTCCTATTCTCCCTATATAATTCTATACACATTTTTACCTCCTAGAACGTTTGCTCTTGCCTGGTCTCGAGGACTTTCCTTTCATCTTCTTACTCGAGAAACCACTTATATCCGCGGATGATGAAGCATCGTTCTTTCTTGATCCACTCTTTTTACCGCCTTGTCCGTACTTGGAATTTTTAGCCATTCTCTTACTGTTAACTTTTCTTCTCTTATTGTCACCACCATTGCTGCCCTGGCCTAAATATTCATCTTTGGTTGCCTCTTCCAAAGCAATTTGGAAATCGTCGTCATTACTAATCTCATTGGCTCCTCTCTTCTTTTTCAAGCTCTTGATCTTCTCCAATGTCTCTTTCTTTTGCTTTGCTCTTTGTTGCAAAGTTTCATGCTGCACTTGCTTACCAAATTTCTTCAACTGTCTTTGCTTCTTTGCATCTTCTGAAGCCTTCTTGTCAGCAGCTTCGCTCAACAACTTGGTCTTTAATTTGTCCATGTGCTCGTCATTCTTAACCATTTCAGCAAAGTAGTCAACAGGACGTGAAAACGGTACCTTTAGTTTGAGCAAAGTGGTCCTTGCTTGCTTGACAGCATCCAAACCTTGCTTGTAAAATGCTAATTCTCTCTCTGTATCGTCATATATATCTTTAATTTGAGTTTCAGCATTATCTGCACTAGTTACAGATTGATGCTCGGTGAACAGGTGTTTTTCCCATGGAAGCTGAATACGTGCCAATGATTCTCTTAAGGCTGCCATGTTGTTTATCGTAAGCTTAGTGTGTGGCACAATGTCAGCATCTGAATCATATTCCACATCCGACAAAGGCACATCATCTTGATGTTCAGCTTCTTCATCATCCTCTTGGTCATCTTCATCTTCATCTTCATCTTCATCATCCTCACCCTCCTCTGCGTCATCACTACCATCAATATCACTTTCACTCTCGCTAGCAGCTAATCTCTCCAAATCTAACGCATTGTCTCCTCTTTCTTCTTCTTCTTCTTCTTCTTCTTCTTCTTCTTCTTCTTCTTCTTCTGAGTCTGCCTCCTGTGCCAACTGAGCTTCAATCTTCTTCAATTTTCGAAGATCTTTCTTTGACAATGCGCTACTTTCGTACTCATCCGATTCTCCACCAATCTTTTTCAATATAGGTTTAGGTACAACAGCAGGTGTGATTCTCTCATCCTCAACGTTAGGCTTTGAGGTCTCTGATTTAACCACATTCTGCTTTTTGGATTTGCTCTTTGGATTCACTTCATCTTCTTTTTGGGCTCTGTGGTGCTTGAGCTGTTGCTTTAATGTACTTCTACCCATTGCTGATTAAACTCTAATATGGTGTGTGATAAAGTACAGTGTTTTTGTCTGTGAGATGCCATTAAAAGAAAAATTAATTTATTGGAGCGATGAGAAAGGATATAGACGCTACCGTTTCTGGTTTCTTACACCAAAATAAGTACCAAGCGTACCTCATTGTCAACCAATTGGCCTTTGAGTATGGATTCAGAGAACTGAGCTCTCCGCAGTCAATACGAATCTTCAAAAAAGGACATCCTGTTGTGCAATACAAGTAAAACAATAGAGAAACTGATACTGATTTTTCCAAGTTCTAAACGTAGATTAGACTCTAACTACACCTCCTTGTCTAAATAGAACTCATCCAAACGTTGTAGGTCTCGTATTAACCTTGTATTAAATGTACAAACTTTACCTAAAGAATTTTCATTTTTCCCTCATTTCGAACACCGCCTTACTTCAAACTTAAGCTGAAGCAGTCAATCTTCTTTGTGAAGCTAATCTTCCTCTTTGTCTAGCATTTAATCTGATGGCCTTCTTGTCGGTGGCCTTTTCAACAACATCATCTTCTTCAGTCAAGGTCAATTCAATGTGTGAAGGACTAGATTGGTAAGCGTTTATTCTACCGTGAGCTCTGTATGTTCTTCTTCTTTGTTTTGGGGCTTGGTTGACTTGGATGTGAGAGATGGTCAATTTTTCAGTGTCTAATCCTTTGGCTTCAGCATTGGCTTGAGCATTTCTCAACAAGTCCTTGATGAAGTTGACGGATTTGGCTGGCCATCTAGCTTTGGTAACACCAAATTCTTTACCTTGACCGGTTCTACCAATGGAGTGGTTGAATCTTCTGAATGGAATAGCTCTTTGGTGGTCCAAAACTTGGTCCAAGTATTGTTGAGCTCTGTTCAATTTCCAACCGTTGATGGCTTGTGCAGTTTCTCTGGTGTTCTTGAATGAAACTCTCAAGTAAGATCCACGAGCAGATGCTGATTTAGCTGGGTTGGATGGGGTGGCAGCGTAACGAACCATTGTTGATGTGTCTGATAAGTTGTTTGATTGGAACTACTATCGGTTGAAAATTTTAAACTTAATGGGATTTTTTTTTTCTCTTTCTTCTTACGTTCGCTCCACAGACAGTGTGTGTGTGTGTGTCTCGTGCGTAAATTAACTATGTAGTTGGTAGCTCTAAATTAAATAGTAGTCTATAGGGTTACAGCCCTGGAAAAAGGTGAGCCAATTATGTATAAGCAAATCCCAGGCAGCACATTTGGCTCCTTATTATTTAGGTGGTCAATTTAGCTTGTGTTATATTTAAGAACATACTCATGCCGACCAAAACGAAATCAAGCTAGAACAGGTATTGGTTTGGGTCCGTGTAGATGTACATGGTTTGTTGTTCTTTTCGGGTCTCTATACATTTATTTTCCCTAGTTAGAAAGGGTCTTAGATTACCACTTAAAAAAATGGCTATTCGAACCATAGCCGTGTATATAGTTCTGGGGATCATAGTTTTAAATTTTATGGACCTGTAAAGACTCGAGGATCTTGATTTGATATTTTTGTTATTGTTTTAAGTCTTTGCAGCTACATTTGCAGCGGAAACAGTTGACGCAAATTATGAAACACGTTGTTATTACTAAATGACCATTTGCTAATGTAGTTTGACAGAGTAATCGGTTTAGCAAATGTTAATACATTTTTAGTGTGCAGTTCCATTCAAGAATGGACGACATATGTCAATTGCACCATCGAACCATATATTGGTGTTAATTTCTAGATATATACGCTTAGTTAAGAGCATCTCGAAAAGATTAACAATTGTTAGAAGATCAACACGTATGTTTTGAACAATTGTTCGCCAACTACTTAATTTAGGCCGAATATTTTACACTTTTTGCAACCAAGTAAGGCAAAAAAAAATAATGTACAGCAAAAACTACTTTGGTATGAACGATAACCCTTAATACACAGAATTAACAAAAATTTCATTTTTCTTAATTCGATTTTAGATCAACAATAGCTCCTCAGGGGTCTTATACAGTTTCAACTCCTCTGCTATTGTTCAAAGCCTCTTAGTGGCCATTGGAAGTCAAATCGTGTTATATGTTTGACAAAACTTTGTATTGACAATTAGTCCTCAAACATGACCTCGCTGCCAAATGCTAACTTAAGTATTTTAAACTACTTCTATGCGAACTAGGTTATAGAGGTGGGATGCGTAGTGGTTGGAACATTAGCCTGTTTTGCAACTTTTGGCGGCCGCTATCCAACGGGCGTGTACTGTTGCCCAATTAAAATTAAACAACAACAACAACACAAGAGTAACTCCAAAGAGAACGAAAAACTAAAAACAAACGAAACTATCACTATACTTTAAATACAAAAACGCATAAATCATATAGGATCCTGCAATAGTGATTTTATGAAATTTACCATTCACTTTTGATAACTGCTGATTATTGAATTGATTTTGGAGGTTGATTATACGTATTTTTTCACACACAAAATTTTGTATATGCTTTAAAGGACATATACATTGAAACTATTAATACACAACAGCTAGACTAAGTAGAACATCATCGACATTTTCATTAGCTTGGGCCCACCGTTGTTCAGATTGGATTAACACTACTCATCAACATACGCAGATAATAGAATCCTCACTCAATCAACTGGGTTTATTTACGTAAAATATTAAAACCAGCATTCAAGCAGTTGACAAAATTCGGTTAGTTTGTTTTAACACATCCATCTTGACTTTCGTAAATTAAAATCCTTCCTGAGCTACACAATCATCGACATCCAAACACAATGAGTTCAGTACCAAATGATGAAATAAAACAAGTAGAGCAAATAAACGAAGAGGAGCAAAGTCAGGACTCGAGAGATGTTCCTGCACAAGCAATCACTGATGATGAGGAATATCAGGGAAACGATCACACGGAACCGCAACCTTTAACTGCAGAACGCTTAGACCAGAAGCAGGTGGATGAGATGCAAAATTTTCGCTCAAACAGTACTCAAGACGTGCCGCCCGATTTAGAACTGGAGTCATTGACGCACTTAAACGCGGAGGAAGAGAGCAGTAGAGGCAAACATGAAAACAATTTTGGGAATCGTACAAACAATTCAGCCAATATTGAGCAGGAAGACAAAGGAGATGACAACAATGCAACCGAACACCCAGCCCAAGACAGCAATTCTGAGAATGACAATAGCAAAGAGGAAAAGGAAATACACGAAGACAAACAGGAAGAGACTAGAAATCCCGGAATTACTGAGATAGAGAGGCAGGATAATGAGGATAACTTGAATCATTCAAAAGACCAAGAACTACAAGCGGATGCTATTGTGGATAGGCAACTACCTTCTATACCGGTGGAACAGACCCCTAGAGACGATCCATTCCAAGATAAAGAGCACTTTATAGAAGCGGTATCGAATGAAAGTGGCCACGACAATGCCAATGACGTCGACATTGAGGGACAAGAAGATAAAGTAGCGAAGGAGCTGAACCCAAATGTAAATATGGCAGAACAAGCAGAAACCGCAAGTGAAGGTAACAATACAGGCAACCATGAAAGTGCAGGAGATGCAGAAGAAACTGCTTCTCTGGAAGCCCCAGGTGCAAATGAAGAAGTAGAAAAAAGACCATCGACAAACTTGTCACCAACTGGCGGGAACGAAGAGAACGGGAATCAGCAAGTTGAAAATAACCAGAGCATTCAAGACAATGCAATGGAAGTTGATAATCTAAATGAATTTACCTCGGCAGAGGACAGAAAAGAGTACTACGATGAGGAGATAAATCAAGAGCTAGGAGAAGAAGTAAACTTGAAATACACCCAAACTGACGATCCTGCATTTGATGCCGACTTCAATGCCGACGAAGATATGAACGATAACTTCGATAGCTCTTTCCTAATCGAGGATGACGCTGATGATGCATCAAATGTTGAAGATACCGAAAGGAAAGACGTGCTGAATAGTGAAAACAGCCCTGTAAAACAAGAACCAATGGTTTCACTCGAAGGGAACCAGGGAAGTAAACCTGAAACCACAGATGCGCAAGTACAGCCTCCGCTGAAGGACGACAATTTGCAATTTGTCGGAGCAAGTGAACTGGACAGTAACAATACGCATATTGCACTAGAGCCAATAGTCAAATCTAAGACGACATCGTTGGCGGGTGATGAAGAGGAACCAGAACAAATTGTTGAAGAAGAGCTTGACGACGCGGAGAAGAGTGCACCAAAAGTAAAGCAAACACATTTAATCGTGATTCCGTCTTACGCAAGCTGGTTCAATATGAAAAAGATACACAGGATTGAGAAGGAGTCTTTGCCCGAATTTTTCGACTCTACCCATCCTTCTAAATCGCCAAAACTTTATGCCAATTACAGAAACTTTATGATCAACTCTTATAGGCTAAACCCCAATGAGTTTCTAACTTTGACGTCTTGTCGTCGAAATTTGGTCGGAGATGTGGGGACTTTGATGAGAGTGCATCGGTTTTTAAACAAGTGGGGATTGATAAATTACCAAGTTAAGCCGCAATTTAAGCCAGGGTATGCAATTGAAAAATTACCCAATGGACTGCTGGTCGACCTACCATATACTGGAGATTTCCATGTAAAGTTTGACACGCCAAGAGGTCTTTTTCCATTTGATACATCGAGGATCCCACCTGAAAGGGTTGACGTGGATAAATTAAAGAGTCTTCTTCAGACTGACGCATCATCGCATGCAAGCGTGGAAAAGAATGGTGTCAACAAAAAGCGTTCTTTGAGTGAAGACGATGACATAAAACCCAATGAGCTAGTAGCTAAGAAACAGAATGATGGTTGGAGCCAGGACGAGGTTAGCAAATTGGTGAATGCAGTGAAAACATACAAGAATGATTGGTACCAGATTGCAGCTACTGTTGGAAATAACAAGACCCCACAACAATGTGTTCTCAAACTTTTGAAAATACCACTTGAAGACAAATTCAACCCCATCAAAGATGATGAAGAGAGTGATATCCAACTCTTGAAATTTGCTTCAAGTTACCCTATTAACTCCGTCGAAAATCCTGTGTTGGCAAACTTGGTGTTCATGACCAGATTGGTAGATAGCGAAGTTGCTAAAGCAGCCAGTGAAGCAGCCATTAAGGCCATGGATGCTACAATCCGACAAAAGGTGATTGACGTTTATGGAGATAAAAAAGACCAAGCCGAAGAAGATAAAGGCAACACTGATCCGAGTGGCAGTGATCCTGAACTTCATCAAGATAGATATAAGGGCGAAGCAGTGCACTCAGATCAGAATGGACACAAGCAGCATAATTCTGCCGAGGGTGAAGCAATTGCAACCACATTCGGTATAGTTGGTGCGCGAAGCCACCTCTTTGCCAACTACGAGGAACGGGAGATGCACAAGATTAGTGCCAGCATAATTAATCATGAACTATCGAAAGTTGAAACAAAGTTGGCTAAAATTGAAGAATTGGAAAAGATATATGAACGCGAGAGACAAAATTTGGCAAGGCAACAAGAGGAAAATTTTGTTGATAGATTAGCCTTGACAAAGTCGACCCTCGAGGTGATCAAGAAACTTGAGGATGCTTCTCTGTACTTGGAGATGAAGGAATCTGGAGACAATAATGAGTTTGACAAGGACAAGTTCAAGGAGCTCCTTTCAGATGCAAGAAGCTTGATCTACAAGCCAACAAAGCAGCAGGTAGAAGAAGTAGACACACTGAGCAAAGACAAGCCAGATTTCAAGAAGAACGAGTCTGAAGAATCTGGAGCCGATGACTATAAGCCCTTGTCGTTGACATCTCCACAAAATTTTACTGTTTGGGCACCATAAACAAAAAGCCAAAATATCAATCCACACATTGGAGCTAATTAGCCAACTATGGTTGTGTTTAACTAGAAATTTTCTTCTTATATTGTATCTAAATTGTATTATTTCAGCAGAAGCATGTATTTTTATTTTAATCTCTAAGTTGTCAGGGTTCAAGACGATGCGGCTTTGCTTTCCATTACGCGTTTGTTCGTGTAAACATCGAAAATTATGAATGAGCAAAAGAAAAAGAAGAAGGGAAAGAAAAAAATAGAAAGAATGTCCTCCTGAAAAGAGCTTGACGGCCCACGGTGTATTTTGTTAACAATTACTTCAATCTTGCGACGTCCCTTTTCTATAATAACTACACGCCATTTACTACTCTGCAGAAGTACGTGCTACTAATTGATAACTCTAATTACTAACTTTCAGAATAGATTGATTAAGACACTTTATCCAGCAAATACAGAAAAAGGAATAACAAGAATAACAAACAATATGAATGAGGGGACAAATCCAAATAATGAAACTGGGGAGATTTTAGAGAGCAAGACATTGCAAAATGATCCTATTGTATCCGTAAATTCAGAAACTTCGTCTACAATTAATACAATAGATGTGAACACGATTGGTGGACCTGAGATAGTTGTCTCGGCGAGTGAAGAGGTCGCCAAACCATTAAATGGGGAAGACACGATTGGGCATGAGGACGAAACTATTACTCTGGATCAATTTGGGGCAAGTGTACCAGCAGAAGTGACACCTATTGCGAAACCGGAGGAAACAATGAATGAAGCAGGGGTTGGTATACTGAATGAAGCAACTATTAACGAATCAAATGAAGGCAAGATTCAAGAGATTGGACACGTTATTGATGCGCCTCCGAAGACAAGCCAAACAAGCACAACTGAGGACCACCTTGAGTACGATGATGATGAGGAGGAACAAGAAGATAGACAAAACGAGAATGTGCAACCGCAAACAACTCACGTGGCTGGAACGGAATCCGGTATTATATTGGAACCATCAACTGATGAAAAAGTAACAGACGTGCACAGAGAGAAATTACCAATAGATTTTGTCGCTGAAAATGATGCTAATAATGATGACACGACTAATAAAGTTGAACAAGAGGATGCGAATCAAGAAAGGAACGAGCCAACGAATATCGAAGATGATTTAAAAGTTGACGCAAAAACAGTCGTGCACGAAAATGCCAATAACACCGAAAATGGTACACATAACAGTGACCGTAAACAGGAAAATGATACTGAAGCCATCGAGGAGAAGATAGATGTTGTTATGGCTAATGGCCAAGAAGAAGAAATAGAGTTGGAAGATAAAGCTTCAAACCAAGAAGAGGATAAGCAGTATGCTGCATTAAAGTCCAACCCCAAGGAACACTTTGATGAAGGAATGGATGATATAAACACATTAGTCGAAGAACCAGCAAATTCAGATGATATTGATGCCAAAATTCCGATCTTCTTGAATCACAATAACGCGAAGTTTCTTTTATTTCGTACAGAGAGCGAAGATGCATCTAGCCCTGTATTTGAGGATGAAAAAAGTGAAGACATTACACTTGAAGAATTTTTTGGCATTTTGCGTACAATCCCAGAATTCGACTTTAGTTTGAGTGAAGAAATTATACTATCAATCCCCCAACTTGGCGGAATTACTGTGACCGAAGACAATGTATATTGCAAGGATCTCCAGCTTTCTGATTTTTTGGATGTTTACTACAAGTTGTGTGATTGTACAACCCAAAAAGAAAAGGTACCGACACATTTGGACTTTACATTGACTACTCAACCCCGCTTCATCATGAAGTACAATAGCCTAGTGGATACAGTGAAACAAAAGGGTGGGTTCGATAATATATCGAATGTGGATTATGTCGATAATGAGATTGAAGGATCAAGGAAGAAACGGAAACTATGAATTTACGGAACTTTGAATAGAATCATGCAAACTATATAGCTAACTAAAATATTACACTCCCATCTCCCCAGTTAAAGCGCAAAATTTTATTTTACATACTATTGTTTCACCCGTTAAAGAACCAAATCTCGCTCCTTCAATTTTTGATAAATTTCGGGGTCAATATACTTTTGTAATGTGGGTTCCCCAGTCAAGTCCTTTCTCTTTCTTGTCTTGAGAAGGAAATCTCGGGACAAAGACTGTTCAGGAACTGGTTCCAACGTCGGCAACGGACATGTTATATCGAATGGGTCCCCAGGTACAATTTCCCAATGCAGAAATACCAACGACAATGTCACTTTATTTTGGGCATGCAACTTTACGTCTGACAGCATACCAAAGCTATCAATCACCGGAACAAAACCTTCAACGTGATATAATGGTGTACCTTCAATTGGTTCGTGTCCACTAAAAGTCCCCCTTCTCAGTTTGAGAACCTCTTTAATAATACGTATAGCCTTGTACGGGCATACAGCATCAACTTTGTATACCGGTTCCATGACCCTTGGTTTTGCGGTTAGTAGCCCAGTGTAACAAGCACGGCGTACCAATGGGATGATTTGAGCAGCATTTAAAAAAGATTCTGCATCTTCACCAAAGTTAGCTTCAAGAATCTTGAATTTGACGTTTCTTATAGGTTCATTAAATAAAGGACCTTCATTAACGCACCATTTGAATCCTGACACTATCAAAGGCTTTAATTTGGAAAATTGCTCCTTGTCAGTTTCTCCATCCAATGTGTCGTCAAGCAAAATGTCTGGCCCAATTAAATCATCTGGTCCAAATGACCAAATAGACCTCGCTGCTAAAGTATCCCAGCCAAATCTTTCTTTAAGGATGGCTGACATCTCCCTTTTGCTTAAATTAATATCAATCAACCCTTTTTCGATTTCGTAACTTAATCTTACATCGTTCACTGGCTCGGCAATAACCGAAATGGAAACTTCGCCATCACGAGTAGCCACCGGAATTTGCGTAAACGATTGGGTTATGCACGTTTCAGAGAATATCGTCATTGGGTCACTTACTCGGATTTGCAAATCATTGTTGAAATAAACTCTCAAGTCGTGCAATAAGCAATCCATATAAAACTCACCTGGGGCAACAACGACAGTGTCTCCATTTTCTTCCACATGAATGACTGATGACAAGTATGACTTGGAAATTTTGTTTAGACCGTCAAGAAGCAATGGTCGTTCAGTAGGATTCACAGGCTCAACGGCAACTTTCAACACTGACGTAATAGCATAATTTGGAACTTTGAATACAGGGTCCTTTGTATTGTCATGAGATATAATAGTTGCACCCTTTTGAATACTGGAATCAACACATTCAATCAATACTAAAGTGTTTGATATAGAGTCTACTGGTACATTGTACCTACCACCGGGCAAATAAAGATGATCAACTACCACTTCAGTCTCTTTTAGTTCTTCACCATCATCATCTTCTATGCAAACTTTAATGGTATCTCCTTGGTTAAGTTGTCCCGAATATATATGGGTCAATGCTAGGAACGACGCACCGCTAGGAGATTCGACAAATTTGCTAATTTTACCAAGCAATGGCGCATCTTTTGGAGAAATGTGTGGAGGAGGAATAGAGCTTTCAGTACTGTCGACAAATCCCGTATCATGTTTAAAAACTGCTCGGAAAACCGAATTTAGAAGCACTTTAACATCTTTTTTGTATTCAGCTTTCGGGATCGACACGCCAAAATTTTCCCACAATATTTTGGCCAACTCTTTATAAGGAGGCTTTGTAGTTAGGGCGTAGATAGCAATTTGATAAATTACGTCCAACACAAATGTAACAAAAGTGTGAGAATACTTTCCATCATGTGAGTTGGTTATTATTTCACTGTTTTCGTAGTTGAAAAAGTAGTCACCCCATAGTCTCTCTTCAAACTTTGCTAGCTGCATCTCAGTCAGTTGGCTTTGTGAGTATAGTTTTGCGAAACTGCTCAATGTAAATGAAATTCCAAACACAGACGATGCAAACACCACGTTATTTGATGTCGGACATAGTTTTTGAAATTGAGTATAATCTCCATCGCTATTTTTGATAATGTACTGATTCACATCATCGATTATATTGAAAAGTTTCAAATATGCGTCTTTTGGTGGTAACCGCAACTCCAAAATAAGCCTGTCAATTTTATTCAAAACAAGCACTACGGGCATGTTTCGTTGTATAACTTCTCCTAGTACCAACTTGTCTTTAAATGTTAACCCCACAACTACATCCAAAACTAAAACCGCACCATCACTTAATTCAAGACCAGCCACTACTTCATCGCCAAAATCAGCGTGGCCAGGAGTGTCCAATAAGCTAAACACAAAAGATCGACCTTTTGAGTTTGGAAGCAATAGCGTAATTGGTGAGGATTTTATTGAAGCTTCTCGTTCAATTTCCAACTTGTGGTTATCCAAGTACCTCAATGGTTTGGAATATTTGGAATTGCTGTGCTTACTATCACTATCGGCATGAGTCCTTTGGACAAGATGGTCAATAAACGACGTCTTACCACATTGAAAGTTCCCTACAATGCAAACATTTCGTATCCTTTCGGGAACCTCGCGTATTGTGTTTACCATAAACTCCCTCGAATATGCCAACTTCGGTAAATTTTCTTCATTGATCACCATTTTCATCTTTTTCTCCACCTTCGGTACAATCACGGGCATATTATCTGAAAAGGAGCTGGGATTTATATACACAATCTCGGCATCTTCAGTTGAAACATTGTTCTTAACTAATGCTGTTTCTGAGGACTCGTCTTTTCCATTCTCTATGAGTTGTAATTCGTTCTCTCCTTGTCCGAGCTCATCTTCTCTTTGACTTTCAATGTCAGATTCAGACTCATCTGATCCACCGATATAGTTACCGAACTCATCGTATTTGTCGTCGCTCATGGGTAAGTATGGAGCTTACTTGAATGCTTTGTAAAGGGATTTTTTTTTTTTGTTCCTGTTTTTCGTTTTGGAGCACAAGAACTCATCTGGCGAAGCGATAGACTAGATGAGCCTAGGCATCATTTGATCCAAAAGGACGAATAAGAGAAGATAAGTAGAGAAGATAAGTAGAGAAGCTACCAAGGGGAAACACTACACCATACATTTAGAAAGAAAAGCTTCAACAGTATAATACAATTTTTATTTTTATTATTTCTTTTATCAAACACACTCATCATGACAATGTTTGATATTTTCTCAACTCTGTCAACAAGCTCTGTAATTGCACATCAGAGACTTTATTCTGTAAACTCGGTATCAAACTCTTTGCCTCTTCAGCATCTTCACATTCCAAAGTCCCCAACTGGGCTATTTCAAAAGGATGTAAATACTCGGTGCAATGCTCATTGAAATCATTAAGAAGCTTTTCAACAGTTTCACAGCTCAGTCTATTCTTGAATCTAGCAAAATTGGTCAAATAATTTAATGTCTTGTGTATAACTTCGTTCAGATTGGGTCCTGCTAATTCCATGTTTGAAATCTCATCCTCCTTTGTATTGTTCAAGTCCTCGTCCTCGTCCGAGTCTGAGTTCATTGCATCATCGTTGACAGCCAGAGACAGTTGAGTGGAATGCTTGTTGGGCTTTTTATTCTTCTTTCGTTCTTTCAAAGCCGCTCTAATCAACAACCTGGTCTCTGATAGATTAAGCGCAATCAACTGTTGTTCTTCCCCGGCATTTGTTATTTGAGTTAATTGAAATTCTGGTCCTAATTTTAAAACTGCTGCATTCTCTTCATCGTCAATATTCTGGGTAGCAACTTTCCTCCTTCTTACTCCTAAAGCACTAGTACTGACATTCATTGGAGAAATAAGAGTAGCGTATGTGGTTTATTTGATTATGAGGCTTTTGATCTAGAGCCAGCTGTAGTAATTGCACACTGTTTTGGGTTATTTTTATTTTTCAACGTCTGATGATTTATGATTGATTGAACTTTAAATTAATAAGTCAATACTACTGAAAAAAAAAACAAAGTAATTATACGCTTTGTTATATCCTTTAAATTAATGCTGCACAGAATATACAAGCATATATAAATATTCAATGATTGGAAGGGTGTCGTTGTTGATGCTGGCAAAAAAAAAGGAACTGTTGTGTGGAATCACGCTTCTCAACAATGCCTTTTTCATAGTTGAAGATTTTAATTCATTCCCTTTTTTTTCTTTTTTCTTTGAGATTTTCAATTTCTTCATTAAATTCTGAAATCTTCACACGACCAGAAAGCCACGCCATATAAGGCAAAAAAAATGAACAACTTCATTTGTAAACCCAACACAAACCCTACACCGCAGGCATTTCAATCGATCTCACATCCTGAACAAATGGATGCTTCAAAGCTTCCTGCGGAGTCAATCTTTCCAAAGGATTGAGATTGAGCACTTTAGTCAAAAAGTCAACCAACAACAATCGCTCTTGACATTCCTTCTCAATCATCAGACTTGTCATCTTTTTACTTGGTAGCTTGTAATTCAATATGATGTCCTTCAATAGCCTATGTTTAAAGTAATTCTTGTTTGGTTGCTCTTTTTTGTGCGCGTGACTTGACCCATTCTCCATCTTGGCCACTTCCAAGTCATGCGTATACTCTTCAAACGGCTTAATCTCATATGTAGGTTTCCCATCGGGATCCTTACTTGGCGCCTTTTTGAAAAAGTTTAATGAATTTCTTCCTACTTCGATCATGTGTCTTGGTGGAGGACCCAACATGTCGACAATCTTCCAAATTTGATTGTACTCTGAAGTACCGGGGAACATAGGGAGTCCAAGGAAAAACTCCCCAACTATGCACCCCAAAGACCACATATCAATCGATTCTGTATAAGGTAATCCAAGAATAACCTCCGGTGAACGATAAAATCTCGATTGTATATATGTATAAATAGTTTGTCTTGTAAAGCACGCTGATCCAAAATCAATCACTTTGATATTTGGTTTATCTGGCTGGCATAGCAAAATATTCTCTGGTTTCAAATCGCAATGAATCATTTGAAAGCTCTTCAATTGGGCCATGGCATCTAACAATTGCTTGGTAAGAAGCTTCACCAATTTCATACTCAATCCTTGAAACTGGTTCTGCTTTATCAACTCATAAAGATTTGATGCCAAGAGCTCAAACACCAAGCACAAATGCTCCTTGTGCATAAAAGTGTCCAAGAGCCTGATAAAACTCTTTCCGTCACTGTTGTTGTTTAAAAACTCTAATAAACGCACTTCCGTCAACGACTGATTCAAATATGCTGGTTTAGACTTTATCACCTTAACGGCACAGACACTCTGGTTGGTCAAGTTTTGGCATTTTACAACTTGACCAAATGTACCAGACCCTAGCAAATCAAGAACCATATACTTCCTACCCTCTTCACTTCCTAAAATATCATTGACATAGAGAATGTAATCACTTTCTTCGTTGTCAAATCCATTGTTGTATTTTGGGTCCAGGGGTTTTGTCAAGACTCTTTTCGGGTTGGTTGACTTGGAGTATTGAAACTTTCTTGGTTGGCAGATACTATATGACTCTGTTAGGTATACTGATAACGCGTTAATGGGGGATATATGTATAGAATTAACAGAGCAACGTCTGTATTTTGGTTGTTGGTGAATCTTGGGACAAAGTTCCAATTTGTTGCGAATCTTCCTAGCCTTCGGTGCAGGTTTCCTAAACTTAGACGTCTTTTGAGTCTGAAGTGCTTGCTGGTATTGTTGGTATTGTACTATTGAGCCTGATCTTCTGGCCGGCGAGGCATAATACTGACCACCCTTATTATCGTACGCTGTCATTGGCTGCTGGTAGTAGTGGTTTGGCATGACAGCTACTGACGATCTTCGATTTGCACCTCCAACCCCTTGCATCATAGAGGGCGGTAAGTTTGGATTGATAAATTGGGAGAGTCCTGGTGCTACTCCTTGTACCACAGACGCGTCAGTATTTCCTCCTTGTGATACCAATGCGGTTCTATTTTGCTGATTATATCCATACGGGTTGCTATATGTTCCATCTACTGCTGCTGACATTCGGCGATCATTGGGATTGTTAAGCGATACCTCCGGGTTGGAAAAGTATTGGGTAAAAGGGTTATCAGCACGAGTTGGTGGGTGTATATAAGGCGACGTTTGAGAATTTGTGGCATTGTTTTCATTTTCGTAAGTTGTCAGAAGCTGGTTTGTAAATGACAATCTCTTATTCAAAGGCGGCGGCTGATGTTGCTGTAATAATGGAATTTGGTGAGATTTGGTGGGAGATTGCGATAATGCAGACGATGCAGTGGAAGGAGATGAAATTGCAGGGGACGAATGATTCATGGAAAACCATGGATTACGAAATCCCGGGACCTGATTTGATTTGTATGCCTGTTGTGGGAGATAGATCAGCTCCTGCGCTATCATATCATTGTTAGCGGCTCTTCCATTTTGGTATTGCTGCTGTTGCTGCTGCTGCTGTTGTTGTTGTTGTTGTTGTTGAATTGGCGGTGGTAAATGCCAGTTACCACCTATCGAATTGTGCCTGTAATTGTAATTATTATACGACATTTAAGTTTATGATAGGGACCTGTTGTATGCTATTCCTTAATACTAAACCTGAACACTGTTTCAAGCGAGTGGTTCTATCTTGTTGGTAATTGTAAATTGATTAAAATCTAGTTGCTGTTTAGCTCAATGCAAATTGTAAAATGTTATTTTTGCTCACCTAATAAATTTTATTGTGATCTCTCTGTGTATATAAATTTAAAAATGTCGGCCAAACTGTGTAACAATATATATTTATATGCGTAAAATACGACCGTCAAGGGAGTAAAAACTATACTAATTCCTTCTTTTTATTTATTTGTTTTATTTGGTGCAGATAAAGCAGATATATGCTGTCAGGAGAAATATATGATGGTCTTGGTAGTTGTGAACTTGTAAAGCAAGTTTTGATTATTAAAAGAAGAAAGAATTGAGGAGTTAGTACTGGTGTTGGAGAAGGATAAGAAGAGGGGGTGGATTTTTTAACAAAGGAAAAGGAAAGTGCGAGAGTGTGCAATCACAAAACCAAACAAATTTTTATTGTTGAACATTTTTTGCGGTTTCACATTTTTGGAGACAGAGTCACACCACAACCACCACCACTGTAATCTCTTGAAGCGTTATACGTTTGGCTTTGGTGAAAAACACGTGGAATCAAGTGGGGCGATTATTAGTGGTAATGTCTTTCAGTATTGTTTTTTTCACTGTCTAATATTGAGGATTTAACATATTCCTAGGTGCTCCCAGCATGGTTCACATTGCATTCACAATCAACCGGGGTGCATCTCCAGCATTAGTGGTTTCGTTCTTATGCCACTCACAACATTGTATTCCCCAAACATAGAGTCCAAATTGTCAGTTCTGCGGTAATCTATCACCAACCGTATTGTATTTTTACATAGTATATACAAGTTTCTACTCAATAGCAGCATAAAAATGACTTACTTAAGCAGCAAGTTTAGCAGGCTCTTCTGGATACACAGGAGCCATAGTAGGCTGTGCCTGTAATCTTTGCATCATCATTCCAACACCTTCAAACACACCCAAAAGACAAGCACATGTAATAGCTGAGTTTCTTGTATGTTTCCAACCGCCTCTAATTGCCAAAGCACCACCAGTGAAGAACCCTGCAATGACGGCATTCCATGCATCTTCCCTCTTACGCACAGCTTTAACTGAACAATCAAATGTCGAAAATAAACCACCCCAAACACCGAAGTTACCTCCTACTACTGGTGCTCTGGCCTTGATTGCCGAGAGTGCTCCGTACCCTCTTTCTCCGTGTGGGGAATTTCTGAACCCCTTTATACCGTGCCATACGCAACCACCAATGACACCCATTGCAAACGCACCACCGAAATCATTAAGAATGACTATTGGACATGGATCTCTAGCGTGATCTGCAGACATTTTAGTTTTATGTGAATGTGGTTATATATATCTATTGATAGTATAAAGTGAAAAAAAAACGAAAAGTTTCTTGTGAAAAGGTACGTTGGTCCTGCCGATGATCTTTGTATCTGTCTTTGATGGCTAATCGTGCCGAAATTTTTTTTTTTTTAATTTTTTTTTTCTATTTTCCTTAAACTTACAGGTCGTGGATTGTCTAAGAGGTTGCAAAAAGACAGACAAATTCATCGGGCAGTAAATCAAATAAAAAATCTATAAGAAACCCATCTAAGACAATATATATATATATATGCACATACACACTTCAGTTCGTTGTTAAACCACATCCACGACTCACTTACCTATCTGCTCATGTGACCCATTCTCAGCTTTAAATAAAACTTCATTCTCACTTTCAGTAGAAACATCATTCAGATCCTCATTAGAATCGTATGTTGTCACCGTCTTTGGTAAATTGTTACTAACTCGACCTGCTGAGTTGGAATTTCCTTCTAGAAGATGATATTTCTTTTTCCGATGTACAGGAGCAGGAGGTGTAAAGTCATTTTCAAACTCTTTCAGAACGTCGTCATGAATGATGGCGTCATCATTTTCATCTTCACCCTCCTCATCTTCGTCTCCTACGATAAAGTTGTCCAAGTTTTTCCTTCCGTTGGCTTCTAAATTGTTTAATTCAAAATAATCATTCTCAATTTCAGGTCCAGTAAAAGTCTTCGAGCCCCAGGTAACATAGCCCAACGTAGCAAAGCCCAAAAAGAGCACCAATACAACACTGGCATAATTCATTTTACGCCATGTCAAATTTTTGATTACTGGAGGCACGCAAAGGATAAAGACGGATAAAATAATCCAAAACACTGATATTCCATTGACGAGCCAGCCGAAAATCCTCAACCTGAAAGCTGCTCCTTTTATCTTCTGTCTCTTGTTCAACATGAGCAAGAAAATTGGTATACCATTTGCAACAGCTAAAGACACCACTGCTGCGCCCATAAAAGCATTAAATGCTGACTTTGATATCAATGACAATAGCGACAACACTGCGCACACAATCATTGACAAAAATAATGCATTTCTTGGAATGATATACTCTTCAACCGAGTTGACTTCTGTCCATAAATGTGCCATGGGAAGGCCTCCATCACGAGCTAACGCAAAAGTGCTTCTAGATGCTGTTGTGAGGGAGCCTATACTTTGGAAAATTACGGTTCCAATCATTAAACACGCCATAAGGAAACTTATAATGTATGATTCAGTCGAAAGTTTAAAGATGATTTCAATGGGCATAATGTTGGTGTCCCCATCCAATAAAAGTTCTAGCTCGGGTAATATTGTCAATATGGGAATGATGAAAATGATTCCGGTTAGAGAAGCCATCAATATGGCACTAATCACACCCTTGGGCATGTTTCTTTCTGGATTCTTCACCTCATCAGTAATTGAAAATAGCATTCCGTACCCAGTCAAGGTAAACGACGAGCTCTGTAGCCCCACAATGAATGCGAGTGGGTCTGGCCACCCTGAACGTGAATTATCAAACGTTGTCAATATTTGTTTTATCGAATGTGTCCTCTTGGCGTAAAAAATAAGTAGTATATCGATTGCCAAAACGGTATAGATTGTCCATAATATGCAAGCCTTGTTGATCTTTTCCAAATGCTTGGAGAACTTGAAATTTATAAATCCAACAAATGCCAAGATTATGAAAAACACCCCTAGAACCAAAAACTTGTCCTCTTTGTATACAAAGTCCTTTAAACCAAATATCGACAAAATAAACTGAGAGCCTGAAAACATTATACTGATAGCATAAGTCCAGTTTCCTATAAGTAGCAACCACCCTGTAATCCACGAACTGATAAGTGAATACCTTTCATTACTTAAAAGCGCACTGAAATGATAAACTCCTCCTGCAGTGGGATACTTTGATATAATCTCACTCAAACTTAGAACTACAAATAGTGACATTAGACAGACAACAATCCATCCATACAAGACTGTCACATTTGCTCCATCCATTAATGAAATCCATAGCGTCGAAGAAAGTCCAAACGGAACTCCCATGACTGAAAATCCCAACCCAATAACCGACGTGACTGTCAATTTTCGTTCAAGATCTTGTTTGTACTTGAAATGCTCAATTTGTTCCATTTCATTGTCTCCTAAAAGCTCCGAGTCCATCAAAGACTCTATGAACCTTACTGGTGCCGAAGTTTGGATGTCATGGAAGATGTGGGATGCGTATGATGGTGGTGGTGGTGTCCCATCGGACGATGTGGGAGATGTTGTTGTCTGAGAAAGACTACCCTCTGTCAGTTCATTATTTGCCAGCACATCTGGTACCGTTGATGCAGGTAGCATCCCCGTCATACTTCGTCAGGTGTTATACCAACGTGACAGTGGTTACTATATTTATGGATTCTAATCTTTTGGTCATCTTCTCAACAAACGTGCGTGCGGCTCTGAAAAGTTTCCGTCCAACGCTCGGTTAAAACAAACACAGCCTAATCTATAAATAGGAAAAGAACCCTACACCGAACATGTCGGTTGCCACTAAATGTTTGCATTGATAAAAGCGGGTTGAGTGGAACCTATGTAACTACACTTCATTGATGAATACCATTTAAAAATCAAAATCACTGTCGTCTTCCTTGGTTTCGACTGTCTCTTTCGATCTCACCAAAACAGGCAAACTTATACTATCCTCCCCTCGGACATTCACATTCACCAAATTTTCCAAATTTATTGCAGCCCCTATGACAGCCCTATTCTCCTCGTCAGTTAGATACTTTACAATGTCATTTATATTATCTACCAAATGGGCAATTTCCCAATTTGCATAACCAATTTTGAGCGAGATCACGTCGCCGACGTTTGTTGTCGGCACAAACGACGCATTCCCCACAATTGACTTTATTTGTTTGTAAACGTACTCAACATCACACCTGTCGTCCTTGAGTTTGTTTTGTTGTGTCCTTCTTAGTTTTACCGATGGATCAGGCTTTGCCATTTGTAGCATAAACGGCACCTTCTTCTTCCTTATGTAAAATGTCGAGCCCAACACATCTGGAAGAAACTTGTGAACCCTATTGTCAGCTACTATTATGTCGTTCTCCTTGTATAATTTTACTAATGACTTTTGCGACTTCGATTTCAGTTTGAGTTTTTTAAAGGAAATAATCTCATTAAAAGCGTCTTCGGTTGGTGTTCCTTTCGCCGTCAAAATCTCTCTATAATAATTCGCTGGATCTTTTGAAATAAATAATATTGCCTTGTTGGAAATCTTATCAAGCTTATGTGTAAGTGGAATCACTCGTGGCCTGAAATCCTTGGATTTGGCCAATTTTATATTAACATTAATTGTGAGATAAACTGAAGCTGTAGAATTACTGTCAGACTTTTGATGGCTTATTAGCGCCTTAAGCGACGTACAAGCTTGATTATATGCGTCAGGACCTAATGCAAATGTGGCACTCATGGCTTTGTACGGTATACAATCTTTAGTTGAGATGAACCATCTTACATTGAAAAAAATAAATAAAAAAATAAAATAAAATGAAAAATTAAAAGCTGTCTCACTTTTGCAATCGATATATATTACATAATGCATTCTACTCACCTAATCTCCCCGCAAAGCTCTAATAACCGCTGGTCTCCGCATCATATACTTTGTCCACTTGTAAACCTCTGGAAACTCGACCTTAAGATTTATGCCTATTCTATCAACTACATTATTCCAAGGCACAAATGACAAATCGGCAACTGTAGCTCGATCTCCCACTAACCAAACAGGATAGTCAAAATATCTCGATTGTGACAAAGGTGTCGTACCTGCACTGTATGCAGCTGCATTTTCCACGTCTAAATCCATTATTAGAGCCTCGCGTCTCTCCGCCAATGCCATTTCCACGACACCATAAACTCGCCTTACTTCATCAGTGTATCTCTCCACAGCACTAGGAACAGGGCTCGAATGGAAGTACCTGAAATGCAAAGCTTGTCCAATCATTGGCGCATGCCCGCTTGTTTGAAAGAAGAGCCATGAATTTATCTGGCTCTGCTCAACTAGGTTATCACTCCATAAGCTGCACTCGTTATTCTCCTTCATGTATTTAGAAACAAGATATAATATAATCGCACCAGACTCCCAAATTGACACGTTTTCGTTATAATGGTCAATCAATGCAGGAACCCTTGCGTTGGGATTTATCGTGACAAATTCAGGAGCACGTTGTTCGCCACTGTTGAAGTCTAGGAAAATAGTATTAAATGGCAAGTTCAATTCCGACAAAATTATAGCCACTTTGAATCCGTTAGGTGCAGACCTATGCGAAAACAAAGTGTATCCTTCATGTGGCTGATTCTGAAAGAACTGTGTTATTCTTGTCTGCTGCTGTTGTTGTTGTTCTTGTGATGATGAACTATCTTGCATCTGCTGTAATAAATTGCGGTTCAATTCATTCTGTTGCTGGTCTGTAAGCGATACCGACTTAAGTCCAGCTGATAGGTTTGAAACAGTGTGGGTATTTTGATTACTTCCGTTATTATTATTCATTTTGTCTATGAAATGGTGGTTGTGGGGTGGTGAGGCTCAGTACAATAGCCACGGGAATAATGATGCTAAATAATAGTACTCTAAATCCCTCAAGCTTGAGTTATTAATAAAAATGATGGTATCTTCACTGTCCTGTGGGTGTAAGCACTTGTCGCTGAAATTGTTGATGTTGTATACAAACTATTCTACCAAAAGCCAACGCTTTCATCCAAAAAAATTTCGAACAACTTTTTTTTTTTCGTTTGTTCCTCTCACACTTTACAAGTGTCCCACTTTTAGTGCAAAGAGGAGGAGGAGGGGGAGGGAAGGAAGTATACATATTCAGAATTAGAGGAAAGTGTGGTATTTCATATCAATAGACGAGTATGGCTTGCCGCAGCATCTTCAAGGTTGTAGATGCTTAGCCAGCTTTGTTTTGAAGTAGTGGCAAAGTGCAAAATTAGCCCATGCTTTTGATGTATTGGTCTCTCCTCGTTTTGCGCTTCGAATTGTGCTTTGATGACAAATTTGTTACGCAGAACTACTAAGTCAGTAAATAGAGCGGAACTGTGGCGATCTCTCATTTCCTAGCATAACATCAAATTGAAGTCATTGTAAAACTGTTGTCACTAAAAGTGAATATATAGTTCACACAGTAAAGCACGTATTACCTTTATTAGTAAATTCAAAGCGCTTTGTTTTTTCTCTTATTGTTCCACCTTATTAAAATTGGCCAATACAAAAGATAACACATCAGAATTCCCAGCTTCAATTGGAACATCGTCTACACCATCACTTATGAGCATTCAAGAGCCACATATTGCTGTGCTCGTTCTAGATACACCAATTCCAGGCGTCACCGCGAAATACGGTGACTTTGGTGACAATGCAATTGATTTAATAAAAAACACTGGCACGGCATCATCCACATTTGTTAAATACCAATTGAATGCCGAAAACCCGGAACAGCTTGACAAAGTTTACGAGGAGCTACTTTCAGCAGTTCATCGTCACTTGATTGAAGGATATGTCCTAACTGGGTCACGTAGTGATGCGTTTAGTTCCCTTCCATGGTTAGTGAGGTTGAAAACGTTCTTGAAAAACACAATCCTAAAGCTCGACAAGCCTGTGGTTGGGTTGTGTTTTGGTCATCAGGTTATAGCATCAGTATTAGGTTGCAAGATTGATCGAAGCAATGAAGGGTGGGAAGTTGGCACAACTACGATTTCCATCAACGACGCCATATACAAATTGGAAAACTCGCCATTTACTGAACTCAATCAGAAGGAGAACATAGATGAATCTGGCCAAGATTTTGATGCTGCTGTGTTGTTTGACCGTTTGAATTTGATTGAATCGCATAGGGATGTTGTATATGGCGGACTTCCTGCGGATTTTATCAATTTTGGGTCCACCAGTAAATGCTCGATTCAGGGAATGGTGAGTGTCGATAATGGTGACGGCAACAAGCGAAACTGCAAAATCATTACATTCCAAGGCCATCCCGAGTTTACAACAGATTTAGCTTTAGATTTGTTAAAGTATAAATTTGATGCAGGCTTGTTGAGTGAAAATGAATACGAAAAAGCAAAGTACCACACTCTGACCTTAAACAATCAAGGGGACTTGATAGGAAAAGTTATCAACAAGTTCCTTTTTGAAGGGAGCGATTGAGAAGAAGAGAGACCTTAATGGGAGAAGCGTAGTCCCAGAACACAACTTAGCACAGGTTGCGAAAGTTACAAACCTTTACAATAGACATATAAAGTACTACCGCGGTTTAGAACTACTATATTGACTTAACCCTTTTTCTAAACTAATAAATTATCGAACAAAATGTCAAGCTCTGTATGATCTATACACTTTAACGGTCCTCTAAAAACCTCTCATTAGGAGAAACAATTGTAAAGCCATTAAGTTTACTCCGTGAGCCGAATCTATTAAATCCAAAGGATTGTTCGTGGGATGAGTTTCCGTTCCCTTCCCTATTGGTTAATTTATCATTCATGCCTTTTAAGTTCTGGCATTTCATTTCCAATGCTTTGATCTTGTCGTTGAGGAATTTCGAATCTTGGCTATTTTGAGAGGAGAGTTTTCCTATAACCTCTCTCAATTCATCTCTTTGACCCTCTAGTATTTTGATTTCTTCCTTTTGGGAGTAATTTTGGTTTATCAAGTCTTCGTTTTCTGCTTGGAGAATCTGTATCTTTTCGATCAAATTGCTATCCATTGCATTAATATCCACTTGCTCTTGTGACTCCAACTCTGAGATTCGATTTTGAAGTTGGTTAACGAGATCATTCTTTGCTACTAGTTGATTGTATATCTCCGTTTTCTCATATTCCAATTTCAATGCACTTGGTGATTGACCCTGTTCCAGAAGCAATGCGTGTTCTTCACTTATAAATCTAAGCCTCTTTTCCTTATTTAACTTTTCTTGCAAGTCCACAATGGCTCGAGATTTTTCAATGACGACCGACTCTAAATTCTCTGGCTCTCCATTAGGAGAACGTGAGTAGACCGTTTGATTCTTGAGACGGGTCTCTAAAGATAGTTCCCGCTTAATTGACGAGGCTAACTCCCTTGTGATTGACTCCAATTCATTGAGCAATTCCGTGTTACAATTCATAATATGCATTTCGTCTTTGGTAAAGGGCAACGGTTTTGCATAGGTTGATCTCTCGTTTAAAGACGAAGTAATTGTGTTGGAAGATAAAGTTCTTTGATGGGACGTAACATTCGGCTCTCTATCAGGTTCAACGACGCTCGATCGTTTTGATCTTGACAAGCGCTTCAAAAAGTTTCTTCCAGAAAATGAAGACCTTTTTTCTTTTTTACTCAGCTGACTAGAATGTGAAGCTGAAGAAAATGAGCGCGGAATTGAGTTCAGTGATCCTCCAGCTTGGTTGAACGGTGGCTTCTCTGTGTCATCAGTAAATGTCCTGCTCTTTATAGGAACCTCTGGTACATTATCACGCACAGGACTATATCTTCCTTTGTTTTCGCTCTCCGACACGTCCTGGATTGGTTCTGTGATATTGGAGTAATTATCAAATTTGCCATCGTATGCACCATCTGCCGAATGCGAGGCATGAGACGCTGGTGCAGTTGACGGAGTGATTTCACCATTATCATTTTGACGAGCTTTACCAAACTCGCTCTCGCTATCGAAATTATTAGCTACAGGCGACTCGCTCGCTTCGTAAAAAGAACTAGGTGACTGCGTCCTTGCTTCGAATAACTGCGGGTTGGAAAACTGGGGTGTACCACTTGATGCTGACCTGAAGTTGTTAAAAGCAGTATTGGCGACAATGCTGTGGAGTGATTGTGATTCCAGAGGTTTCCTGATATCCAGAATAATGGATCGAGAATCTGAACCTAGTGGTGCGTTGATATTCCTTGATTCGACCTCTTTTTCCGGAGGCGCGACTGAAGGTACTTCCTTATTTCCTGTAGTTGCCAATGATTCTTTAGAAGCAACAGGTTCCAATTGCTGGTGTGATGAGTTGGGCTGCACATCTTTCCCTTCCTGGTAGTCATTGGGCTCGCCATCGTTAAATAGGTTCAATTTACGAACCCTCATGGAATTGTGCTTTTTCAAAGTAGACTTCCGTGACAACTGTATGCCTTTACTGTCCTCTTCGCCAAACTTGTAGATAACATCTTCATCTGTATCTTCATTTTGAACAGGGTTCTGATTATCTTCTTCTTCTTCAATGACTTCACCTAAAGCCTCTGTCGAGTTCTGTTTAATAGAACCCTGGACGCTCGGGTCTTGTACAATCTGTTCTTGTTGATTAGGTTGAAGTTGTTCATTGCGGCTTAGGTTTGGAGGATTATTTGGGTGGTTTTGAAATTGGGAGGGTTGCTGTAACTGTTGGGAATATGGCTGGTTTCCTGCGCGTGTTTGGGGCAAGTACTGCGTTGTGTGCTCTGTATATGTTCTTGGTTGTGGTCCATTTGGTGCATAGTTTGACTCTGGGTTGTTAGTTGTAGCTGCACCTGCGTACCCAGGACCTGGTTGGTACTGACCGTTGCTTCTCAAATCTTGCTCTTGATAAAACTGCAGTTGCAGGTTTATCGGCATTTGATTTCTAAAAGGAGGACCCTGTGATATTTGTGGTTGCGGGTTTGACATAACCAAGTTCTTGCTTCTGAGAGGGGGGCCCTGGTAACCCTGAGGTCCCTGAGGGCCCTGACCCCCTTGTGGACCCATAAATGGTCTCGATCCTCCTAATGATTTCGTCCTGGGGTAGTTCTGGCCGTAGCCAGGCATTCCTCCGCCCATTAAAGACATTGAGCGAGCACCCTGATCAAATGGTTGTCCTTGCTGAGGTGGATATTGTTGCTGCGGTCTCATTGAAAATTGTTGCTGTTGTGACCTCATTAGATTTCCTCGTTGTGATGTCATTGACATAGACCGAGGGTCAGAACCCATTTGTTGTTGAGAGAACTGGTACCTCTGATCAGACATCATAGAATAGCTCCCAGCCATCGTGTTTGTTCTCATTCCATCATGCATCGGGTTCATTCCCGCGGCCATAGAGTTGGCTCGGGGACCCTCTTGCATCGGGTTTCCACCCGCGGCCAACGAATTTGCTCTGGCACCGTTGAGAAGGGCCATCTTCTTTTGTTGGTTCATTTGCTTCCTATACTGTACATTACTGAGCTTGCCATTAATGTTCACTGGAGCTACTCTTCCAAAAGTTCCTAAAGTGGGAATGATGGGTGCAGTGTCCAAATTGCTATTTGAATTATATATTCCTTCATTTCTAATGTGTTTTATGTCGTCAAACGATAGATTAGCGCTTCCCGTTAAATCGCCAATATCGGCTCCAGCATCATCATTAAACTCCTCGACCTTGTTTATGTTACGCAAGAAAGACATGGCGTACAGAACAGAACGAGCTTTGGCGTTAAAGTGGCTATACTTTTGGCTTATTTCTGAAATACCGGAATATAACAAACACACACACACAAAAAAAAACATTAAAAAAAAACTAAAAATAAAAATAAAAATAGTTTTGGTGAGTACAATTAGAGAGTATATGCAGGACATAGACATTATGTCGGCCTAAACTTCGAGATAAATTTCGGAGATAAACTTGAGGAAGGGGGGTTGTCTGATCAAGTATACAACCTAGCCCTGTAGAAAGTGTTACAAGAAGTTTTAGCATGTTATATATAATAAATAATTGGCACGGTATCATATCTAATCACCTATTGACTACGTTTCTTCAATTTTAGCCACAATTGGGTATCTCATTTTGAAAAAGACTATCCAATCATCGATAAAGCCCAATTGCTTCTCAGTCAAATCTGACAAATCCCAGGAGTCAGGCACTCGTCCGTTTTCTTCTTTCAACTGCAACTTGTTCAAACCTAAAAGCCGTCCGACATCTTTTCCCACAAGCTTGTTATACGCCTTTCCTGGTCCATAGCTTTTGCTGTTTGCTGTAACGTCGTACACGTAGCCTTTAATAGCTACATATAGTTTGGTATCATCGGTTCCGTTAAATTTCAGAAGCTGTTCTCTTGATAAACAAGGTAGTGAATCGACGTTTATCCTCTCATTCATGCGGAAAGTCTCAGTGGGCTCCTTGTTTTTATTGCCAAACATAATGTCTCTCTTTCTTGGGCGTATTCTTCCGTGGTGTGGTTATCGTTCTTCTTAAATGTTGATACCGATATTTTACTGTAGCAGGGGTCAGTTTCTGTGACATTCGATCAAATAAAAAGAGGGGCCATATAATTAATGGTAGCGCCGACCTTTGAAATATAAGAGTTGAATAGTAAAAGGGTGGAAGCCAGGTTGAACTAACCGGTATTCAAATTCACTAGGGGGTAGCAACCAATTCTTGACCTCGTTAGTAAATGAATGGCACAAATTGCTCCTACTGAATTTGTGGTAATTAAAACGAGCTTCAACTCATCTTATAGTGCTGCCTTCAATTGAGCGGACATCTCCTCTAATGAGAGATCTACATACGTTGAAATAAGATGTCGAAGTTTATTAATGGTATACCTAGGTACATGTTGTACTTCCAAATATCTTTCAAAAGTATTGGACTATTTTGCCGACCTCAAGCGGTTGCCACAACTAATAAAAGAAAGAAAAAAAGAGCACGAAGTGTAGAGAAAGATGAAAAAAATAAAACCAGCCAAGATACATATATCTTTACTAATTTAGTCAGATACTATGATATGGTAAGTAGTTGATTCTACTGGTATCCAAAGTGCACCTTTTACTAACAAAGTACTAGACTGATGACTCGCTGAAATATCCACCTGATATACAGAAATTATTCCAGCCGAAACCGCCTCTTGTATACATCCCACCAACAGATTACCCTCCCGAGGAGCGATCAACCTTATCAATTACACCAATATCCAACTACAAAAATTTCATAAAGAACTATGTGGAAAATGATCTACCTAAACGGGAAGCACGCATCTCCAAACCTGAACTATCGACCCACAAGAAGAAGTTACTAGATGCCCAGAATAAAAGGCAGCAGCTGAAAGACTCATTCAACCGGCAATTGCAAGATTGGAATGATCCCGAATTGCTTGCTAGAAATGAAAAAGAAGTCATGAAAGATCCATACAAGACTGTCTTCATTGCTCGGTTGGACTACAGTTTAACAGAAGTTGACATATCTCAAAGTTTTCGCAAATTTGGTGTCATAAACTCAATCCTGATAATTAGAGACCACGAGGGGAAAAGTAGAGGATATGGCTTCATTGTTTATGAGCAAGAGACAGATGCGCATGCATGTGTTTCCGAGCTATCAAGGACTGGTATTAAATTGAAGGATAGGAACATCTTGGTCGATATTGAAAGAAGTCGAGTGTGGCGAAATTGGAAGCCAAGACGTCTAGGTGGTGGATTAGGCGGAAGAGGTTATTTGAAAGAAGGAAGGGCGGCATCTGCAGCTGCAAGTGGCAGACGTATGCATATAGCCAACAATCCAACGACACATTACCAACCAAACAATGTTCACAGACAAGCTACATCTCAGTATAAAGTTCCCACTCATACCAATTCAACTCAAATCCAGTCGTCATCTAAGTACCAACCTATCAGTCAGCCAAGACCATATAACTATTCGTCGAGTCAACCATCGTCTGGTAGGTCCATCCGAAGCATTAGAGGAGGAGAATAAGGTGGTGACAACTTTCAGACGCACAAAATGTTAAATATGTGTCTTATTTAAGTAAACTCTCAATTTAGTAAATATATATTATTAGGGTAGACTCTGACAGGCTTATACTTGTAATGAATTTAACTACCCTTTGGATTCATTTTGTAGACGTAAACACATGGCTTGAATATCGCGCTCTAGGTTTTAAATCTAATGCGAACATCCAGAGCCAGTTTCAATTTTTCTTTTCTCCAAAAACACAGCGTCCTCTAAGCAATAAAAGACGACAACATGCCAGGCGAAAGTCCAGCAAAGAGAAAGATTGAAATGGATGAATCATCGAGCCTAAAACGAACGAAACTGATTGGGCATGATGATCTCAAGACAACGATTATCACCGAAGTCAAACAGATCTTTGAAGATCGCATTGCGCGATTGGAATCAAGAGTCAAGTTTTTAGAAGACGAATTGGATTTGAAAGAGGAAGTGTCTGACACAGATTATCAGAAGAAAATTGATAACAGGGTAGAGGAACCTACCGAAGATGGTCTGGCATCCATACAAAAGAATTCGCCACCTCCACTACCTCCCAGAGTTGCGTTTGGAACCAAGCCATTTCAATTCAACTCCAAAAATGGTAACGACGTGACTAGTAATGCCAAAGTTGAAGCCAAACCTATCCAATCAAGTCCAAAGCCCGTTTTTGGAGCTACTACATCTTTTGGAAATATGAATAAAACGCAGGACCAAAGCCATCAGAAGACGGAAAAGGCAGCAACGCCTACGCCCACTTTTGGCACTTTCGGATCCAAATCACGTTTTGGAAATGCGTTTCAAGAATCATTAAAACAAAAGTCATTTTTGGACACGTCGGATAAGTCTGCTGATAACAATGGAGCTAGACCTGAAAGCAAAGACGAAGTGCAAACAACTACCGCAACTCAGCAGTTTAAACAAGTTGATTTGAACCCTGTAGAGCAAGCTACTGGTGAAGAAGCCGAGAAGTCGATATTCATATGCGCAGCAAAGTTATTTGAGCTAAAATTGGCCAATATTGATGAAGGATGGAAAGAAAGAGGTTCGGGGACCTTACATTTGAACCAATCCGTTCACGACCAGAACCAAGTGAGGATAGTTATGAGATCTAACGGATTGTTGAAAGTGATTTTGAACTACAAGATCCAAAAAACAACCGAACTATTGGAAGGGTTAGAAGCAAGCTTGACATCTGAAAAATATCTTCGATTCAACTCTGTTTCGGACGGGAAACCAGTACAGTACTTGTTGAAATTTGCCAGTCAACAAATAAGGGATGATTTGATCAAAAATATCAATGAGTTAAAGTCAAAGATGTAGTCTATTTAATAAATGCTATACTTACAACAGTCGAACCTTGTACACCACCAAATTGAAAACTTGGATATTGAATCTGATCCCATTCTGTTAGTTCGGTTTCTGACGTGATGACCTTGATAAGCTCGTTCTCTGTAAAATTGCAAGAGGTAATCAAAAGAATTGAGCCCTTTTGCATCATTTTCGAGACCTGTTTAGCGTATATATCCATTCCTCTCTTTCCATTTATGAGGTCTTGATTCAACGCAATTGCATCGAGTGTTCCTTTATCCAATAACACGTCGAATTTATTTTCAAGAAACGGCGTATCAGTCAATAAATCAATTTGATCGAATTTGAATGAAAAGCCAGGGAACTTTTTATTGGCGATATCCTTAGCAAATGCAACTGACTCTGCCGAATAATCAATGCCGTGAAATGTAAAGTTTATGTCGTCAACCTCTTTCAACTCTTGCAGTAATTCAAAAAGTAGGTGTCCATTTCCAGTACCCAAATCGAGAAACAGAATGTCTTTCGCAAATTCTCCTTCCTCTAGCTTGTCCGCTATGAATTGTATCATTTTAGATTCTGCATCGGAGTCATCGAACCAGCATTCACCTGTATCATCGCTGTTGCTTTGAAAATTTTGCAACTCCCTTTCGTAAAACTCGTTCCAGCTATAAGGTTAGTAATGGTGCTTAAATTTATGGGATACATCTCCAACATACTACTCCTGAGTGCCTAACTTTGATGAGTTTAATTTAATTTCTTCAGCCATTGCTTGCAATGGGGAAAATGCTGTAAACATTCTTTGCGCGTCTGTTTTGAAAATTAAACTAATATCAGTCAACAACTAAAGTTTCCTGCAGTTCGACAATGGAAGAGAAGGTAGAGAAAGCAGAGGTATTGGAAGAAGAGCCTAAATCATCGTTGATCGGTGAGGATGCGGAGAACAATTATCGTGTATGGAAGAAGAATGCTCCATACCTTTACGATTATTTATCAACCAATTCACTACTATGGCCATCTTTGACTGTGCAATTTTTCCCGGACATAACATACCCTGAAAGTGAAATCGGAAGTGACTATATTCTTCAAAGATTACTTCACGGAACTTTTACATTGGGACAGTCTGCGGTTGACTCAATTTCGATTTTGCAGGTTTCCACCTATATAGATCTCAACAAACATATTCAAATAGACAAGTTGGACTACAACCCAGACAAAGAAGAATTTGAGATAAATGCACCATCCCTTCCCAAACAAAAGGTTCTCCAGAAGATAAATCAATATGGTGACGTGAATAAATTGAGCTATATGCCTCAAAACCCCAACGTGATTGCCAGTGCCAATAACTTTGGTGACATTTTAATTTTTGAGCGTACCAAACACAAGAGTTTTCAAAAGCTGATTATAGACGACATGGAGGCGAATAAACCTCAGCTACAATTAAATGCAAAGGCGGAAGTTTTTGCTATGGATTGGAATAAGAATCGAGAAGGCTACTTGGTTGCAGGTAACTCCAAAGGATGCGTAAGTTTATATGATTTGAAGGAGTATTCAAAAGCACAAGATTTGGACGACACCAAGTCATGGCAGAGCAGAGGTGATGTCAATGACATTGAGTGGTTTCCGACCCACGATTCTTTATTCGGGTCTGTTGATGAAGCAGGGGACTTAAGAGTGCAAGATATAAGAGGAGAAGTAATAAGCAAGCAATTATCCACTGCAGCTAATTCAATAGCAGTAAACCCAAACTTTTCAACAGTTTTAGCCACAGGAGACTCCGTTGGCTCAATCAAGGTTTGGGATTTGCGTAACTTCGATGAGCCTGTTCAGAGTTTCACGCCTCACTCAAAGTCAATTACACAACTAAAGTGGCACCCAAAATTTGCTCAAATAATTGCCTCTTCCTCAACGGACTGTCTGGTCAAACTCCACAACTTGTCTAATAAGGAAGAGCCCACAATCTTTCAACATCTTGGGCATATGCTAGGTGTCAATGATTTTGACTGGTCTTGCGCTGACGACTGGATGATTGCAAGTGTTGCTGATGACAATTCTCTACACGTTTGGAAGCCATCGCAACAAATTCAAAGCGCTATCTAATTCATTTTTATGTATAATAAAACCTATTTAGATTTGTTAAACAATTTCTCAACCTCAGCAATAGCCTCTTGCAATACCTTGTCTTGGAATTTTGGATTTTCAATTTCCTTGTTAACTTTTTCAATAACAGAGTTGGCCAATTGCTCTTGTTCAATTTGTCTTTGTTGTTGTTCAAATCTGACCCATGAGTCCAAAACGTTTCTTGCCTCTGATGCAACCTCTAATTTTTGCTTCAATTCGAATGCCTTAGCTTCGTATTGAGCAGTTTCTTTAGACAAGTTAAACAAATCTTTGGTTTGGGAAACAACATCTTTCAATTCTCCAACAGATTGGATTCTGTCTTCGACGGCTTGGATATGCTTGTTTCTGGCTCCGTTCAACAAATCGTTTACTTTCTTGACTTCTCCGTCGGCCCATTCGGTGTACAATGGGGCGATGAATTTAACAACCAAGGCTGAAAAGATTGTGAATGTCAAAACCAAGATAGATTCATCGTGTATAATAATCAAACCATTGGACAATCCGTAAACAGCTGCTGCTGCAGAGGTGGCCAAAATACCAGTTTTTGACAACAAATTTGTACCTGGAATGGCGTCAACAATGGATTGGGCCTTTTGTTTTGGATCAACTGGGGTGGAAAGGTATCTCAAACCAATTCTGAAAGTAGTTAGTATCAATACTGTAGAAATCAATAAAAAGGTCACTAGGCAAACGACACATACGGTGCTTGGCGAAAAGCCATTCCCATTGAAGGGCGGACAGATCTCAATGCAATTCTGTTGATCATCGACATTTGAATATTTATCTCTGGTAACTGAAAACTTTTTGCTGTCGTTGACTGTTTTTTTTCAAAGCTTTCAATTTTCTCATTTTGGCCAAGTGAATCCGAGACGAAAAAAGTATTTGATTGGAAGATGGTAGACTTCCTAATGAGGAAGGTTATTGTAAGAGAGTGAGAGAAAAACTTATTACACCTTTTACTTAAGTTTGTTATCATCCATTCGTCAAGCTCTATTCAATACACGTCTATGTAAGTTTCTCCTGAATTATTCTATTGAGGGCCCTATTTGTCCTTAAATTTGCCTTGTGGTAATAATGGGCTAAATCTTCCTTCATCGCGCTAGTAGTCGACCTCGTCCGTTGTTCCAGTAGTACAGTAGGTAAGGGCTCTGGAACAGTAGTGTCCTCAGATTCTGTCGGTAGTTCATAGTCTTCTTCTTTGTCTGTCTCTGGTACTGCTTTTGGTTCTAGCTCTGATTCTAGCTCTGGTGCTATTGGATCATTGGTTTTTACTGAATCACCAACTTCATTGGAACTGATATCTTTCGGCTCAGCCTTGCTGGCTCTATTCTTTCTTAAAGAAGCTAATCTTGACTTTCGATCCACTTCTGGCATGACCTTAGCTATTTAATATGGATGGGAGAGGATGATTGGTTGATGCTATTATGGCTGTTGACAATATAGCAGCCAAAATTCCTTTTATCTCGGAACCTCTAGAGAAAAAACCAAATTCGAATTGCAGCACACACACTTTGCAATAACTACATTATACAGATGTCATTCTTGAACAATCTAAATGCATTTCTTGAATCAGAGGACGGTGATGAAGGTAAATAAAGCCAAAATAGATATGATAGCAAAGTGTCTATACTAATCAACACAAGTTTTGGTGAATGAACCCAAGGCCAGGTATTACACTAGAATTGTTCCATCGTCACCCCCTCGAGGCGAAGAGAGTGCATCCTTAGTCCCAAAAGATTGGAGTCTGTTTAGGTATAATGGGGACCTTGGTGTTATTGCAGTGCCTGTACCGTCATCATCACTTAATCGAAGCTATGACTTGTCCAACTGCAATCAGGACTACTCTCATGTTAACGATTCTCGCTTAAGCTCAACATTCTCATCCGTGATTCCTAGGTTACGGGTTGATGTCTTGCCACGGGAGCAGAGATGCGTATTTCCATTTCACGAATTTAATGAAATGCAATCAAAATGTTTCAACACGGTGTATGGAACAATACGGAATTGTGTTCTCAGTTCTCCTACTGGCTCGGGTAAAACTGTTGTGTTTGAATTGGCGATCTTGCGTGCCAATGAAACTTTGTACGACTACAAAGTGCTTTATCTAGCCCCAACGAAAGCCTTGTGCAGCGAGCGGAAGGACGACTGGTCCAAAAAATTTGCCCCACTAGGTATAACAGTCGGCATGTTGACGGGTGACACGTCGTACAAAGAGGCAGAAAGTGTACGTGACTCGAACATCATTATCTCAACCCCGGAAAAGTGGGATATGATCACCCGAAAATGGAACGACTACAAAAAATTATTCAGCTTGATTAAATTGCTTCTTGTGGATGAGGTACATGTACTTAAAGAGCCTCGTGGTGCTACTTTGGAAGTTGTAATGACACGGATGAAGAGAATCTGTGTGGGGTTGAGAATTTTGGCTATATCAGCAACAGTCGCGAATGCTCATGACATTTCGACTTGGCTCGATGCCGAAACATTAGTTTTTGGTGAAGAATATCGAGCTGTCAAGTTACAAAAAGTTGTCTACGGCTACAAACCTAGTAACGAAAATGATTTCTCATTTGACAACCAACTAAATTCAAAGTTGATTGAAGTTATTGATAAACATTCTTTGGGCAAGCCTGTGTTGATTTTCTGTGCTACTAGAAACAGTTGCCAGTTCACAGCAAGGTGCTTGGGGGAAAAGGTTTGCGGAAAGGGTACAATTTTAAAGTTAAAGGATAGAGAATTAGCTGGTTTGGTCAAGAGTGGTGTAGGATATCATCATGCAGGGTTAACCTTTACCGACCGCAAACAAATTGAGGCTGCTTTTTTGAGTGGTGACTTGAGATACTTGTGCTGCACTTCGACGCTTGCCGTGGGGATCAATTTACCTGCGTATTTAGTAGTTATAAAGGGCACCAAGTGCTGGTGTGAAAGTACATTTCAAGAGTATTCAGAAACAGATATTTTGCAGATGATTGGGAGGGCTGGAAGACCACAATTTGAGAATGAAGGAGTATCAATTATTATGACAAACAATAAGCTTAAATCAAAATACGAAAGGCTTATTATGGGGACGGAAAAGGTTGAAAGTTCGTTACACTTGAACTTTGCCGAAAATCTTTTGGCAGAAACCGCTGTTGGTAATATCAGCTCAATTGAGGATGCACTTGGTTGGTTAAAAACGACATACTTTTACGTTCGGTTTCTTATTAATCCCCTGTATTATGACATTCCGAAACCAACCACTACCGAGGAGAACTTATTGAGGTTTTGCAAGAACGAAACAAATGCTTTGATCAAAGAAAATTTAATTTGTGACTTCAAGTGCACTGCATTTGGACTTTCGATGACTATGCATTACATCAAATTTGATACTATGAAAGTTATACTCCATTCAGGCGAACAGCTTACGATATCTGAGCTATTCAACGTTTTTGCGAGAGCAGCAGAATTTAGTGACCTCAAGATCAAGCACCAAGAGAAAAGATTGTACAAAGAGCTAAACAAATCCCCCTTAATGCGGTATCCGTCGGAGTCAAAAGTCAGTACCATTATCCAATATGAACTAGGCGGTTTAGAGTTTCCCAGCTACAATGGTGCGCAAAAACTACAATCAAGCTTCTTGGGTGACAAATTTTATGTTTTTAAGCACGTATCACGTATACTTAAAGCAATGATGGATGTGTTTGTCGCAAAAAAGGATGCAAAATCATTGATAAACCTGGGATACGCCATGCGTTCCATTGCGGCTAAAGGATGGGAAGGGTCGCCTAATGAGCTCAAGCAGCTAGACAATATTGGTGTCCAGAGTATCAAGAAGTTAGTGAATCATAATGTACTAACGTTGATGGATGTTAAAACTTTATCACAGACGCAAATTGAGCAGTTTTTAGGTCTCAAGGTTGGGGCTGGTGCAAAGCTAAGGAAAAGTTTGTCAGCAATACCTAGTATTAGTATTGACGCACACTTGAATGGGTCCCTAATCCAAGTACATATAAGGGTTGAGCCTACCACGAAAGCATTCAAAAACGATGCTCTCTATTTGCAGGTTATAAGCTCTAGTGGTGGCAGGCTTGTTGACTTTAGAAGAACACCTTTGAAGAACTATAATGATTCTGGGTTTGTTGTACCATATAGTAGTCTGAAGGTTGAAATTGAGGCCAGTATCATGTGTGGAGTATCTAGCAGATTCGTTATTGGAGAAGACAAGGGACCAATTGTGGATGTTGACCTTGATTTTGAGTTCTCTTCATCTTCCACGTCCTTGAGTGGCATATTTGCTGTTGAACGCGTAAAGAATGTTGTAGCTGGCGACCAAAGCAAAGAAACTTGTGCCGCTCTGGTGAATGGTGACACAGAGGAAGACAATACTGGAATATCTCACTCACTACCCAATCCTTGTTTCACCGTTGATGTAGCCCCCGCTAATACCAATCGTACTCGCCGCAAGAAAAAAGTTAAACGAAAGAAATCGATCTTTGACATTCATTCCGATGACTCCGATGACACAATTTCAAACGATATTGTAGAAAGGAAAAAGCCCAAGCTTGGTTTGAATGAAGCGCCAAAAATTACCAACCTTCTGTCGCGTGAATATAAACAACCCTTGTCGAGAAAAGATATAACACGCCAACCTGAAACAAGGGGAGAGCCAAATGAAGGAAAAAAAGTGGAGGCTAGTGATTTTGTAGGGCCAATCGGGGAAGCTTGTATAATTGGAAAGGTCGGTACAGTCCATCATATTAAAAAGATTGAAGACGAAGAAGTGACTAGTGCAACGACAGAGCTGCTCGCATTGGACAACCAGGTCTCGACCACTATGAGACACGTTTTTGATATTCAGCAGTGTGGTGGCAGTCAGGGAAATACTGAGGTTGAGGGCAGCGTCGTAGAGGAATTTCAGCAGTTTTTTGGTAGTGATATACTTATTGAATAATGTTGCTAGCAGCAGATTTGTTCTCATTTGTGATGTGAAACTGGTGAAGTCTATGAAATTTAATTGCAGTACTCTCTCTATTTATCACCTAAATACTTTAATGCTATTTCTTCTATAAATTCATCAGTGATCGACATATGTCCCGCATCTATTGAATGAAAATCAATTTTGCCTAGTTCGTGGAGACGTCGGATCCCAATGTAATCATTAGTATATAAATCGGTTTTATCAAACGGTATAGTTTGTCTCCAAGTTGTGTCAATGTCACAAAACATGGCACTTTCTTTTGGAACAACCGTTGTATCCTCTGTGAATGTAACCAATGCTAACTTGTTGAGTCTAGTCATGTTTTCAATATAAGTTGCATTTTTCTCCTCTCGTTCATTATTTATATCGGCCAAGTAGAGTGAGTGTTTCAAGTATTTTTCATATTCAAAAGGGTCCCTGAAATACTGAGCCGGTAGTATTGTCTTTTGCACCTTATCATTCCATACTTGTTTCTTTAATAGCTCATTTCTCCTCTTGCAAATCCAATCCTTTGGATCTTTACATAACGGCATCTCCATTACGCCCATATGAGGACTGCCAAAAGTAATTAGATTGTGAAATGATAAATCAGAACATCTCTCAATTAGACCTCTTAGTAATACCCCGCCTTGAGAGAACCCTATTGCATCAATACTTTTGGCCGTTGCCAACTCTGTAATGCTCCTCAACTGATCACATACCTGATCTACCTGCCTGTTTGCATCTCCAAATAATGATTTTTGCTGGTCTGTAGATGGGTCTTCGTCTATATAGATCGAATGAAAGAAGATACCGGGATACAACCCACTGATCAAATCATTGACACTGTGGATTCCTGTTCCATTGTAATTATCTCCAAGACCATGCCAAAGAACAACCGGGCGATACGTATCAGGAGGAGATACTCTGTCTAAAGCTGACAAGAACAATTGAAAGTTGAGTAGTGTGGATATATGCATTTAGTCTGGGGTAGTTTCTATGGCAGTGTGTTTAATCGCGAATTTCACAAACCAAAAAAAAAATATAGTTAATATACAATCGATAAAGCCAAAGCAACAACCATGTGTTTGTCTGCTTTCACAGTTATAAATAACCCAGTCAATGTATAATGCATGCACCCCCTTACTTTGCCTTAAAAAATAGAAACCTCAATTTGCAAAAAGTAAAAAGAATGTGCTTCTAGTGAGGTTCGAACTCACGATCTTCTGATGACTCACGTCGTTTTAACTATGATATGAGACAAATGTTCTAACCAACTAAACTACAGAAGCTGACAACCACTATGCTAAATAGTGAATTTAAAGTTTGGTGGATTTTAGGTTTGATTTCCGACTACAGGTTAAAGCATTTTTTGAATCACCAATCACCTTTTAATTACATTAAAGAGCCCCATATGTGAACGTTAGGTCTTGATATTGCTCCATAAAGGTAAGAAATAAAGAGGACATCCTTTTCTTTTTTACAAAACAGTGACTATCATCAAATTGTTGATAAAGAGGTAAAAGTTGAAAAACAAGGCTATAAAACCTAGGTGATTATCACATTGTATCCCTGAGTCGTTGTGTCAACCGTGTTGTCTCCAATTGAGTCTTTACCATCTGATCTATTGTTAACTCCCTTGGTCTTTTGGTTAAAATTAACACATCATTCACAATTTCATAGTTAAGCGACTGTTGGCCAGCAAAGATCGCCGTCACATCTTCCACTTGTAACATGCTTCTGATAGATGATACAGGAAACCTATTAACACCTGCGTTTTCAGAAAGATGTTTTATTGTTAAAAATGCATTTTGATTCTTGACTATGGCCCTAACCTCATTCGAAACCCGACTTGGAACCCTTTTGTCACTGCATAAATCTTCAACATTCTTTGCCAACAGTGCATAAAGCAATTCCTCATCTACTAACGTCTCATCTGTATTCAAGTTGTTGTATACAAGACCAAATAATTTAGTTTGTGATTTTATAGCTTCAGTGGGTTGTTCAATGAGAATATTCACCAAATTGAAAAATGTATACTTGTAATAACTAATCAACGTCTCCAATTGTAACTGTCTTTGACTTTTAGCATCTAGTGGCTTCTCTGCTTGATACAAATCAAGTGCTGGGATTAGCAATTGGGACTTCTTTGTTGTGTATAAGGATTTACTGAATTGAGCAAGTAGAACAATATTTGATTGATCCCTTGTTTCGAGTAATTTATCTCTGATCATTAAAAGTAGCTCTTCAGTGGAGTCGGGAGCTTCTTCTTGGACTTGCTTGAGAGCATCAAGAATAGCATCTTGAGGTAATGGCATGATGATAGTTGTTGGTAGAGAGAGAGGTAAGTGGACTCGATGAATTATTTTAGCGCGCAATTTATATTTTGAGGAAATTCTTATAAAACGAAGCGAAGTTTTGAGCCATTTCCACGTTTTACTAACTTTTGAGATAAGAGAAAAGCGATGAATGAATCGATACGGTTTCACCAATTGCTATATATATATTATGGCTTGGAACTTACTCTTTTGTCTTGGTAAGCTATTTGAAATTTTTTAATAATTTGTTACAATTTCAGAGAAAAGTGTTTCGCATCTAAATTTGCAACCTGCTACAAATGCACGTAAATTATTTAATCTATTATTCTATCGAGTTGGAAATGGAAATTTCACATGGCACCTAGAAACGATCTCTAAATAGTCTGGCTCATCCTCTGCAGTTATATACCCGTGTCTGATTAAAAAGTCGATTATAATCAATCCGCAATTTGGTTTAAATTCTCTATTCTTGACTCTTTGCAACACTTCATCTATAGCCATTAGTTGAAAATCTTCAGCTTCACCATCCTGTGGTTTAATCAAATGAGCTTCATCTTCTTTAATGACTAGATCATAAGTGTATTCCACTTCGGGTTGAGCACGTCCGTCTTTCAAGTAGATATAAGTGGCAACTCCAGTGTTTTTGATATTCTTGCGAACAAAATCTTCTTCTAACCCCGCTTCTTCGAAGCATTCTTTAATCACGGTAGTCTCTAACCCATGGGGATACCCTATTCCACCGGCTACAGTATTGTCCAACATACCCGGAAAAGTTGATTTCGTTTTAGATCTTCTTGGGATGTAGAGTTTTAATTTACCGTTTGAGGATAGTTCAGGTGGCACGTACCCATTTATGTGAACACCGTATGTAACAACACCTAAAAGTACCGAGAATGCCCTCTCTAATCGCATGTATTGTGTTTTAGAGGGGTTGTAAACGACATACAATTCATTTCTCCAACCTTTGTTGAGTATCTCATCTAATTCGGGAAGCTTTCTCCATCTATCTGCAACTTCAGCAAACATGTCATTTCTCTTTTCAATGGTATCGAATTTGGAGCCAATTGCAATTGTTTTAGCTTCATGATTGGTGTTGAAGGTTGGTTCCGATTGAAGTAATTTAACAATTGTGGGATCTATATACCCGAGTCCAGTTCTTCCTTCATGATCTAAAAAAGTATAAAAAGCATCAGTTTTCTTGAATGAGTCAACTTCTTCAATTATTCTCAAGAATGACATTTTTGTTCTTCTTGGTGCATTTGGTCAATGTGGGAAACAAATAAATTTTGTTGATTGATTTGTACAATCTCTCGGAAAATTTGAAATTTTCATTTCTCTTTAACATTTTATGTATTCATCTGCATATCGAGTTAATTGTTAATTTTCCCTGAGTCATCATCTTTCCAAAAAAAAAATTTAAAGTCCCACATTTCATTAAAGCCAGGAGAATAAAGACCAATCAGTCCATTTCAAACCACAACGATGCTGGGATCATCGAGGTTTCTTGTTCGAGCGTTGGAAGCTGTGTTTGCTGAGAAGGAGATATCTAAACATGCCGATTCTCATTTAAATACCACAATTAAGGACTATTTTGCCAAGCACAACAACTTCACTACAATAAAGCAAAGCAGTTACAATATCCATGAGGAACTTTACCGATTATACAACGGATATGTCAAACCATCTCATCAGTTGGAGCAGGAAAACAAATTTCTTGGAGTATTAACTCAACTCTGTGATGTTTTTAATGAATTGGAAATGAATTTGTGGATTCTGACGTATTTGAAATCAGCAATTGATAGTGCTGCCTACGATATAAATTTTGTCACCAATTCAAGGAAGTTTATTGAAAAAGCTTTAACGAGCTATTCATCGACAGAATGTGACCGTCTTAATGATTTACATGCACGGATTTCATCATCTTTAGCACAGCTATTAATGGATATCTACTTAAACGAAGAGACTCTAAGAGAGAAATTAAAGTTGAATATGACAAAGGAGCAAAACGAAAGTCAAGCATATCACGAAAGAATACGATTTATTCGGTCAAATTGTAGTAAATTACTATTGGATTACGGGTTAAAACATACAACTGAATACTGCAATCTTTTGAACCAGTATTTGCAAAATGTCGATTTTCGACTTGAGATTCTTGTATTGTTAGGATACTTTGTGGGTAAGGACATCAACGATGCATCTCGCATTGTTGAAAATGGATTATTTCAGAGTTTGTTGAAATGTATCCTTTTTGACTTGGACCCAACTATAATTCATTGTGCTTTGAATGATTTATTTATATTGATGCCAAAGGCTGCCACTGTATTGGGAAATCACTTGTCGGATCTCTTCTTGGTATATATCAGGATCACAAACTGGGATGAAACGCCACAAGCGTCACCTGCTGCAACAAGTCTTGCAGATATATTTGCCCTGGATTTGGGATCGTGGAAAGTTGCGTCACATAAATCCACCGAGACTGATATCGAAGTGGCATTCAATTATCAATATTTGTGCACTTTATTTTATGGTTTGTTTTATTTCAATTTTGCCGCTTTTATTTACGATCCCCTAGACTATGTGACTAATCATACGCCATTACTTATATCCCTTAAGTCGTTAAAGCAGTTAAACTCATCCTCATCAGGCAAAATATCTCCAATCCTGAGAGCTATGACAATTACAAAGTCCCTCATACGGGCATTTCTCGTACATCCTAAATACTGGATGACAAATGACCTAGCAGATGAGTTGATACACCCGGCTAATTGGCTACCGAGCAATGCACCTCTGGAAGAAATTGCCGTGGCTTGTTTAATCTTGAATCCAAGTATCTTTTCCATGAGAAATGACGAAGCAAACACATCTACACCTAGTTTCAATGCTGCCTCAACTGTTGGTGATGCCCTATCGAGATCATCGTCATTGGCTGGTCCAATGTATTTTCAAGCGAATGGCCCAACTAAACAGCTTTTAAAGTCTCGACTTTTACAGCATAGGAAATTGTCAATTACACCAGCGCATTTAGTTTCAGATAACAACACTGTCTCACATGGTCAAGAAGATGAGGTGAAGTTCAAAGAGTTTGGGTTTTCGGGTGGTCAGGATCAGCCGGTATCTGATACATCTGGTCCCACTAGTCCATCCTCCTCCAAACAAGAGCGTCATGAGCCTGCTGATGATTTGTTATATGACCACGAGAGACTCTTCACTACCGTGAAGCATAACAAATTGTATCATCAAAATAGTGCAGTTGGTGGGCATGGTGTTCTTGACCCCTTAACGACAGTTTCTGACCCATCAAATGAAAAGACGAAGCAGAAAATGAGATTAGGTAGACCAATGTCGTCGCCAACGACAAACTTGGAAACTTCAAGTGTGTTCAAAGACAATAGTACGGCGACAACGATAGGCTCAAGTGGTGACACCAATACTTTGCATAGCTCAACCAATGTTCCTTCGCAATTTAGTTTGAATGAATTGAATGGGAGTGGAACGATAATTGATTTTTATCAACGGGAACTATTATTGTTCAAGAATGAATTGGAATTTTCTAGTTATATGACAAATTTAAACAAGTTTCATTATTTAAAGACGAAAAACGAAATTAGTGAAGGTAGTGGTGGTGTGAGTGGTAATTCCTTACTTCAGGAAGAAGCAAGTGAACTTTCCAGGGCAATTAATGGTCTTAAAGATGAGTGGGGTGCCAAACAACAAGAGTATCATTGTCAATACGATTTTCTAACTACCAAAATTGAACAACTTGAAATGGAAAAGAACAAGCTCAGTGAGCAATTGTCAGAATTACGTCAGTCAACAGAATCAAGCAGTAAAGACTATGATGAGTTGGTTAAAAATACAATTCCTAATAAGAATTATGAGATTGAGCAGTTGAAGTTAAAATTAAACACTAGTGACCAGCAACTCCAAGAGCAACAAAGGAATACCATTGATAATGAAGCTGATACCAGCTTTTTCCCTAGTAAAGAATTAAAGTCAACTCAAAAGTCATTAGAAGACCAAATATATAATTACAAAATGGAGAATCAAGTGTTTAATCAACAAATTGGTCAATTAGAACAAGAAAATAAGGATTTACAAATACGTTATAACTCCATAATAGCACAATACGAAACTAAATTGGAAAAGGCAAAATTATCGCTTTCTGAAACTTTGACATCATTGACCGATCCGTATGAGAAGAAAATCACCGAATTGCAAGCAGTGATTCACAAATACCAAACATTACTAGAAGAGCAAACACGCAATAAGATGGTACCAGCACCTTCCAGTGGCACTGTACCTATTCCTATAATACGCCAAAACAGTTCAAGCAGTTCTGACAACTACTCCTATGGCCATGATGGGAACAATAATGGTAACACTATACCATCACGTTCAGTTGCGCCGATACAGCATATGGTACGAAATGGCAGCAGTAGTAATAGTGGTAAGGCTGGGAATGGCTCCAACAACCCTACTGGTGGTGACAGTTTACCATTAATGAGAGGTCGTGGTGGATTGCAAAAGAGAACCCGAAAGCTTATGTGAGAAATGAAATTGCAGCTGGTAGCATTTGGGTTGTTGCAAAAAAAGGAAATGGAACAAAAAACTGAAATGAGCTTAAAGGTTCTAGATCTATTTGTAGAATTCTTAATTCAATATTATTTCTTAGCGGCAAAATGGAGAAAATGCCGCACAATTCTATTTGTTTTCTTATTGTTTTAATTTAATTTTAGTTTCTTTTTCTCTGAAAAGGCGCTTTGGGCTAAACTGGTAGCGACAGACGATCTTTAATTTTCGGAGTTTTATTTTTTATATTTTTTCTTTGTCAATTTTAAAAAAAATAAAAAATTTCGGTTAAAGAGATAAACGTCAAGAGTGTTTTTTTTTTTTTTGATTTTTTTTCTAAAACGGTCATAATTGACGAGATACAATGTTCTACTGCACTATAAGAAAAGAAAAATATAAACTTTTAGACGAATGTGATCATCCCACTGCCCCACTTCCAAAGTAGTTTGTGACTAACTAAGTGGGAAGGTCATGCCTAAGATTAATTTGAGTGACTGTTGTTCATGTCGTACTTTTTACTATTACCCGTGTAAGCTGTGTATGTCATTCAACGGTATAATTTTCGGTGCTCAAATATTTGTTTTTTTTTTCATTTTGTGTACGATCTTTTAAACGCTAAAGTCAAAAGCTCCAACTTTACGAAAACTGTCTGTACCTATATGGCGTTTGGATCCCGTGAAATTTTGGTCATAGATGGAACGTTTACAGAAACTGTAGCCCAAGATATTCTTGTTCATGGCTTTTTCTTTAATTTCTATTTTCCAGGCACGTGACACACACTTCTTTAACCACTTACTTAAAACCCAAGAGAACATCGGAGATCAACCTCCGAGAGACCTCTTCAAACGTTCTACGGCATTAAAGCTCATTTTAATACTCCCCCCTCCCCCTCTCGTACTAAAGAACAATAAAATGACAGCGATCTTACCTTAATAGTCTTTTTGCGATACCGTTGAGAACGAATATGAAAGGTTTAGAAGTATTACCTGTGTAACAATTCCGGGGCACTAGCACCAGACAGGATCTTTGATTGTTATGGAGGGAGGAAGCCGGGAGTAAATACTTGTCCCGCTCCTCATGTCTTCCCATTTACCCCACCGTTTACTGTAAGCTCGACAAAGTATCTGATTCAAACAATAGGATATAGGTATACCTAATAGGTAATAACATGAAATCAGCATCTATAGCAAAAAAAAGGCGTTTTCTGTTCGGCATCTTTGTTTTTGTGGTCGATTTTGCCTTGGAACAGTTTGCGTCTTTCTCTTTCTCTCCACACTTTCTGTTTTCATACTGTTGTTTCTATTTTAAGAAAAGGCTGGGTCAAATATGGGGAAAGCAGGTAATAAGATGATTGAGATATACATAGCTTTGTTGTGTGGCGGAAGAAACCCACCGTTTAGACTGTCTGTACCTATGAAGTTCTAAATACGAAAAGAAAAGAAAAAGAACCTAGTTGTCAATAAAGGCAAAGAACAATAAAAGACACGTACAATAAGAGACATTTTCCTTTACTAATTGTCTTTCATAAATTTGTTTCAACCAAACAGTACCCACCTCCTGTTGCCTTTACATTTTTTACTTTACTTTACTTTACTTTCCTATCATTGCATAACTCAATATTAATATTAACACTTACAACTGCTACATCAGGCCTTTTCACCCGTTACACCTACATATCCCTACGCAATAATGCATTAATGCATTTGACACATATGACTGCTTCAGAAAGATTTGGCAGCAGACCACACTCTTTAAATTTTTTTTTTTGATTTATGATTACATATTGCTGCAGCTCTACTTTGTCAGACTAATACTTAATGGTTGTTCTTCTAGAGAGCAACAGCTGCTGATACTAATGCTGCTACTGCTGTTGGTGCTTCTGGTGGTGCTGTTGTTGATGCCGGCTATACGTTAGAAATGTAACCTTTTGGTTGTCAAAAATACAGTCAAACGGCAAAGAGCCCGAAATAAAAAAGAAATAAAAATAAAAATAAAAATATATTAACATTTCATGCGTTTTGTGCAATAGTACACTCCGCACTAAAGGCATAAACCTTTCTATATACACTACCCCTCCCTTATTGTCCACAGTTGAAAATGCCACACACCAACACACAGATACAACACAACACACTTTAAATTTTAATTTAATTTATTTATTATTTTTTTAACAACCCCAACAACAACAACAACAACAACGTCGGTTTCTGACATTATATAAATAGTGAAAAACTTCCCCAGATTTACATCCAATTTTAATTTCAATTTCATACTCAAATATTGTTACATCGAAAAGAGAAATCACTTTAGATAACAACAAAAACAAAAGATATATACATTTACAAAAATGGCTAGTGTTGAACAAGGTGTTGCTAATCTCAATATTTACAAATCAAACACAGCTTCCAACAATTCATCTGCTGTGAGTTTAAAACATGACTACATAGATACTCCATTCAGTGGTAAAAAGGCCCAATTTGATCAGGTCTTGGATGCGCTTGACTCCACTGGTTTTATCCCTGAATCGTTATTGGAATCAGAAGCCAAATGGTTTTATGAATCGTTGGGTATTGACGATGTTTTCTTCGCTAGACTGACTCCAGAAGAAATTGCCGGTCATATTCACGCCTTGTACTCGTGTAAAGTTCAAGCCTATGCCAATGCTGGTGAGCAACCATTGATTTCTTACAAGAGAGAAGCTGAGGATCACGCGGTTTTCTTCGATACGGTTGATGCATTGGATTATGCCAGAAACCCATTTGAAAGCTTGATTGACGATAAATATATCGATCCTAGCGATGCTTCTAACAAGAGTTATCGTGCTGAATATTTTTCTGCTCCATTGAATTATCAAACTGATCCTATTTTGAATGGTATTTACGCCCAAAATAAGAACCTCGGTGAACAAATTGTGAGATTGGCATTTGTTTACAAAAATCAATTTAAAAATGGTAAAGTTGCTGCTGATGAATTGGATTTGGACAGGATTGGTGATGAGACCTTTTTGAAAATTGCTTCTCAAAATACCAAATCTGTATATGAAAGTATTAACAAAGAGGTTATCAAGTCGACTGGTCCGATTATCAAGCATTTCCAAATTGAAAACACTGAAGAATACAGAGTTATTATTGGTTACAGACAAAGCACTGCTGCAAGATACAATTCAGCCTTGAGTGATTTGGCCAATTATTACAAGTTGCAAACTACCAGAAAATATGTTGAACAATTTGCTAATGGTGTAACAATTACCTCGTTGTATGTCACTTCAAGACTGAGATCAGCTGTTGATTTATCAATCTATCAAGTGATTAAGGAGGCATCGTTGTTGTATTGTATTCCTCACAATTTCTTCCACACAAGATTTATTCAAGGTGACTTGTCATTGCAAGAGTCTATTTATGCTCAATCAGGAGTCATTTTCGTTACTCATTTCTTGAACCGTTTGGGACCAGAGTATAAGAAATTGTCATCATTATTGGATCCTTCAAAGTCAACTGAACATGCTGAGGTGTTGAGCAGCTTAAAAAAGAGATTGAGATCGGAAACTTACACCCAAGATTATATCAAGGAGGTTTTTGATGTGAGGAGCGAAATTGTCCGTAAATTGTACCGTCAATTTGCTGACGTTCATTACATCAGATCATCGATGGAAAAGACTTTGTCTTACCAAAGATTGTCTCAGATTCAACCAGTTGGTTCTGAAGAAGAGTTTGAACAGTTGCTTAGTAGAGAATGTTCACAAAATGAACACCATGCCATTGTTTTAAGAGCTTTGTACACGTTTAACAAGGCTATTTTGAAGACGAATTTCTACACCTCAACTAAGGTGGCATTGTCGTTTAGATTGGACCCTTCATTTTTACCAGAATCTGAATATCCTGAACGTCCATACGGTATGTTTTTTGTTGTTGGTTCTGATTTTAGAGGATTCCATATCAGATTCAGAGATATTGCCAGAGGTGGTATTAGAATTGTGAGATCAAGAAATTTGGACGCCTACAATGTCAATGCCAGAAACCTTTTCGATGAGAATTACAATTTGGCAAACACTCAACAACGTAAGAATAAGGATATTCCAGAAGGTGGATCCAAGGGTGTGATTTTGTTGGATTCAGGTTCAGCCCAAGATCGTGCTCAAGCCAGTTTTGAAAAGTATATCGATGCATTGATTGATTTGCTTTTGAAGCAACACATTCCAGGAGTGAAAGACAGTTATGTTGACTTGTATAACAAGCCGGAAATTTTGTTCTTGGGCCCTGATGAAGGAACTGCAGGATATGTTGATTGGGCCACTTTACATGCCAGAGAAAGAGGTGCTCCTTGGTGGAAATCGTTCTTGACAGGTAAGTCGGAAGCAATTGGTGGTATTCCTCACGATGAATATGGTATGACTACATTATCAGTTCGTGCCTATGTCAATAAGATTTATGAGAAATTGAAAATTGACGACTCCAAGATTCGCAAGTTTCAAACTGGTGGTCCCGATGGTGATTTAGGATCTAATGAAATCTTGTTGTCAAGAAGAGAGGTTTACGTTGGAATTGTTGATGGATCCGGTGTTATTGCTGACCCAAATGGGTTGGACAAGGAAGAATTGATTCGTTTGGCTAAAGCAAGAAAGACTATTGAAAATTATGACAAATCAAAATTGTCATCTCAAGGTTACATTGTCCGTGTTGATGATTTTGATGTTACTTTACCAAGTGGGCAAGTTGTCACTAGTGGAGTTGCTTTTAGAAACACTTTCCACTTGAAATTGAAGGAACAATTTGGAACCAACGGAGTTGATCTCTTTGTTCCATGTGGTGGTAGACCAGCTGCTATTGATACCAACAATGTTCATGAATTGATTGATGAAAAGACGGGTAAATCCATCATTCCTTACTTTGTCGAAGGTGCTAACTTGTTTATCACTCAATCGGCCAAGTTGGTTTTGGAAAAAGCTGGCACGATTATTTTCAAAGATGCATCGACAAACAAGGGTGGTGTTACATCTTCGTCATTGGAAGTTTTGGCAGCATTGGCTTTTGATGATAAAGGATTTTTGGAAAATATGTGTGTTGATAAGCAAACTGGTGCTAAGCCACAATTTTATCAAAAATATGTCAAGGATGTCCAAGCTAAGATTGTTGCAAATGCCAATTCTGAATTTGAAGCATTGTGGAAATTGAAGAGTGAAACTGGTATTCCATTCACAATCTTGTCAGATAAGTTATCCCTTGCTATCAACAAATTGGGTGATGAATTGGCCAATTCGAAAGAACTTTGGGAGGATGATGTTGATTTCAGAAATGCGGTTTTGTTGGACTCATTGCCACCTTTGCTTTTGTCTACTGTTGGTATTGAAAATGTGTTGGCTAGAGTTCCACCAGCTTATTTGAAGGCTATTTTTGCAACTTATTTGGCATCCCATTTCGTTTACTCAAGAGGCATTGATTCAAACCCGGCTAAGTTTTTGGAATTTATTAGTAATATCAGAAAGGGATTTGTACAAAAGGGTTTGTTAAAGTATTGAGTTGATCGCAAAGACAGTGAAGGAAGAGAGAGATATGTATATTAGTTTAAGTTGAATAGATGTTTTAATTGAAGAAAAGTACACACTATATATCTAGGTGTATGTAGCAGTAGTAGTAGTTTGTTATTTTGGCCAGTTTCACATTTCTAGCTGAAGCGTGCGATTGGTCCGTTCGTGCCAATGCTAGAAATCGTGTGTTTGGGAATTGCTGAACCAGGCATGTCACTGTTTCTTTCCCATACGACAAATGGCTCTCATCGCTGTACATACATTCCATGTTCATTCCTATGTATATAATGAACAGGATCGAGTCGCGTCATCTCCTTCCTAATTCTTCTTCTGCTGAGCTTCGTACTCCATTTGAGCGACAATTGAATCACGCGCCTTCACTTCGTCATTGATTCTAGTGGTTACGTAGTCACCAACTAATGCCATAATGACGGTAGAAAACCCGACATAATACCTTGCCTTCACCGGTAAGCTCATCCATTTTTGGTATAACCCCATGGTTCTTTGGTTTGAGTGTGGATATCCAGCTGTGAATTTTTTCAGTCACTTATGAAAAAAACATAAAAATAGAAAAAAATTATGCACATGAGGCTGCTTTCACTAGAATGGTTGCAACAAGTGCTAGGTTAGCGAAAACCATCTCAAGTTTACCTCCATGTTGTTTGAGGATCCACCCAAGTGATACGACTAAGATATACATAGGTACTTATAAGTTGGAAGAAGATACTGGCACCAAACATGGATCATTAGACGTATACAAGTATGAAACGAATTCATTATCATTGATTGTCTCCGTCGCCACAAATTCAGCGATACTAGATATAAAATTCAATCCTCAGGATCCATCACAATTGATATCGGCCCACTCAGATGGACATTTAATTGTATGGAAAATTGGTCAGGACGATCAAGAAATCACCAAACTACAAGAAGTTACAATTGATGAAGAATGTAACTGTATTACTTCAGTTTTTTATAATCCAAATAATCCTCATCAAGTACTTGTCACGCTAACTAATGGATACCTGGCAATATACGACTTGAGCTCCAATTCAACAACGTACTTGGAAACGCAGCATACTTTGGAGTGTTGGACAGGATCATTTGGAGAATTGGGTCAATTAAATCATGTTGTATATACTGGAGGCGATGATTCTCAATTAATTGCTCATGACCTACGAACATCACTGCCGATATGGGCTCTATCACGTGGTCATGATGCTGGCGTAGTTAGTATCCTATCCCCATCCCTGCAATGTAATAACTCAAATTCAAATTTATTATGGACTGGGTCATATGATGATCATTTACGAGTATGGGATTTACGATGCATTGATAAATCGAATCCAAGTTTGATGGAAGGACTTTTACCGAAAAAGATACACGAAGAAAATCTTGGTGGAGGTGTTTGGCGATTGATACCTAGTCCCAGAGTAAATGATGACCGGATATTAAGTTGTTGCATGTATGATGGTGCAAGAATTATAGACACAAATGGTTCTGATTTCACAGTGGAAAAGTACTTTAAAAAAGATCATGAAAGTATGTGCTATGGTGGAGATTGGTCATCTGATGGGGATTATGTAGCAACTTGTTCATTCTATGATAAAGTTGTACAAATATGGTCACCGGATAAAATAGAGAAATAAACAACGTAGAACAAGTAAAGCAAATAGAAGAAAATACACTTGAATTGTTTTAGAATAAATCAGGTAGTAATGTTCTTATTTCTTAAGAATACAAACTCAAGTCCAATGGGATCGAAGAGCCCCTGCCACTAGGATACAACTTCTTTGCACCTTCGAATCTTCTTGGGTTAGGCAACGCATTGGCATTCACAAACTTGAACCTCTTGTCATCAATGACCACTTTTTGCCCTGAAGATGAATTTTTCCCATGCCCATTTATAGTATAAGCCAGTGCCGAAATTTTACGCAATGACGAGCCAGCATGTTGCTGTGAGTCGAGATCATCATTGTTGTGTTGCGATGATGAGGTTCTACTTCTTGAAATTGAAGATGATGGTGATTGAGACAATGGTGGTGGTGGCGGTGGAGCTGCTTTCTTGGATTTTGATATTGTCGGTGTTGATGGCGTAGGTGGTGGTGGTGGCAGCAGGGGTGGACCACCTGATGGTAACGGTGGGGCTCGTGAAGGAGAATCATGCTTACTAGAAACATCAGCATGTGATGGTAGATCGTTGGACGACGGTGGCACCAAAGGTTTGACTTTTTGCTGTGGTGGGGGTGGAGCTTTCGGAGTTGGAACGGCTGTAAGTGGTGCTGGTGGTGCTGGTGGTGCCGCTGGTACAGGAGGTGTTTGTGCTTGAGTTGACTTCCTTCGTGGTGGTAGCATACCAGGAATTGGGGGCACTGCAGAATTTGGTATGGGTGGTGCAGGCAGTTTAGATTCGTTAGAATTGCCAAACGAAATTTTCTGTGATCCATTTTCATTTGCTTTCACTGGGGAGGGTAATGTAGTAGAAGATTTGCTTCTTGTATTATACGACTTCAGGCTACCATCTACAACAAAAGAATCATCTCTCTTTGCATTGATTTGAGCCAAAAAAGGTAAGGCGCCACCGGGTGCTACTGGAGGTGCTGAAGAGTTAGTAGAAGACTTAGCAGTAGATGCCTTTGGTGCCAACGATGGAGGTGGGGGTGCAGGTGGTGCAGGCACTCCCGACGGAACTGGTGGAGCCTTTGGTGCTGAACTCTGTGGTAATGGAGGGGGCTTCGGAGCGGCGGTATTTGGCAATGGACGCGCTTTACTAGGTGCGGCCAGTTTATTCAGAGTGCCACTTGTTGGTGCTTTGTCAACCACGTTACTCTCATCCCTTCTTGCATTTATTTCACCCAAGAATGGTAAACCACCTGTTGGCAATGGAGGCGCTGACGGAGCTGATGTATTAGAAGGGGGTGCCATTGGTGGTGGAGGTGGTGGGGTTGGCGCTGGTGGCGCTGAACTTGCAGGTGCACTCGACTTGGTAGGTTTTGATGCTGTAGGGATTGGTGGGGCTGTTGTTGGGATTGGTGGAGGACCAGAAGGCAATGGTGGTGGCTTACTTGTTGATTCAATAGAGTTGATTGAACTGATAGAGCTATTTTTCACATGATTTGGCTTCTTGGGTCGAGTGGGGGGTACTTTAGGTGCTGGAGGCACGCTCGTAGGAACCGGTGGTGCGGTTGATGTAGGTGGATTACCTTGTGGGATTGGTGGTGTGGCTGTTGATGCTGCTGACTTTGTAGGCCTGATTGATGGCGGTGCTGGTGTCTTTGTTGGAATCTTTGGTGCCGATGGTGGTGTCATGCCAGCTCTGTTGTCAACATGCTTCAATTTGGGAATTCTGCCTGTAAAGATGTCTCCCAACTGAGGGGCACCTGTTGGGATGGAAGGAGCTGGTGCAGATGCAGAGCTGCTTCCATGTGCCAGAAGTGATGGTGCGCTGGTAGATACCGACACATTTCCCTCGATCATTGGCTTTGATTTATCAATCGTCACTGCTTTCTTTAACTTTGCTCCCTTTCTGATGTCACCGAATAAAGCATCTCTTCCAGCTGCCATGGCAGCAGGAGGAGGTCCCGAGTTTGATGTATTGAGATTTGGAGCACCCGATGGCGGAGGTGGTGGTGGTGGTGGTGGTGGCCCTGCCATTGTTTGTTGAATTAAATTGTAATGGTTGTTGGTGAACAAAAAAAAACGGCCGTCCCGTTCAAAATTTCAAATTTTGTGTCATGATAAAAAGAACTTCGCCCAGAAAAAGAATCTTTTTGCAATCATAAAGAGAAGAGGGAGAGATTACACACATACACCATCTGTAATGTCTATAAATCTATATATTTCTTGCAATTGAGTTCCTCACTTCACTCCCCATGACAAATTGTCATACCCAAATAGCCAAGGACCGACAGTGTGCCTAAATACGATCATGAAAAGACCAACAGCGAATTGAACCCCTAAAAGAAGTAAACACAACTTGTCTTCCCTCATTGGACCCAACCAGACTAAAGAAAGATTGATAATTGTCATATTGGAGAATCGCAATATTCTTCCCAGTTTGGGGTCCCTTTCTAATTTGATGAACTTGAAAATGTCTAAAAAATTCAAGATGGCAGTATTCAACTTCGTCGGTTTTTCTACCACTCCAAAGCTGGGGTACATAAGTCCATCATCGGGATTGAATTTAGGCAATCGGTGTCTTGGACATGGAATAATGTGAAAGAGCTGAGGGACTGAGTAGATGAAATTGATAACTTGGGGTATCAAAAATAGCATCAACGTTTTTGAAAAATGTCCTAAAATCCCCACAATGGCAAATACCATACCGCTGAAATAACAGTATGTGTCACCAACAAAAACACGTGCTGGGAACCAATTATACTGTAGTAATGCCAATGACACCCCGACAAATGGGATAATGAAGATCACGGAAAACAAGTGTGAGTCATGTGCCGCTTGTGAAATCTTGCTGGAAAATAAGTAGCAAAAGTCATTCACCAAGAATATCAATGCTAGGACAACTGACTGGCCCACCTCCAAACCGTTGACCCCAGCCAAGATGTTGATGGAGTTGGGAGAAAAGATTGATACTGCGGACATGTAAACATAATAAAAGATTCCCAAATCGACCAACTTGGGAACTTGATCAGGCACAACGTAATCAGTTTGAAGTGTTCTAAATGACAACCCAGTGATGCTTGTAACCAAATGGTTTGCAAATTTTATGAAGCTGTTGACAAAACTAAGAGCATACAGGCCACCAGGAAAATCTGTAACAAATGTAGGAACCACAATTGAGGTAACACTAAAGTCAACATAGTATACTATCAATAAAGGTAAAGACGCAACCGCTGGAAGGAAGAATTTGTGTCTCCAACGAATGTCAAACAAATCGTCCAACAATCCTAGCAAGGTTGTACTTTGTAAGCATAGTATAGCACTTAAATATTCGGCCAATTTGTTATGAGGAAACAATCTGTTGTCCTTTATTGACTGATATTGACTTCTGTAGTTTTCTGTCATGACCTCGTCATTGGCCAAGGAACCAAATGATACGAGGTACTTGAAAAAGATGAAAGGAATCAACCCAAACATTAGGAATAGATAAGTGGTTGCTGCAACTAGCCCCATTGTCTCGGGTATTTCTGGAACAGGTTGGCGTTTCGACAAATCTCTACCTTTGAGACCAATCTTGACAAAGCTTGGGCCAACTCTCGGTATAACCAGGTAAGTCACCACGTACCCAATCACAGCAAATGCAGCCAGTGTACGCACAGGGTTATTGGGTGTAATGACCATAACTGCACCCACCAAGAGTGATAACTTAATCAATCGTGACGGCATTATGTTAGGGAATGGAGTGGGGACAGGAGGGAATGTTGACATAACACGGTGTATACAAAAAAAAAGTTGAATAATACACAAAAGTTTGAAAGAAAGAAACTAGAAAAGTAGCGAATATCACTATTACAGCTACGACTTACAAACATCAAATGCAACCGTTCGTCACAGGTCATGAAGAATTAATTCATGATATAAAATATGACTTTTATGGCAAACATATAGCCACTGCGTCATCTGATCAGCACATCAAAGTGTTTGATTTTGACGCGGCAACCACATCGTGGATGTTGAATGATCTGTGGAAAGCTCACGATTCACTGATTTTGAGAGTATCTTGGGCTCATCCCGAGTTTTCAAGCTCGAAAATACTAGCCTCCTGCTCGTATGATAGAACTGTCAAAGTGTGGGAAGAACAGCCCATGGAGCTACATGGTTCTGGTAGAAGATGGACAAGACTAGCTACGTTAGCAATTGAATCCTACGGTCCAATTTATGACGTCAAGTTTGCCCCAAACCATCTAGGTTTGAAATTGGGATGTATCGGAAGTGATGGGATATTTAGAATTTATGAATCGTTGGAGCCCAATGATTTGACCAATTGGACATTAACAACCGAAATACCGATACTTAGTCAGCTGCTACCAGCAAAGAGTTTGCAAAGCAGTTTTGCTATTGAATGGTGCCCGTCCAAGTTTACCAAAACTGAGAAATTTATAGTGGTTGCATTGGACCAAGGTTTTATCTACACAAACGTACCAAAAGATACAGACTCTGGAGAGGATGCTGGAAGTGAAAAGTATGTCAAGATTTGCGACCTACCCGAACATAACGGTCTAATAAGATCAGTTAGCTGGGCTCCATCTATGGGTAGAAGCTATCACCTAATTGCTACAGGGTGTAAAGATGGATATGTAAGAATCTTCAAAGCTACCGAAACTTCAACGGGTGAGTTAAAGATCGAGATCTTGGCAAAGATGAACGACCACCAATGCGAAGTGTGGCGCGTAAATTGGAACATGACAGGGACTATATTATCATCCGCTGGTGATGACGGAAAGTTACGTCTATGGAAATGTAATTATCTAAGTGAGTGGAAGTGCATGAGTGTCATCAACACCAGTAACAGATCAGACAGCAGGAGTATAGAACATGAAATTAGTAAATCTAGGTAGAAGTCTTTTGCTTCTTATCCAATTGCGTCCACAATTCCTCATCCTCCTCTTCTTCAGCCTCTCTTTTACGCCTCACTTCTTCCTCCTCTTCATCTTCATCGTCCAATATTAATAACGAGCTGACCTCAACACCGAGGTAGACTTTAGCCAACAACTCACGACTCTCAATATCAAAAACCCGAAGATATCTATCCAAACCAGCAAAGGCAACAATATTTTCCACCACTTGAACTGCGTGGGTTGCACCTGTATTTCCCCCTGTGTATTTACCCAATGATTTGGGTACTGCCTTCACTATTTCTCCAGCTGATGCTGAATTTGTCTTGAAAGCTTTTTCGTCGACTTGCGTCAAGGAGTATCTAGCAATCAAGCTATTTGTGTCTGTTATTATCACCTCTGTTTGGTCTTCGTTAGCAAAAGTCAATGTTAAAATCGGAGTTTGACAAACCTGATAATTCTTCATGGGCTTTCTTCCATGATTTGAGTCATAAACCCTCAAGTGGCCATATCTAGTTGAGGTCAACACCTTGAAATTATCATTCGAGTCATTTTTGAAAAACAAAATATTAGTGATCCAAATGGGGACTCTCAAGTCCAAGTGGTCATTTTTGACATTCTTTGCTGCAAAGACAACACGAGGATTGAAGAATTTCTTGTAATCCTTTTTGAATACAGAGCTATTGATATTTTCATCAAAAAGCTCAACCACCTTTAGGTCAACTTCTTTTCCCCCATAGGCGACAACATTTTCACGGTCGGGATTAATTGCAAAAGCATCAATTGGACTTTCCTCTGGTAAATCTATTTCGAATGGCTCAAACTTGAAATCGCCAATATGAATCAAAAACACTTTTCCCGAGATGTATGGCACTAAGATACTGTCCAACTTTTCAACTTTGATCAAAGCAATAGGCTTGTCATTTGCCGCAATTGGCACTTTATAGTCATGTAAATGTTTAAACAAGTTGACCTCAACATCCAATTCATCCTTTTCGTCCTTGGCTAAAGTCTTCTCTGCATTTGGATCCTCTTCAAAATCATATACTGATATGGTTCCATCAATTCTGGAAGCAATATGATATTGGTAGTTATAATTTATCAAATGAACTATTCTTGAGCTGTAGTCAAATTTCGGCACTGTAAAGCAGTTTGTAATAGATTTGGGTTGAAGAGCATCTTGTTTGGAGGTATCGGTACCTCTATTGCACTCAATTAACTTTCCTGCAGCTATGTCATCTGCTGCGACAAGGATCTTCATTTTTGTAGTTTAGTCTTGAGAAGTAGCTATGCTTGCTGTAATTAATTTTTCGTGAAAATAATGAAAGAAGAGGTCTCGAATCAATGGACGCTACCTTTTCACGATTTGCAGCAATGGTTCTTACAATGTTCTAGTGGGTTGTTTAAAGAGGGGAAGGGATAGTCAATCCTTTGGTTTATTTAGAATTAGGCTGAAAGTTGGACTAGCTTTGGACAATTTGGTTTTACAAGGTGATGATTTGAAATCTTTTGACATTTTGAACAATTTTCTCAAGACGTCAGAAAACGAGTCCTGTTCATTGGAAAAATAAACCATATGTCTAGAATGTGAGAGCTTTTGTAAAATAAAGTGCCACACTTGATTTCGAAGAGTTGTGTTTGAAAACAGTTATTTGGTTGAAAATTTTGCTTCTAATTTGATCAAAAAGATTACCAATTCTATATCAAATTTCCAAATTCAAGCTTTTAATCACATTTTGGTTAAGCCTAGAAAAACTTATCAAAAAGAGAGTGATACGCCATCCGGGACACCAGACTCCCCTAAGCCCTTTAGAGGCTTTTCCTTGTTCTTCATTACCTGACGCCAAGCTACGGCTCATGGGCTGAACTCTTATAGTTCTCGGTCCTTATAGTTTTACGATTAATATTTAGTGAGGTAGAGCTAAGTTACACCAAATATGCCACAAAGTGCTACCCAATCAAGCTATTCCTGATTTTAGAATGCTACAAAAAGAGTAGTGGGAAGATTAAGGCCGTGAAGTGAAAGTTCTGACGAATAATGCTTTAAAAAAGATGAGCTAAACGTGATAGTAATTAAAATTACTAACTAATTTTACAAAATACTTTGCGCAGAAAAAGGTCCCTTGGCCCAGTTGGTTAAGGCGTGGTGCTAATAACGCCAAGATCAGCAGTTCGATCCTGCTAGGGACCATTTATTTTTCCATTTTTTTTTGACATACATATTTGTTTTTAAATGATCTCTTTTAAAGTGTTATCTTTGATATATGGCTCTGCTACTATTTAATTACAGTTCAAGAAATTTCATCGTAATTCTATATTTTTTTTTGGGGTCCCCCGTTTTTTGCATTTATGGTGATGGGAAGACGCTTTGACGCGCGATAAGATAAAACACAGAAAGTGTCATTTAGAAAAATAAACTTTTTTGAAAAGCAGAACCATCCTTCCATCTCCACAAATTTTTTACATAAACAATCAATGGGATACGTCTGAAAACCTCGAATAATTACCTAAACGTTGAAATTGGATTACCATGGATTGGACGCCGGAGAAGCAAAATGAATTGGAAAATTATATTGAATCATACTTGCGCCAATTGAACGATATTTCCAAATTCTATACCGATATCAACTGGGACAAAGTGACCAAACTAGTCAATGTAAACGACATTGAACTTTTGACACCCAAAGTTGATGAAGCATTTGACCACTTGGTAATGGATGATAACTTACACCTTTCAAAGTTTGCTTCACGATGGGGTAACAAAGAGTCGCCATTGTTTACGGATGTATCACAAATGATCAAATCCATGGGGCTAATGCCTTTCAAAGAGGTCGTACAAGAAGTTCCCGTTGGTGCCGATAACCAGCAGCCTATTTCAGAAGTGGAGGTTCGACCGAAGGCTAATGATATGCCAAAATTGACCAAAACCCAGAGACGATTATCGCTAGACTTGATGAAAGTTAGACCAAATTTAACTGCTACAGAGAAAAAGGGGCAATTGGTAACTTCTGCTGCTACAAGTATAACTAATCTTAATGTAACAACTAGATCTAAACCTGTACTAGACCATACAGTAAGACACGGCCCCACGCCTGCTTCGAGGCCAGAATTACGAAACAGGCGCACGTCACTTGTGGACGAGCAACTACCAAAGTATATCCGTGAACAATTATGTCAAGGCCAATCTCTTCAAAGAATTACGCCAAGGTCTCCAATTCAAAGGCCGCTTTTGAACAACTTGCCTGCCATTTCAGACACAAGGGAGATTTCGCGAAAGCCGTCTAGGTTGCAGAATCTAGTGACCAATTCCCAATCGTTATATGCACATTCGAGTGATGTGAATTCAACTACTAACACTTCTGAAGTAGAGCACCAATTACGATACGATACAGATGATGATGACAGAGAGTATATTCTGCCTGGTCTGTTGGCGAAATATTACGGTTTACAATTTGAGGAAGGGAGTGATGTTGAATATGAGGAAGAAGACGAAGAAGAAGAATACGAGGAGGAAGCAGATTTTGTCAATGTTGGAGAAGGTGGTTCAAATGATGATGAAAATGATTATCTATTTAAAGTCTAAGTTCTTTAATGAAATGGAGTCGATTTCATAAAGGAAATGGCATACTCGTAGATCCACAACGATAATGCACTAGTAGGAGCCGTCTTCAATATACTAACACTATAACCTCTGTAAAGACCAAAAACACCCTCTTGTCTAATTATATCAAAGAAAAGACGCAACGCTCCTACAGATCTGGTACCATGTACAATAGAATACACTTGGCATCTCTTTCTCAAAGTGTCGAGTGGGAATGTAATCCCTTTTGATGTCACACCAGCTATGAATCCACAAATACCCTCTATGAATGGGATATTTTTGTATTCCTGCGACAATGATCTCGCTAGCTCGTATGACCAAAACATAAGTCCAGTAGTTGAAGCAACTGAAATTATGGCTGGTTTGATCCCAGTAAACATCCCACTGATTCCTTCGGCTTTGAGAATTTGCCCAATTGTACTTCGCATGGAAATAAGATCTCTTGTCCTATTTGCTACTAATCTTGTGCGTAGCAAGTCAAACGGATACGTTGCTAATGTGCTTGCCAATCCTGCGCCTGCTCCGACTACCATCGAGTGTGTTGCTGGTGATAAATTGATTTGGTAATGCTGTTCAAGTCGAGAAAGGTTGGTACTCAAGATAGAGTACGATGTGAATTGAACTCCACCATACAATATGTATAGAATTTCGGCAGGTACATTTCCCTTCCACAAGGCAATCACCCCCTCATTTCTAAGTAAGCTCTTGACTACCGTGGCAATAGACAGCCTTTGATGAAAACCTCTCGTCTCCAACTGTAGTCGTATCTTGATGGTGTCTAGAGGAGCTGTGATTGCTCTAGATACACCACCCGCGATCGACCCAGCAAACAAAGCCTCATATGGTGAGACATTTGATCCTTTCTTTAAATGGTCCTCTCTTTGCTCACCACGCATGCATCAATTTCTTGTGTAAGGTGTTCAGTGATGGAGTAAATTTTTTTTTTTGTGTGGCTAATTTCGGAGTTGGACTGGTTCGAGTGAAGTGGCCATGCAATGGGGAAAGGTTAGACTGGGAATAGAGAAGGTGAAGTAGTTTTATGTGTTGGGACTGAAAATTGAAAAGGGGTTTCTATCAGTACTCTCACATAGATACGTTTCGTTGTTGAAAAATAGAAAGAGGTGGCATACAGTAATTTTCAAGAGATATAGCAAGGTTTCCTATGATCTACGCTGAGGTCATCTCAGAAAAACATCGTTCTTACTTAGTAAACATTCAAAGTATATGCATTGGTTTGTCGATGGTAGTCTGAATCTGGAAGTGATAAACTCCGGGCGCGATTCTGATCCAAACATTTTTTTTTGGAGCGCGTCTTTGCCATAATCTTCATCCTTTTATCAACCTGAAGATGAAGTATACATCCATGGATATCGTTAAGCATAATCATATACCGAAAAATACTTTTAGTCGATTACGATCAAACTTAAAGTACATTGATAGTACACTTTCACTACATTTTATTAACCATGTTGCTAATCCATTAGCACATGATATTCTCCAACAAGCATCTAATCTAGCACAATGGAAGATAAACATCGAGGATTTGGAAAACATACTAGCGATCTCACCCATGTACAAGATCTACCGGAACGAAAATGGGACATACATGTCATTCCCAGATAGGAAGGGACAAGATCGAGTGGGTGAATTTACCGAGTTGCTCAATAAGTGGATCGCATCGCACCAACATGGCAATGCACTTGCACGGTTGAATTTATGTGATGTTTGGATACGAACTTCATCGCCCAGGAAAATCAGCAAATCGTATGCATCATACTCAAATTCAACGTTATCTCCATCGCCCTCGCCATCGCCTACAAAACTGAGACATAAATTTGCCGATTTGAAAAATCATGCATCAAAATTCACATTCAAGGAAAAAGACGCCCAAGAAGAAAGTAACAAACACCAGGGCATGTCGCTACTAGAAAGAATCAAATTGAAAGAGAAATTGAGCAATTCCAAGGGCGTAATGACCAAAGAAGAAAAACATGAACGGTACCTTGCCGCGAGAATGGATCGAATTTATGACATTATTCACCAATTGTACCTCGATTCAGGAGTAGGATCAAACGAGAGCAGTAGCAAGTCACTTTCGCTTTCGCTAACAAAAATTGTCCAAGTCGTTCGAGATAGTTGTGATGAGAATCAAATGGATAACGACGATATTTCGCGTGTTATTCATTTGATAAGTGGCAAATTGGACAATTTTACAGTCATTGAGAAATCAGGTATTTTGATATTGCGCGTATCTCATCTAAATCGTCATCAAGACTTACCCAAACTCAACTCAGGTGCAGATTAAAGCCTTGTTGCAAAAGATATACCTTATAACTGTATTTATTAAATAATGGATCTTAAACAATTTAAATTCTATATAAAACTCAACTCAGCATCATCTACTCTACTTCAATCTTTTCCTCAACTACTTCAACAGTTTCAATTCCACCAGTTGATTCAAAATCCTCATCTCTCAATGCGATATCAGCAGCTTGGGAATTCATAAAGAAATGTTTCAACACTGTTTCAATTGCCCAAGTAGCAACCAAATCAACAATAATTGATCCAGTTAACTTAACTTTGAAATCCGTCGACATTGGCACAAATTGCATAGCTTCATTAATTTCAGGAATAAACTCAGTAGATCCAGCAAATGTTAAGCCAGCAACTCCCAACAATCCATAATACATACCTTTGTTATCGGTAAGAGATTCTCTAAATGGCAATCCAATGTAATTGACGGCAAATGTAGAAACCAGCTGGGCTAATTGTAACAAAAACATACCAGTGTTCAACAACGATGGAGTAAATTTCTTTTCCAAATCGACTGAGGGCTCTTTTGGTTCAACAATGTAGATTTCACGAGTGATGTAAACCAAAGTGACAATGTGGATGAAGAATTGTCCCAAAATTGATCCCATGATATAGGTGTTGAAAATTCCATCTTGTGGTCTTTCTTTGGATAGTTTTTCCAATGGCTTACCACGAGAAATCGATAAGAAACAAACTGACAACAATATACCCGAAATGGTTGCTTGTGAATCACCAAATTTCATACCGGCCAAGTACAACACTGAAAGCGAATAAGATGAAATCAAACAGTTTAGGGCCAAAATCTTGTACATTTGAATAGTTGACACCAAAGCGCAACGTCCTTGACGAATAATATGGGTAACAGTGTTAACGTTAGCCAATTTCGAGGTAAATGGTGCTGCAACTGACGCATCACCCAATTTCAAAGTTGGAACTTCATCTTCAGCTTCGGCATCATTCAATGCACCAAGAATCGTATCGGCGAATTTTCCACCATCAGCAGGGACAGGTGACTGACCCGGTTGAGGGACTTTCACTGGTTGTTTCATGGCCAATGCTACTGCTTGCTTCATATCTTCGGTAATTGGCACACCTTTCTTTTCCATTGCTTCTAAATACTTGGGGTTGTTTTGTCCTGGGGGATACAAATGGGCAATAATCAGTGGCACATTTGGTGCTGGCTTACCCCAATTGGCAAACAATTGTACTTGTTTATCATAAACCTTTTTGGTAGCTTCAATCTTTCTGTTTTCAATAATCTTGTTCATGCCTTCTTCAGTACCATTCAAAAGAGCTACACCAATATTGGCTTGTTTCAATGCACCAACGTCATTGGTACCATCACCACACATCAATGTGTTATACCCAGCATCTTTTAATGTGGTTAAAATAAACTCCTTTTGTGCTGGTGAAACTCTAGCATAAATCCAAGTCTTTTTCAACAAAGGAAGTAATTGTTCATGTCCACTCAACAAATTCAATGCGTATCCAGTTAAGCAAATATCGTATTGTTTCAACTTGGCGAAATCAATTTTATCAGTAGATTTAACAGGAATAACAACAGTTTCTTTAACATTTCTCCAAACCAAGTCAGCACTATCGGCATCGTGGTGTTCTTCAGGAACATCCAAAATCAAAACGTCCTTGGTGGTAATTGCCACTTCTTTAGCCACATGACAGGCAGTTAAAGCGTTATCACCAGTAATCATAATTGAACGATGCGATGATTCGTTCAACATCTTGATAGTTTCAATCGCATCAGCCTTCAATGGACAGTGGAAGATAATAAACCCAGCAAAGTGTAATTTCGATTCAATTTCTTCACGTTTGACCTTATTGACATTGACATTTGTGTCCAAGTACTTGTATGCCAAAGCCAACACCCTTGAACCAGATCTAGTGAAAGATTTGTAAATCTCTTCATAATGATCAGGCGCATCAACAATCATCTTACGAATCGTTTCCGGTGCACCTTTAGCAGCAACAAAGTTCTTTCCTGGGACAGAATTGATGGACGAAATGGTTGAAGATCTTTTAAGGGCACTTGAGAATTGGAAACGACGTAAAATTTTAATCTTTTCCGTCTTTTTACCATTTACTCTTTCAACAGTGTCATTGGCTTCAACATTCCAGTGAGCTGCACTCAAGGTCGCTTGCTCCATTGGGTCACCAACAACATCACCATCATCCAACTTAACTAGAGCATGGGCCGACCCCAACACATAGGAAGTCGTAGTTGGGGCATCAGCAGCTTTGTACAAATGATGGATATCATCGTCTTTGAAACCAGCCAATCCTTCAAATACCAAGTCCTCATCGGTCAAAGTACCAGTTTTATCAAAACAACAAACATCGATTCTACCAGCTAATGGGATTCTAAATGGCTCAGTACAGTAAATGTAGAATTTTTGCAACTTTGATAATGACGAATTCACCGCCATGGTCAATTCCATAGGCAATTCTGGTGGCACAACCGAAGTGATGACAATAATACAATCCAAGATCAATTTTGATTGAATTCTACCCATTCTTGTTCCTTCAGTCCAAACATACCACGAGGCAATGATGGCGAATACCAACAAAAACAAAATAAACAAAAATGCCTCCTTGTTTCCCACCGATACACGTTCACTGGAGAAGATCATTGTACGAACAAGCGAACCTTGAGAAGTTTCAAATCCGGTCTTGGTAACCACAGCAAGAGACCCGTTATCAGGAGCAGGTCCAACAATGGAGTTTTCTGGCTTGGTCACTTGCAAGGCCAGGGTACCACCATGCAAGATTGAGTTTTTATCGAACCCCTCTGGTTGCAAATTGTCTTCGCTTGGCCTCAACTTGATTGATTCCTTCAACAATGGCGTCGATTCACCCGACAACATTGCTTCATTCACGATTGCTGAACCATCAACCAAAAGCAAATCACACGGCAAAGCACTATCCTCGTTAGTTCTGGTGATTGAGACCAAGTCGCCTGGTAACAAATCCGTGGTGGAGATTTTGTTCCATTGGTTATCACGATGAACATAAATATCGTATGGTTTGATTCCCATACTCTGAAACTCGGACATGGTTGTTCTTCTTTGGAAAACAGTTGTCATTTCAAACGAAACCAACATGAATAACGAGAAAAGGGAATAGTACCATTGTTCATCCATACACCAAAGGGCAACACAGAAAATCTGGAAAACAAAAAATGGAGCCACGGCATGTTCCTTAAATAACTCCAAGAATGTAGGAATTGGAATATCAAACTTGTTCAACCCATAGTTTCTGTACTGTTTTTGCAAATCTCCGCTCAACCCTTTTGTAGCTTGATAAACATTCAATTTGGGCAACGAATCAAAGGAAAACTCGGGTGGAGAAAACTTTTTTGATTCAGGGTGGTACAAGTACCTTCTCTTTTGGTACAAGAAACTCGTTTGCTTTTCCCCATCGTGGAAAGTTTCACGGTTAATAGAGCTGATTTCACCGACACCTGAATTGGGTGCTGGTGTAATTTTAATAAAAGTTGCATCTTCAATCGTGTCAACTTTGGTATAGTTGAACTTGGAATTGATATCGATGTTCCAGTGAGGCATTAACCAGAATAATAGGTTGATTGATACTATAGCTATAGTGTAGACAAAAGTCCATTCTCTACCGCCAAAATAAGTGTCATAATGGTTCAAGTATAATTGTAAAAAGATGGGATAGATGATGGTGAATGGCCAAACATAAGGTCTCAGATATGTCGACTTTGACACCAATAGTTCTGCGTCCTTGATACCAGGACTTGAAACTATGCTTGACATTGTTATCAAGGTACTTTTTTGGATGATGTAGTAGTTGATGATGTTAGAAAGAAATGCACAAGTTTGTAGCTTGAGTGAAAAATTGATAGCCGATTCAGATTTTTCCCGTTTGCCATTGTGCGTTGTGCGTCGTGCGTTGTGCGCTGTGTGAGACAAAAAATTTTCAAAGGTGTCGTGGAAGGGAAAGGCAAATAACATTGGAAAATACGACATGTACACGTGACTCAATATACATTTATCTGCTTTGCAAAATAAGACTGCAAGAGGAAACGTGGTATTTACCACTTGAGCGTTAGTCAAACAGCTGGTAAAGCCAGATAGGTATTTAGTTTGAGACTATTGATTTTAAAGTGCATTTGCAGTGGCGATTGCAACCTTATTGACTACCTTTTCAATTCTGAAAAGTTAAAAAAGGAAAATCTTAACCACCAAAAGGGGGATGGTTGCAAAGATTGAAGTTTAAAACTAAGAAGTGAGCTATTAAGGCAGAGGTTGTTTGTGCTAATTTAAATTGTTTTGCTTATGGCGCCCAACGACCGTTTTACTTTGATTAGAGATAGGCTTGAAAATCTATCGCCGGTAAAAAGTGAAACCAAACCGTCAGGAACAAAAGTTTCAAACATGAGAGGTTAGACATGATACAGAAAAAAGAAAAATAAAAATAGGAGAGGGAGGAGATAAGGGTGAATTTATCATTCCTCTTGTCAGCTTATGATTACCTGAGGACGCGATTTGACTGATAACTAAAGTAAAACAAATAAGCAGCAAGGGCAAAGTAAAATTTTATTGTGTGGTGGGTTTTGTATTTCATTCGATGGTGACCACAAAAAAGAACCACTGGAGTGGAGTGAGTGAGCTGGGTAATAAAATAGCACTAAAATTCAAGAGCCAGATGAGAAAGAGAGCAAACTGTGGCTGAAACAAAAGGTAGAAGCAACATTAGTAGTAATCACATTAACTATGGGAGATCTGCTATTGTCTATCTCTCTAAAGACGACGACCTTAATATCGAGTGTGTTTAGATATGAACCCGGAAATGTTTTGTGGACTTATCTCCGGGGAAATTACGGAAAAAACAAAAAAAAAGCCGTGTGGTTTGGTTTGTAAACAATTTTTATTTCTTTTTTTTTTTCTTCTGAGTGCCTGTGGAAAAACACCACAGTACACAGAAGAGGATATGTGAGAAAAATAAAGCCAGCCATCAGTGTATAGAAACGGACCAATCACTGACAAAAGTGTAAAAATAATGAGAAGAGAAGTGTGTGTAACTTTTTTTGTAATTGTGTAAAAGGAGAAGCAAAGTTGGCTTTTAACTGCAAAGACAATAAACGAGACAATCAGCTTTACCCCCCAATTGGTGCAAAATGTAAACAAACGACAAAGACGCAAAAGGAGACACAAAGAACAAAGTGACCATCATTTACTTTTACACACAGACAGAGACACAGACAGAGACACAGACACTACTCTATGACTTCCCTTTGGATGACCACAACACGTGCAAAGATTCAAGGTGAGCCGATTATCTGATCATTGACATCAGTCACGTATCTTTTATAGTTTTCAAGTATTACCCACCTGATATATATATCTGCCTATGTATCTACGAACAAAAGGGGCAAAGTGAGTGACTACTTTTCTTCTATTCTTTTGTTTCCTTTGTTTCCTTTGTGTATATGAGTGACTGTCTCTTATTGTTTTGTCTAAATGATTTTTCATACTTCAAATGTTTTGTCCTCGACTAAAAATTAAAACCATTCATTACTATTCGTGAGCATTAATTGCAATTAAAAGGTTTTTATCTCTCGTGTGTCAGCGTGGGATGGTGTATGAGCGTTACATACATAACTCACATTAAATTGAATGCAAACCACACATATGACTTTCCTTCGTGTGTCGTTTTTCTTACCAAAATTAATGACGTAGTGTATGAGAAAAGCTTATCTTTTCTTTTTGGCCCTATGTATGAGAGAAACATTGTAGATGTATATATACGGAGTGACTTTGAAGGGATATTTTTTTTTTTGTCTCAATTTTATTTATTTTGGGCGTTTAATTTAAAATTAGAGTTAAAATGTGTATGTGCTATGTGTTATGTGTTATGTGTTTGTGGTTGTGTTTGTGGTTGTGTTTGTGGTTGTAGTTGTGTTTGTGGTTGTGTAATTTAACTTTTGTATTTGAAATTGGTTTTCTTTTAGTTTGCTATTCTTCTGTTTGTTCCCAATTTCAATTTTTATAAAAATCCAAATTGGGTTAAAATTAAAAAATTTTGTTCATCAAAAGTTCAATTTCCTTTCCCTTTTCTTCTTCTTCTTTTTATTTTTACAGAAGAGGTATATATTCCAATTAATCACCACCACCACCACCACCACCACAATCGTTCTTTTTTACTGTTGTTATATTTTTCCTACAACTAAGTCACAATGCACAGAACCTATTCATTAAGATCTAGTAGAGCACCAACTGCTTCTCAATTGCAAGCACCACCACCACCACCATCATCCACCAAAAGTAGATTCTTTGGTAAAGGATCCATCAGTCACTCTTTCCGTAAATCAGCAGCTGGTGCTCTTGGTCCAGAATTGGCTAGAAAATTGGCAATTTTGGTCAAGATGGAGAAGAATTTGATGAGATCGACTGAAATCACTTCAAGAGAAAGAAAGGATGTTGCTAAGCAATTGTCTCTCTGGGGTGAAGGTAATGATGATGATGTCAGTGATATCACTGATAAATTGGGTGTCTTGATTTACGAAGTTGGTGAATTGGAAGACCAATTTATTGACAGATATGATCAATACAGAATTACTTTGAAAAGTATTAGAGACATTGAAGGATCAGTCGAACCTTCAAGACAAAGAAAACAAAAGATTACTGACCAAATTGCTTACTTGAAGTACAAGGATCCTCAATCACCTAAAATTAATGTATTGGAACAAGAATTGGTTAGAGCTGAAGCTGAATCTTTGGTTGCTGAAGCTCAATTGAGTAACATTACTAGAGAAAAGTTGAAAACTGCCTTCAACTACCAATTTGACTCTATTAGAGAACACGCTGAAAAAATTGCTTTAATTGCTGGTTACGGTAAGGCTCTTTTGGAATTATTGGATGAAAGTCCAGTTACTCCAGGTGAAACTAGACCAGCTTATGATGGTTATGAAGCTTCTAAGCAAATTATCATTGATGCTGAAAATGCTTTGGCTTCTTGGACTTTTGACTCTGCTGTTGTTCGTCCAACTTTGTCTTTGGCTGCCCATGACGACGAAGCTTACCATGATGATGAATTGGCTGATGAGACTGAAAACTTGAGAATTGCTGAACAAGATTTCGATCAAGGTCAAGCCGCAGTTGCCGATCATGCTTAGAAAAGTGAAACAGAGGAGAAGTGAGGAGCATACAGAAACAGAAGAGAAGTGAAACAGAGATGTGAAGGAAGTCTTTGATAAGTTAAAAAATTTGCATTATGCATGAGGTCGTATTTTTTTGTTTTGTAAATTTATTATTAATAATTTTGTTGTTGTTTCTAACTACTATAGGTTGATAATGTTTTTGAAATTTTGAGATTTTGGTGTAAAGAACTAACCTCTTTCACTTTATTATGTTGAGTACTATCATTCCCTCCTATGCTAAACCCGCCTCTCTGTATACCCCCCCCCCCCCCGCCTCATGGGTATAAGTTTGATTTGAGTTTGGTTGCAAAAACCAGACCGAACCAAACCAAACCAAACCAGACCACAATCCATATACAACTTTAGAAAGAGGATATGATTTGGGAAACCCATTTTCCTTTTTCAAGAGAGAAAGAAAGTCTACTAGTGGGGTAAGGGGGTTTGGGAGAAGGGAGAACAATCAGAACCTATGAATTCATTACAAAAGTAATCTTTAAAATTAAGTAAAAATACTATTTAATTTATTTATGGAACCCACGCCAAACTATTTGATGGATTTAAAGGTCGAAGTTAGAGATGCAGGCATTCTCACTAGTTTTTGAGAACTAGTTAAACAAAAAATATCTTAGCTTGGCTTTGGCTTCCTCACTTTGATATAGAGAATCATGTCCTGGCTCACTTACTTATACACAGAATGGTATCACATTCCATTTGCCGAGTTTCAACAACAAAACGCCGTTCAGATTTTTTTGAGTATAAATACCTAACCCTTTGGGCTCTCATTAAGTCCAGAAATCATCCAAAGGACGCTTTTACTTTTTAGAATTAATTCAAAAGTATTTGAAAATTCAAAGAATATTTTATGTCGTTAAGTATATCTTTTACAATACACCGGACGGCATATTGTCTTGTCACTACTTGAGATTAATTGCAAAGTTTCCATCTGATATGACTTTCAAATATAGTTCGTGGGAGTCATAAAATGAAAAAGATAAAGGATCGAGGATCTCAATTAATATATACATATATATAGCAAACTAATAATAGGGGAACAATGTGATCACGTGAATTGAATCCACACTCTCCCCCTTTCAACTTCAAAATACCATTTTTAAAAAATTAAAGAAGAGTGATGATGGATATAGTGAGGTTTCTGCTACTAGTATTCCTGTTCTGCTTTATACATATCTCTACTGATGGAAGGTAATGAATCAGTGAAGATAAAGAAAATGTGTGTACTTGTGTGCTTGTGTTTAGAGTGGTGTGGTGTCTAGTATCACAAAAAACGCGTAAAACATGTTATAAATTTGTGTTGTAAATTTGTGTTGCATTTGCTTCTTCTACTTTTTTGTTTGTCATGGCAAGCTTTGGCAAAGACGATTTTGATAGGAGGAGGTAGTGATAAAGCCAAAGTCTTAATTGGATATAGAGAGGAGGAAACTACTAACTATAAGATATATATTTGATGGATGGTACTTTACTTATTTACTTACATCTAGAGAAGACACGTTGAAGCAAAAACGTAAACAGACAAAAGAAAATAGAAGAGAAGTCCAATCACAATCAGTTTTCGAGGAAAGCGAGGCAGTGTTTAAAGAGAAAGAGAGCAACTAACAGATGAGTTAATTATTTATTAAGTAAAGATTATTAAAAACTGTAACATTGTTGGACTTTTATTTTCATTTACTTTACTGATGTGTAGTAGTTAGTTTCTCCCAAAAGAGAGAGAGATCGATTGAGGCGGAGAATGAAATCATCTTTATTCTTGCTTCTTTCTCCCTTTGTTAATAGATCCTTCCTTTCTGTATATACATGTATCTTCTATTGTATAGTTAGTTACTTGTTGGTTGTTTGTGTGAGTTGCTGAGTTATTCTACTGCGTTTCATCTTTTAACATAAAGTACAAAAGAAAATCTCAAAATATAAACAACAAACAAAACAAACAAACCAAACCAAACCAAACCAAACGAAAGAAAAAATTTAATAACTAAACAGAAGGATAGATATACTTCTATTTCTAGTTACCACGGAATATACACATTCATACAACATAGCATAGCATAAAATATCAAGATTAACCAACCTTTGCTAAACCAACTAATCAACCAACCCACCCGACACGACAATTTTGTCTATCATTTGCTGACTTCAATAGCTAAAATTATACAACAACATATCATAATCAGTATCATCAGTAGTTTACTTTAGAATTGCTTCAATCTAACCAATACATACTCCCCTCCTCCCCTTTCACATACAGTCGCTTTTTTTCCACCACAACTTCACCCTTCGGTTAGTTCAATTCTAGCTATAATAGCGTCATCACCAGACAAGCTTCTTCCTCATTTTCAGCTTTAAAATTTGCTTCCCCTTTGCCATCAAGACCTACACAGCCTTCATAACTGTTGGAAATGTCGCATGAATTTCTACGTTCTTCACCTGCTCGAGATGATCTGAGTAGCGACTCGAAACTGAATAGGGCCTCTTCTATTGTGAAAACACCAGCTACAAACAAGGTAACGTCGACACCATTCCATAAATCATTGGCACAATCAGCAAAGAAAATACATGCTTCACAATCACAGCAGCAACAACAACAGGCTCCTTCGTTGACAATACCACCATCAGCGTCGAAATTGACAAATCAACTATCAAGCCTAACTGGCTGGACCCCACTCATTTCAAAGACTTATTCTAATGAACAGATTATTTCATTCAACTCCACACCAAATAAACTATTTATATCATCGGCATTACTGCAAGCACAGATACAACCACAACTACTAAATCAACCACAACCACCACAACCACCACAACAGCAGCTGCAGCAGCTGCAGCAACTGGTCCCACCAAGTGCCAACACATCAACAAACTTTGCTCCAAATTACAACGCCAATGACTATGAGTATCAAAATTTTGGATTGACACCATTCATCAGTCACAATTTCAACTTCAACTTCTTGAGTGGTAGTAATCAAGTAAACAGTGTAACACCATTCAATGAAAAGATTTTTCAACAAAATTGTGAATTTTTCATCGATTCTCCAATAAGGTCAAATAAAGATGGCGCTGATGCATACAATACTAGTTTGAATTTTGAAAACTTTAGCATAACTCCATCGAGGTTCAACTTGAATACAGTTGCAAGTAATCGAAAGGTTTTACAAGATCCTTTGAAAAGTGCAACAAAGAGAAGTATCAATATGGTGGATACCCCGCCAAGAGTTCCTCACAAATTGAGCATCATTACCCGAGCTGAAAATGAAGACAATGAGAAGGAAGTAATTAAAAAAGAGGCCAGTGCACCTGATGACGACAAGGACACTGAAGATGAATCAGATAGTGACGATGAAGATGAAGCCCAATTGCAGGCAAAATCGCCAACTATTACCAGTCGAGTAAAGAAAGAATTGATAAAAGATGGGAAAAAAGAGAACGATGATATTGACAGTGAAAATAGTGTACTACTACCACAAACCCCATGCAAAAAGAGTCTGCAAGATGTGTCTAATCAACCCAAATTGAGTTTCAACACGCCGACAAATAAACAAACAAGGCCCGAATCCCCATCAACAATACTAGTAGCATCCACTGAGAGACTTTCAAAAATTAGCCTTGATGCTGGTCTCGATAACAAGGCGATGGCTAAGCTTGATGAAAGAGAGGATGACGAGGATGACAAGGAGAATCAGCCTCCACCAAGTCCCACTCCAGCAAAGATTTCAAACCAACCAAAGATGGGGGTATTTTCTGAAGCCAAGCCAAAGAAAGTCATGGCAAAGCCAAAGCATATCAGCAGGTCTTCCATGGATACAACTACTACAACAACCTCTTTCAAATCAGGTTGTACTTTCACCACCACATCTTCGGGAAAGACACTAGACGCTGGCAAAGCGAAAGACCCCAAGAAGTCAAGGGCAGAAAATAAAGCCCGAATGCAAGCAGGAATGAATAAATTTCAGATTGTTTTAACTGACGTGAATTCGATATCGGGGAAGAAAAAGAAATCAAATAGTTGTAATAATGGTGTCGTTGTCAAGAAGGATTCCAAGAGTAAACCAAGCATCAAGATGGAACCAACTCAATCGGTGCCCATACCGCTACAACCACCACAATTGCACCCTCAACTGTCATCAATCATGGACAATCATAATGTAACAATCTCTTCGTCGAAAGAACATAATAATAGTAGTATACTATCGCACAACAGCATGAACTCAAGTCACCTCAACTTAACCACAGATCATTCGTCATTTGAAATTGGTGGACACGGCAGTGGTGGATACTCATCAACTCCCAATTCAAAAATGTTGCTTGATAAAATATTTGAAAAACCTTCACCTAATCAATCACTATTCTTTGCTCCTCAAGCTCTGCAACCACAAAATGTACAACAACAGGGGCTACATGTGTCTTACCAACAACCAATGCCCATGCCGCCACCGCCACCTTTACCGCTGGGCCAAACAGAAAATAGCAGCGTTTTAGGTAGCAAGATGCATCCTCCACCAACTACGGCAACAGCAGTTTCACAACAACATCAACAGCAGCCACTGGCATCGTCTACTCAGACAAATAGAGGACCAACTTTTGTGCAATACCCCGTGATGTCGATGATGTCAACACCACAACATTCACATATATACAACGTGGGCGACCTTATGCCCAATGGTCAAGCCACAGGTTCTCAAGCACCGATGTCGACGTCGTCGTCGTCAGCAGGAAACTTTATGCAGATTCCATCGCCATGGAATTTTACTTTTGGTACGCCACTGGGCTTTTCTACAATATTTAGTAATTTGCCATTCGGACAAACTACTACCACAGCCACTACGGGAAATGGTGGTGGAGCTGGTGCTGCTAATCTGTCGTCTTCAAGTGCAAGCAACACTGCTGCTGCTATAGCTGCTGTCGCTGCAGCCTCTTCAAGTGAGACAAGAGACAATTACAGTTGAAAAAGAGGTGTATTTCAAATCATCAAAAGACTAATCTTTCCCTGCCTCTTCTATTTCTAGATTCAATTTATAAACGTTTTAATAAACACACTGGTTACGGAAAACACAACGTAGACAAACATATCACCTTCACATCACATCTCTCGTTGATACACACATATTTATATATATCTATTTACAAGCGTAGAGCCATTCCATGGCTGGGTGCATGGCTGGTTTGAATTATAAATTTGGCGGTAAGAGCAAAGCACCAATAACACCCGGCCGCTCAGTACTCAACAAATCATAAATCTGTCCGGCATTAGTTGAATCACTAATTTCCAATTGAATCCCACATTCACTAAACCAAGTGCGATTGTCTTTATTCAATAATCGACTAGTTTTGCCGAGTCCCACGACAACCAATTCCGGCTTGGGGTGTATCTTGGCAAATATTTGTAGGATTGATGGCATGAATGTAACAATATGATTATCGATTGTGCAATTAACCTCTTTGTTTTCGCCCTTCTTACTCTTGTTGTTGGTTAATTTCACTTCAAATGTTTCCGAGCCCAATAAACACAACCCAATTAGATCACCATTCGAATCAGGCGATTGGATGAAGTAATTGTTGGATAAATGAAACCCATTATGCTTGATACTTTCGATATAATTTTGCGGTTTCGTTGAATACATTAATATGTCATTCTGCGTCAAGATGTCGGCAGGGTTTGATGATACTTGGGTCTTGGCCAGAGGTTTAAGTAGTTGCTCGGGGTTGGCGCTTAGTTTGCCCTTGAGTGATTTCGAGCTGGTGGGTCCTCCACCGAATAGATTATGTGATGGTGGTGTTGTGTGGAGATGATGACGTATGGCTTGTGGCTTGGTGAGCAACTTTGAGATTCTAGCAAACAGTAGTATGTACTTACTGGAACTGAGTGGTTGTTGTATCATCATTGCTATTGTCGATGTGACTGAAACGAATATGGGGGTAATAAACCAGATGTCATTAAAGGGGTCTCGAGTTTTTTTTTTCGTTCTGTACTTTTTCAGTTGCAAAGTTTAAATCCTACAATGGCAATTACTTATTTCAAGGCATAATTTATATGTCTATAACAGTTTTATTTCTCTATATGAACTATCCAATATTTTTAAGAGCTTGCCTGAGATTTGGCCAATTTCTTTCTTTCAGACTTGATCCTGTCATTGATTGCAACTTTACATCTTTCATAAACATCGAGTCGCAATATCTCCCTGCCTTCAGTATCTTCCAACAATGTAACTGATCCCGAGCTTGCACCCGGTTCTGAACCAGATCTAGAACCAACACCAGCACCAGTACCCACACCATTGTTTGTCTTTGGGCCCGACTTTTTGTCATCAGGTTGAAGTAGTGGTGGATTAGCTACCGGATTATACAATTCGTCAAGTTTTAGCTGCAGTATTGAGGGTTTTGTTCGAAGGAGTGTTTGCGAATCTCTCCTGGCTGGCTTTGCAGACAATTTTACAGGAGACTTCGTATGCGGCTTTGTTGGTGATGATGATGGTGACGACGCCACTGACGAGTTACCAAGAGACAATTTCGATACCGAATGATTAAGCGACTTGGTAGGTGACGCCACAAGTGGATGCAATTTAGTATATTCATCGTATATCCTCATCACTTGTACGTGAGTTGCCAATAGCACAAGATAATTTCTTATAATTTTCAGCTTCTTATCCTGATTAATGATAAATTTTGCATTTGGCAGGGTGCACATAACTTTAGCTATTGCAGCAAGAGCAATATTGTATCGTTTCAAAAACGGGACTTTATGCTCAATATATATCTTCGACCCACTGAGTATACTTGCAATTGACTCCATTGTGTGGTGCTGTGAAATGGGGAAAAGGGTGAATTCAAATAACTTCGACTTGCGTTCTTTATAATCTAAAAAGGGCGGAAATTCATCTTTATCTGAGCCAGTATTCGTTGATTGGTCACGTACGGGACTACCCGGCCGTGACAAATTAACAGGCACTTCATTAATAAAGCACATCGCCCGAAACTTATTCTTGATGAAATCAACCACTACTCGATACTCATCATCAAGTAGAATTGCTTCAAATTTGGCGACATTATAGGTCTTGTCTAGTTTGGTAAATGTTGGGTCATTATCAAACACCACCACTACCTCTGTATCTGCATACTTCAATTTACCATCCTGGCCCACCAATGAGGCTAATTTTTTGATTCGTAGTCTTTTGAATAGATATAATAGTGACTTGATTTGTAAATTGATTGAATCGATTGATGGATCAAATGTGGGTATAGCTGTGGGGTCTGGTGATATAAATACATTGAAAAGACCCATTTTTTAAATCAAATTTCTGATCCATCCAACCACACGAGCTGAGTTTTGTATAGACGCGTGCTGAGTTTTAAAGGTTGTCTCACTTCTGAAATAAGTAGATGTCTTTGGTTGATCTTCTTGTATTTGATTCTTTCGTTTTTGTTTACATCCTTCCCCAAAGAGAATAGTTACACAAAGTATTCAAAATCACCTGGTAGCTCTTAAAACACATACCTTTTATTCACAATTAATTGCCGACTTTTCAACTTTGTTCCTATTAGAGCCAACTTATTCAAAAAACAAGAAAGATTGATAATAGAAATATGTCGACACAGTCTGGTATAACAGTTTCAGAGGAACTTTCCAAAACAGTCAAAGATGACACTTCAACTATACTAATCAAAGTCTCGCCTGACTCAACTCAATTGATTCCCGAATCGTCCTTCCCTCAACCCAATTCCAGTTCCCTTTCCTCCATCTTTGATGATTTACACGCGTATATATCTAAGCAATACCCACAGCCAGTATATATAATCTTGCCTTACCAGTCATCCAAGGTGTTTATATCATTTATCCCCGATTCTGCTCCCATCAAGCAAAAAATGTTGTACGCATCAACCAAAAATACGTTGTTATCAAATTTGGGTTCGTCCAGTTTCGCTTATAAATTAGCTTGGACTGAATTGGATGAGTTGAACGCAGAGTATTTGCAAAAAGTAATTAACGAGGATGGTGCTACCGGCCCACTTACCGAAGATGAAAAGATATTGCAGAATTTGAATAACAAGAGCCATATACAAGGTTACGGGCACGGATTCAAGAAGGAACTAGCAAGCATGTCATCTCAAACGTCAAGTGCTTCTGATATCTTGTATAAATTTGATGATGAATTGGCAAATGAGTTTAGCAATTTAACCAAAAATGCAAACGACTACCGGCTATTGGTATTCAATATTGACTTGAGTAATGAAGTGATTAAATTGACCAGCAAGAATACCAACGTTGAGTTGACTAGCTTGGTGAAGAAACTACAAGATAATTCTCCTTCAGGGCCCACTTATTCCATCTACAATTATGCCCCACAAAAGTACACATTTATTTATAGTTGTCCATCGGGTTCTTCAGTTAAAGACCGGATGATCTATGCCGCTTCTAAAAACAGTTTAATCAATCATTTGAAAACATACCTTAATCAGGACGTAATTTTGGATAAGAATTTAGAAGTGGGAGATTTGGATGAGTTGGAGTTGAGCGAATTGGAAGTCGTCGATGATAATGATGAGGTATCAGGATCAGGATCTGTTACTCCTGCATCTACTTCGTCATCTGCTTCAGCTACTAAACCATCTACGGGGTTGAAGTTTAGTAAACCAAAGGGCCCACGTAGGAGATAGCGGTAGTATGGTCTACGATTAAACCGATTTTTAACTTTGTTTACATAAATTTGTACGAATTATCTGTCTTTGTATTTCTATGTTCATTGTACGTAATCATTATATGTACTCATTTATCACTTGTTTCAACTTGGCTTCATTTTTAAAAAACTCGTCCATTTCATCAGCTGCATTGACAATATGTGCATAAATATTTCGAGATATACGTTTGTTAATAGCAATAAACTCTTCCTCATTTGATATGCAACCCGCTTCCTGTGAGCCAGGTTTGTACCTGGGCTTTAATTTACTTCGGACAATCTTTTGAATCACAAACTTCTCCTCCAAGGTTAGTTCTCGTGGTTGTGTGTGCTCATTATCATCGCTCGAGTAAGACATTGATTCTATTGGACTGTTGCCCATTGACGCGGCAGAATCCGATGCCGACGAGGAGGGAACTATGTTTGAAGAAGCAAGCGCAAGATGTATCGCTGTTGCTGTTGCTGTTGCTGATGACGATGACGATGACGATGACGATGACTGCTCTGCTGTTCCATGTTGCTTCTTTGTATGCCTAAGTTGATCAATCAAACTTGATATTCGACTCTCTTGCATAACTGAATTAGGTAAAGGATCAATTGCTGATTGTAATTGCAACAGCTGAGGCGACGGGGGAGACAATATTGGTTCAGCAGCCCTTTTCCTCCTTCGCCTGCGCCTGCTACGATCTTGAGTGGTAGTTGATGAAAACACATCAATATCTACATCGTCGCCTGATTGGTTGCGTGCTTGTTCAAACATGTCCCACGAATTCACCTCTTCCTCACTCAACCTCAGTTTCAATTTCTGTTCTCTTCGTAGTATCACTCCTCCATTAATTACATTGCTGGCTCGCGGCACATCGTCTTGGCATGATTGTAAGTTGCTAAATACTGGCATCGGTTCATCATCGTACAAGAAACTATCATCGATTTCGTCATTGTCATTCCGTATCACCAATTGTCTTGAAGATGGCGTTTGCCTTCTTGTAATTCCTGAAAATAATGCTCTTCGTATTGGTCTCATGGGCAAAATGGTTTCTTGATTGTAGTCACACATGGGGCAATACCAGTTAAAGTAGTCGTCGGTAGCCACATCACTAATCCCAAGACAGCTCAAATGGAAGCTTGACGCACATTGCTGACATGGCAATAGAGGTGCATTGCGTCTCGTTCTCGTGCAAAGACAGCAAAACCCAGAGTCTAAACTATAAGGGCCGAGATCTTCTGTATCATTGCGATGGTCATCCGAATTGACGATAAACTGGGATGGAATTTGGTTTATCGCGGGATTAGGCAATAGCTTATCTTGAATCTGGATCGTTTTCGATACCGTGCTTGGGCTGGACTTTACCAGAACATGTATTGTATGGAACCTGTTTCTGCACATGGGGCAGCTATTAGATTTAGAGGCCCAGATTTCAATACAGGCTTGATGATAAAATCGACTGGGGCAACAGGATATTTTTCCAACATGATGTGTTGGTTGCATGTGCTCCAAACAAATCATGCATTCATCTAAATGTGACTCATTCATTCGTGCTAGCGGTGTTGGTAGTGGGCAATATATTGTAGATGGATCTTACGGAACACGGTATTTCTTGTCTTTTCAAGTATCAATAGTGGAGGTTGCAAAAATAAAAATAAAAATAAAAATAAAAATCGAAACTAAAACGAGAGAGAAAGGAGCGGGGGTGTGTGGACTTTATTCATTTTTATAAAGGGGGAACAAAAGAAAAATTAGAAACTGAGAATAACGTTATACACGTGACCCCTACCCCCATCAAAAACGCAAAAACGCCATCACAACGCCACTAGGCATCTGCTCAAAATCACTTTGCGCAGATCTTTTCATCTCCTTACTTAGAATAATCATCAAAGGCACTTCAGTCACCTGCGATGTCACGTCATCAGTATGATCTCGTACAGTGTATGAAACAACCAGGCAAATATATTGGCCAGGTCTGCCCCAACTGTGATGGCCGATGCCCTATATGTGATTCGTTTGTCAAGCCCACAGCAAAAGTCCACGTTTGCCAAGATTGTTCACAGGGGCATCTAATAAACAAGTGCTTACTATGTGGTATTAATTTGGGGATAAATAACGAAAATGCAACTGATGCATATTATTGTTTGGAGTGTTGCCGTTTGGAGAAGCATCGAGAAGGATGTCCTCGTGTGGTTAATGTTGGCAGTAACAAAATTGACTTTATCTTTCTGCACCGAAAAGATACAACCAAGTCATTGGAGAATATATAGTATCAGAAATCAATTTGTGTTTATTTAAACTAACATATATACTAGCTTCCTTTTGATCTATCTACTTCTCTTTGCTTCCTCTATTTTCAATTCTAATGCAGTATTTATGCCTTGCCTCCAATGTTCTTGTAAGTAATCTCGAGCTGGCTTAAACTCATCTAATTGGCGTTTCTTTCGTAACGTATTCACATCCTCAATCATTTTTCTTTTATTATTCACATTTGTTTCCAAGTCCTTCTCCAAATCATTAAGCTCCTTCAAATGATGTAGTTGAGAGGCGTGTAACTCTTGCCTATTGTCCACCAACATATCCAAATTACGTTGCTGTAATGTCGCATGTCCTAAGGTCGTGTACAAATTATCGTAATTTATACTCTCTTCTGCTTGAGTTGATGACGATTCTTCCAAAGGCGAAGACAATGCAAAGTTGGTGTACTTGGTCAAATCTACACCTTCATTCATATGTTCATCATCTTCAGCATCCGAGTCTTCTTCCTCTTGATATCGCTGTATGCTCATTTCTAACATTGTACTCTGAATCCCATTTGGTGGAGATATCAAAGTTTCAACTAGAGGGTGCATGGGCATATTCCCTAAGTCCAGGCCTATAGGAGGCTGTAACTGTAACGCATGGTCTTGTAGATGTTGTAATGGTTCCTGTTGCTGGCTATGTTGAAGACGAGTTACCGGCGTCTGGGTTGTACCAACTGGCTGATGTGTGAAAGTCGTGAAATTAGTATTAAACTGGTTGGCTAGTTCCAACCGTATCAACTGCTCGACATTTGCCCTTTCTTCTGGACTGATATTTTCATCGATGTATGGTAGGTGCTCCACAGGTTCATAACCAATCGAAACCATATTGAAACAAGTAAACTATTATTGGTAAAATGAGGGTAATATGAGATATTATAAAGAATCTGGTTGGACTTTGCTATATTCCAGTATAATGATTGCGAACTATACTGGTTGTACTATATATCGGTGTGAATACTAATGAGTATATATATAAAGGAATAGTGATTGGTATGGACTGGGTTTTTGTTGATAAAATATTATAAAGCTATTCTCATCTATTACACCACACTTTGTAGTCTACGCCCAGTAAACAAAAAAAATTCTTTTCTTTCTTTCTGTTGTTATTCCTAATCAATTGGTTTTGTGTGTCTGGCATTTACTTTCTCCTCAAAGAAAAACAATGAATTCCGTTACCGGTTTGAGCGGAATATTATCCCATTTTGTTAGCAAAGGAGTTTTGCAACATTTGGTGCCATTTGTAGCAGAGGCTTGAAGTATTTCAAAACAAGCGCAGTTGTTTTGATATCATTTACGATTCCAGTCATTCTGTAATCGGTTGAGCCAGATTGTAACACTTTACAAGAGATTCAGTTTGCATATGTTTCAACGGAAATTTAGCCCCACTTAGCAACTTGTCCTACTCATACTACAGCATAGTAGGCATTTGTAGACACAGATTATAGAAGTGGTGTCGCTTACCAACGCCAACCACAATGTGCACTTTGACAAAGCTGTGATATCCTCTATTTCAAGCTCTAAGAGCTTACATGCAAATCGCCATTTGCAACATAGGCTATCCTTGCACCTATGCTCATTTGGTGCTATCTAGGCATACATGGGTCACATCTGTCTGCATAGGTCGGCGGTGTAAATTTGGCCTGAATATACTTTTCTACCTCTACACTACATCTTCAGATCACTACAATATAATTATTTTCCGAAAGGGTTGTTTTTGCATTAAACTAATGACGAGGTTATATATTAAACCATCAATTCAACACATTTATTTGTCCAAAACATCAGCATCGTATTTGGTCTTGAACCATTGGATGGTGTCGTCTTTGTTGGTCTTGTGGTTGTTACCGATAGTAGATCTAACTCTCTTTCTTCTAGTAACTCTGGCACCGGCTCTTCCCATAACAACGTAAAAGTCCATACCGTAAATTCCAATAGATGGGTCATATTTGATACCCAAATCAATGTGTTCGTCAATACCGAAACCAAAGTTACCGGTAGCTGAAAAGTTTTTGTTTCTCAATTGATATTCCTTGACTTTCAATCCTCTTTCCAAGATTTCTTCAGCTTTTGGTCCTCTAACTGTAACGTGGACGGCAATCTTTTCATTTCTTCTGATACCGAAGGTTCTGACAGTGTATCTAGCTTTTGATTGGACTGGGGTTTGACCAGACAATTGTTCCAAAACCTTAGAGGCTCTGGTTAATCTATCACCGGATTCTCCGACACAAATGTTCAAGACTAATTTCTCGATACGCAACTCACGCATAGGGTTTTGGGCTTTGGTAGACTATAGGGGTAAAATGTTAGTACTTATCCTTTGTATGGTGAGACTAAGATCAGGCTGATTATTCAAAAAAAAAGGAAGAATCTTTCGACTGTGGCCACGTTTCAGGATCCAGTTCATTCCAAAGGTACTAAAACGTTGAAAGCTCACTGGTGGAAAATTGTATCAACTTCTTCTGCAGGTTGTTGTAGATTACATCTCGATGTGACCTGGCACTCAATGTTCTCATCTCTCCTTAATATCTTGACTCCACAAATCACTTGCTCGTGCCAATCAGCATGATATTATACTCTCACGTTCGCAAAGTGTTATGACATACCATCTTTGGCTGTTATTTTGTATATGACGTTGTTTGGATAAACCTTTTGTACAAGCTCAAATAAATTTTCACCTAAACAGTTTTGTTCTATTGAATGAGAGAGAGAATATTGGAATTTTGTGTGCGTCGTCATGGTAGCGAAGTAAAAAAAGAGAAAAAACAAAAGGTTCTTGCCCTGGGTAGTCATGTGATGAGTTGTGACAAGCTTTTTTTTCTTCGACACTTTGTATTTCATTTGAATCTATAGAAAGGATTCTCCACACACACACACACACACACACACATACGATCTCCTTACTAGAAGTGATTCATGGTACCGATGCTATAGATCAACCGTCAACATTCACAAATGATTTTTCCTTTTCTTTAACTTCCCAGAATAAATCACCAACATTGTAATTACCATGATATACCCACCCTTCTTCATTCACGTGGTACAAGTTAATTGAACCACCAGAGTATGCATCTCTATGAGTAGCAGCCAAGATACTTCTTTTACCCAAGTACAATGCCTCTTCGACTGTTAAATCCCATTTTAATTCGGAATCCAATACACCATAAGCAAATGTTTGACCTGAACCTACACAAAACACGTCACCTTTCAAACGAGTTCCATCAGAATCGACATAATAGATAGTAGGTCCTTCTTTCTTTGTATGACCACAAACCATTGTTCCCATACTCAATCCCATTCCTTTGTAGGAATACACCAAGTTACTTAATATCTTTGAAGCTGCAGCGACCGATATTCTCTCCTTCTCTCTCAATTCGTGTAATCTACATTGAGTTCCCAACCACGTCTCCCAAAATTGACAATCTGCGGCACCACCAGCCATTGTACCTAGTAATTGAGGATTGATTCTGATAACTTTGTTGACTGTTTGCGAAGCGATCCAGTTACCAGCGGTAGCACGAGAATCAACGGCAACGATTATACCTCCTTGAAAACGAAATGCTAAAGTGGTTGTACCATGCGCTATCTTGATCTTACAATCTGGATTCTTTGAATCATCGGTATGTGCTCTCAAAAAGTCAGTAGGTTGTGAAATAGGTGGAACGGCAATTGATGGTGCCAAATTGAGTTGTTGGTGGGACGAACGTGATGCATTGATTTCACTTATTTCATTTAACACATCATTGTTTTGCGAATTGGTATACCTTTGAGCTATGGAGTTCATTGTTAACTAATGGCTTCACGAGCTGTGGATGTTAGGTGTAGGCTTGGAATGTACTAGTTTATCGTTTGGGTAATATTCGCCACTAGATTATTATTCGATTGATTTTGGCGCTCGAGTGTCGCAAAAATTGCCATCTGGGTTAGCACGTGACCTTACATGGAAGATCACATACACCATTGACATTAAGAGCCCGTTTGCCGAGTCATCAACGTCCACCTGAGGAATCAAGATACGAGTTGAGTCTTACAATGCCATGCGTATATATACTGTACCTTCAATCAATTACATTTCTATGACGATATTGTTACATACTAGGTATTCTATTACCTCCTCATCATTTTAATCACTGAGTCTTTGCAGCCTTTGTTGGCTGTTCGTTATCATAGTTGTTTGACTCAACTTCTCTCTTAGTCCCACCTTGAAAAGTTGGTTTGTTCGACAAAAATGTTGGAGGTCGCGAAAGACTACTCCCAACTCCTGGCGGCTTACCATATGCTTGTGGTCTTGCATAAGACCCCGGCCTTCCCAAATTTGGTGGCTTTCCAAACAGTGGTCGAGGCAATGGTGGGTCTTGTGCAATTTTTGCCGTGCGATTAGGTAAAGGCAGCGTCTCCAATTTTGGTTTTGTAATTGGTTTAGCGGGCGGGCTTGTGAGCTGAATTGGAGTCGATTGTGGGGTAATATGTGTGGTTTGACCCAGAGAGCCTCCGGAAGACGTTGGTTGCAATGTGTTATTGGTCACAGAACTAGGCTGTACCAGAGCTTCAGCTGTATTGCGATTGACTGGCAATCCTTGGTTCTCCACCATAGTATTGTTCGATTGCTGTCCATGTTGCTGAGAAGGATTTGGCACAGGGCTATTTCGCGATGGAGTACTTTTGGCTGATGCCGGAACTGAAATACCTTCATACTCCTTGATAGACTTTGTCAAAGCAATATCGAGAATTTTGCTCACCTGTTGCGGCGCCTTTTCAACCAAAAAATTTAATGCATTATCTCCACATCCTGCTTTAGCCCCGATGTTATTTACTTGAGCTATTGTTGTTGCCAATGCTTTCGTAATAAGCAGGGTCGCTGTTGTCTTATCATATGCGACTTGGCGTGACTTGTACAAGCTGAACAATTCTGCTCTTAAATACTCTAAGGACCTTTGGGTTTTAGGATCATTCACAGATGGGGGAGACTGGGACGCTGTATTAGGTGTCTCTGGTTTCAGCATATCTCTAGACTGCCCACTTTTTGGTTGTATGCCACTGTTATATTGAGTAGCAGGTACGGTTCTTGCAACTGGAGGCTGCAAATTTCTATTGGCATACAATTGACTGCTAAGATCTTGTGGTCCCATTCTTTGAATTTGTCGTAATTCCTGTTGCCGAAGGATTTCCGCTTTCGTCATTGCATCGATATATTCCTTGTGTCTTGCTCTTACCGAGTCTCTCTCATTTTTGTATAATTCGTCCATAGTATAAAGCCACTCGTAACCTCTCTTTGCAACTCGTTTGAATATTTTTGTATTTTTGATGCAATGGGCTACAGAAGCCTGCCAGCCTTCTTGGCAATATTTAAAGTAAGGGTAGACTTCCTTTATTGCTTCGATGGTTTCATTGATGGTTAGTCCGGTTTTTGCTGCGGCTGTACTCAAAACATTAGAAACCATTGAGGTAAATGTCAAATTGGGTTTCGATCTATATTGCTCAGGTATCTCGTCAATAGAGTAAATCCGTTTTGGAGTTTTTCTTGGGATAACTTTTTTCCCCTTTGGTTTAGGAAACTGGGACTGCTGCTCGAGGGTCTTTGGGAAATAATACGATTTACGATGTGAGTAGTCTCCAACAGCAATGGCTCGCGAAGGAGGACGTAATCGAATAGCTCCAGGCTCTGAGGTTAAAAGGAAGACCGGTGCTTCCAATATCGGTAGTATTGCGTGTGGAATGCTCGAGTTTGCAAAAAACGGTAAAGATTTGTCAATCTGGCTAAATCTATTGTGAATGGAGGAAGATGAAGATGGTTGAATGGATGCAGGCTTCCCCATAAGTGGAGTCGAACGTAAAGGCCCTGCATTTTTTACAAAAGACGATCTGCGTTGAGATATATGATCCTTCTTTTGTTTCTTGGTTTCCTCCAAAGCCTTTCGTAATTCGTCCTTCTCCAAGATCAAGCTTTGATCACCCCCCTGAGACTTCAAATTGGCTATATCTTGGGTGAGCTGATTTATACTGGACTCGATTTCCAAGATTTCTTTCTCCATTTTTGCATCTAGCTCTATACCCCTGACCAAATCTAGCTCATCATCTTCATCATCGGCAATAGCAGATTCATTCATACGAGCAAGATGAATCACGCCATCGCCAAGACCCAACTCGTTATCCTCATTTAAGAGACTTTGGATCTGTGCATCAAGCAAATCCGACTCTTCTTCATCGATGTTTTCAATCGAAGTGACTCCTAAATCTCGTAATAACTCATTCAATTCGTCATCCGCAGCCGCAGATTTCCTTCTAGCATTCGATAATTTCCTAATTCTCAAAAGAGAATCCCGCCTGCTCATTGATTTTTTCCGTAAGGACAATTTATTGTCACTGCGGTTGGCAGGATCTTGCACATTCTTCAAAGGGGCCTTTTGAACAGGGGATTTCGAAAACAAATTAGATTTTAAATTAATAGCATCGCTTGGATTAAATTGCTTGGGGCCGTTTTGTTGATCATGCGTCTCATTTGGAGGTGCCGGTAGCACAAATCGGAAAGGTATGTCACCAATTTGAATTTTAACTCCATCGGTGAGAGGTATTGTGACCCCCTTTTCGACAAAAGTTTCATCCACAAAAGCTCCATTCTTTCCCAACACTGAAATCTCAAACCGTTGGGTACCAAAGTTGTAAAATATTTTTGCATGTCTTCTTGAAATAGCCTTTCTTTCTGACAAGTGTACATCCACATCTTGCTGTATCAATTCGTCGTTTGATTTCCGACCCAAAACCACTTGCAAAGTCTGAACATAGAACACATTGCTTTCAAAGTCTAGCCTAGCATATGCGGAGACGCGCGAGTGTGATGCCAGCTCATCTGCTTCTTGCTCCTGTTGGGTGCTGTTCCGCTTCGGTTTCTCCATTTTGTGTTTTGACTTATTTGCAGCATCATCTTGCGCTTGCAGTAAACTTATTTCTTGCTTCGATGAGTCGATGCTTTCAATCTTTGGGCTCGATATTGGCTGTAGGTTTGGGGTTTGAGAATTGCTCACAGTTTTCGAGCTCCCAATGTATTGTTCTTTGATGTCCATGTTGAAAGTTTGGGAGCCAGTTCTAGAATGTCCCTCATGTCTGTGTGGTTGTGGTTGTGGTTGTGGTTGAGAAGTTGTGAGCAACATGTTTAGCTCTTCATCAAGCATTAATCCTGCATCCACCTCGGGCCTCGGCGACTTTTGAGACTCAGAGTGACCCTGGTACGGTACTGCTTGCTCGGAGCTCTGAATATGTGTCAACTGTAGCTGATTCTCGGAGTGTGCCATTTTTGAGCTTTTCAAATCCTGCACACCACTCATCCCACCTGCTAAAGTAAAATAGTTGTGTATGGATTCTGTTTCTTGAGAAGTGTTCTCGATATTCAATAAATAAAATGACCAAGGAATGGTTTGTAGGAATTTAAAACTTTGTCTTGTACACCTGTAGTGTATAATTCACGAGATGAGTTTGTTTTGGTTTCGCTGTTATTGAAATTTTTGTACTTCACTTTCACTTTCTCGTTTTGACGCTGGTGATTCGCATCACAAAGGAAATTAGTAAAAATAGGAAGTACACAAACTCTAGCTGCAAAAATAGCCACAAATACGAAAAGACTCCGATTACAGCTAACACACCACGGTCATATTCGTTACAATGCATTTATACTTCACTTGCCTATGTCTTATCACTTTCAAGTTTTGTACTTCGCGAGTGATTTTTCCATCGCACAAACTGACCCAACAAGAAAGGGCTTTGTGTATTGATGATTTTCACCATATGAAAGCAAGATCCACATATGAAAGTTTGCCCAAAGTTTACGGGGTCAACTTGGGTGGATGGCTTGTAACAGAACCTTGGATTACACCTTCACTTTTTGAGACAGTAGAGAAGAGGTCTGGCCAACTTCCGGTTGACGAATACAATATATGTACCATCCTTCAAATCAAAGCAAAATCTTTTTTAAACTATCACTGGGACACGTTTTACACTGAATCTGATCTTGTAAAAATAGCTGGCTTGGGGTTAAACCTGATAAGAATACCTGTGGGATATTGGTCTTTCGGTTTATTACCAGATGATCCGTATATTCACGGACAAGAAAAGTATCTTGATTTGGCAATAGAGTGGGCAGAGAGATACAACATGAAGGTGCAAATTGGACTCCATGGTCTCCCAGGAAGTCAAAATGGATTTGATAATTCGGGATTTAGAACTGATAAACCTCAGTGGCTTGAAAATAAAGAGAACATGAATTTGGCCTACAAGGTTGTCGATTATATATTAAACAAGTATGGAAATATGCCAATTATACACAGCATTCAGGTCGTCAATGAGCCAATGGGGTGGATATTGAACAGAACAAAACTCTTGGACCTTTACCGTTTTGCCATAACTCCATTTGAAGAAAAGCATCTCAAGGCAAAACTAGTGTTGCATGATGCATTTTATTGCATGGAATTTTGATCTGATTTTGAGGGTGATTTTATTTTAGACCATCACTTGTACGAACGTTTCACTGAATGGGAAAATCAACTATATCTTCAAAGAGCATCTAGAGAACGTCAGAAGGCAGAGCATGAGATTGAAGAACACTGAACATCCTAGTATAGTTGGTGAATTCTCAGGTTCTTTAGATGATTGCACAAGGTTTCTAAATGGTGTGGGTAGAGGTTCAATGTGGGAAGTGATCTATTTAACAAACCACAAGGGGTGCTGCGATGGAAAAGATGATCCTGATAACATCACAGACAAAGGCGAGATAAGCCTATTTTTGAAACAGTAGTTTTATGATTTTGAAGAAAATGGTCTAGGCTGGATATTCTGGTGTTGGAAGACTGAGAAGTCTATAGTTTGGGATATGCAACGATTGGCGGAAAACAATATGTTACCAATTCCCTTGAAATTGTTTCCTAATGGAAATAAGACGAAAACTGAAAGCTCTTGGATACATTTAGTCAATGAGAGCTTTGAAGAGCAAATGTAACAGCCACTTTTTGCCAACGTCACAGTTTTTAAAGCAAAATCTTCAGCATTATGTTTTCCTTCAAGTTTGCTATCATTGTTTATGATTTTGCAAAGATTCTGGCATTAAAAATCACCTGCATAGTGGCATATTATAAATGACGAATGAGGAGAGATAGAATTGAACCTAATTAGAGGTTTTAAGAAATATGGACTAGTTCCAATGTTGGCACTCCCTACTATGGAATGACTGTACTTACTTTTGGCTGCAAAAGATAATATAACCTTATAGGATTTGACGCAAGAAGAGAGAGAAAAAAAAATCTACGAAAATCATCTCATCAACATCATCAAGCATCAAGCAACAGATATTAACAATGGTATGTCTCAACTGAATAGGTTATTATGAGCACTTTCTTATCAAAGAACCCTCCAGAAACTAAGTGACTAACACTATCAATAGGTGAAAATAAAGAAAAAATCTACCTTAAGAGATAAATCGCAACGTAAATCGCAACTTGCCAATAAGATTTCGGAATTTAAGGAATCATCACAACCACAAGATGAACCAGACTATCATGAAAACCCGTTGCTTAAAATTGCAAAAACTACAAAGAAGCAGAAGCAGCAAGAGAAAAGTGACAAGTTTATCAACAACTTGGTAAATAAAGTTACATTCAATACCAGTGGAAGTATTAGTAAGTCTTCATTGCGTAGACAAAAGAGGAAACAAAGGGAGCAGTTGAAGCCAAAGATGGATGAATTATTGCTGAGTTTGCCCACTGGAGAAGAGCCGCAAACTAAGCTGACAAGATTGGTCCAGATGCCAAAAACCGAGTTTGTTGATAATACTACAAAGACAAAGTCTAACAAACCCAACCCAACGAAGACCACGGGCCACAAAAAAATTATGATAGAAGAGCATAAGAATTTTGGTAACGTTTTGAAGAATCCCGAGTTTAGAAAGTCTCCATTTGATGCATTGAAAAGTGCAATTAAACAAAATATGAGTTAGGTTATGGCCTAGAGTAATATAGATGAGGCGTTGACTCTACGTGATGGAACAAATTAGTCCAGATGATGTATTGCGTTGCTTTATAACAACCGCATCAGGAGACGACTAGTCTGGGGATGATGGTGAAGTTAGGCACTCCTTCTACTAAGTTACACACCTTTTGTTGTGAGTGGATCGCAAGCGACACACTTTTTTATGAATAGTTTGACGCGGAATCAAAGTTTCCAAAGCCTTGTCTGATGCACGATTGAGCCAAAAGCATGAACTAAGAACGGCAATTTTTTTTTTCATGTGCAACTTGTCTGAGGAGGAAATGCTTAATGCGTACAAATTGTGTACTGCGCTAGAAAATAGCGCTCAAGTAAGTAGTAGCACTATGTATCCGTGTGTGTCTTTGGCAAAATCAGGTTGATTTGTTTTTAAGAAGTAGTTTGAATGGGATCGTATACGATATTAATATTTGACAATGGAGTAGTAGATTACACGACATGAGTCGTCTAACCAGACCCTATTCTTCTTCTAGGCTTGCCTTGTCAAAAAAGAAAAAATAGAAAAAGAAGAAAACATTTCGTGTATTGAACACAAAAATAATAAAACAAAATGTAAACAACAACAACAACAACAAATCAAAATACAAAATACAAAATACATAGTAAAAAAAATTTAATTGTGTGTTAAAAGAATTTATACGAAACCACAACAAAAACATAACAAAAAGCAAAGAGGCAACATTTAGCATTTCTTGTCACTTTAGATATTGAATTTTAGTCAATTTACATTGTTGAATAGAGAGAGAGTATACAAACCATTTCATTTTTTTTTTTTAGTTTTTAGAAAGGCTCAAGAAAATCAGCATAAGGAAAAGCTCAATTCATACCTTACATTTGTCATACCGTCACCTTTCAGTTCAACATTAAGAAACAACTGCCATCAAGAAGATGGAAAAACAGGTTTCAGATTCAGTTCAATTGGATGAACAGCGCTTGGACATGAGCAATCAGTGGAGTAAACAAGCTGATGAACAACACTATCCAATGCCCAACATGGCTTCGACGGATTCCCGAGCGGCAAATCCTCAAAATTATGATCAGAGCGACCAATCTAACCAAAGTCCAGCGTCCCAGCAAAAGTTACCAGAACCTGATATAGAAAGCTTAGAAGCTGAAGCAAATCATATCACGAAATCATTGTCAGATATGGGCATCTGTCAACAACACATGACACCCGACTATCAATACAATAGACATAATGAATCGATATACGATGATGAGACGCTATTTCCTTGTTTACCAACTGACAATTCCGAAACAAAATTGGTCAAATACGATGAGCAGAATCCGGGGCTTATTAACCACGCTACCCTCCTAGCATTGGTTGTACAAATGACCTCACCCGAAGTGATAGATTACAATCTTTTAAGTGACTTTTTTCTAACGTATAGGATATTTTCGAACAGCGTTGATATAATGCATCTATTGATAACCAGGCTAATTTGGTCGCTACAATATGTCAACTCAGGCACCGAAGCCAATATCAAAATTGGCAAATTAGTCTTGCTTCGAACGTTTGTGGTGTTGCGGCATTGGATAATCAACTATTTCGTTGACGATTTTGATAACAATCACCAACTATGTGACCTATTTTCACTGACAATAAACAGCCTTATAACGGAGTCAAATTTAGTTTGCAAAGAGAATTTCAGAGATCCAGGAAACTATGCTTACGTAGCCAAGATTCTTGGTGAGTTGAAAATGCATTGGCTTACATTATTGAACAAGTTTTGGCTCCTTGGTCTAGATTCAAATAGGATCATAACTGAGAACAGCATCTTGACATACAAATTACCCTTGACGGGTGATCTCAAGAACTCCAAGAGACTTTCAAAATCAAATACAGAAATGTCGATACATACAAATCCTTCGTATCGTCGGTCAGCCATGCTCTCTTTGTATGATCTGAAAACACATCACAAAATGCTTATATTCGACGACGATTCAAGCCAAGAAGAGAACCCACAATTCTCCATAAACAATCTTTTGCTACACCATCAGTCATCGCGCATGTCGATCAACAATAAAATCCATGAAATGCAAAAACAAAAGAGACTAATTAAATCACCCATTTTTAGCTCTTCGTTTGAATACTCGGCAAAGTCCTCTCCCTTTTTTGCTTCTGACTTGGCCCACACACCATCTACCCCAAAAAATTGCTCCCCAAGGAATAAAAGAATTCTAGCTCAATCCACAAGGCACAATAGAATGGTGATTAAGGACTCATCATTGGATTTGAGGAAAACCAAGACCACTACTACTCGTCCAAAAGACTCCAGCTCAGATCTGCGCACACCCACTAAAAGCCGAAAAGCGGTGCCTGATCCATGCAAAGAAGTTGGATTTTCGACAAATGGTAATGTAAAGCTCCCAACATCAAAAGTGTCAACAATAATTCCACCAACTCCAGTCAAGAAAATGGATTGTAAAATTGTCAAGGACAGCTTGTTTGGGCCAGATATGGATGAGGATCAGCTACTGCCCCCGGTTTTCGATGGATCACATCATGACGAGTTTTCGAGAAAAAGGTCAATCAAAAAGCTTATGGACGGTTGGAAGAGGTCACTCTCAGCACATTCTCGTAGTTCCGACATGGAGCTCAAGCCCTCGCCTATGACTCAAAGAGAGCATTCATCATCCAATGTCTCTAGTAACAACAACCTCGAGAATTTGATAAGTAGTGCTATGCAGGTGGTGGATGCGAGAAATATTGGAAATCGAGTCGATGTATTGAGTGCCAGAATCGTTGACGAATTGGAGTACTTGATACAGTACTATACTAATGAGTCAAATTCCAATAGTATTATCCATGAAGTTGATGGTTGTTTTATCGATGAAGATGGTGATAGGTTTGTGGATGTTCCTGGAGAAGCTGATATTAGCAATCAAGAAGTTGACTTGGAGCCCATTGAAGTTTCAAATGATAATGATAATGAGGATGATGTTGACATCAACGACCTCTCGGAATTGAACATAATAAAGATTGATAACCTAATAAATGACAAGGAGGATGGGCCAGTTCAGACGATTAAAGTGCAGCGAAACATATCTGAAAACATACTCGACGAATTAAATTTTTCAGGTGAATCGTTTCAAAAGGCTGCAAGTATAAATTGGAACGACGATGACGTTGTTGATTTAGATGCATCGGCCGAAAGAGAAACCATTTTACTGCAAGGAGAAGCTGATGAATTTTGCATAACAAATGAATCAAAAGGAAGAGATAGCCAGCAGCTTGACGCACCCAACTTTAATTTCCAACAATCTACCCAGTCGTTTGAGACTTCAACTATATCCACTCCTAGTAATATTACCCTGTATAATGCCGAAGTGGCCGAATTGGGTATACCCATGAGTCCACCATCAGAGAAACCAAAGAGGATAAGTGGAATCGAGGGAAAGCGCTCAAGCATTGTTTATAACAAGAGATTCTCGAGGTTGTCACGAAACTCCATAGGATCTGGTGTCAGGAGAGAGTCACTAGCATCGTATATTAGTTACGACTCGGTTTTTTCAATAACCAACGACAGCAATCCAGCCAAGCCTGATACGATGAACACAGGTCTCAAAAAGAAAACAGGGTTTAACAATCTCAGAGGAGGCGAGTTAGAAAATGAGTTGGGTCCTTCCATTAAATTAAGTCCGTCACAAACATCTCGCCAAACGTCAAAGAGTTCAAAACGAAGCGTAAGGTTTAGCGTTCTACGTGCACTTACAGAGCTTCCTTTCAATGAAGTTGATATCCATTCTGATGAGAACCATCCATCGCGTTATTCCTCGGCCGATATGGCAAACAACTCCATTTTCTCCGTTGCCATGAGAAGTAAACGAGAGTCAAACAGAGCTGAGTACGCTCAGAACACAGCTGTCACTGGATCATCAGGCAATTCAATCGTAATACCAGGTATAAGCTCCTATGCATTGAAGGAGTTGGCAGCCATCCCAGATGAGACCATGAGATCGATGGAGGATCCCGTGGAGTATGCATTTAATAAGTTGGAGGGGAAGAATGTGCCAACATTTACCCCGAAGCGGAAAGATCATGAAGATGACGACAGTGAAATTCCAATGGAAGATACGGAAGCTATTCTTCAGCAGATAAATGACGCGAAATCAGAAGATGGCATTGACTCAACTTTTGATCTCAGTAATGTGGCTCCATTGACACCAATAAGAATGCACGCCACACTCAAGACGGATAGCACTGGCCACCATTCAACGTCGACTCCGGAAAAGAACTTAAATATGGAAGTATTTGATTTTCAACAGCCAGGCAAGATTAATAACTCCGAGGTCTCAGAGCACCCTTCGCCCAAAATAATCTTGGACAATTATTCCCCTTCGAGTGATCTATTGTCTGTCAGAAATATTATGGACAATAATGCTCACATTTCGTTTGTTTTGTCCTTTGATTCAAAGTCATTGGCCGATCACTTTACAGTGATTGAAAAAGATATGTTGCAGGAAGTGGATTGGAAGGACTTGATTGAACTAAAATGGAATAAGAAGTTGACACCGGTTAACAGTTGGCTAGAGATCATAGTCAATGATGATTACTACATCAAGAATAAAGGAGTCAACTTGGTTATTGCCAGGTTCAATTTAATGGTTAATTGGATTATATCGGAAATCCTTCTCACTCAAAGCGAAGTCGAACGTATCAATATAGTTTCCCGTTTCATCCATATCGCCCAGCACTGTTTAACTTTACAAAACTATGGGACGTTGATGCAAGTAATCCTAGCATTGACATCACAAAAAGTTCAGGGGTTCAAAAGCACATGGCGCAACTTACCGCCGGGTGATATATTGACTTTGAAAACGTTGGAGGAGTTGGCTTCACCATTGAAAAATTTCTTGAATATCAGATTGTCCATTAATCATATTACACCATCCAAAGGATGTATTCCCTTTGTTGGCTTGTACTTGTCAGATTTAACTTTCAATGCAGAAAGGCCCAGTTTCGTTACCAAGAAAAGCACCGATGATGCCAATGATGTGATAAATTTCTCAAAATTTAGAACTTCGGTGCACATTGTCAAATCATTATCACAATGTATTGAATGGTCAAGTAATTACCAGATTGAAATTCAGCCCGACTTGTTGTCAAAGTGTTTGTACATTAAGTCCTTGGACGAGGAGGAGATGAATTATTGTACTTTGTACATGCAAGACTCAACAAAACTATTCAATTCTTAAATACGTTTAAAAAACAAAACAACCTTTAATAGATATTTAATAATACAATTAATATGATTAGGAGCTCCTTCTCTTTCTACAAAACACTTTAAAATCTATATCATACATTTTATTCCTATATTAATAATAAAAATGAAATCAATCCAACCAGAGCGACACAACCCTATATTTTAGTTTTACAACAAGCATCATTACCTTCTCCCTCAACCAAGACACTCTTGTTGAAAGCATTGTTTGCTTGAGGAAGGTCCAAAGCTGGGTTTCTATCAAAGAAGTTGAATGGGGCCAATTGAATGTTGTGGGTTTCAACAGGCATAACGGGGAAATCTTCAACTCTTGGGATGTGGGTGAATCCCAAAGTGGCCCAAACAACACAATCCTCATTTCTAACATTGTCAATACCGTTAGCCCACACGCCAACACCAGTATCCTTTTGGGACTGGTTAGTGAATTCACCAGCAGCGTACAATTCATGATCGCGGTATTTGGTGACCCAAACTTGTTGAGTGGCGAATGTAGCTCTCTTAGTGTTGAATGAGTCTCTATCGGCCAACAACATTTGTCTTGCTGGCATATTGATCTTGTATCCAACCGGGGTTTTTGAAACTGGGTTGATGATGTTTTCATTGATGATCTTGCAGGTTCTGTTTGTAAAGGGTGATTGCTCAACATAACCGGCTTTCTCAATAAAGTGACGGTCACTGACAAAACCAGTACCAAATGGATTCAAGTCCTTGTCCTTTGGCAACTTCTTGGTGTCATCATAGACAACTGTGTTTTTGTGTCCATCCACTGCTGGATCAATTCTGAATGACAAGATGTGTTGATGGTACGCAGCCATACAGTTTGGTGCAACAATGGTACCCCATGGGACCTTGACGTTTTCATCAATTGGCATAGTTGACAAGATACCGGTGGCTCTAGTTTCAATATCGATAGAACCATCGGTGACAAATTTCAAGTTGATGATGTACTCATAGTTAGCAACAGTGGCAATTGTTTGGACGATAAAGATTCTCTTTCTGGCAACAACAGCATTCAAAGTTCTGTAGTTGACATGCTTGTACAACAACCCATCATCTTGCTCGTGCATACAAACAGTGTTTGGAATAATAACTGGTTCACCATTGGCATCGATACTGTGACCATCCATGTACTTGATAACACCCAAACAGTCGCATCCCAAGTTTAATCTATTACCAAAGGCACCGAATCCGCAATCACCCAAATCAAAAGCTTGTTTTCTGTGGTATGGTTTTCTTGGATCACCGTATGGAACAGTCATTTCAGATAAGGAGATTCTGTAAAACACTTGTCTACCTTTGAACCAAACATCATAAACAGCAAAACCTTCTCTACAGGTTGGGGCGACTCTGAATTCCCAACCTTGCCATTTAACTTTACCGTCCTTGACAGTAAAGGATGGCCCTTCTGGTTGAGAAATCAACAAAGGCTTGACATCTCTTGGAACCGATTCACCGTTCAAGTCTGGGTGGTATTCCCTACATGGAACTTCTTGCCATGGCCCAGTTGGGACTGTTGTTTCGTCAAACCCACCAGGTAATAAATCCATTCTGACAAACTTTTTGGTAAAGGCTTCAAAAACGGGGGAGAATTTCAATGGCAAGGAGTAGTGATTTGATTCACTGTGTCCATTGCCTGCCAAAACGTACATAAAGCATTGAATCAAAAGTCTCTTTTCGTTTGGATCATCAGTAGCATAAATCCAAGGGTCGTTTCTAACGGTGTATCCTTTGGGCAATTTCAACTTTTCCACTTCTGCCTTGACAGCTGGGTGGTTGTTGCAATATTCTTCAATTTCCATCATATCATCTGGCAAGTGTGGACCAACTACACCTTTTGGTTGTTTAACCTTGGTGATGACATGACCAGCAGTAACATTGACCAAGGCCTTGTTAAAGTCAAACGTATTGGTGTAGTAGTAGCAGTAAAATACTCTTGGAATGTTTGGAGTTGGCAAGCCTTCTCTTTCAGCGCTAATGTAGTCAACCATGGACTTCTTTGGAGGGTCGCACCTATCAATCTGAACAAAGTGGACATTAGCAGATGCCGGATAAGAATCCTTAACTAACTTTGAAGCTAATCTAATCTCGTAATCCCTAGCTTGAGTAAATGGGTGGAGTGACATTATGGAAATGGAACTAGTTGTGTAGTAGTGAAAGTTCTGTTTTCTCAAACCAGTTGGAATAATTTGCAAGACTTATGGCTCCATTTATATACATCTCAAACTCTGTTCAACGTGTTATCGGTAAACAACACAGTTGAAAAATAATTATTACACAAAGGAGATAATTTCGGTGAATGCGACGCTATAATTTTAAATCACCTTCTCAATGAGGATAATGCGCTAACAAAACCTTTTATGGTAACTACATACCCCGTTTACTTTTCTTTGCAATATGCCATAAAAAAAATCACCAGACCGTTATGGTTGCAGAAGTTAGGTATTAAGGTTTCATGCTACCAGGTTTCGTGGGAAACTAAAGTTTTCAGATCAGAAGGTATTATTGTGGCGTTCAGAGTGAGTAGTGGCACTTACTGGAAGTAGAATGAAAGTGTGGTTGAAGGAACATTAGCAACAAATGAGCTGGACTTTTGGTTGGATTCTGGAATGCCTAACTACCTAGCATGTGCCAGACTTGATTCTCGAGTTGGCTAAACCAGGAAGGCGGACCGTTAATCATGCGCGTAACTGTACCGCTTTGGGAAATACAAAGCGCAAAGTATATTTGATTAGGCATGTTCCATTTGCGCTCGCATTTGGTTGGTTACACATTTTTGTGGTGGTTACAATCTTGCCGATAATGGTGTCATATCTACACGGAGAGTGCATAACATAGATAGATTGAAAGTGGGTGTGCAGCTCCGTGAGATGCATAGTGTTCCCACACACACGATTGATTACTGTAGTGTTTATTGATACAGTTGTTTCACTTGCAAACGGCAGCGGCTTACTGCGAAGAGCAGACGATTCTAGTATCCAGCTATAATAGAATAACACCTTAGTTTGTAATCAAATTCGCTTTGCGTTGGGCGCTTTAAGAATTCACGAACAGTTGTTTTTCGATGGACCAAATTTGAAATATACTCTCTGCCCCGCTTACCAAACTGAGGGGAAATACATGCGGTAATTGAAGAGGCGGGGAAGAATAAATGTTGTAACGATGGTACAAGTAGCCTGTAATTGACCATGCTGTCATTATTAAGGTCGTAATTGGGTGATCTGAATGGCAGAGTGTCAAGTACTACATAGTTCACAAGGAGAGGCTTGTGCACGCTTCAACGAGAAATGTGATGCCATATATAATACGAAAAGTAACGCTTGTCTTGTAGCTGTTGCTGTCAAAGAATGATGAAGACTACTCACCCAGGTTAAAGTATCTTCTTCCCACATGTCCATACAAATCAAGCTACTACCAGCAAGGACTTTATTTTAGAGATTAGTTGAATTTGATGGTTCTTTGATAGTCATAATGCTATGCAAACTTCCATCCACTTACAATGCATTATAGCTATCGCTATTTCGTAAGACGAAAACAACTACAGTTTCACCAAATGTCTCATTTTTAAATGACATACTTGATGTGGAGAAGCACACTAATGATAGGGGTGAAAAAAAGGAGGTTTCACCTTCTCCCCACCTTTCCCCTTCACCATAGTTTAAAATTTTGTTGGGAACTTTGTGAAGGGAAAAAAAGAAGGGAATCGGTCACGTGAACATATTGAATGGCATTGCTACCTTATAATATTTAAATAGCTTTTGTTGGCTGATCGTATCAGATGATTTTAGCACCTTACAAAAAGGATCTCGACAGGGGGGAACAAACTGAGAAACTTATAAACCAATATTTTGTATTTATCTAAAACACTTTTTTTACCAATGTGCTAAGTTTGTTCAGCAGTTTATCCTATTATCCCTTGACATATCCTTATTGGCCGTGTCTGCAAAAACACATTCAAAGGCTTTAAACGAAAAACGTACAAGGAAAAGAAATTTAAAAAGAAATTCAAAAATTCTCTCAACAAAATTTTGGCAATCATTTTCTACACTTTGGGTTCAAAGTTTATATATATATATCCCCTAGCAATAGAAAGATTAACACACGACTTGAGAATAGGTCTCCTGAGTTTGAACCACGACAAATAGGACCATAATTCACGAATCGATAAGCAGCAACATATATCATACCCACACTTTCATTAAGTTGACATTTTGTGGTACAGTTAGACAAACAAAGTAATATACAACACAACTACATCAAACCACCCAAGGCATTTATACACATAGTACCGTTCAGAATGATGAGCAGAAAAGCACAAAGAAATCCTACATTGTACTTGGCCGCCCTAATAGCCACTTCAGCAGTGGCGATTTCGTACAAAGTGTATGACTCGTATATCAAGCCCCAACCAAAATCAACACAAGGAACAGATACTAACGACAAGTCGTTGACATCAGAGACCAAATCATTCACCATATCGAAAAAGTACCTCAATAAATCGATAGCAATAACGCTTTCATCATCGTTCCTATCGTCACAATTACCACTCAATGAGATCCTAACGACGCAAGAAAACATATTATTTATAATCCCACCCAATTTGAATGAAGATGATTTGAATTTGACCATACCACCAAATTTCAAATTACTTAAGTGCTCAAATGTACAAGGCTATTTACAAATATTGAAGAATTTGAAGCCTGATTGTTTGTTGTTGTGCAGTGATGATTTGGGTATCAATTATAATAGTTTATCGCTGGATTTGCGTAATTTTATTCGAACTATAATCAATGTCGAACAAGATCAGGATTTGTTGTTGCAAGTGAGGCCAGTGTTTAGCTGATGAGAGAGGGAGAAAATGGTGAAGTTAGCTCTTTTGGTGTGTTTGAGTGGAGATACTCAGCATGCCATATACACATCAGCGTTTGAGTTTAGGTCTTTTATATAGGAAGCGAAGCATAATTATAATACATACACTTAATACACTAATCACTCTTATCTCTTTTCACTTATCAGGTCAAACTTACCCAATGTTTAGCAACGCAGGGTAACTTTTTAACTGCCACCATTTTGACATTGATGTCACAAATCGATGATTTCACGTTTTGAATTGAGAACGATAATGAACAAGTCTCGATAACGGGATAAGAAGATAGAGTGAGCCTCTATTTATAGTCCACCATGAAGGTGTGAACAACAGCTCAATTACCATTTGCGAAAAGAACATGCCAAGATTATACTACATCTGCTTAATAGAATAACCCTCCATCAACCAAAAGAGTAAACAACAAGCTATACAGCGGGTTCACAAAATAAATAAATAATTAAATTACAATCTCCTCTTCTCCTCTCTCTCTCTCTCTCCCTCCTTTACGGTCATAAACAATTAAAATATATTAATAAATTAAGCAATGGATCCTCTTAAGATTAATAGAAGAATTGAAATATCTTTCATTTAAGCTTCAGTCTTCTTTTCTTTTCTTCCTCTCCAACGGTCTTCCAAATCTGGCAAAGGAAGGGCTTTGACAACAAGATAACTGTTTTGTGGGTTAGCAATACCGGCATAAGCATTGTACCAAGCAGCAAAAGCACTCAACAATCCAAAGACACCACCAGCTTTAGTAACACCAGTTTTGCCAGCAATTTCTCCAATACCCAACAACAAGAACGCCAATGTCAAAAAAAAGAATATAGAAAAGAATGCCAAAGTAGACTTAAGTGTCATAATCATCATGAAAAACGTAAAAATAGCCCAAGCAAGAAGGAAAAGACCAACGGCAAACGCAAGCTCTTGATCATGTCCTTCGTAAGCAGCAACAATACCAAATGCAGGCACTTGAATCGAAGCCCAAGACATCCAGAATCCCCCGTAGGAACACAAAGCAACACCACCAAAGGTGTTTCCCAACACAAGTTCAAAAAATCCAGCAAGTAATTGAGCAGCACCACCATAGAAATAAGCCAAACCAACAAGAATGTTTGGAATGTGGACACCTCTAGCACCACAATTGATCAAACTAAGGACAAAAGTAGTTAAAGCAAACCCACTCAACCCCAATGGAGCTGGGTTAGCATATTCAGGCTTTTGTGGTGGAGCCAAACCTGGGTTCATCATACCACCGAAAGCCTGGGCCAAATCGGAACGCAAATATCTCTCATTACCAAAGTAGATGTAGTCTCCATCGGATCGAACTTCTCCCCAGTGTGGCCCGTATACATCCTTGTTTGGATTTTGAGCTGTCGATTGTCCCTGGTTATTACCTTCATTGTAGGGAGTAATTTCGTCTTGAGTGTCGACGTTGGGAGCGGGTGCTTGTTGTGGTTCAGTAGTAGACATTGTATATATGTATTAATTGAAATAAGCAAACTGTTTTAATAGCAAGCAAGAAAATCCTTTTTTGGGGTATTATAATGTGATAAACTAGGCTAGCTATGTAGTACAATATAGGAAAAGTTGTGAAAGAGAATTTAGAAAAAAACCTGGGGATGAAAGAAGGAACTTTTAGATTGTATTATATATATATTACAATTTAGGAAACCCCATCGGGTGATTTAATAATTTGTTTTGTCGTTTGTTGTGAAACGCTCTGTCTCCAGAAAAATAAAATTTTTTAAATTGTTACACAAACGTATACTAACTCTTTGGTCTATTTTTTATTCTTTTTTTTTCTTTGTTCTCTCTGCTGTCTTTTTGTTACTATGTATTTTTGTTTGTGGTGGTGAAATTTAAGTACGTTGTGGTGGTGGTGGTGGTGTAAGTGGTGTAGTGATTGTTCTCTTAGTTTACGTCAATGATACACAAAACAGCATTAAAAACCTTCCTCTACACTGGTAAAAAAACTCCCCGGGAGGTCTAAATAGACGAGAGATCTCCTTCGGTAACTCTACTGCTTAAAGGTTTTCTTTTCGTCTATTGGTTCAAGTGTATCAGCTCGTTTAAGTAGATACTGTTCAGGTAAGGAGATATTATGCACGACTCCAGGTCCTTTGTTATTGTTTCTATTATGCAATAATATACAAGACATTACATGCAGAAAAACAATAGCTTTGTACTATTAGAAAAGAAGAAAAATGAGTTCAATAACGTGTGGTGGTGGGAGTGGTAAAGATGGTGGTGGTGGTGACGGTATGCACACGATAGTAGTTAAGCACTTTAGAAATTTTAAAGTTTAGAGATACTAGCCAATCATTTATGTCCGGCATTTCCCACACTAGCGACAATTTAAAATAAATAAATAAATAAATAAATAAGAAGCTTAGCTTTTTATGGGTGGATTAGGAAAACTCCGAAGTTTTTCTTGACACCTGGAAAAATAACAAGTGCAAAGTAAAACCCCAACCAAAGACACAGAGGTGCAAGGAACAGACAGCCCACAGCTTTGGAATGCAATTGCACACAAACAACCTCTCTCAATAAGGTATAAACACTGAGTTATGGTGGTGAGGTAAGTCGCTTTTGCTTATAGCATATTGGCGTATATAAACGTGAATATATTTTAAAGTTGTGGTGGTCTAATTTTAATAAATAAAAGGTGGGTTTGTTGTTCTTATTGTGTTTGCATTTTTCTTCCAATGTGTCATTCATTCATTTCATTACATTACTACTCAACAAAAAATAAAAAAATGAAAATATTAAAAATAAATTAAAAATAAATTTAAAATCTAACTAAAAACGCCATGGCTTATGTAAAATGTTACATAACACACACACAGAAAGAGACAAAAATAATAGAACGTTTCTTTTAACAGCCAAATTCAAAAAGGGATATATATGATGTATCCTCCTTGTAGTAACACAGAAAGTGGTACAACTTGCAGTTTAAACTCTCCATACAAACTAACTCTCTATCATCTATCTTTTCTCAAACCAAAGTATCTGAAAGAAGAACAGGTTAACATCAACCAGCTTTAATGGCTAGAACATTTCTGACAACGCATATTGTCACATCACATCCACCTGCTTTTCGTATTGATAAATCGTCCCATTTGGAGCTTTAGTCAGTGACGCCTCAAAGAGCTTTTACACATGAACTTGTAAAATTATTCATATGTACAGTTTAAATGTGGTGTTATTATTTTAGTTTTTGTGACTCTAATGTGCATTGTCGAAGAGTCTGTAGCTTCTGTTATGAGGAACGACTCTTACCTTTTTTGGTTGTTAAAAATCCCTGTAGAGCATCACAAGCACAGAAAAATACCTCAAGTTTACTCCAGAAGGTGTAGACTTTTACAACTTTGTTGATAAAGGAGTTTTGCTTTGATCATCTTTGTTGAACCCCAGAAGTGTGCACTTTTTTCCTGGGCAAGAATAAATAAAAAATAAATAAAAAAAGTCCGAGCGAACGTTTGAGATGGAAACCCCCACGAATCGGTCTAATCGGTTTTACACCACCACAAACTAACCGACCAAGGAAAAAGTGTTGGAAACTAAAGAAGTATACTAATTGTTTTGTATGAAGAGGCTCGGTATTACCACAAAACAGCTAGATCCGTCTCTTTTTCCTTAAAAGCTCCTGAAAATAGATTAAATACAAAATGGTTAGATGCATAGTTTAGGTAAGGTGATTTCTTTAATCAGCAGCCTTTAGTAAAATTAACCCGTAAAAAAAGAACATCAGACTTTTGCATTGCATAGCATGACTTTTTCCTTTGTTTATATCACCAAATTAGGCTGAGAGTTAAACATTGATTTAGTTGAGCTATCGGTGCCAACGATTCTTACACGTGAGGAAATATTAAACGATACTTCAGGTAGGTAAACTTTGATGGCGTCACCACCACCATTTCATCAAATCCATAAAATACCTGTCAAGTGAAAGCTAGGTTCAAACTTTTCCTACTTCATTGCAATCGCTCCTTTCAGTCTTCTTCGGCATGAACGGTTATGAAAATGTCATGGAATATTGTCAATCAAACCTCCAAGATCTTTTACATTTACAGTTTAAACGAATGACGTGGAATCTTTGGTTTATAATTGGGGACGATCAGTAGCTTTTGGATTAATGCTTTCCTTGCGACCATAGAGTGAGAGGAAAGAAGTTATTGGATTCTGATGCGAAAACGAGTTAAGTAATAATTTCTTATTGACAAGAGTAGCAAACTTGTCTCCTCTTATTAGATAAATAAGACCCAAATATCGGAGCTTGTATGCATATGAGTTATGTAATGCTTCTTTACTGTTGCCAAAGAGCACTTCCAGTATATGACAATACCACCAGCAGGAACAGGCCCTTGAGAACCTGACTGAGGAGAAAATGAAATTAAGTCAATTTGATTGGTTCATTCAGTTCCCATTGGTGTTATCAACTTACTTGACAGATAGCTGTGGCTCGCCTGGCGCTTGCCAACGAGATCAAATTTCTGCGAGTGTCGAGAATGCGGAGATGGAGAGGCGGATTTAACACAACGCGCACAAAGCCACAGTTGCTACACCTTACTAATCATTTCGAATCGGGGAAGTACATAAGACACCAATTGCTGCCAGAAATACCTCCTTCATCATTTAAAACTAAGCACCTTACATTAACTTACAACAACTCAACAAGATGGTCGTGTTTGTAACTGGGGCAACAGGCTACATTGCACAACACGTAGTCAAGGAACTTTTGAAAGAAGGATACGAAGTTGTTGGATCAGTCAGATCGAAGGAAAAGGGAGAGTACTTATCAAACTTGATTAAATCAGATAAATTCACCTATGCAGTGGTTCCCGATATTGTGAAAAAGGGAGGATTTGATGAAGTTTTACAAGAGAATGATTCCATTGACTCCTTCATCCACACTGCAAGTCCAGTTGACTTTGAAGTCGACGACATTCAAACTGGTCTTTTGGACCCGGCAATAGAGGGCACCAAGAACGTATTACTTGCAGTTGAAAAGTACGGCAAGAATGTAAAAAACGTGGTTGTCACTTCATCAGTAGCTGCCGTTCGTGATTTGAGTGGAAACAAACCTTCAAACAGTCTCATCGATGAGTCCTCATGGAATGATATTTCCCTTGAGCAAGGCCTCAAGAATACTAAGTTAGGCTACGCTGCTGCCAAAACTTTTGCCGAAAAGGAAGTATGGAAGTTTGCTGATGCACATAAAGGTACCTGGAATGTAACAACCGTGAACCCAACTTTTGTTTTTGGACCGCAAGCATATAACGTGCAAAACAAGGCTCATTTAAACCATTCTGCCGAGTTTGTCAACGAAATATTAAAGTTGGGACCGGATGACAGCATTGGCTCTTTTGCAGGATTATTCATTGACGTTAGAGATATCGCTAAAGCACATGTAGCTGCTATAAAAAGGCCAGCTGGGTTTAACGGTCAACGGCTATTACTCATTGATTCGCCATGGACGAAGCAGCTTCTTGCTGTCATTATCAACAAACATTTCCCCAAGCTTAACATTCCGAGGGGAAGTCCTGATAAGAGTGATCTCGAATTGAAAGAGGCTGATCTTAAGTGGGATAACACGAAAACAAAGAAGCTTTTGAATTTTGATTTTATTCCACTTGAAAAGTCAGTGGTTGATGCAGCTCAACAGATTCTCGATGCAAAGTAATACCAGGTATTTTACAATTTGACTCGATGTATAAGTGAATAAATTAATAGAGCCTTATATTTTGAATAGAGATTGACTAAAATTTCCCTTTCTTTTCAATGATGCTGAGGGGTATAATTCAATCTACGACAAATAGCCATTTAGTCAAAGTTCATTTATTAAGAAGCCTTACACACAGCAGTACATAGCAACCGGCAATCTACTTTGATTCTGACTTTTCATCTTTTGAGTCGGTTTTACCACTTTCCTTACCATCGCCCTTGTGATTTTCTTGATAGGCGGAGTAAGCTTCTTTGGCACTGTCTTGGAAATTGTCACCTTTGGAAAAAGCTTGGAAGGCATCCTTGGCGTCTTCTTGGGTAATTTTACCTGACTTGTATAATTGTTCTCCTTGTTTAAGTAATGAATCCATTGTTGATGTAGTATAAAGTGGTGATGTCGACAATAGTTTTCTATTTCTCAAAATTTGATTTCGTTACTTCCTTATTTATATTCTCGACAATACGGAAAACAATAAAAGGTCGTGAAAATTGTAATCTGAAATTCGAAAATTTTGGTCCAGGTTATTTGGTTACACAAACTAGTCTTTAAATCGCTTTTTGGACGTGAAGAATTGTGATAGTTTCTGTATAAGCTTCACTGCGTTGAACGTAAGGTAACCTTAGAGCTTGCATAGTAATCGTATTTGACTTTTTCAAAGAGGTCTCAGGTGGGTTAACTGGCTAGCACTTTCTTTGTCTTCTTTGTCTTCTCTGTTTCTAGAGAGGATGGACCTTCACGTAGTAGTACGCGTTTTGTGTAATCGAAGCTTTTCGAGTCTCTACAAAAATAAATGACCTGGCCGTTTTGCTCCACAGACGTAGCTGATTCTCGATTTTAGGTCTCTGGCAATAACAACGACTAGCTTATCTCAACCCGCTTCTGCTGTATCGTGGTCCATTTGGTTTTCCCCAGTAGAGAGCCAGCTACCTACAAATGACATCAGAGGTTCTGCCAGCATGTCAATGGTGTTAACAAGGTAATCTCTGAAACTACTGTGGCACTTAATCTCCTAGATCTATATGCATGATGGAGTGACAAATTCAAGGAAGCTTTTGCTTAGGTGTCCTGGGTAAAACAAAGGCACTAATGAATTGATTGTTTGATCCCTCCACCAAAAAGACTTCGCATTTCACCGCTCATAATTGTACCTCTAATTCTTGCACTATGAACAACTTGAGCTAAGCAACGAGACACCTACACGATAGCAATGGGAAAGACAGAATTTAGTCTCCTTGGCTTGGGAATGTTGCAATTGTCCTTGCTAAATAACTGAGTGCAACAATATACATGGTAGCGCTTTGGCCACCCGATTGGGTGAATTAATTACGAGAATTTCTTTTTCTTTTCCTATTTTAGCGAAATGTAAACAAATCGAAACAGATCAAAAAATAGATAGACATTAAAGTGTAGATTGGTTTTTATTGTGATGGAATGCTTTATAACAGTGTTTACATTGCTTTACTCAATTTAACGCTTTAAAAAATTAACATCTAGACTGGAATTTCATCTTGGAACTTCACTTGCAGCTTTTGCTTTCATATTTAAACCCGGCTGATTTGTATTACTTCTTTCCTACACAGGTGCCATTCAGAAAACGGATTATTAGTTTTATCAGCGAGAGGCATATCCAAAACAAACCATAGCTAACCAAATCTAGCTGATAAAGCTCTTGTGGCAGCAATATAGAATAATAGAGCTTCATCAACTTCAATAATGACTAGCTTTTTCTCCCGGTCTCCCAGACATCAACAAACCCAAGATATGGGAGATATTTCCCAATCGATGGAGAATGTTTCCATTTCAAGCAACATGATGGATATTGATACCAGCTATAGATCGCCAACTCACAATAAGTCCATCTACGGCACTTACAACTCTAGTCCCACTAGAGCCCATATCAACAAGGAAAACATAACACCAATGAACTCACCAACCAAATCCATCGTTCACAACTCACCAGCTGTTGGAACCCCGTATGCTAAGAATAAGTACTACCAATCGCTGCAACCTTCAACTCCAACTCCAGTACACCAATACGACGTTCTTGCTGCCAGTAACAACAACCAAAACAGGAGACGGACTCTCCAAGACAACATCAACCAATTGCAACCACCTCCAAACCAAAAGCACAAGCTATCACAAGAAGAGTTTTATAAACGCGTTAATGATCCAAAAACTAAAAGGTTAGCTTCAGTGGCGCAGTTGTACTTTTTAGATTATTACTGCGATATGTTTGATTATGTCATTAGCAGAAGAGAACGATCAAATTTAGTCGAGAACAAGCTCCTTAGTGACTCCAACCTCAGCAAAGACCCACAAAGACAGCAATTGGAATGGAAAAACTACATAGGTCGGGAAAGAGCTTTGTTGAGGAAAAGGAGATTGAAACCAAAACACAAGGATTTTGAAATGATTACTCAAGTTGGCCAAGGTGGCTATGGACAGGTCTTTTTAGCTAGAAAGAAGGACACGCGTGAAATCTGTGCATTGAAGGTATTGAACAAAAAATTGCTAGTTAAATTGGATGAGACGAGACATGTTTTGACAGAAAGAGACATATTGACAAATACGAGAAGCGATTGGTTGGTGAAGCTTTTATACGCATTTCAGGATCCAGAGAAAGTATTCTTGGCAATGGAATTTGTTCCAGGAGGCGATTTTAGAACATTGCTAAACAACACGGGTTACTTAATACCACCACATGCTAGATTCTACATTAGCGAAATGTTTGCTGCTGTCAATTCTCTCCATGAATTGGGGTTTACTCATCGTGATTTAAAGCCAGAAAACTTTTTGATTGATTCAAAAGGTCATATCAAATTGACTGATTTTGGATTGGCTGCGGGCACTGTGTCAAATGACCGAATCGAATCGATGAGGTTGAGGTTGAAGAATTTAGAGGACTTGGAGGAGTATCAAGTTCCATCGAGGATGATGATGGAAAGACAAAAGATTTTCAAACAAAGTCAAGGCCATCACAACCTAGCCAACTCTATAGTTGGATCTCCGGACTATATGGCTTTGGAAGTATTAGAGGGGAAAAGCTACGATTACACTATTGACTACTGGTCATTGGGATGCATGTTATTTGAAGCTTTATGTGGTTATCCTCCTTTTTCAGGATCAAAACAGGATGAGACTTACCACAACTTGAAAAATTGGAAGACCGCATTGCGCAGACCACAAACAAAAGACGGTAGGTACGTGTTTAGCGACCGTACGTGGGGTTTGATTACCAAGTTGATTGCATCTCCAGCCGGTAGGTTACGTACCTTCAAACAAGTTCAGCAAATGGCATATTTTGCAGATGTCAAGAGCTGGAACAACTTGAGAGAACGTACACCACCATTCACGCCTCAATTGGACAACGAAGAGGATGCTGGATACTTTGATGATTTCGAAGACGAAGAGATGATGATGAAGTACAAAGACGTGTTTGCCAGACAAGAGCAAAATGAACAGTTGTTGGAGAGAGGCAATGCCAAAAAGATTGGCCAAAACAACTTTATTGGATTTACATTCAAGCATAAGTCGAATCCAAATAACAAATTTGGTACTGGCGAAATTAATCTTTTGAATATGGGGACCGGAGAGACTAATTCAAGGTTGAATCCATTGGCTACTTTATATTAAAGACTATTAACTATTTTTTTTTTGCATAATCTACAAGAGACTTTTATACTTTTTTACCGCTCCATATGTAGTCGTTTTCTATCTTTGTTTCTATAGCTTTCCTTTGCGATTTGTGTAGTTCCTCTACCATCGAGACACTCTTTGAGATCAAATCAAACAACTGGGATTCGTCAAACTCTCCAGCACTCTCCAAAAGTAACAATTTGTCAGCTTTTCCTTCATCTATACTGAAACAAACGACGTGATGCGAATCGCTCGTAGCGATAACATCTCCTGTGGGATCCTTTATCAAATTGCCCATATTCATGCAGACACTTGTAGATGCAAAGCCCAGGTACAAGGCCAAATCAGCATCAATCAATGCTAAGTAACAACCGTTTATTGCTGCATTCAATTCGTTGCATGTATATTCTGGCTGCTCATCAACGACCAAGAACTGAACCACTATTTGAACCAATTGTCGAGGATATTTATACCGTATTATGAGCGACTGAAGTAACGATCGTAACTTATCTTCGAGCAACTTTTCTCTAGTGGTGGAAAGTCCACGAGCAGGACGAACTATTATTTCAAGACTGGCTTGTGTAGGTAGCTCTTGACGCACTTTGGGCTCGATTGGGCCTGAAACGGATACCAAGCACTTTGTCCCATTTATCGTTAATTCGGCTGATCCATCAGCGTTGCTTAGGACAGATGTATTTACTTTGAAGGACATGTTGGGTAACTCTATGATATCATATCATCGCATACAAATTTTTGGACTTCTAATTTTTTTTTTGCACTCTTGGATTATGTACAAAGTAAAACAAGGACAAATGGTTGATTATCAGAAACAGTTGTTAGAGGATTTACAGAGTTCAGATGAGGGAGAAGTTGGCGATGACTTTACTGAAAAGGCAGAATCTGGCACACTACAGAAGAAGCTTTCTGATTTGATTACATTCAATGCAACTACAAGCCCTTTCCAAGTTGTACTAGAGCATCCAGATATTGAGTCTGTGACAGACTACTCAAGCCTATCCAAAGTGTACCCATTGATACCAATGCTAAAGACTAAGTTCCAAGAACAATCAGATGGGGAGCAAACCGATTATTTGGAATTGTTGGCTGAAATTGATAACGACGTGGAGTATCAGTCTGAAGAGTACCGTTTTATAGCGACAATTAATGAGTTGTCATCCATCATAAATAACGAGATACTTGCATTTAGCATGCTTTTGAAAATGCAGTACAAGTTGGTTTTTCCTGAGTTAGAGAGCCTCGTGCTCAACACCATCGATTATGCAAGAATAGTAATGATTATTAAACAAGATCTCGCAAATATTAAGGACTACAAATCTGAATTGAAGACTATCATGACTAATGATAAGGTCCTCCTAGTGATTATATCAGCATTGCAGCAAGCTAAAGATAAGTTTAAATTGTCGGAAGGGGATTTTGACAAAGTCACGTCATGTGCTTTATTAGTCCTTGAGTTGGATGATATTCTACAGCAGTTGTCAAAGTTCATATCAAACAAGCTTGCTAAGTTTGCGCCAAACGTTGCAGCGATCATTGGCCCCATTACAACTTCTCAATTACTAGTGGCAACTGGATCTCTAAAGCAACTTGCCTTGACGCCGTCGTGCAATATTCCGTCCTTGGGGGTGAGGGATTTAGCTTCAAACACTAAAACTGCTTCTCGAAATATAAGGCAAACAGGATATATCTATCACAGTGATCTTGTCAAATATCTCCCGCCTGAAATGCAAAGATCGGTGATGAGAATTATCAGTGGGAAAGTCATCTTGGCCTCCAGGATAGACCTAGCTAAATCTACCCCTGATGGCAGTTTGGGTGTGAGGTATAGACAAGAGATAGAGACAAAGATTGATAAATTGTTGGCGCCACCAGAGCAAACTCCCAACAAGGCTTTGCCTGCACCAGTTGAAATCAAGTCGAAGAAAAGAGGTGGCCGTAGATTCCGCAAGATGAAAGAACGATTCCAAATGTCTGAATTGCGTAAAGCACAAAACAAGATGGAATTTGGTAAACAAGAAGAGACAATTATGGACGACTTTGGTGAGGAGGTAGGTCTTGGTATGAGTCGATCTGGCGGTGGTGGTGGCCGTTTAGGGCAAATACAGATTAATAGAAACACTGACGCTAGAATGTCTAAGGCAATGACTGAGCGATTAAACAAGCAAAAGCAAGCTGCAAAAGTCGAGAATTTCTGGGATGAGGATTTTGATAGTATTATTTTGCTGAAACCACTGGAAGAAACTACAAATGAGTCAAAGAGTCGATGGTTAGGAACTCTGATGAAGAACAAAGTGAGCAAGGATTACGAAGGAGAGAAGAAACGATAGTTAAAGCAAGATTTATAGAGAGTCGTATGTTATGAATAATGAGTCAATAAAACGAGAGCAAAAGTAAAAAACGAAAAAGAAAAAAATTTTCAAAATAAGCTGAAATCTATATGCTTCCAAGCCGTGTACACTTATTCGCAAGATCCACTTTAATCAAATTAGTAGTCCCAAATAAACTGTATTTGCAACGCGGAGCACAATTGAGAAAGATGAGTGACATTACAAAAGAGAAACCAGTTGACACAACTCCAGCTGAAAACACCCCCGAATCATCAGATCCAAAGCCAAAAACGGCCAAGGAATTGGAGAAGGAGAAGAAAAAAGCAGAAAAGTTGGCCAAGTTCAACGCCAAAAAGGCCAAGCAAGCAGAGACATCTAAAGCCAAACCCGAGGAGAAGAAGCCAAAGAAAGAAAAGAAAGAATCTGCCCCAGTACCACAATTTGTAGACCAGACCAAACCAGGTGAAAAGAAAATACTAGCCTCTTTGGAAGACCCATCTTTCAAAGCATACAATCCAAAGAATGTTGAAAGCTCGTGGTATGCTTGGTGGGAGAACCAGGGTTATTTTCAGCCAGAGTTTACGGAATCCGGGGAAATTAAGCCAGAAGGATGTTTTTCAATCCCTTGTCCTCCACCAAACGTTACTGGTGCTTTACATATAGGACATGCGTTGACTGTATCCATTCAAGACACCTTGATCAGGTGGAACAGAATGCAAGGCAAGACTACTTTGTTCATACCAGGGTTTGACCATGCCGGTATTGCAACTCAATCGGTTGTTGAAAAGCAAATTTGGGCTAAGGAAAAGAAAACTAGGCATGATTATGGCCGTGAAAAGTTTGTTGAAAAAGTATGGGAATGGAAGGAAGATTACCATGCAAGGATCAAAAACCAATTCAAGAAGTTGGGAGCATCCTACGATTGGACTAGGGAAAGGTTTACCTTGAACCCGGATTTATCCGAGGCTGTCACTGAGGCATTTGTCAGAATGCATGAGGATGGAACTATTTATAGAGCTTCAAGGTTGGTAAATTGGTCAGTCAAGTTGAATACTGCCATTTCAAATTTGGAAGTAGACAACAAAACCATTCCTGGAAAGACTTTATTGGCTGTTCCTGGTTACGACCAGAAGATTGAGTTTGGTACCTTGACCTCGTTCTCATACCCAGTTGAGAACTCTGATGAAAAAATCACTGTTGCCACTACGAGACCGGAAACCATCTTTGGTGATACTGCCGTTGCTGTCCACCCAAAGGACCCTAGATACAAGCATTTACATGGAAAGTTTGTCATTCATCCTTTTGTCGATAGAAAATTGCCTATAATCACTGACGCTGAAGCAGTTGATATGGAGTTTGGAACTGGTGCTGTAAAGATTACCCCAGCCCACGACCAAAACGATTACAACACCGGTAAAAGAAACAACTTGGAGTTTATCAATATATACACCGATGACGGTTACCTTAATGAAAATGCCGGTCCAGAATGGAAAGGTATGAAGAGATTTGACGCTAGAGCCAAGGTTATTGAAGAATTGAAGAACAAGGACTTGTTTGTCGAGCAAAAGGACAATGAAATGACCATTCCACTTTGTTCCAGATCGGGTGACATAATTGAACCATTGTTGAAGCCACAATGGTACGTCAATCAACAAGAAATGGCCAAGGACGCTATTGCTGCTGTTAAGAATGGAGATATCACCATCACACCCAAAACGTCCGAAGCCGAGTACTTCCATTGGATGGAGAACATTCAAGATTGGTGTATTTCTCGTCAGTTATGGTGGGGTCACAGATGTCCCGTTTACTTTGTTGAGATTGAGGGCGAAGAGCATGACAGGTTGGATAATGAATACTGGATTGCAGGTAGAACTGAAGAAGAGGCTTTGAAAAAGGCATCAGCCAAGTTTGGTGATAAAAAATTCACTCTTTCTCAAGATGAGGATGTTTTGGACACTTGGTTTTCGTCAGGTTTGTGGCCAATTTCAACTTTGGGGTGGCCCCACAAGACCAGAGATATGGAATTATTCAGTCCAATGTCAATGTTGGAAACGGGATGGGATATTTTGTTCTTTTGGGTTTCAAGAATGATATTGATGTCGTTGAAATTGACAGGCAAAGTGCCCTTCAAAGAAGTCTTTTGCCATTCCTTGGTTAGAGACGCACAGGGCCGTAAGATGTCCAAATCCTTAGGAAACGTTGTTGATCCGTTGGATGTGATCACTGGTATCCCATTGCAAGGATTGCATGACAAATTGCTTATTGGTAACTTGGACCCTAAGGAATTGAAAAAAGCAACCGAAGGTCAAAAGGTATCTTATCCAAACGGTATTCCAGAATGTGGTACTGATGCATTGAGATTTGCTTTGTGTGCATACTCCACAGGTGGTAGAGATATCAATTTGGACATTTTGAGAGTTGAAGGATACCGTAAATTCTGTAACAAGATTTACCAGGCTACTAAGTTTGTTTTGGGTAAGTTGGGTAATGATTATGTTCCTCCAAAAACGCCGGCATTGACTGGTCATGAATCACTTGTTGAAAAATGGATTTTACATAAATTGACAATTGCTGCGAAGAATACCGATGAGGCATTGGAGGCACGTAACTTTGGTGATGCCACCAATCATATTTACAATTTCTGGTACGATTTATGTGACGTTTATATTGAAAACTCAAAAGCATTGATTCAAGATGGTACTCCAGAACAAAAGAAGTCGGCGCAAGACACATTGTATACTAGTATCGATGGAGCATTGAGGTTGATTCATCCATTTATGCCATTTGTCACTGAAGAAATGTGGCAAAGATTGCCAAGACGTGAAGGTGACAATACTGAAACCATAGTTAAGGCTAAGTATCCAACGTACAACAAAGAATACGACAATGTTGAAGCATTAAATGCCTATGACTTGGTCATTGATATTACCAAGGGTGCTAGATCATTATTGTCTCAATACAATATCATAAAGAATGGTCAAGTCTTTGTTGAATCTGGTAATGATAAGATTTACCAGATTGCTTCCGATCAACAAGATTCAATTGTTTCTCTTATCAAAGGTGTTGAGAAGATTTCCGTTGTTAAATCAACCAAGGATGTTCCTTCTGGTTGTGCATTACAAGCAATTGGACCCGAGTGCACAGTGCACGTCTTAGTCAAGGGACAGGTTGACTTGGATGCAGAAATTGCCAAAGTTTCGAAGAAATTAGACTCAGCAAGAGAAACCAAGAAAAAGAATGATGATGCGATTAGTAAATTCACCGAAAAGACCAAACCTGCGGCTGTAGAAAGTGCTAACCAACGTTTGGAAAAAGTGGTTGCTGAGATTGAAGGCTATGAACAAACAATTGAAATCTTGAAGAAATTGAAACTTTAGATAATGTATTGATTAGTGTACATAGTAGATAAATGTTGTAATTTTGAGAGAAACTAATTGTAGATGGTTACTAAATAGACGAAATTGACGTTTGAGTCAACAGGTCTGTACGTTGTAGATTCGTGCTCTTTGTTTAATAGCGATGCAAAAGTGACTTTGTTTTCTGAGAGTCAAAGCAATGGCTTTGTCTCCTTAATTCTCATATATAGTACAGCTACGTCAGAATATGTCACCTAAAAGGAGTCATAACAACATATTTATTTAATTCATAAAATTGCGATGTAAAATTAGTAAGAGTATTCTTGCAACACCTGCTTCAAAATATTAGGGTACCATTTCTTTGCAACATCCTGATGCGATTTGATTCTATTCCTAAACACAGCATAGCCAACTGGCTCTTTCTCCACATCCGGTTGGAACTGAAAGCCTACGTCAACTGCCCAGTCCTCGATCTTCTGATCCCTTTCTTCTTTCAACTTTAGAACGTCTTTGGGGATATTCTGAACGGCCGTTTTATAGCAGTCCAAATCGATTGTCTGGAAAAACGGGATTGATATTCTAGTGCTGCTTCCTGGCTCCGGAATCAATACCCGGTGTATGGTTGCTTTGCAAACGCCCTGGGTAATGGCCTCCAATGTTTGTCCGTTATTGACCACTAGGTGATTAGGAATGTTTGGCACTGTGATCCACTTGCCCTGAAAGTTTTGAACTTGTAGCGAGTCCTTGTGGTCAGTGGCTTGGAAGATATAGGTGAGGAGGTCAGAGTCTCTGTGGGGGCCAACTCCCTGTCCTGTGGAAGGTGTATCATCCAAAGCAACCGATTTGGAGCTTGCCAATGCAGATTTGTCGGGGTAAGAAATAAGCTTCATTTTGCACTGCTGGTTTTCCTTGAAATATCCATCAAAAGCTGAACTATCCAAACCAATGGATTCTGAGACTAGCTTCCTCACAACTGTACTCAACCTGGTCATCTTGGAGATGTATTCCTCCACTGTGGGCCTAAAGTTTGGAATCTTGCTTGAATCGGGCCAAAGGTTCGGACCTTCAATATTTCTGTAAATTGGCTCATCTTCTGAGGGAGGTGGAAGCTCAGTGGCGAGGTCAATTTGCTCTCTCCAGTCAGTGTGCGATGCAGTAATTTCGTTTGCCAAACGTGTATACCCTAGAAAATGTCTTGAGTTTTTCATTTCGCAACCCAACTTTACCTCATTTGGTAATGCAAAAAACTCTTCAGCTTGTAGTTTAATCGCGGCTAGATCAGCTTCTGTGGGGCCGACCTCTTCATAATGATTCAAGAGTAGAAACCCAACATTGATCATGGCATTTCTTAATTGGTGAAGAAATTCAGCTTTCGTTTCAGGGTTGAAAGCTTGACGCAAGTCAAGAATTGGTATTTCCTGAAATGACATTGGTGCCTGTGAAGTGAACCAAAGGATGGTAATCAGTCAGATATACTTGTTTTTTCTTTTATAATTTGAAATCGTCTGATTTTGCTGACCCTCCAAGAAAAAGTGAGCCACAGTTCTTTTTTTTTTCACTTGTTTGTTGAATATTATATTAGAAAATGTTGCAATTAGAGGTGGTACTATCGAGGTCAATGCTGGCAGGGATGAGCTACGGACTCGTCTTCCCTGATTGAATTGCTAGCACAACAACCTGCTATTTTACTCTCTTGCAAAGAAGGTAGAGCCGGTTGGAAATGTAACACCAAAAATGCTCCACAAAATTCGTTAGAAATCAAACTCCACAAAAATCCATTAAAGCCGCTTAGAGTGTCTCTATATATTTAAATTTGATTCTAAAGATGATGTATGCCAGCATGCACTAATCCAAGAGCTGGTTTACTGTGTCAACGACCGATTTCTTCAATCCAATAAACTCAAAGTCAAATATACTTCTAGTCACACTTTGGTCATACCTGTCCAGTCTTGGTGAATATTTCTTAGCGTCTTCGGGATTTCCTTTTGGTAAAATCTGGTCCAATTCGTCAAAATTGTATCTGATTATGTCAATGATTTCTTGGTTATTGTATCTTCCAGCAACAGTAAAGAGTCTCTTATTTGCGGCCTCGTCTTTTTGAAACGCTACTATATGTGCATTAGCGCAATCTCTCACATCAACAAATAAACCAGCTCCCTGTGGCACTTTGTCATTTGGTTTAAGCTTCAACAATTTGTTGATAGCTTCTGATGAATAGTTGAGGCCGTCCTTGTTGAAATCAGGGAATGCTTGGGGACCAAAGACTAATCCTGGTAATATTGTGGTCACGGTGAAATGGGGGTTTTCTTCTTTGACGAATTTCCACACTGTTTCTTCGGCAAACTTCTTAGAGCCAGCATAGCCGTCGCTGACCTCTTTCAACGCTTCCTCCCAGGTGACTGGGTTCCAGTTTTGTTCGGTTACCAGCTCACCTTCTTTGAGAACAGTTCGACTTCCAGCAACAGCTGAAAGTGACGATGTGACCACTACCTTTTTAATGTTCTTGCCGTATTTCTGAACAGCCCTAAGTGCATTGGTTGTTCCATTTATCGCTGGCTCTAGCAAGTCCTTCTTGATATCCTTGATGTCGAATTTCACTGGTGAAGCTGTGTGCAAAAACACTTCGGCTTCTGGATGTGCGCTCAATGCTTTGTCAAAGGCACCATCAGCACCAACATCTTCCACCACTTCAAACTTGAAATTCTCCGCGGGTAATTCGGCTTCCTTGAGATTGTTGAGCAATCTTTGCCCCTTTTCTGCAGTTCTCACAGATCCAATCACTTTGTAATTGGATTGTATCAATTGCTTCACTATGTTTTGCGCAATGAATCCAGTAGCGCCACTAACGAAGATAGACATTGTTTGATGAATTGAAGCAAAAAGGTCTAAGTGGATAGATTGTAATTTCAATAAAGTTGTTTTGCCAATTCCTGGAATTTTGTGATTGCTACATTTTTTGAAAGAGGAAAATTAACAAAGTTAGATGTTGCTCAGTTTAGAATTAACGAAATTCTACATAGAAACTTTGAGAAAATGTAATAGGTGCATTAAACTATTTCAAAAATATACACAAAGCATCAGATCACTTGGATTCAGACTTCTTATCGTCCTTGTGGTTCTCTTGATAGTCTGAGTATGCCTTCTTGGCATTGTCTTGGAAATTTCCACCTTTGGAAAAGTCTTGATAGGCATCCTTACCGTCTTCTTGTGTGACTTTGCCTGATTTGATGAAATCTTGTCCTTTTTTGATGAATGAGTCCATGTTTGTTAATACGTTATGAATTGAAAAGAAAACAAGAGCAACTAGAAGTAAAAAATAAAGACAGGGACTCAATACTTATATATTTTGAAAAGCAGCTATCTCGAAATAGAAAATATAAAAACAATTGGCCCGCGTGGTAGGGCATAAACATTCTAGGCTTTTTAGTTATTCTATTGTTTGCGTCGTTTCAAGTGGTAGACACGCATATATTAGAGAGTCGTGTACTCCCTTTATTTTGCACTCGCAATTACGTCATATTTAGCGTTGTGCATTCTCCATTGAATGTCGCGTGTTAAGTGTCACACGACATTGGTTAGATCTACGCCCCCACTTGGAGAGATCGCTTCTAAGGAAAGAGAAATGACCTGAATCATCCTTAATCTTTTTTCCTTATTGAAAACGAGCTAACAGGATCCAGGAACAATTTCTTTCACACTTTGCTGCAATTTATAGAAACTCAAATGTATCTGAACAGAGAGGATTTGTAGAAGAGATTTAGCATCAAATTGAAGCCAATTAGTTTGTAATAGATATCTCTCATAGCATCCTTCAAGAGCTTTAAAACATTGATTACCTCATTCTCCTCCTAGCTACACAGTTCCTCTGAACTCTAGGTAACACACAACAGCCGCAACCACCAAGTCCCAATCCCAAGCCATTTTGCAACAGAATTGTGCAATTTCCGAGACCGCTTATTAACTCACATCAACGGAAAAAAAAAAAAAGAAACGTATAAAAAAGAACAAACGGTCAAATCACTTTTGCGAAATTTTTCAGATTTCCCTTCGCTTATGAGAAAGGATTGTGGATCGCTCAGATGCTAGCGTCGTACAATGACCTACTCAGGAAATATCCCTATCGCACCAATATGGTGACAACCGGCCTATTTTTTGGCCTCGGGGACCTCATCGCCCAGTCCTTGTTCCCACACACAACAATAAAGACCACAACTGACAAAGATGGAAACCCGATGGAGGTAGTTGAAGTCAGTGACTACACGCCCCAGAGAACATTCAGAGCAATGGTATACGGGTCTGTATTCTTTGCCCCCATAAGTGTACTATGGCATGGGAAAACGCTTCCCAAGTTGAAAAACCCTTTTATTAGCATGGTGAAAAGAAAATTGATGGAGACAAAGAATAGAAAGAGGTTGCACTTTTACGACACAGTGTTCCGTTTGGGCGTTGACCAGCTAATTTTTCCTGGGTTGGTGTGGATCCCTCTTTACAACACGGTCATGGTGATGCTAGCACAACACCAGGATCCATTTGCCGTAATCCATAATAAGTTGGAAAATAATTGGTGGACAGTTCTCAAAGCAAACTGGACAGTGTGGCCTGGGTTCCAACTAGTCAATTTATATTTTATCCCGGTGCATTTACGAATCGTTTGTGCAAATATATGGTCTACTGGGTGGAACACATTCTTGAGCTTTGTTCACAACACAAAGGGCCACGGAAAGGGAAGCGGAAAGAGATTGGAAGAGTTGGTGGATATTGAAGATGACGACCAGGAAGTTGTGATGGTGTATGATTAGCAGCTGTTAATAGTTAATTAAAAGTTAATTAAAAGTGTAATAAATGCATAGGTAGCGCGCCTCAGCTTCAAAAGTGGTCGAAAACGAGCTCTTGAGCAATCTATTGACTAACCCATCCACACACTTCATCCTCATCTTTGGACCACTATGCGAGCATTCTTCAACGGTTACGGTCAATTGCTTGTTAAGAGACCGCTTTTGACAAATATGATCAGCACAGGCTTTCTATTAGGGGCTGGAGATTGTTCAGCACAGATCTTATTTCCTGCTAATCCTGGGCAGCCATACGATTATGTGAGAACGTTGCGAGCAGTTATATATGGAGGAATCATATTTGCCCCATTGGGAGATAAATGGTACAAGATCCTAAATACCAAAATCATATGGCGTGGAAAGAATGAGAGAACCATGTCGACAATTCTTCGGGTTGCTGTGGACCAATTGGTATTTGCCCCCTTCATTGGTATTCCATTGTACTATGCAGCCATGACAGTATTGGAGAATCGGAAACCTTACTTGGAGCACATAGTGGACAAATTTGAAACAAGCTGGTGGGTAACTTTGAAAAGCAACTGGTTAGTTTGGCCAATATTTCAATGGTTCAACTTCTACTTGCTACCGGTGCATTACAGGTTATTAGCGGTTAACCTAATCAGTATTGGCTGGAATACATATCTCAGTTATATAATGCATAATAAAGGTTGATCTTTGAAGTTGAAGCTTCAATTGAGTAGACGGGGTAGTGCGAAAGACCAAATTACCTACAAAGGCTGACGTCACACCGTTTGATCGAAGAAAGATGAGTCAAGCATATAGTAAAGGTTGAACGTGGAGTTGAAAACGGTTGATCCGGAGAGGTTGACTGTCTACGGTTCATAAAGTAACTAGTGACTTATGATGTGTTTCAACCTTAAATAATGTTGGTGTCGGGGCACATACATTTTCCGCTTGTTTTTATTTTTTTATGTTTTATTTTTTATTGTGTTTTTTTTTTTATTTTATTTTATTTTATTTTATTTTTTCTGTCTTTCGCTCCAACGAATTTCATCAACACACTCTCAGTCTGTGGTCGACAAAGTTATCACGTTGAAATACATTACAAATAGACCACTACTAAAGTTATCTATCAACCATAGATATACAGTAATTAAGGGATATTTCCAGTGCCCTCTTTGAAAATGATGAAAGGATTTAAAAACAGATTGACTCGAAACAAGAGTCAATCGACAAGCAAGAAAGGGGATAGGAAAGACAAGGACAAGAGCGAAAAGAAATCGTCGTCGCCATCATCATCAGCATCCACCACTTCGAATACTGGATCGCTGCAGAGCTCAAAGAACTTAATGTCCAACTCGTCAACCTCATTAAAGTCAAACTCACCCAGTCCTTCAAGAAACAATAGCTCAAACAGCGCTGTTTCAATCAAATCGACAAATAGCAATACGACCATGACGTCAGTCACATCCCCACAAGGCCTGCCAACCACCGAGTCCCCACGAATTGTTGTTAACGATGACAACTCAAATACGGTTTTTGGTTCACCCTCGCAGCAATCGTCCAATAGTTCAGGTGTGTTTCCAAACACCGTATCATTAGCATCAGGACCATCGTCAGTAGCAAATATGTCAGCTTCAAACACTGGCATCACTCCCACGACTATGCCTTCCATAGTGACGCCGAACCAAAGTGCTGCCAATGTTTCTTTCGGCTCAACTGCACAGCCCATAACACCCACGCCAACCTCGCCAAAGAGTCCAAATTTCGAATCCAAAGCGCACCACAGTCAGCAAGGAGCGCAGTCACACTACCAGTTGAATCCAAATATATCATCTCCTGGTAGGGATTCTTTTGATATTGATTTGATAACAGCACCAAAGAGACATTCATCCTCCAGATTTGAACCAACATCTTCCGATAGGTATCAGGAAATTAACAAATTGCCAAACTTTGATGAAGTGTTACCAGAGGACCAAATTAGCTTATTTATACAAAAGATTGATCAATGTAACATCATGTTTGATTTCAGTGACCCCACTTTTGATATTAGAGGTAAGGAGATCAAACGGATGACATTGCAAGAGTTGATTGCATTTATCTCGAATAACCGTTTCTCGTACACCGACGAGATGTACAAGCATGTTGTCAATATGTTTAAAAAGAATTTGTTTCGCCCAATCCCTCCACCAGTCAACCCTATTGGCGACATATATGACCCTGACGAGGACGAACCAGTCAGCGAATTGGCATGGCCGCATATGCAAGCGATTTATGAGTTTTTCTTGAGGTTTATAGAGCTGCCTGATTTTCAGCACCAAATTGCCAAGCAGTACATTGATCACGAATTTATCTTAAGAATACTAGAGTTGTTTGACTCAGAGGACCCTAGAGAAAGGGACTGTTTGAAGACAACGTTGCATAGAATTTACGGAAAGTTTTTGAGTTTGAGGAGCTTTATTAGAAAGTCAATCAACAATGTTTTCTTGCAATTTATTTACGAAACAGAAAGGTTCAATGGGGTTGGTGAATTGTTGGAAATCATGGGCTCTATTATCAATGGATTTGCACTTCCATTGAAAGAGGAGCACAAGATCTTTTTAGTGCGAGTATTGATACCATTGCATAAAGTAAAATGCTTATCGTTATATCACCCGCAGTTGGCGTACTGTATTGTTCAATTTTTGGAAAAGGACCCCTCATTAACTGAGGATGTGATTATGGGTTTGTTGAGATTCTGGCCCAAGATTAATAGCCCTAAGGAGGTTATGTTTTTGAATGAAATCGAGGATATTTTCGAGGTCATGGAGCCAAACGAGTTTGTTAAGATACAAATCCCATTATTCGCCCAGTTGTCGAAATGCATCAGCTCATCGCACTACCAAGTTAGTGAAAAGGTCTTATGCTACTGGTCAAACGAGTACTTTTTGACGTTGATCACAGAAAATGCTGAAGTTGTGTTGCCAATAATTTTTGCATCGTTGTACGAATTGACAAACTCAACCCAACCCGGTATCGAAAATGGCGTAATGCAGCAAAAGTTGGCCAATTTCCCCGATGCAGTAGTAGATGCCAACGGTAACTTAATTGATGCAGGGTTGGTGTTGCAAGACTTGCAACAAGGAATTATACCAAGTGCAAATGACCCAGACCACCCCCATCACAACATTTTCCAAGTACATGCCTCGGTGAACAATAACGGACAGAATGAAGAAAATGACTTGTCCATGTCCCTCAACGGCGAAGGAAATCATCATCAGCGCAATCCCCACTCCGACATCAATGGTAATGAACTATCAGATGAAGAGTACTACGATCTGTTTAGTTCAATGCAGGCAGGCAACATGAACTCAGGAGGATCCAACTCGAATAACCCATTGGGTGATGAATTTGGACCTGGATTTGATGAAGAGACCAGTATGTTGCAGCACAATTCTGCCACGTCAACCTGGAATAGAAATATCCATTCCCTTTCGTATGGTGCGCTCAAAGTATTTATGGATCATAGTCCAGTGTTGTATGACCACTGCACCATGCTATATCATCAATCATTAAGTGAGCAAAAAAGTCGCGAGGCAGCACGAAAGGAAGGGTGGGAGAAGATTGAGAAGTATGTAAAGCAGCTTAAAGCTCAGCAACCATCACAAGAAAGTAGTGGCGTATTTTTGAAATAAACGACAGTGTTTAGTTTTAATGTACAAACTTTTTATATATGGAAGAGGAAAAGAGAGAGAGGAGAAAAAAATAAAAGAAACGAAACGACAGACGAATTTCTTGAAATTGTGCAAAATTTTCACCATCGTCAATTGTCAGCTCTCTTTCTTCTTTCTCTTCATCATAACGCATTTACAGAGGTATGTCTGACGCAAGATCTATAAATATCCATAAAGATGAAAAACCTTTACCTCGATTTGCAAATGTTTGAATTTGGAATTTCTTTTTTTTATTTCAAATTGATGAAATGTATAGAAAGAACCGCTACACTGAATTGGATTAAGAGATATGTTTGATGAATAATTACTAACTTTTGATAATTAGATTAAGATTACTAAAGCATTTTTGAAAGGCTCTTCGGTCCATGGAAGGGCCCGCTCATTGGAGAAAAATACAAACGATAAGACTATAGTCTGAAGATAATAGGTGTAGGAAATCTCTTGTTCCGTAGGAAACTCCGACGAGGGTGCAGTTTGTCCCGCCATGTGATCTTGATAGATAAAGGACACACATAGGGATTAGGCGAAATGGGAGAGGAGTGAAAGGAAGATGAAACAGTCATGAAATATATAGTCTGATGATTGGCCTGGCATCACCATTTGTACATACTGCGCACATAAGTTCGTGCAGTTTTTCAAAATATTGTAGAGCCACTTGCCATCTCAAAAGGGACAAAAAATTTTTCCCTCATCTCTGCCACCCACTTCTTTTTCTCTTTTGGCAAAGTTTGCCCCTTCAATACAGCTAAATCGATTTAACGACTTAGATTATTATTCTCGAAATGACCTACGACGCATCAAAAGCTACTTCATACTTGAAAGACTACACCAAGAAAGATGGTTTGTCAATCAAAGAGTTGATTGACTCTACTAATTTCGGTGGGTTGACTTACAACGACTTTTTGATCTTGCCTGGTTTGATTACATTTCCAAGCACCAACGTAAACTTGGAAAGTAAGTTGACCAAGAAGATCACCTTGAAGACTCCATTTGTTTCAAGTCCTATGGATACTGTTACCGAGGAGAACATGGCCATTCACATGGCATTGTTGGGTGGTATTGGTATTATTCACCACAACTGTACCGCTGACGAACAAGCCGAAATGGTTAAAAAGGTCAAGAAATACGAGAATGGTTTCATCAACGATCCAGTCGTTATTTCACCAGATGTCACTGTTGGGGACGTTAAAAAAATGAAGGAGGTCATGGGATTCACCTCCTTCCCAGTAACTGGTATGTAATTTTTTCAATTGTCATGGATACCCTGATGATCAACCAAAAATTTAATAACTTTCGTTCTACCGAGTCACATCAAACGATGTTGGGGAGAATCTTTTTTTAAACTGAATAAACATGACAATTTGTATAATGGGAAAATACTAACAAATAATCTAGACAATGGTAAAAATGGAGGAAAATTGCTTGGTATCGTCACTTCACGTGATGTTCAATTCCACGAAAATAACAGAGACCCTGTATCACAAGTTATGACTACCGACTTGATCACCGGTAAGGAAGGCATCTCATTAACTGAGGGTAACGAAATCTTGAGAAAGTCTAAAAAGGGAAAGTTGCCAATTATTGATTCAAAGGATAATTTGGTTTCATTAATCTCATTGACTGATTTGCAAAAGAACCACGATTTTCCAAATGCTTCAAAATCATATCACTCCAAGCAATTGTTATGTGGTGCTGCTATTGGAACCATGGACGCTGACAAAGAAAGGTTGAATAAGTTGGTTGAAGCTGGTTTGGATGTTGTTGTCATTGACTCTTCAAACGGTTCATCAACTTTCCAGATCAACATGCTTAAATGGATTAAAGAGAAATATCCTGAACTTCAAGTCGTTGCTGGAAATGTTGTTACTAGAGAACAAGCTGCTTTGTTGATTGAAGCTGGTGCCGATGCGTTGAGAATTGGTATGGGTTCAGGTTCAATCTGTATTACTCAAGAAGTGATGGCATGTGGTAGACCCCAAGGTACAGCCGTTTATGGAGTAACAGAATTTGCCAACAAGTTTGGTGTTCCATGTATTGCCGATGGTGGTATTGGAAACATTGGTCACATTTCAAAGGCTTTGGCTTTGGGTGCGTCATGTATTATGATGGGTGGTTTGTTAGCTGGTACTGCAGAAACTCCAGGTGATTACTTCTACAGGGATGGCCAAAGATTGAAGGCTTACAGAGGTATGGGATCAATTGATGCTATGCAACAAACCAGCACAAATGCCAATGCATCCACATCAAGATACTTTTCCGAAACCGACAAAGTCTTTGTTGCCCAAGGTGTTAGTGGATCAGTTATTGATAAGGGTTCTATTACCAAGTTTGTGCCTTACTTGTACAATGGTTTGCAACACTCTTTACAAGATATTGGTATCCAATCCGTCACAGAATTAAGAGAAAAGGTTGATAGCGGATCAGTCAGATTTGAGTTCAGAACCGCTTCTGCTCAATTCGAGGGTGGTGTTCACGGCTTACACTCGTATGAAAAGACTTTGCATAACTAGAATTTATTTGTTTTTTTTAAAAAATCTATGGTAAAAGAATAATAAAATTTTGTATATCTCAAGGCGTGGTGAATATGTAAAGACAAGTGGAAAACAGATTTTGTTTGGTGTGTGTTCACTCACAAGACCAAATGACGTCAGGAATTAGAAAAGCCATTTTGAAAATATTTTTATCTCTCGAGTTTTTTCATCAACAACAAAAATACTCCTTACTATCGCCCAATCACTCGATGAACACTACTCTTGATGAAGATCTCACCAACAGCAGATTGGTTAGATACAACGATATCCAACCTGATGTTATGAGGTACTTGTACAATGTGATATCGCCCCATTATCCCAACCTCTTTCCCAAATATTCAACAAAGACACATTCCTTCGATACTTTAAACATCATAGATCTACTACACGATGGCGAGATATTATGTCGTTTGGGACAGTTGGTGAAACTACCTTCGGAGACCAAAAACCCTACTGCCAGGTTTAAATCATCACAAATGGCATTTATTCAGATGGAGAATATATCGTGGTTTTTACAATTGTGTGAATTGTTGAACTTACCTCATGATGAAATTTTCCAGACTGTTGACTTGTATGAGGGCAAAGACCCGTATCAAGTCTGTATCACTTTGATGTCGTTTTCTCGTATTGTCAACAATTTAGATCCCGAGATCTTTGGCGAAGTTATCGGTCCAAAGAAGGTTAAGGTCAAGCCGGTAGTGCCTAATAAACCAAGGAGCTTAAGGGAATAGAGTACAAGGATATTTTTAGTCGTTCCATCTTGGTGAAAGCTTTTGATATTGGAATTGTGTCTAGTTCATTGTCGGTCATTACTTTTGGTCAGAGATCCATGGATGATGAAGTGATCAGTGAATGATAATTAATTAGGGAATACTTGGACTGGTGTCGTAAAAGGCTTCATCGGGGTGCTTATAATCCAAACTCATTGTTTTACCATTTCCTGTACTGATAAAGTGAAAGCAGCTGTGGTATTCAGCCCACGAAAGATAAAATTAATACTTATTGACAAGAGTTGGATCTATGACTTGTTTCAAAGATGATCCAAGCTGGTCCTCCAATAGAGATTCTATATGGTTCAACAATCTATGATGTAAAGTCGTTCCTTATAATAGTAGTATGAAATCTTAACCATAACTTATATACAGGAATAATTCATATTACGTTTTTCTCATTTCTTTTCTCATCTCTTCGCAGAGTTTTCTTTTTTTTTTTTTTTTTTTTTTAACAAGGATTTAACAAGTAGAAATCATCATCAACAGATTGACAAGACATCCAAGCAGGACAACTTCGCTAGAGGAACCATTCGAAAAGAATTAATAAGTACTGGAAGACTTATATTTACGCAAGGAAAGACAAAAAAAGGGGAGAATTATTTTCATTTTAGCTGCTATTAGCATAATTTATTTATTTGCATCATCCAAAAGAACTATTCACATTAATCTAGCATGTCAGACGAAGTTATTTGGCAAGTGATCAATCATCAATTTTGTGCTTTCAAATTAAAGACTGAGAAGCAGAATTTCTGCCGGAATGAATATAACGTTAGTGGGTTGTGTACGAGGCAATCATGTCCCTTGGCTAATGCTCGATACGCCACAGTTAAAAACGTGGGAGGGAAATTGTACCTATATATGAAAACCGCAGAAAGAGCACATATGCCTAATAGATGGTGGGAAAGAATTAAGCTTTCAAAGAATTACAATAAAGCATTAGCACAAATTGACCATCATTTACAGTATTGGCAAAAGTTTTTGCAACACAAGTGTAAGCAAAGATTGACGAGATTGACACAAGTGGCCATTACAGAAAGACGATTAGCATTAAATGAAGAAGAAAGACACTTGGTTGGAGTTAAGCCCAAGTTGAAAAGAAGAGAAGAGAATAGAGAAAGAAAAGCATTAGCAGCCGCCAAGATTGAAAAGGCAATTGAAAAGGAGTTGTTAGAGAGGTTGAAAAGTGGTGCATATGGAGATAAGCCATTGAATGTAGATGAAAACATATGGAAAAAAGTATTGGGTAAAGTTGATGAGGTTGATCAGGAGGAAGAATTTGACGATGACGAGGACGAGGATGTTGAGCTTGAAAGTGAAGAGGAGGAGGATGAAGACGATATGGGAGAGATTGAATATGTTGAAGATTCAGGTGATGATGATTTGGTTGATATGGAAGATTTAGAAAAGTGGTTGGACGATTCCTCAGCTAATGAAAGCGAAAGTGAAGATGAGAGTGAGGATGAGAGTGAGGAAGAAGCAGGCGAAGGAAGCTCAAAGAAGAGAAAGGCAGACGACACAAAGTCCAAACTGAAGAAGAAGAAGAGAAAGCCAAGAGTCGAGATTGAGTATGAGGAAGAAGAACCAATACAAACTAATATAGCCGTTTAGGGAGGATATAATACATTTATTTGGTGGTAACTTTGTATTTATAAACGAGGATTATTGTATATTATCAAAGGAGAGACTGCATGAACCATTTCTAGACTATATACCTGGCCGTAGTATCTATCAAATCTGCAATTTATTTCACACAATTTGGAAAGGGGCTGGCCCTATGCGGGGATACATGCCTAGGTTGTTTTGCCTAAATTATGACAGACACGCATCAACACACAACTGAGTGTGGGCCAACTAACTTTCCGGTATCACAGTATAATAAAATAATCGGTGAGGCAATATATGCTTGTGGTAAACAGCAGCAAAAGTACACGCAGTGAAACGGCGCATACAGTGGAAAAAATAGCGCAATTAACCTTGGGGGTCTAATCGTATTTCTAGCAGTTACTGTGAATCAGGTTATGTGGTATACGTGATTGTGGACCAAGTAGGGCGCTTCAGATGGTGGACTTGCATGATGTAGACGGAAACGTCTATAACGTGATGCAACTGGGTTGTGTTGGTGATTACTTATAACTGATGGAAGAGCACATCACTGCAATAGTCGACATTTATCAGAAGAAGAATATTAAGAAGTAGTCAGGCTCAAGTTGAGCAAGCTAATAGCCACAGTTAAAATATTGAAATAAAAAAGGTGATAACTTGTGGCGTCACAGACGTCTAGCATGAGACAGTGGAAGAGAGCCCAATCTGTTACTTGGTAGTCACTTTGGTGTCCTGTGTCGTATTTTTTACGGGGAAGATGTGTGATCCTGAAAATACTGTACTACGTACTACGTTGTGCTTCCAGTCACTCTATTGTCGTAAATTGACTGAACTTTCGAATGCTTTTAATGTAAATAATGTTTCTGCCCGGTCGGCGTTGGCTCATCATTATAATCCTTCGTGTTATGTAACAGAAAATCCACAAAACTTTGTTCTGTTAAGCCGGATAAAGTATGACGGTTTCATCCGTCTGATTCCCGCAATCTCGCTTTGTCTAGTGAAGTACTTCGGAGTTAAGTTTTTCAGTTACAAAATTGGAAAAGCAAAGTTTACAACAACAACAACATCTTCCCGATAATAAAGAAGTGCAAAAGCCTTGGACTCATGCTTAATATATTTAAGTACCACATGTTGTTAGTTCCATCATTTAGTGACTGGCAAACATACGGCTCAACTTGTAAACAAAGGTTAAGTTCTCCACAGGCATCATTTTCGATGCCAGTAGGCGCATGATCTATAGCACCAAGGCTGTGTATTGATAGTGGAGCATTCTTGATTAAGCTTATAAAAGACGTTGATTTTCATTCTTGGCTGTTTCTTTTTCTTAGCCTCATCAGAACAACCTCCGTTTGATTTTATTCGCATTTTAGTCTTTTATTTGCATTTAGGGTTTTAGCTAAACGCCTAACGCCTAATTTCGATGAGAATTATTCAGGAACAGCCCTTGGCGGTTTTATGTATTCAAAACTTGGTATATTTTAGCAGCAACTATTAGTGCCGCCATGTTGAGTCTCATAATACTTAGGATTTACCTTCTAGCTCTTGGTGTTTTTCAGACAAACTAGATACGAGAAAGTCAAGGGTGAAGAGCAAAAGAAAACACAAAGTAACACAAAATCCGAATTTTATTTGTTTTTTATTTCATCCATACCCTTTTTTCTCTTTCTCTCTTTTTTTTTTTATTTATTCCGTTGTTTGTTTTTATTCCTTTTATTGTTTTTATTGTTCTTATTCCTTTTCGGCGCTACAATATATAAATATGTAAGCAAAGTGGCATTTTCTTTTAACTGCAAAAGGAGTACTACAACGAAGAACTAGAGCAATACAGAAGAAAGAAGATTTTTTATTCTTTTAACATCCTTTGCTCGCCTCAAAAGCAAACTTTGATAAATATGGACCAGTTGGCTTCAATAACGGCCTGGACCCCTACTTCAACTTCCACGCCAACATCGACTAGTTTGAAAAGTGTTGCTACCACGGCGCAATCTGCTTTAGAACTGAGTTTGTCAGCAGCAATAGAATCATTTCGCAGTTATGGTTCAAACATCAACAACGAACAATATGTCAGTGCATCTAGAATCATTCGTGGGGCACAAGCTTCCTTATCAATCATTTCTGCTGAGGGTGTATTGGCTACTGCAACCGCTGAAAATGCCAAAGCACAGGCTACCGAGCTAATTTGGAATCTGACGCAGAATTTAGACGATTTATGGTGGGATGAAAATGTTTACAGCATACGACGTCTTACTCGCCCAGGAAATATCATTTTCTTGGTTGTGTTTGCCATTTCATTCTTGTGGTATATTCTAATATTAGCCAAGTCAAGATACTGGTGGTTCAACGTTGCCTTTTTCTGTGGTGCCGCTTTGGAATTCTTGGGGTTCCTTGGTAGAGTGCTTTCCTTCAGTGACATGACATATTTCCCTTACTACTTGTTACAATTGATTGTATTGACTATAGCCCCAGCATTTATTATGGGTGGTATCTATTTCCTTTTGGGTCAGTTGGTGATTATTCATGGTCGGCAGTTTTCGGCTTTGAAACCATTATGGTATGCATACATATTCATTGCTTGTGATATCACATCATTGGTTATTCAAGCTATAGGTGGTGGTATTGCTAGTGTTAGGGCAGAAAACTACGAAAACTCTGACCCTGGTACCTACACCATGATTTCTGGTATTGCATTCCAGGTATTTTCAATGTCAATTTACCTCATATTTTGGTCGATGTTCTTGTGGAAGATATATTTCCCAAAAACTAACAAATACCCCCAATATGAATCAGAAAAAAATGACGTTGATGCACGTCAAGTTTTGAAACCGAGTGTGAAGAACTTTCTTAAATTGCTTGTCAATTCAAAGAAGACAGCTGAATACAAGAAGAATGTTTTGGAACCATACTACAACCCCAAATACGCTGACATTAGGCTGAGAAAAATGTATGATTACTTCCCATTGGCTGTTTCCTTGGCTATAATTGCAGTTTATGTTCGTTGCATCTATAGAGTGGTTGAATTAGCACAAGGTTTCAGTGGTTACTTAATTACACATGAAGTTTACATTATGTGTTTGGATGCCCTCATGTTGTTTATTGCTTTGTACATTTTTATTCCATTCCACCCACACATTGTTTTCGGAGCAAGCAATATCATTAGACTTGGTGATATCAAGGGAAACACCGATGAGAAAATTGAAGAAGAGATATTATACCCCGTAGATGACGAATATGATAGCAACGTGAGGAATGATACAGCTGTGGGAAGTCCAATTGGCGAGGGACATGGAGCTAATAAGGATGGCAAGTTTGAGGGAAGTGACGCATCTTACAAAGCAGAGCTCGGCGATACAAATCGTGATTCTCGCCCCTGGGAGGATGGTCCTGTAGATGCTGGATTTTACAAGTCAGAAGATGGTGAAGTAAATCAAAGACCCTATGGAACTGGACCTAGGTGATTTGAAAGCATAGTTTCCTTACCAGTTTGTAAGACTGGGTTCATTTTTTTATCTTTAGGGTTTATATTAATTTGAAGTCGTAATATAGAGTTAGATTATAGCATGTGCTGCTAGTGGTAAATGTTGAAAACATTGAATCACACGTAGATGTGTAGATATATCCATTCCTATAGACTAGTAATAATGAACCCGCCAATAAGGTGTGAACCTTGGTAAAAGTGCAATAGTTTAAAGCATGATTACGTCAGTTTGTTTATAATGTTGTTTTGCCACAAAGCTCAGTCGTAATTTCGATCAATGCGTCCTATTTCTTCTTTGTTAACACAACCTTTTGTATCAATAACAAAACTTCGTCTTTTGTATTTTCAGATTTCAACCAACAATGAACTGGTGAATGTGTAGCATTTATTCCGATATCACGATATAGGCAAAGGAGATAAACCCGGACAATAAATATGAATAAAAATGAGAACAAAAAAAGAAGAAGTTTCATTTTTCTTGGCGATGTTATTGTCTTAAGCCTCTTCCAAGGTAGTGTCCGGCTGGTAAACATACAGTTCGCAACGAAAACAACAGAAGGGCGAAAGGGGGCGAAGTGAAAACCATTTCAATACTACCGCCAATAGAATTGAATAAGTTAGTCTCAAAAGTTTATCTAGAATGGCTATGTGAGAATAAGTAAATTGAGCAGTTCTTTCGAAAGACAATGCAAACGCTCCCGTATTCAAAAGCTTCTTGTAATAAGGTATGTCTTCTCCACCAGGTCACAAAGGCTTGTAGCTTATACTTTACTGCTGCTTGTTCATTGTCCTTAAGTACTCTAACTTCCCTCTTGCTTTTTAAAGCACTATGCCATAACAAGTCGCTCCATCAGTCGTGACTTCAACTGCTAGAGATAGGAAGTGGCACATAAAAAGAAAAAGTTCAAACAATAGGAGTAACTAAAGCCGCTAGATCTAAGCCTTAATAATTTGTGACACAAATTAATTGCTTTTTCCGAGACAAACGAAAACAAAAAAGAATAAAATTCGCATCAAAAAAATAAATAAAACAAATCCGATTCTTCTTTAAAAGTCCAGAAATATTTAGCGAGTTTCAGCCACCCAGCTGTGATTAATAGCATAAATATACTATCCAACCAAAAGATTAGTCCGTTTGATTGATACTTTTTCTCAGCATGGATCTGATCTCCTCAATAGCTGCATGGACTCCCACAACCACGGCAACATCAACTTCATTGAAGAGTGTAGCCACAACGGCAGAATCGGCGCTTGAGCTGAGTTTGTCAAAAGCTCTTCATTCATTGACAGGTCATACTTCTACAATGATGAGAAATGACTATGTACTGGCTTCGAGAGCAATTCGGGGCGCACAAGCTTCTTTATCAATCATTTCAGCAGAACAAGTGTTGGCAACGGCAACTGCTGAAAGCGTCAAAGTACAAGCTACGGAAGTCATGTGGAACCTGACGCAAAACTTGGACGACTTGGCGTGGGAAGAAAATATATACGGTATACGCCATTTGACACGTCCAGGGAACATATTCTTTTTGGTGGCTTTTTCGATAACGCTTCTATGGTACACGTTGATATTTATAAAGTCTCGATATTGGTGGTTCAATATTGCATTTTTCTGTGGAGCAGCATTGGAGTTTTTGGGTTTTCTTGGGCGGGTCCTTTCTTTTAGCGATATGACGTCTTTCCTGTACTATGTGATGCAAATGGTGACATTAACAATAGCGCCTGCCTTTACCATGGGTGGTATCTATTTCCTTTTGGGCCAGTTGGTGATTATTCATGGTCGGCAGTTTTCGGCTTTGAAACCATTATGGTATGCATACATATTCATCGCTTGTGACATTGTTTCTTTGTTTATCCAAGCGGCTGGAGGAGGGATTGCTAGTTCAGCTACACTGAGCAATACTAGTACTGATGGGGGCACACACACGATGATTGCTGGTATTGTGTTTCAGGCGGTTTCAATGTCGGTTTACGTCTCGCTTTGGTTTATATTCATTTGGAGAATTTACTTTCCAAAGACGAGTACATATTCCCAGTATGCCATGGATAAAGTTGATCAGCATCAAATGTTGAAACCGGGATTGAAGAACTTTTTAAAACTATTCTTCAACACTAAAGCTTCAGCCGAGTACAAAAAGACTGTGTTGGAACCATATTACAATCCAAAATACAGTGATATCAGACAAAGATCGTTGTACAATTACTTTCCCTTGGCGGTGACATGCGCCATCATTGCTATATTCGTCCGTTGTATTTATAGAGTGGTTGAGTTGGCACAAGGTTTCCGAGGATACTTGATTACTCACGAGGTTTACATTATGTGTTTGGATGCAGCAATGTTGGTTATTGCTTTGTACGTGTTTATCCCCTTCCATCCTTATATTGTATTTGGTTCAAGCAATATCATCAGACTTGGTGATATTAAGGGCAACGTGGATGAAAAAGTTGACGCAGAGGAGATGTATTTGACGAATATTGACGAGAATACAGTGGAAAGTATAAGTGTTGACCCAGTTCTGATTGAGAATAGAGGAGGTGAAACAGACGGGAAATGAGAGCACAGCGGTTACTTCAATGTACATACCTATTTTGAGGACAAGAAAGAGGCGACTGAAACACCTCCAAATTCTTGTAGCCTGGTGAAAGTGGTCTCACGATGAAGGATTCCATAGACTTTGTATTTTGAAACTAACAGTTAATAAGTTATAGTATTACTTTATTTGATCACCAGTGATGAGGGCAACAATCAAGCAAAAGTGGCAGAAGTTAACGGGTCCTACAACAAGCTCATCACACAGTCTAGAGTGGTGAATGATCTGGAACAAGCTTGTTGGACTGGCTGCAAATGATTTTTTCTCTTGTATTTTACGCCATTCAAATTGATCGGCATTCCCTTTTTTTGTAATTATAACTATACGTTTCATCAGGAGGTCTTCAGTGGCCCATTTGCTATCTAAAACAAATCAACTTTACCATTCATTGACCCGTACTTGCTATATGAATATATCTGCCAACTCACTATTTTCAAATCCAAATGGTACATATGAAAGTAACTACACACCGCCACCAGGTACTGACCTGGGCATATTGTCTGAGTTACCTTACTACCCTATGGATGATACAGATCCTATTTTTCATTTCACATGTGATGAATTGATTGGTGATAGATTCCCCATTACAAAGTATCCGTTTGATGGATTCATAGATTTCCACTCGTTAAAGATTTGCAGCTCAAATGCCAAGCAAATGTCAAAGTACTTGCAACTAGCTATGGGGTTTAAAGAGGTAGCCTACAGGGGTTTAGAAAATGACTCCCGGTTAGTTGCATCCCACGTTGTCCAAAATGGTTCAATCTTCTTGGAAATTGTTAATACTTTGGAGACTATAAAGGACGATAATGTTTTACGGTTCCCATACTTCAAGCACGATCTTTCACTATTTGAAAAGTTTGACCGAAATATGAACAATTATGTGGAAGAATTCAAGATTACCACTGAAGACTTGGTGTTCGATTATGTCAACAATAGAATCGAGAGTTTAAGTACAGCCCCTTTGAAGTCATTAAAATTTGGTCGCCATATGTACAACACAATCATAAAGAGTGGGAAATACAAGGCAATCTCGCAAGAAATTCAACAAATTATTATCAATATCATCAACGATTCGGAATTGATATATAATGACATAATGGAGTGCACATTGATACAAAAGTTTTTGAAAAACCATGCCGAAGGGGTCATGGACATTGCATTCAATGTGAGAAGTGTGGATGCAATTTTTCAAAAAGCAATACTGGCAGGGGCAGGTATTATAAGATTGCCTCGTGTCATTTGCGATGAAAATGGGTCTGTCAAACTAGCAACAGTGACGGTCCCCAATACTGACATACAACACACATTAATTGAAAACTTGGACTACACGGGCAATTTCCTACCAGGATACTCTGATTCAATAATGGGGCTTTCTCGAGGATACCAGGAACAGTTGGATTCATTGCCTGCGGTACACTTTACATCAATTGATCATTGCGTTGAGAATTATTCCTGGAACCAAATGATTTCCCAGGCCAAGATTTATGCAAAAATGTTTGGGTTTCACAAATATTGGTCAGTCGATGAGATGGATGTTTCGACGGGCTTCACTGCATTGAGGTCAATTGTAATGAGTTCAAGCAATGGCCAAATAAAAATGCCCATCAATGAACCAGTAAAGTCGAAATTTAAAGGGCAGATTGAAGAGTTCAACGATTTCTATGGCGGACCGGGCGTTCAACACATTGCTCTTCGTACAAATGATATTATTCAAACTGTAAAGGCAATGATTCAAAGAGGTATAGAGTTCAATCAGGCCAGCGAACGTTATTATAAAAACTTAGAACAACGGTTGGCAAAAGATGACATTGAGTTGTATGAGGATTTGGCCGAAATCAAGTCGCTCAGCATACTAATTGATTACGACCCAACAACCAGAAACAAACGCACAAGGAAATGTCACTACATCTTACAAATATTTTCGCACCCTTTGCATGATCGACCAACTTTATTCATTGAAGTCATTCAGCGTCATCATCACAATGGATTTGGAAAAGGAACGTTTAAAGGATTGTTTGAAACCATTGAACTGCAACAGAGACTTCGTGGTACCTTTGTAGAAGTCGAATGAGTAGCTATATATCCCCTATTTAAAATAAAACCAGCTCTTTTCTTTTCTGAAGTTTAAGCTTTTTTTTTCTGATTTTTAATATTATTTTCTCCTTATGTCAGAACCCTTAAGAGTAAACTTTAAAATGTTTTGTGTTGAAGGCAAAGAGAGAAGCATGTAATCAATCAAGTGTCTCATTACAACATATACAATAAGATAATCATACATAATCATGCAAAAAATATGCGAATGTGATTTGTTATGCATGGTTAACAAAATGCGAAACAGTGGAGCTGTTTAGAGTGACTATTACACACGCCAAACCACCTCAAATTTCATATTCCTTGGAATCATTTGACGCCAAAGAAGTAGCATATCCACCTGTAGGACAACTGGTGCTTTTGTCAAAATCGGGAATCGGTGTGTCCAAAAGTTTGAGATTGGTTTTATCATCACTTTCATTTTCTTTCGACTTTTGCTTCTCCAAATCTTCTTCATTTTTCAACTTATAACCTTCAGTAAGAAAATACTCCTTGATGTTTCTTACAAATAATGGATGCAAAAGCACATCTACACCTTCATTACGAGCAATCTCATATGCACGATCAAATGGAATCCAAACACCTTTCAAGTTCATCGTTCCAACTTTAACAACATTCTTAACCTTTTCTGTCTTCAAGATACCGTCTCTCTTGCCCCTGCTCATGCCAACAACATTGAGCAACTTGGTGCAATTTATATAATTGTTGTCTTCTCTCCGTGAAACCAAAACATTCTTTGCTCGAACTTGGTAGCAATTGGTCTTCTCTTCCTCCCAACTAAGGGTAGCAATACGAGGTCTCACGACATTGGCAGGGGGTTCAGTTTGTGGTATACAGCTGCTTATTGATGTTGTCCTGGAACGATCGTCATTGTTTGAAAACGTTGATGAGTTTCTTGATTTGTTTGTAAGGGTGGACGATACCAGTTGGTTTCGGGTAGACACGGCCATCTGCGGTTTTGATTTAGACACCAGTTGCTGATACAGTCTCTGAGGGGGGTAGCCCTGGTAATTCTGCAGAACTGATGGTGAGGCGTAAGTAAGCGAAGACTGAGGAAGAGACACTTGCGTGTACAGCATTGCGCTAGGGTTAGTGAATGCTTGATTTAACAAATGTTGCAGCTGTTGATGTTGCAGCTGTTGATTGTGCCGATGGCGTAGATCATTCTCATCACTTTCCAATCCAGTTTTCTCGCCTTGGTATAATAGTTGCAGCGAGTTTGAATTAAATGCTTGGTACCCATTCTTTGTAGAATACGTTTGCAGTTGTTGCAGATTATTACGAGACTTTGCTCCAAAATTTGTCGCATAGAAATCTTGCTGCTGAAAAATCAGATAGGGGCTCTGTTGGGAGTAAACCTGTTGAGTGAATTGGGATTGAGAAGGAGCATATTGTTGTTGTTTCAATTTGGAAATAGCTATGTCCTGATTAGTCGTTTGTGCCATCGGACTGACTACCAGGTTTATCCCAGTTTGGTAGTCGGAGTACCCATTATTAGCAGTAGACATTGATGTTGCCGAGTTCAAAAGCTCTGCATTTTGTATTACAGAATATCCTGGCTGCATTGCATAATAATTTGAGTAGTCCATGGCATAATTTTGTTGGCCTCTGCTTTTGTTTTGTGACATGTGCTGGTACTGGTAAGAGGAGGGACCTTCAATACCATTGGTTTGTACCGGATTACTTGTTTCCTTCTGTGGTTGTTGTGCTTGTATGTTTAAAGTTTGTTGGTGTAGCTCCAGGTTATGCATTTTCTCTGGTTCCAGCTCGTGTAGAGTTTTCTTCGAAGCCAAAGATATTTGCTCTGCATTTGAGCCATTGACAATGTCTGAGCCATAGAAACTGGCATTTGAAGGTGTCGTCATAACTTTATTCATCTGTCTGCCCCGTCAAAGTGTAAGTAATGTGTAGTGCAAGATCAATTGTGAATCACGATTGAACAAATCTGCAGTCTGGAGATCCAGGAACTCTTAACCGTCTGAAATCTCACACAGTTAAGGAATTTCCAAATATGCTGCTAAAAACACCTAGTGCCAAAATGGAAATTTCAATGATTAAATGCAACAGCAGGAAATGAGTCTGCTTTGTAAATGTATCGAAATATCTCGATGAATAAATCCAAATCTCAAAAATGTATCTTGGAAACAAATCTCTTTCTTTTTAAGTAACTATAGCACGAATTTGCAGTGTGTCAACAACGATGTTTCACAAAGTTGGAGTTCTGCGTAATAGCACAAATGTAAAAACACTAAGAAATTTGGAAACTTTGATTAGTTTTCTTTCGAAGAAATATCCAGGAAGTTAAATACTAATCTGCAATAAATGAACCAAAAAAAAAAAGTTCCCATACCCACAATCGATCTCTGTGACGTATTATTAATAGACCTTCCTATTCATAAACCATGGAAATAAAAACAAAAACAAAACAAAGCACATGCAAACCAAAACAAACGAAAGTAAACCATGCCAATAATTCACTCACAATTTCTTTTTTTTGGTCCAATTCAAGGAAATAATAATAAACAGATTAATCTCAACAAAGTGAACTCAAATAATAATTAATTATTGAACACTCGAAAGTTTATATAATACCCGCTGAAAGCCCCGCGTACATTGTCTAATATCCCTGGAGCTTAAGGTCATATCTTGCTTGTTTTGCCTTCTTGTAAAACGTAAACACGACTGCAAATTTTGGGGCGTTATTCCGAACTTCAGTCATGCAAGATAGAATCTCCGCCCTCGCTCCTTACTGTTAAAACAGTTGCGACAAATGTACTTCCACTTTATACTTGTATTATATTCCCTCCAGTCCAAGAATTTCAAAGTGATGTAACGATTATTTTTCTTACCAACTCCATTAATTTAAGCTGGCAAAAGACGTAATGTCACAAACATCAAGCAAGCTATAAAAATCGAGTCATTATTCAGCTTCTATCGCGTAACTTCGAGAGTATAGCTGGCTAAAACAACTTCGCTTGACGACAAGCAAAACATAGCCACAGGGAGTCATGAATAGGATTCACATAATAATCACCGTAATAGATCCTATTATTGTGGCCCAACTATATTACCACCGTAATTATTGTAGTGGCCTGGTGCCTATGTTTGTTAGGAAAGAGTAACCTCCTCGAGAAAGCAACCATATTTGATCATGGCATTACGCCCTTAGACACTTTAGCACAAGCCTTCTAGAAATAAAAAGAAATTCAAACTAGAATTAGCTCACGTTTATGCGTGTTCGTCAGATTAGATAATAGCAAATTGTAAAGTTGTCGCACTCATCGGGTCCATGGACTTCTGCAGATACATGCAGTGGTATGCATATACTGGGGGAGGGACATTGTCTCGCATTCACTGAACTTTCCCTTTCGACACATTTAGCGCCTTTCAAGCCTAGACGTGAACCCCACACCTATTTTTGTCATCATTCTTAAAGCAAGTGTCCATAATGTTAATTACGCTGAAAAACGCCTCTGTGTTGAAGCATCCCTTGTTATCCACTTATATGACACAAATAGTCCCTTGGAAATCAAATTGGGCAGTTTGGTGCCGAAATTCACATGTCACCGAGTGATATGTACGAAAAGGCACAGGATGAAGCAGCAAATGAATTGGTTCTTTTGTGAAGCTGTGTTAATCACCAATGGAAATACTGTTTATAATATTCTAGCTCTCTTTCATTCATATAGCTCTTGATTCGGTAAGGTCAAACAATTTGCAAAGCAGCTGGAACTCGTATATTCGCGTAATCTCTCATCAAAGAGTTTCCATTTTGACATTAAATAATAGTATGTCAAGAAAGACGCTATACTGCAGGTAAAGATTCTGGGCTAGCATTCGGGATTTGGCTTTGCACAGTACCATATATCGCTTTGATGCTAAAAAAAGATTGATGCAAGATGTGGCAGGTCCCTGATTATTGTTCCAGGAACTAACTGCTTCTGACTTTTTGTTTTGTCGCTACCAGATACAAGTTACTGATGAAAGATGATATTTCCACGAAAATGGGATAGTTTCGGCAAATGACTCAGTTTGAGAGATTCGTCATGTTAGATGTAGTTGCTTCGTAGAGACATAATTTAGCTGAATCTGTACAATTCTTCGTTGGAAAAATTTTGTATCTAAAATTTCATCGCCGTGTTCTGCGTCAACTAAAGTTTTACGGGTTGGAAAAGTATCCAGATCAAGTAAAGCAGCAAACCATACTGCCAGGTTAGATTGAACACTTATTCTTGTAGAAAGGTCCACCCCAACCCTTCATCAGTTAAATACGTCAGGTGGGGAGGGGAGGAGATGAAGAGGAAGTGAACAACAGATTCAAAAGTTTCAAATTTCTTTTATCAAAAGTTTATTCTTGGAAGAGAATCACGCGAGTCATCTCATAACTAATTCAAGACCATTACAATTCCACTTGTGAAACCTCACCATCGCAGTCACTCATAAGCAACATTTTTTGCTTCTTTGCCGATATGTCTTTACCACAACAGCATTCATCAGTCATAATTCCCAAAGAGCGACGCCGATCATTTATGGATTATGGCGGGGTAAACTCTTTTAACAACTTTGCTTCATCCTTTTCGCGAGCGCAACAGTACAGTGGTTCCTCTATAATGGAACATTTTGAAGATGGTCGTGCAGGATCACTTCGACAGTATTCGTTTCTGGCATCTAATTTCCCTGGAGAAGACACACCAATTTCACCTTTAAATGAAGAAGCAGTGGTTGACGATGAAGTATCGCGAAACGGAGGTTCAGACCGAATCGAGTATTTTCAGTTTCCCAACCCCGATGAGAGCGAAGTAGGCGATAGCGACAACTACTTGGCTGATGAACTCACGCCTTTGGCTCCTACGATATCGAAGCAAAGTAGCCACAAGTCATTTATTTCACGGATAGGCAGCTCCACTTCACCGCAGACCATTTTCAATTCAATAAACACCTTGGTAGGGATTGGGCTCTTGTCCATTCCGTTTGGGTTTAGGTTGAGCGGTTGGATAATGGGCGTTTTCATACTATTAGGATCAGCTTTGAGCACAAATTTGACAGCAAAATACCTCGGAAGGATCTTGAAACACCATCCTCATTTATTGACCTATTCGGATATATCATTTGCTTATGGTGGGAAGTTCTTTTCTATCTTGGTCACAGTATTCTTTGTGATGGACTTGATCGGTGCAGCATTGACTTTGATTTTACTATTCACTGACTGTTTTGTAATCATTTGGCCCCATGTAGTAGGATTGAAAGTCATCATTGTTTCAATTGTGTTTTTCACTAGTTTGTTACCGTTGAACATACTTTCCATATTTAGCTTAGTGGGGATATTAGCCACGATAGGAATCATTGTCGTTGTTGTTGTTTGCGGGTTTATAATTGATAAATCACCAGGATCACTTTTGGAATTTGCACCAACTGCGCTACTTCCGGCTAACGCCACGAGCTTGCTTTTCAGCTTGGGTATATTTATGATGCCATGGGGAGGCCATCCTGTATTCCCTGAGTTGTATCGTGATATGAGACACCCGCAAAAATTCAGCCATGCTAGCAATATCTCCTTCCTAGTCACCTTTATGCTTGATTTTGCAATTGGGGCAACTGGCTACTTGATGTACGGTTTGGAAGTCGATGACTCAATCATCAAAAGTTTAATGCAAAATTCAAATTATCCTAGTTGGGTCAATAAAGCATTGTGTTTAATTATGGGAATCTTACCCATAAGCAAGCTTCCCTTAGTCACACGGCCAATTATTAGCTCTTATGAAAACATTTTGCAAATTTCTCCTCATTACTATCAAAAGTCAAGCGCCAACAAAATTGTTAGAGTTGTCGCAAGATTTGTGTTTTGTTGCTTGTTGTTGTTGATTGCTCTTTTATTCACTTCCTTTGGTAAACTTATGTCGTTTTTGGGAAGTGCCATTTGCTACACCGTTTGCTTAACATTACCATTACTATTCTATTTAAAATTGAACAAGCCTCATATTGGAATAATGGAGAGAACTTTGATAAAATTTGGCGTTATCATTTCGATATCGTGTGCTGTGTTGGGTACCTATGCGTCTATTGTCGCCGAAACGACAAAATAGATGCAGAGTTGTTACTTAGTCCTACACTCCTCAGTGATATGTGAATTTAACGGAAAAATTTTTATACTTTTATTACCTCGTATCTAAAGAATTTTGCAAAGGGAGTTTTGATCACCCACTATTTAATTTGTGTATATGTGAAAAAAAAAAGTTAAAATACTGCAAGATCTAACATGCCCTCTTCCTCAAAGCCTTTGTGCAGAAATCAAAAAGAATTTAGTTCATCAATGAAGAAGAAAGTCACCTCAACGTAATTATTCCCGTGTCTTCCTTCTGGGAGCCTTGTCGTTTCTCCCCTCATAGCTATAGCTTCCATGTGGTACAGCGTATACAGGACCACTGTATGTTGTTCCTGCCGGGTATGATTGAGCCAAGTACTGTGCCATAACTTGAGACCCCGAAGTACTGCCGTATGAACCGTCCCCCACGGGCTGTTGTGGCAAGGGAGATGAAATCATCGCTGGTCCCATGACCTGCTGTCCTTGAATTACTGGAACATATCTCACGTGCGGTGGAAATTGTCCTATAAATTGGGGCAGTGGTGGAACTGCATACATTTGTTGTGAGTGAGCAACTGAGGATCGAGGTTGTTGCAGAAACGATCCGTTCCTCAAGTTTGGTGAAGGCTTATAGCCTTGGGATCTAAAGCTGCTGGTAGAACTAGTACGGCTCACCCGTGGCAGGTGATTATTGACTGGATGCGAAGCGAATTGCGAATAGGGATGTAAAATAACGCCGTTATTAACCGATATTCCAGAAGAATTTCTCGACCCCCTTTCATTCCACTGAGATGGCTCATGATAGTACGGTTGATGGTAAATCTTTTGGTATCTTTGTTCTGGTCTTCTAGACTTGTAAGCAAAAGTATCATTGAAGCTATCATATTTGCCGCTTGCATTGGTAGACACAGTATCATCGGAGCCAATTATTATCGACACATCCTCCTCCTCCTCCTCCTCCTCCTCCTCCCCCTCGTCATCATCTTCTTCATTAGCTTCTTCGCTATCTTTCTCATCTTTTACGGCTCCATCAGCAACACTTACTTGTTCAGCATGACCATTGATAGGTTCTTCACTTGCAATTTCCGTCTTTTGCTGTTTGTTTTCTTTTACTGTGTTGCACAATCCCGGCTTGGAGCATTCAACCACTTCCCCAACTTCTTTTTCATCTCTCTTCGAATCAGATTCTACTTCATCGTGTTTTTTCTCGGCAACAGTTTCACTGCCATGCTTCTCTGATTCCTTGATGATACCAAACACCATTGCTGCTTCGTCGTCTATAACACCACCATTCAACTCTGATTGTGCCTCGTGCATATCGGCGCCACCATAGCTATTGCCTTTTCTGTGATTTGCATTCTTGTTCCTTTTTGAGCTCTCCACACAGGCATGTAATTGGTCCTGATACTGTTTATACGTCGATCCTAAGCTCTTATCAAAATTTTTTCTAAAAGAGAATTTTGGTGGGTTTCCACAACGGTCCTTTCCAAAATTGACCTTGAAATGTTTGTATTTCTGATAAAGAGTGGTTGCAGCAGTGGTATCACCTCTAAGCAGCTTGTCCAAGTTAATCACAGCAATTGGTTCCTCGCATTCAAATGCGTGAACAACTTTAATAGCATCTGATATGTGCAAGAAATTCAAAAAAGCACACTCTTTATTGTGGTAAAAGTTAATTTGCTCTAATCCTCCAATGCGTGAAAAATCTGACCTCAATTCATCTTCACTTGGTAATGCAGGTTTTGGTGAATTCTCGTCGTCTTGACCATTTCGAAGTCCAAGATATACATTTCTCGAAGCACCAGCCGTCACGGCTAACGCAATTTCTCTCAGTACCGGCCCGCTGTGTTTCTTTGCCCACCCCACAGAAACATCACTTCCATGAATAACCAACTGGTGAAGAACCTGATGGTTCATGAAAAATTTAAATGCGACATTGGCGTCAACAAATGTGACGAAGCACATTCTTTTTTCGGGAAAATGATTCAAAGACTCAAGTAAACCGCCAGCCCTAAGGTTGTTTGCAATTTCTTCAATAGTTGTATGTGGATGTAAGTTACCCAAATGTATTGATCTGTTTCCGGTATTAATAGGATCTGTATTGTAATTTGATACAAAGGAGGAGTTGGAATGCAAGGCAAACGATGAGTCCGATGCCATTGGAATGTGTACAAACTGTGGAGTTCTTTGAATGTGTCTGGTATCAGGCGACATCATTGAATACACTCCGTTACTAGCCATAGATGCCTGGGTGTGTGTTTCATGACCATCCACATTATCAGTATGCGACAAGGCGTAAGCATCACGAATTATAGGGGATGCATTCTCAATATCCGACGAATTGGGACTAACAGGATCTACAATATTGAGATCTGCCGGAGGGTGTTTTCCAGGCGAGCCAATGATACTGCTCATCTCTGAGCTATTATCCAACGGACCTTCTTCTGCGATAAGCCCACAACTTCCATTGCCAAAAGTGTTCTTTTTCGCCGGTTCAATCTTTCCATTTGGTGCTGTAGTACCTGGCAGACTGTGCATAGAGTCCTCTTTGTATTCTACGAGCGTTTTGTCACACCTATCCTTATGGAATTTTACCTTAGTGAAGCAAATATCATACTTTGAGTTGACATTGTACAAGTCTTTCGAAGACTCGCGCTTTTGTCGAATGGATTCATCCATATTATCGCCCCGATTCTTTTCTAAATCTCTTTGAATTCGTCTGTTATAACTTTCGTACGTCTTGACAGCAGAATCGATTGATGTGAAATGAACGATTGCTGCGCCTGGGAGTGTATTTTCCAAGCCATTTCCATTTTGCTCCGTTTCTTCATTATTCATTAAATCCTGTTCTTCCAATTCAATTGCACAACACTCAACATCACCAAACTTTTCACATTGAGTTAATATATAGTGGTTTAAATGATTTATTCTCTCTTCAGCAGTTGTGTCGTCCAGCAATACACTTTTCACACTGAATGAAATTTTTAAACACCGCGTTGCATGATGATCTAGTATATAATTCAAATTTTTAAGCTTCATGTAGTCTTGTCTGGGAGCTGTGCTCCCATTTCTTGATTTATTAAGATCATTTAAGCTGACTTTTAAATGATCCGAGCGCAAAGCCAGCCTTAGTTTGTTCAAGTTTGAAGAATTCTTTGCATATTTCAAGTAAAACATCACTGATATTTTGGAGTTGGTGAATGAGATTGTACAATTCTTGTTTCTCTTTTCATCATTGGAATAATTGCTATCTTTTCCGAGGGAGTGAGAAGAGCCCTTGGTAAATAACTTTATGTATTCAATTGGTCCAAAGTCGATATGATCTAGCAATTCATTCAATGTCATATCATCTGCTAAATTGCGCAATATTATAGTCCTCGAAAGATTTAAATGCTCGAGATTATGTTCTGAAACAGCAGACGAATCGTTGCACAGAACACTTGAAATTGAGCCGTTTTCGTCATTATGGCCCGGAAGTTGTTGCTGGTGAACACCATTAGCACCATTGTGATTGTAATTATGATGGCGGTGGCGGGCCTGGGTCTTTGAATTCGAAGTATGTGAATTAGTTAAAGAAGTTTGTGAGTTGCGGTGCAACGAGTGGTATGGCATTGGAGGGAAGTATTGTGCTGATGGTGGTGGTGTGAAATATGGCGTACTAACAAACAAGTTTGAAGGTAACATCGACTGGCTATAACTCATATCCAAAGGAGTCATTGGAGAAGGAGGAACTCCTCCATTCATACCCTGAACTGCGGTGTAGTGTTGTATATTTAAAGGAGTTATATTTCCCCCATTTCGGTGGATGTTATTGTAGAACACTTGCTGATACATCTGTCCAATTCTCAAAAAAAACTACGAAGAAATGCAGTGAGTGGAGGTGTAAATGTGTGGTACGATGGTAACAAAGTAGGTGAGTCTATCTATATCGAGGTAGACTAGTGACGCTATGCAGTTAACTGAGTGATTTTGAAGAGAAGTGGTGGGTGTTGGTTGGAGAATAGTAGCGAGTGTGATGTTGATGATGATATATATGTGTAAGATGTGTGTGTGTATGTGTGTGTGTGTATGTGTGTGTGTGAATAATTTGTTGGTTATGAAATTTAAACTACAGTTGGGTATAAAAATCCACGTATATGTGTGTGTAAGGTGTGTGTGGTGTGTGTGGTGTGTGTAAAAGACAATAAAAATTGTTATTTCAATTCAGGGAAATTTGATTAACTCTCACTCACTCTCTGTGTAGTGTTATGTGTTATTGTGTATTTTTTTTAATTTTTGCCTTATTTTGTAAAAAATTTTGTCTTGCGTTTAGTTTTGTGTTTCTATTGTTAATTTTTAATTTCAATCTTGTCTGAAACGTGAGAGAGAGAAGCAGCAGTCGAAAGGGTGTAAGAATTTAGTCTGAACGTTAAACTAAAGTCTGCTTTGTAATTGTTTCTGCTGCTGCTGCTGTTGTTGTTGTTGCTACAGCTATGGTGCCAGCCTCGAGATCTTTCTTATAGGTGTTTGATCTTTGAAAGGTACAGGTGTGTGCGGGAAAAGGGTGAATATGTGGTTTAATTTAGTTTGTAATTATGTGTTAGTGTTTTGTTATGGTGGTTATTTTTAGTATAATGTTATAGATGAATGTGTCTGTTGTCAGAATGTACAACAACTGTTGCTTCTATTAACAAAAGTGATTTAACCACTTTTCCAAGACAAAATAAACAAAAACTAAATTAAAAAAAAAAAAAGATCGTCATTAGCAAATAGTTCTACGTTTATGTGTGTGTTACAGCTTATGTTGATGGCTGGTGTCGTGTCGCAAAATACTCACTCACTTTGTTTGTTGGTAAACAATTTTCAATTTTATTTTTATTTTTACGCTGTGTGTGTGTGTGTATGTGTGCTTCTCTCTTTGAGGAAATATTAAAAAGGAGAATGAAATTGAACAAAAATCAGCAAACTTCCGTCCCCCCTATTGTTCAGCTTACAGTTGATAACGCAATTACCAACTATTGTGTCGTTTTAGTGTTATTTCTGTTTTTCGAATCTATCCCTTCATACAAACTCCGTACTCCTCTACAACGAGTTCGTCTCTCTACTTTCAGACCAACCGAAGTGTATATGCTTTGCTGTGTGGGTGGTGTCAAGCATTTGTTAATAATAACCGCTTTTGTGTAGGTAACGATATTTTTATATGTATGCTCTCATGAAACACGTCTTTTACATATATTTTTTTGCTTTGTCAGTGTGTACTTTCCTTTTGTCTTTTTTTTTCTCTTTCTGCTTAATATGAGTCTAATAATTTATACTTCTAATGCAGGTTTTATAAAGTATCAAGTCGCGTTCATTCCAAACCCAGCTTTAGCTTTTAACTTCAGGTGAAGTGAGTAAAAGTTTAAATGTAGATTGCATGGTGGAAATAAGCTTTGATGTTGTTGTTCTTTTCCCAGTTGGGTAAATACAGAGATTATGAGCTGGAATTTAAAATGGTGCTAGTCCAATACTCCTGTGGAAGCCCACCATCGTTGTTGCAACGCACATGATGATCTAAAGAAACCCTTATGATGCACAAAAAGCCTGCATTGATTATCGTAAGTTGTTTTTCTTTTCGTTTCTTGTTCTTTCTAGTCAATTGTGACGAAAGTAGAACATGGCTTATTTGTAACTCGCGTGGTGACCAAGTCTTTTATGTAAGTTGCCTCAAGTTTGAGTGCAGGAACACCTGAAATTCTCTTGCAAAAACTCAGTGTGAAATGTCGTAGGGGATGTCTGATAATGGAAGAACCTCTGCCGGTGATATAGCGCATTCCAGGTTTAAATGAACGCCTAGTATAACGATTGAAAGTTTGTGCAACAATATCAGTTGAATGTTTTAGGTGTACGAAATATAGCTGCAGATCAACCAATCATTAACGCCTTCGAAATGGTTGAAAATTTCTATACCCCTAAGCTTAATAGATTCGTTGCAACATCTCCCTTCTAAAAAGATCTTTAATTGTTTCTGAAATTGAAAAATAAGTTTTATGTGTTGGTTGTAAAGTATGAATTTACTGAAATATGATTTGTTCCAAGTAGTTTGCCTTTGCACTTGTAGCTCAGAAGTAGATGGAAAAGTTATTTGGATTCGGGTAAGCGACTATATTTAAAGTAAACTCGGGGTTGGGCTGCCGTTGACATTGGCTCAACTTTTCGAATTCTTAACCTTTGGTGTCAAACTTGTTGCAAAAATTAAATTACTAGCGTTATTCTCCTCATCTACAGAAGTTTTTACAACAACATAATGACTTGTACAGGACAGTTTTTCTTATTGCCAGTCGACTTGATTAAAATTACTCTAGATACAATACACTTTTTCAAGCATCACCTTCGCAGATCTAGGTCACAATTCACTCAGACAACTAAGGTTAAATCCACTACTCTATCCAAATCCACTGGTTGCCACAAATGCTAAACATTGCAAAGGTTTAGAAGACTCTCTTCACCTTGCGTTGCACTAAATCTCACATTATGAGCCCTTAGCAAAGAAGCTGCATTGCTAGCAATTTCTTATCAAACAATTTCACGACAAACCATTTTGCGACACAATCTTTTCATCTCATCAACGCTGTGCGCTACCATATTCGCATTAACAAAAATTTTTTTTTTCTTTTTTTCCTCTCCTTCAAGACATTGACATTAGATTTTCATTTTTCCATCAAAACAAATCATCAATCATCAAATCAAATCATAGTTTCAGGACTTTGTTACTTTGTTTTGGATTAATACATCACTAATTTAATAAGCTTTAATAGAATTTGTTTCAATCATGGCTCAAGAAGTTCCTACTTTCAAATTAGTCTTAGTCGGTGATGGTGGTACTGGTAAAACCACTTTCGTCAAGAGACATTTAACTGGTGAATTTGAAAAGAAATATATTGCCACCTTGGGTGTCGAAGTTCATCCATTAGGTTTCCACACCAACTTTGGTGAATTAAAGTTTGATGTTTGGGATACTGCTGGACAAGAAAAGTTTGGTGGTTTGAGAGATGGTTATTACATCAATGGTCAATGTGGTATCATTATGTTTGACGTTACTTCAAGAATCACTTACAAAAACGTTCCAAACTGGCACAGAGATTTGGTAAGAGTTTGTGAAAACATCCCAATTGTATTATGTGGTAACAAGGTTGATGTTAAAGAGCGTAAAGTCAAAGCAAAGACCATCACTTTCCACAGAAAGAAAAACTTGCAATACTATGACATCTCCGCCAAGTCCAACTATAATTTCGAAAAACCATTCTTGTGGTTGGCTAGAAAATTGGTTGGTAACCCACAATTGGAATTTGTTGCTTCCCCAGCTTTGGCTCCACCAGAAGTCCAAGTTGATTCTGATTTGATGCAAAAATACCAACAAGAAATGGAACAAGCTACCGCTTTGCCATTGCCAGATGAAGATGACGCTGACTTGTAAGTTGGTTAATATAGTTTATATAGCTGTAAGCATTTAGAGTTGTTTATGGATATAATGTACAACTAAAAAGTGAATGTTTTGAAGAGATTGTGTTGATAAAGGTACTATCCAATGCGTGTTGGTGATTCTAATTTCAGTAGCCCGACAGGCCATAGCTTTATACAACTTATACAGTATGTGCAGAATTGAATAAATATATAGTTTTGTTGCGCTACGATCCATTACCAAAACCAAGTCAAGATGTATATATACGGCTCCTCTTTCCATGACATAAATGGTCAAAACGCAATGGAAATGACACCCAAAACATGATGACTGAACAGACTCTTACACCTGTTCATGCCATAGCACAGCACAATGTACCCTTACAGTCGGCCTCTTTGAAGACGCATGTGACTTTCAATAGACGCCACATACCCTCAGTCTGTTTCACTGCTCGTGTATATTTCGACGAATTGCAATTTGGGTTTCCCTTGTATTATTATAAACGGCTGGAGGAGGAGGTGGTAATCCTGTCATATGAGGAGGCGGTGGTAGTGTAAACCCTTCTTCCTCCCCTTCGCCTTCACTTTTTTCACGTCCTTCATCAGCCGCCCGCTTCATATCGGTATCCATCGCATCTTTATCACCTCTTCTGTCAGGCGAATGATTATTGTTCAGATCTCGATCACTACCACCAGGTATACCTCTGTTTAATTTGTCAAACGTTATTTCATATATTAGTTCTTGTGGGTTCCATTCACCGGTTTCCTTAGCTTTGAATTCATAGTAATCACAATAGTATTTGATGTGATGTTTACCCATCAAGTGGGATTTTCGAACACTCATGGTGTCATGAGTTAAATACGACTTGCAATAATCACAGTAGTATTTGGGCATCTTAGCTTGAGGTTTTGTCTCCTATTCTTCTTCAACCCTTTATGTTGTTTATTCATACATTGAATGAAGCGTACTTCACATATATCTTAAGATCGTATCACGTGAACATTTCAGTTTCTCTGTCCAATTGAATTACATGATTTCTCGTCTCCATAGTGCGAACTTTGATTTCAGTGCACGACACATTACTTTCAGTATGTGCGATTCGCAAATTATATTGGTGAATTGAAAAAAAACAAAAAAAAAAGGTGGAAAAACAGAAAGACAGCGTTCAACGATATATCGAAGTAATAGATCAACAAAGGAAAAAGATGTTCAGACCAATTGCCGTATGTACAGGAAGCAGAAGGAGCTATGGAGAAATAAGAGTGTGGTAAGGAGTTTTTAATTAGAGATGTTGAAACCATGTGACATTTCATCTGAGAGAAATCGTTAACTTCAAATGCCAAGTGAATGCTTCAATGGCCATTCTGAGAGAGCTATCTTTCACGATACTTGAATTGAGGGCTTTTAAGAAGATAGAATCTCGATTGAATCTCCAAAAGATGTACTTACCCCAAACTTGGCCAGGCTAGGAATGAAGCAAGTGGACTAATGCAACAACCCATTTTCCCTCCCGCTCTGTTAGAATATACCTGTGTATTCTTCTCATACTAACTTATCATTTAGCGTATATCTTCAAGAAGATTATTTTCAATCACACCAAGAAGATCAAACTTGATCGGTGACTTGTATGTTCAAAGCATTAGACAATTCAAACCACAAGCCCTTTCACAAGAAGAAATTGACTCTGCTGTCAAGAAATTCCAATTACCAGGTAAGCCAACTATTCCTCAAATCCATGAATTATCAACTGAGCAAGTTAAGGAATATGAACAAAGCGAAGTCGAGGCTGAAGCTGCTCAACCAACTGAAAACGCTTCTGAAACTAAGCCAGATGAAGATTGGTTCGTTTTCGATGAAGTTGAGGCTGAGGGACACTAGTGTGGTGTAAGACATGCAGCATGGGTCAGGTCAGTCGGTGTGTCTATTTCCCACTCAACTTGCACCTATGGAGCTCTTTTCTTTTGTATAAGAAAGTATAGAAAAAGGAATAACTACATATTCATTTGTTTGAAAAGGATCACCAACCGTTGATCAAGTGCACTTCATATCCGTCAAGCGACTCATATCGACCAACCTATAATTACACGTAGAAAGCCTCTGAGTTGATTGTAGAGAATTGAATATGTTTTGGATGAGGAAAGTAACCGATACACCAACTGTCTGTTTAGACGTCCACTATGCTCTACTAATCCACCATTTCCAATCTCTGAAGTGGTTTTTCGATAAGTCTACAACGATGGTTAATATACTTCACGCAATATTAATCTTTTTATAGATTTCCCGTTTTTGTGTTGCAAATGTAAAATCAAAAAAATCAAAACAAAACCACAACAGCGCTTTGCTGACAGTATAGACCACAATCACCCAACAATGCCAGCCTCAGAGACGAATAGTACGGTGTCAGAAGTGAAAGCATTAGCAGGCATTGTTAATGCCACGTTGGAATCAAGGGCATACATCGAAACCAAGCTATTATTTCCAAGCATAAACTGGTCCTATTTCGTGTCGGATCAAGTTGAAGATAATCCTACTATTGCCAATTTAAAACCTACTGAAACCATTTCCAAGAACGACAAAAACATACTCAACGTGATTCATGAATTAGTTTTAAATATAGATAAGAATCGCAATCGTCAAAAGATCCTCAACGATACAATCACCGCCAAGAACCGCCAGATTGGTGATTTAACTCATCAAGTAGCAGAGTTGGAAAAGAAGTTGGCTACCAAAGAGCACAAGAGCCGCGACTCACTAATAGACCACACTGCATTAACGAAACAGATTGAACATTTTTCAAGAGCCAATAAGTTGCAACTGAAGAATATCAAAACATTAACCGCAGCAAATAAAGATTTACAGTCAAAATACCGAGTTGAATTGAAAAGAAAGAACTTGGAAATCAGCAATTTGAAAAACAAATTAATCGAAAAGAGAAGTTTGAGTTCGACAATTGAATATGGAATACCACTAACCCCTTCACTGCGGCAGTCTACAGTGGCAATTGGTGAAAGTGGACTCGATGGAATTTACAACAACAACCCTATAATTGACAACAGTATAAACACGGGGATAACTTTTGATAATGCCGTACTCGCCAATCTACAAAAAGTCATCAAAGCTGACTCTTCAGAGTATATTAAATCGCTAACGACGATAGTTGAGAGTATAACGGGGGAAAATTATAAACTAACGAAATTTATCCATCACATAAAGGAATACTTGTCAATCATCAACCTACAAATTGCAAACTACAAGGGTGTTGAGGTAAACTTGGGTATCCCCAACCCATCAGATGCGATTGATTTGAAACAGATAAATGCAGTGGATGAATCGACAGTCCAAAAGTATTATAATGAAATTGATAATTCTGAAATTGTTGAGTTGCCATTGGTGAATGAGTTCTATAAATTATATCACAATTTGAAGCAAATGTTGGAATTGGTGGCCAATATTGGTATCGATCAAGAAGCGCAGAAAGTAATTGATAATCTTCGACTGGATCTCAAAGTCACAAAAGAATGTTTACAAGATTCGTTAGAGATGAATGAAAAATGGAAAAAGATCGCTAGGAATAAAGAGGGTGCATGATGCAGGTGTTGACAAAGAGGGATAGTTATAACTATATAATCAATCATTAGCAAGCCGTAAACAAATAAAATCCAGCGGAACACAAAACAAGCTGCCTCATTTTCTTGATGTTCCTCTGATCAAAGTTTCTTCCAAAGTAACCACATTTAAAGGAAAATCTCTTGTCAGCGAATTTACATCAGTTGCATCTGACCTTTCCCTTTGGCGCCAAATCAACTCCTGTGATGTTGACTCCTTGAGATACGTACTTAAAAGCAAGCCGGTACAATACAATTTATTGTATATAGCATCGGTCTTTGTCACAGTCATTTCCTGAGTCTGGCCATCTTCCAGAGAGCTGTCATCCTCCAGCAGTGAATTACTTAAATTTTCCAAACCAATCACTCCTTTAGGAATGATTGAGTTTTGCTCAGCTAATTTGGAGCTTTTTGATTTGAGAGGCGTGCCACATTCTAAATCCTGGTCCACGACATAGAACTTATTGACTCGAATCAAGTCACCTGGTTGTAATAAAGAAAAATCAGACTTCTTTGCGCCAACAAAAGGTCTGATTACAATCACCAAGTCTCCGATTCTTATAAAGTTGTCAGAAAGTTGATCAGCTGCTTCTCGAATTAACTCGGTGTTCGCCTTTTTTTTGACACCTTCATTGGTTTCTTCTTCAAGTAAAAGTGTGCTGGGAGTTGATTGAATTTGAGCTGAGTCAAATACAGATGTAGATGTAGCTGGATGAGCAATTATTGTTGGATTTGCAACTTGACTTTCATCTATGGTTTGATGAAGCACCTCATTGCCATCTTCGTTGGTCAAAACAGCATCTGTAGATGTGCCAATAACTTCGAATCTGGAAAGATTCATCGCTGAACCATAGTCTAAAGTCTGCCTCCGTTCCATACCACCAACCTCCTCGGAAGTACTTCCAAAACCCCCTATACTCTCATAGGTATCATCTGCTGTTGCTGGTATATTTCTCACGACAGGGGTTTGTGGAATTGGGGCTGCTGTTTCACAATGAGAACCAATGTTGCTTGAGGAATCAGAAGCTACTTCAGCAGATTCATTTCCACTAAGCTGGTTTCCATGCACATTGTTATTCCTCTCCAGAACTGATGAGCCCATGGGATAACTATCCAATGCAATATTTGAACCATTGGTTGTCGAATTATGGCTCCCTGATTCGTCCACATTTGAAATACTTTGCTGTTCCAAGTCTAAGTCGATTGATGACATACGCTGGCTCCTAACCTTCTTTATATAACGAGGTGTAAAGGGCAAAATATGTAAATACCAGTACGGGTCCGTAAGGGAGGTAATCATAAGTAGGGTAAATACCGTTAACGACAACGTTATGATCAATAGAATGAGAAGGGCGGTATCTGATCCAGACATTGCAATGTAGTAAAACCGTGGCACCAGTGGTTAAGAACCTCTCTGTGTGTATGTGTCTTCAGAGTGTTTGATGTGTGTGGGTGAGTGGGTGGGTGGTGAATTTGGTTGCAAATAATTTCCTTCTCTCCTTCATCTCGCTTCATTATTATCCCTTAGTACACTACTTTTTCAACCCGTTCAAGTCGACTTTTGCAGACTTGATGAATTTTTCAAATTCCTCTTCTTCATCGACAACCCCAAGTTCTTTAATCATATTTTGCTCCTGCTCTAACTGCAATGCCTCTTCTGCCTCTTTGACCTCATTTAGTGCACGATATTTTCTGTTCGATTTCTTTGCTTTGCTCTGTTTCATTTTTTGAGCCCTTTCGGCTACGATAGCATTCCTACTGGTCTCTGGATTATATAGATCATCTAATTTCAAAGCCAATATTTCCCTTGCCTTCTTCCTGTTCTGCTCCTGTGACCTAGTTGCCTGACAAGTAACCACCATTCCTGTTGGCTTGTGCGTTAGCTGTACCTTTGAGTTAGTTTTATTGATTTTTTGTCCACCGGGTCCTCTTCCTCCCTTAAGAAAGCATTCTTCTATTTCATCTTCTTTGATCAACCATTTTGGACGTGGGGGAAGTTTATTCTGTTTGGGAATAGCATTATAAGCGCGACTTGTTGTGAATAATCTAACTGGGTATCGTAGCATGTAGAGATGTAGTTTTTATTAACTGTTGCCATTGTCCTATCAAATGGCGCCAATCTCTACCAAAGTGTAGTCGATGAGCTACCAAGTGATTTCAATGGAATAAAAAACATTACGCGTGTGTGTGTGGTGTGTCTGTAGAAACACAAAAAGATTTTACAAATTTTTACAATAATAATTTAACCCAATTGGGATTATTAATTAAATACAAACCACAATAAAAAGACACGTTAATCATAAAACGATCAGAAAAATGGAATAAAGACTTATCCAGACCCAGATTTCTTTCTTTTTCAAAGGAGCCTTTCACATACACACCTTTGCTAGTTATACTGCTATCCTACTCCGCTGAATAAACCACACAAATACATTCAACAAGCAGCTTTTACACACAGTTTGAGATAAACAATTAAATCATTCATCACACATATAGCACCACAGGAACATGTCATTTGAACGTCCAAGCGTGTATTCGGCGCCAGTCTTGCAAGGTGAAAGTCCAAGTGACGACTCCTTCAACCAGATTACCAAAGCTTTTCGTAAATTCATTTTGGAATTCAGATTGGATTCACAGTTTATTTACAGAGACCAACTACGTGAAAATTTGCTAATCAACAATTACTTTCTCAAGGTTGATAGTGAACATCTTATTGGTTTTAATGAAGAGTTAAACAAGAAGTTGACCGATGACCCTTCTGAAATGATTCCACTTTTTGAAATTGCCATTACCGATATTGCTAAAAGGATTGCATATTTGTCAAAGGATGAAATCCCTACTAATTTTCCAACTTGTCAGTTGATCCTCTATTCGCAAGCTAACAAGGTATCAATAAGGCATTTGGACTCGGAACACATTTCAAAAATTGTCAGGGTAAGTGGCATTGTTATTTCCGCCTCGGTTTTGTCGTCAAGAGCCACCGAAGTGCAATTGATTTGTCGTCAGTGCAAACACACCATGCAATTGAAAGTCAAGTCTGGTTTTGGTCCTATTCAATTACCTAAATGTCAGAGTCCCCATAATATTGATCCAAATTCGACGCAAGAAAAATGTCCACAAGATTCATATGTGATTGATCACGACAAGTCACACTTTGTAGATCAACAAATATTGAAATTACAGGAGTGTCCCGATATGGTTCCAGTCGGTGAAATGCCTCGCCATATTTTGTTGCAAAGTGATAGATATTTAACTAACCAGGTTGTCCCTGGTACCAGAGTAACTATTGTTGGTATTTACTCGATCTTTCAGTCTAAACAAAGAGGGGGTAACAGCAGTGCTAGTAACGTTGCTATTCGTAATCCTTATTTGAAAGTTCTTGGAATTCAGACTGATATCGACAATGGTGCCAACGGACAAGGTATCACTTTCAGTGAGGAAGAAGAAGAGGAATTTTTGAAATTGTCAAGAATGTCCAACTTGTACGACGTATTTGCCAATTCCATTGCTCCTTCAATTTATGGAAATCTGGATATTAAAAAGGCAATCACTTGTTTGTTGATGGGTGGGTCCAAGAAGATTCTTCCTGATGGAATGAGATTAAGAGGTGATATCAATGTTTTGTTATTAGGTGACCCTGGTACTGCTAAATCCCAATTGTTGAAATTTGTGGAGAAGATTGCTCCTATCTCGGTGTATACTTCAGGTAAAGGTTCGTCTGCTGCTGGTTTGACTGCCTCTGTTCAAAGGGACCCTCAAACTAGAGATTTCTACTTGGAGGGTGGTGCAATGGTGTTGGCTGATGGCGGTGTTGTTTGTATTGATGAATTTGACAAAATGAGAGATGAAGATAGAGTGGCCATCCATGAAGCAATGGAACAACAAACAATTTCTATTGCCAAGGCTGGAATCACAACAATTTTAAACTCAAGAACTTCTGTTTTGGCAGCAGCAAACCCAGTTTTTGGAAGATATGATGAATTTAAGTCTCCTGGAGAAAACATCGATTTCCAAACAACAATCTTGTCTAGATTTGACATGATTTTCATTGTTAAGGATGACCATAATGAAAGTAGAGATCTTTCTATAGCACACCATGTTATGGATGTTCATGCTGGTGGTAAGACGCAAGAGTTGCAACAAGAAGGGGAAATTCCAGTGGAAACAATGAAGAGGTACATTCAATATGTCAAGTTGAGATGTGCGCCTCGTTTAACTGCTGAAGCCTCTGAGAGATTATCATCACATTTCGTTTCCATTAGAAGGAGATTGCAAATCAACGAAAATGAAATGAACGAAAGGTCGTCTATTCCAATTACTGTTCGTCAGTTGGAAGCCATAATCCGTATAACAGAATCATTGGCAAAATTGAGATTGAGTCCAATTGCCACGGAGGAACATGTAGAGGAGGCCATTAGATTATTCACTGCCTCGACTATGGATGCTGTTGACCAAGGTTTTGGAAACAGTGCTGATGCTAATTTGAATGCAGAGATCAAGAAGGTTGAGCAAGAGTTGAGAAGAAGATTGCCAATTGGTTGGTCTACAGCTTATAGGACCTTGAGGAAAGAGTTTGTCGATTCGGGTAAAGCTAGTAGCTCGGCTTTGGAAAAGGCATTGTATATTTTGGAAAGGCACGAAGTTGTTAAATTCAGACACCAAGGCCAAAATATACTTAGGGTTGGAGTTTAGTTTTTGTTTAGGGTTTTAATTTTCTTTGAAAGATGTATATTAAAATATTGTACTATAAGTATTTGCAATCCGTGAAACTCACCATCTCGTAATTTCCGTAGTGGAATTAAGATTAAGCTTTTAATATTATAATGACAGAATCACCTCTCAAAAACATCTTACTGATAAACCTCTCCCTCGAAACACTCTTTGTTTGGTTGAATTCATTCTTTACAGTTTCAGTCCACAACTCCTTAACATTTTCCAATACTAAATTACAGTGTCTATCAAAGGCTCGAATTTTACCCACCAATTTATGATTGTTTCGACACGATATTACCACAGGTGTATTTTGCTTTTGGGCTTGGCTTATTAGTGACATTGGTCCATGTAAGAATTCAAATTCTTCTAATTTGGCAAGTTCGAGTTCAGTAAGTTCTGATCGTGGGCGGTCTATAAATTCACTAAAAGGGTATGCGTTAGTATGTATGACAGTAGCCGTTTATAAGTGTATAGAAACATACCTCATGGTTGAAATTAATTTGTTAGATACGTAAAGTAGGTGATGTCTTCAAGAATGGAAATTATAATAAGGTTGGCGTATCTTCGCTATGCATTCATATTGATGATGAAAGATTTGATGTGCTTTTTTTTATTTTGTCTTGCACTCTCTCTCTTTCTCTCTCTCTCGCACGCGGCGCATTCACCAGAGAATAGAATTGTTACTGTTGAGACACTCGATGTCAGGTAAAAAGGTAAATGTACATTTTTCTATTTAGGTGGTAGGGCTAACGGCGCTGTTAACACAGTACCTCGCTTTATAATAGTTTCTATACGATCCTTTAGCACTTTAGAAGCACACTCGACTTTCAAACTCCTGTAGTCTATATTTGCAACACTTTTACCAATTGAAACTGTGGCTTTATCATTCTCCAAATTCACCAATGATTCGCCAAATTGTGCCTCTAAAAGAATCTGAAGTTGAGTAATCCGACTAGCAATGTCTGCTTTGGACACAACGGGGGTGCCTTCATCGACTTCTTGTTTGATATGTGGATGGTCATGTGAATGCTGCTTAGACGACATTTTCACCGATGCTGGCGATGAATCAATCGAATATAATATAGCAATAATACTGTCTGCTAATGAATCAGCCATTAAATTGTCATTTATCCACTCCACAGATATGTAAAGTCCCGGACTTTGTGATCTATCTACTAAAATGTCTACAACATCCATAATCACACACTCCCACTCATCTGCATCATCATTAACGACATTGATATAACCAAACATTTGTTCCAAGTGCCATATCATCAAGGGTAAGTTTGCGTTGATCTTGAGATTCATTTTCGATTTCACGATCGATGTTGATAACTGAGTGAACTCGTTCAAGTCCTGCAATTGTACAAGATCCAACTCGAAATCTTTTGATACGAGTACTCCTGATACTATTTGTCCAGGTTTGAAGGTGTTTGTAGCTCCATTTACTTGACCTTTCGAATCCAAACTTTCTGTAGCTACCATTTTAACATCGTTGTCACCATCTTCATCACCAACCTCTGCAATTTTCTCCTCAATCTCCTGTTTCAATACCTGTAGTTGTTCCTCCGCAAGTGAACCAAGGACTTTGGCTATTTTCAACCCCTTAAATGCAATATTGAGCTCTTCACAATTTCTAGGATTAAACACTTTAACCTCTTTATCAGTTCCCTTTCGCGAAGAGTATTTACTCAACAAGGCGGACTTCAATCGACCCATGGGGACAGAGTCACCATGCACCAAGATAATCTTCGAAGGAGACACCTTGTCAATAAATTCAGAATTCTGTTGGAAATCGACATGCGCAGCAAATGAAATTTCTTCCACTCCTATCCTCCGCGGAATACTCAAGTCAGGATTGTTCAAAGATTGTATTACTTGCGGTTCCTTTAGCAAATCCTTTGCCATTGTTCCTTCCACTGAATACCCTGTCAATATGACTAGGTTTTTCTGCTCTGGCGCCCACTTCTCGAGTAACTGCCTAGAAACACCAGCCTGTAACATTCCAGGAGTAGCTACAACTACAGATGGACCTAAATCTGAAAACTTTGAAAGGTTTCTGATCGATTTGATATATTTAAAATCAAATGGACTAGATTTAGAATCATCTGAAGAAGATGAGAGCCGTATTTTATCATTCATAATACCGGTGTAGGTTTCATAAACGGCCATACATTTTCTAGCTAGATCAGAGCAGTAATAGACACTGACATTTTGTAAATCTTCATTTCTCTCCCAATATTCGTCTAGAATCAACAAAAGTTCTTGTGCATTACCCAAGGCAAAAACTGGTAATAAAACTCTGCCACCTTTTGTGATTGTTGCGTGTATATGATTGGTTAGCTTCTTCTCTAACTCTACCTTGGGCTCCAAAGTACCTGTACCGAACGTTGACTCTGTTATCAAAACGTCTGGTTTAACTGGAGGAACCTCGGCGGAAGGCAAGTGACGATTTTCTTCCCTCGAATAATCGCCTGTAAAAAGCACTTTTAATCCTCCAATTTCTATCAAGTACATACAAGCTCCAAGAACATGCCCGGCGTAATAAGCAGTAAACCGAATCCCATCAACCTCCATCGTGGAGTGAAAATCAATCGTCTCGATTCTATCAAAGGATTTGAATATGTCATCATCCGTGTACAAGTTTCCTCCTTCGTCGTTACCACTACCACCTTCTGTTTTTGAATTACCGATAGAAGTCACTCGCACAAAGTCTTGCATCAACCATCGATATATTGCTTTGGTCGCATGTGTCATGAATACCTTGCCTCTAAAATTTGATTGTTGCATTACATATGGCAATGATGCTGAATGGTCCACGTGGAAATGACTCACCAATAGAATGTCAACCTTTGACAAGTCGTATTCATCAAAATACGGAAATGATGCGTGCCCACTCAATGCTGGGTGCATCCCAGCATCCAACATGATAACCTTGTTTTTATACTCAATGATATGGCACGATCGCCCAACCTCATTACACCCTCCGAGTCCGAAAAACTTAAAATTCTCCTCATTATCAAACGAGGAGCTTTGTTCATTCATGCTTGCTTTCTGTTAGATGTGATGGATAGACGTAGGGTCTAAAGTAGGAGATCAGATTAGTGGTTTTTATTTTTTGTTTTCTCTTTTTTTTGTTAGACAGCATTTCAACTGAGATTCACCTGATGGCTCGATTCTAGAAATAGTACACAGAGTACAGAAGCTTAAATAATGAAGCTCAAGTTAATGACAAGGAACATTGAGAAGCTAAAAGACACTTTGGCACTTATATCTCATCTACGAAAGTTTGTCATATTCAAAATCACACCAAAAGAACTCTATGTCATACTGGTCAACACGGGATCTGTCAATCTGGAGCCACAAGTGTGGTGCAAGTTCGCCACTTCAAGTTTATTCGAAAGCATGGAAATACAGAGCATGAGGGACAATACTATTCTGATGGAAATAAACATTGATCTACTACTACAAACATTGAAAAATTTTGATAAAGCCAATAGTGAAGGGTTGAATATAAGGCTACAGAGAACAGACGCTAGTGGAGAACAAGGAACCAGTACCAAAAATGGACGAACAGCGTCATTGGCTTTATTCTATTCCAACGTCAATGTCAATTCGAATGTTATCAATCACACATTTAGGATACCGGTAAAGATACTAAAAGAAGCGCAAGACTTCTTCCAAGAACCTTCCCACACTGATGTTGGGCTGATAATGAGACTACCGACCGAATTTATAACCATATTCAAACGCTTAGAAAAATTCAAGAAGACATCCTTTAATGATATAGTGTCTATCCAAGCAAGCAATAGGGATGTTGGCAGTCTACAGTTTGTCTTGGAAGAAGATGGTAAGTTTAAAGTAACAGTAAGTTGGAATGGCAAGCTAGAGTTCCATAAACCATTGTCAAATGATGCAGAGTCCTTACGAGAGTCCTTGAGAAACGTTGACACCTTGATGCTGGATAACTCAGACAATGGTCCCGAAGAAATGAACATTAATGTCAAGTTGAAAGACTGGCAACTGGCGTCGAAAATCGTGGGACGCTGTAGAACGGTGATATTTTGTATAGGCCCTCGGAATTGTAGTCTCCACTGCTTATTAGACGAGACTGACGATGTGGAGTTGGTTTACTTCATAAACGGTGTGAGAGGTTTGTAATTGAGTCATAAAAGTTGCAAAAAAATGATTTATCCTTTAACAGCGCGCGTATATGTATGTGACTGTGTTTTATCAAAAAATTTTCAAGTCTGACTCTGCATCGTCCATAGTACAACAACAAATTCAGGAACAATGAGTGACACCAGAACTTTAGAGAGAGAAGAACCAGACTTCTTTGGCGCAGGGCCAGCGCTCTTACCCACTGATGTTTTACAACAGGCTGCTTACGATTTAATCTCCTACAACAATGATATAGTTGGGATTGCTGAAATTTCTCACCGTTCAAAACCAGCAATTGCCGTAATTGATGACACTAAGGCCAATTTGAAAAAATTACTTGACATTCCTGATAATTATGAAGTGTTTTTTCTCCAGGGTGGAGGTACCACTGGATTTTCTTCAATAGCGTACAATTTGTTCGCCCATCATGCTAAAAAGAGCGGTAAGAAAGGAAGGGCAGCCTACTCGGTCACTGGGTCGTGGTCCTCCAAGGCTGCAGAGGAAGCCAGGCGTTTGGGTTTTGAAGTGGACACGGTTGTCAACACCAAAAGTATTAACTACGGGGATATTCCACCTTATTCGGAATGGGAACCGATCAAGGAGAACACTTCCTATTTGTGGGTTTGTGATAATGAGACTGTTCATGGAAATGAGTTTAAAGATACCCCAGGCTCCGGTTACTTGCCTGAAGGGGTTGAGTTAGTGGCAGATATGTCGTCAAACATCTTGTCCAAGAAAGTTGACATTAGTAAGTACGGGTTGATTATGGCTGGTGCACAAAAGAATGTTGGTATTGCTGGATTAACAATTTACATAATTAGAAAAGACTTGTTGGATCAAGCTTCGGATGAGGATTTGAGGAAGTTGGATATACCATTGCTGCCTATAGCCACCCATTTTCCAACTGTTGTGAAGAACAACTCGGCCTACAACACAATTCCTATATTTGCGTGTCAAATCTTGAAATTGGTTACTAACAGGCTTCTCAAAGAGGGAGGTCTTGATGAAATCGAGAGGATTAATAACAAGAAAGCTGAACTTTTGTACTCGGTATTAGATTCTTATCCAGGTTTCTACATTTTACCAGTGAAGAATCCTAAAGTCAGATCCAATATGAATGTTGTGTTCAAATTGCCCAGCGAGGAACTAAATGCCAAGTTTGTCGCTGAAGCTGACACTGCCAATTTAAAAGGCTTGAAAGGTCATAGATCAGTTGGAGGTATCAGAGCCTCTATTTATAACGCTGTTTCCCTTGCAAGTGTTGAGAAGTTGACAAAGTTTGTTGATGAATTTGCAAAGGCTAATAGTTAGAACTGTGTAGTTTTTTTTTAACTTGATCGTATTGAACTGTAAGCTTTCAACTCTGTTTAAGAGTAGTAGAAAAAAAAATTGCGCATCAAAAAATGGATTGATTTGAAATTTTTCAGGCCTCTGCAACGTACCATAAGAAATGTACCTACCGTCATGGCGCAATATACGTACTCCACTACGATATAGCCAATTCTGGATAAGATCCTACTCCCTGGTGGCTCCATCTAATGTATTGTCCACCGAGGAGAAAAAACAAAAACTAAGTCAAGATAAATTTCGTAAAGAGTTGGAGGAACGAATATCCAAAATTCCTATTGCAAATTACCGCAATTTCAGTATTGTGGCACACGTGGATCATGGAAAGTCGACTTTATCGGATAGACTTTTGGAACTAACTGGAGTCATTCAACCTGGCGCGAAATCCCAAGTTCTCGACAAATTAGATGTCGAAAGGGAACGGGGTATTACGGTCAAAGCACAAACGGTTTCAATGATATACAACGACCCAAATTCTCAAGAAGATTATCTACTCCATTTAGTTGATACTCCAGGACATGTTGACTTTAGAGCCGAAGTATCACGAAGTTACGCTTCTTGTGGTGGCGCATTGCTTTTGGTAGATGCGTCACAAGGAGTTCAGGCACAGACAGTAGCAAACTTTTACCTAGCTTACAGCATGGGTTTGAAATTAATTCCCATTATAAACAAGATTGACCTTGATCTGGCCGATATACCTAGAGCTGTTGAGCAGGTGGAGTCAACTTTTGAGTTGGACCCAGAGGACTGTATCCCGGTGAGTGCCAAAACTGGCTTGAATGTGGAAAGCATAATTCCCTCGATTATCGAAAAAATTGAAGCACCTTCGGGAGATGTAGATAAGCCATTGAAGGCTTTGCTTGTTGATTCATGGCACGACCCATATGTTGGTGTGGTTATGTTGATCCATGTGGTTGACGGAAAATTGAAAAAGGGGATGAAAGTGTTATCGGCCCATTCAAACAAATCGTATGACGTGAAAGAGGTTGGAATAATGTACCCTGACAGAACTCCCATGGACTGGATCAAAGCCGGTCAAGTAGCGTATGTGATACCGGGAATGAAAAACCCTCGAGAAGCTTTGGTTGGAGACACATTTTTCCAGTTGGGAAAGACTGAAGGACTAGAACCTTTACCTGGTTTTGAGGAACCAAAACCAATGGTTTTTGTGGGCGCCTTTCCGGCTGATGGTCGAGATTTCAATGCTATGGATGACCAGATGCAAAATTTAGTTTTGAATGATAGGTCAGTAACTTTGGAGAAGGAGACTTCCAATGCATTGGGGTTGGGATGGAGACTTGGGTTTCTAGGATCGTTGCATGCTTCGGTGTTTAAAGAGAGGTTGGAAAATGAATACGGTGCTAAAATTATTCTAACTGCTCCAACAGTGCCATACAAAATCATATACCGCAATGGAAAAGAGAAAATTGTTACAAACCCGGACGACTTTCCCACAAACAAAATTGTAAACGAAGTTGACTGCTTTATGGAGCCATATGTTGAGGCAATTATGACATTGCCGAATGAATACGTTGGGACAGTGATGACCCTTTGCTTGAATAACAGGGGTGAGCAAAAGGATATCGAGTACTTGAATACGGGCCAAGTCATGCTAAAGTACGAAATACCAATGGCTCAATTGGTCGAAGATTTCTTTGGCAAACTCAAGGGCTGTACAAAGGGCTATGCCTCCTTAGATTACGAGGAAGCTGGTTACAGGAAATCAAACATTGTCAAAATGGAGTTGTGCGTCAATGGTGAGCCCCAAGATGCTTTGACAACTATCATACACAAATCTCAAGCATTATCCAAGGGGAAGGACTACGTTTCACGATTCAAAAAGTACCTTCGGTATCAACTTTTTGAAGTTGCCATACAGGCAAAAGTCAACAATAAAGTAGTTGCAAGAGAAACGATAAAGGCCAAAAGAAAGGATGTGACGCAAAAGTTGCATGCTGCTGATATCTCACGTTATAAGAAGTTATTGGAGAGGCAAAAGGAGGGTAAAAAGCAAATGAAAGCCAGTGGAAAGATAACCATAGGTAACGACGCATATCAAGCATTTTTACGACGTGAAGACTAAATCAAATCATTCTTGTACATACAATTTTTAAAAAAAGTACACTATTCAACATTTCAGTTTTTCAAAAATTTCTTGTAAAACACGTTGTCTGATTCATCGACAAATGTGTAGCCAATCTTTTTCAAAAACTCTTGAAATTCAACCTCTGAGCCATCGGGTAAGATAAATCCACATAAAACTTTACCGACATCGTGGCCATGATTTCTGTAATTGAATAAACTAATATCCCAATCACTTTTCAATGCTTGCAAAAAGTTGAACAACGCATTGGGCTTCTCTGGAAACTCAAACAGGTACAACTTTTCATTTTCCGTTCTTGAAATGTGTGACTTTCCACCAACTAAATAACGACCATGCGATTTAGCCAACTCGTTTTCTGAAATATCTACAACTTCAAATCCTGCCTTGGTCATGGCATCAATGACTGAAGGCTTCTCGACCTTCTTATCAGCAACATTGAAGGAAACAAAAATGTTTGCCTTGTCGAGTCCACTGCATCTATATGAAAACTCTGTAATTGCTCTTGGGTTAATAAGTTGTTGCAACACAGCAAACTCACCTGGTTTCTCGGGTATGGTCACAGCTAAAGAAACCTCTTTACCTTCACCCAAAACAGCTCTTTCACTGACAAATCTTAACCTATCAAAATTCATATTTGCGCCTGATAAAATAGGAACATATGTTTTATTCCTGTGATCAATTTCGGGGTGGATATCGATATACTTGTTCAATCCAGCAACAGATAAGGCTCCTGAAGGCTCGGTAATGGACCTTGTATCCTCGAAAATGTCCTTGATTGCGGCACAGATTTCGTCAGTATTGACCAACACAACTTCGTCAACCAAGTCTTTGCATAACCTCCATGTCTCATCCCCAAGCACCTTGACAGCAGTACCATCAGCAAATTGTCCGACTTTGTCCAACTGTGTCAGTTCCTTATTCTTCAATGACTGATACAAAGCATCGGCGTCATAGGTTTCTACTCCAATGATTTTAACGTGTGGTGCTATATGTTTCAAATAGACCGCAACACCTGCGATTAAACCACCGCCTCCAACTGGTACAAATATGGCACTTAATTTATCCAATCTCAACTGTCTCGTGATTTCTAACGCAACGGTACCTTGACCTGCAATAACATACGGATGATTAAATGGTGGGATATTCACCAAATTGTTTTCTTTACTTAGTCTTGCGCACTCTTGCTTAGCAGAATCAAAGTCATCACCATACAATACAACCTGTGAACCCAATCTCGAAACATTGCTGTACTTTATTGATGGAGTAGGAGTTGGCATGACAATAGTGGCAGGAATGTTTAGCTTATTAGCAGAGTAAGCAACTCCTTGTGCATGATTACCAGCAGAACACGCAATGACACCAGACATTGGCTGTTTTGAGTTAGAATGTAAATGGGCAATCATATTATGGGCACCCCTCAACTTAAAAGAAAAGACTGGTAGCAAATCTTCACGCTTTAGATAAATGTTGGAGCCACATCTCCGAGATAAGTTTATTGCATGAGATAATGGTGTGCCTGCATCCGGAACAACGTCGTAAACTCTTGATGTTAAAATCAATTTAATATAATCCGGTTGCTTTGAGATGCTTCCTTGCGAGCTCTGGGTAAAGTCCGAATCTGAAAGTTCTGGCCACTTGGCCACTGATGTAGTTGTAGCATTTGTTCTAACAAAAGTTTTACCCTGATGTAGACTGAGCAATGCTAATAGTTGCCTAGATGACGTTGGTCTTAGCTTGACCATTACCGACATCAAAGATTTTAAATACAAATTTCGATTAATGAATGAACAAGAATTCGTCTCGATAAACAACCAAGAAAAAAAAAGCAATAGAAAAAAGCAAGAATTCAAAAAAAGGTTGGACGGTGCAGCACTGAGTCTCTGATTTGAGTCTTTTCCTATATTAAATTTTCACTTTTTAATGTGTGCAAGAGATTAATCCGATTGAGTCAGAGTGCATGAAAAAAAATAAAATAAAAAATTGAAAATTACGATATTTGCTCTGTTTCGCACGACCAATTGGAACTTCGTTAACTATTTTCTGTATGTTCAAGTATGTCCTACTATCGTTTCCTTGTTTTGTTTGACATGAAAATTGCAAAAAGTGTTAAAAGTTGCTATTAAGAAGTACCAACTTGTGAGTACCAGGATCTCTTGACTTTGACCCACAGCCTTTCTCGTATTTGCTCATCTTGAATACAAAGTGTCTGCCATATCAAAAAAATAAAAAAAACACAGACAAATAATACTGACACTGAGAGAGGCAACAGAAAATAAAAAACAGACTTTGGTTGCAAAATCGTTTAAACCGCCGTCAATGAAATGAATATATACACAAGAGAAGACAAAATTTCCTACAACCAATAATTGCAACTTTGATATCTATCCTATTAGAGAGTAATAAGTGATAGTCTAATATTCAATGGAGTTTAGAAATCATTGCAATCACAATACTCCTTTTTCATTTGTATCGACGGTCTCAGCCTAGACCTAGCTAACTGTATTTGAAACATCTTGCATCAAAGACAAGTGCATAGTGTGTATTTTACACAAAACCATTTCTACAGAATATAGTATGCAATTTTCCCTTATCCTTGCTAACCTTTTTATATAAATGTTCAAACATAACATAAAATTGGTTCCCATATACTCAAGCTATCTTTCTTTCACAAAATATTCAACAGCTGAGAGCTCCTTTGCGATCTCAAGCCAATAACCCTTCTTTTTCGTGCTTTTTGTCCTTTTTTATTTTTTTGGTATTACAATTGAAGGGCACCATAGCTTGTGCATACGTCGCCTGTCTGATCGGTTTGGATAACAATCTCATTGTAAAGGCAGGCCAGCTTCAAAAGGGAAAATCAACATACACTCACTGGATATCAAAAGACTATCTCGTCAAAGCTTCACACACATACCCTTGTCAGCAGAAAAGAAAAGCGGGTAGTCAGCTCGTTGGTTTATTATGGACTTTGATTATGACAGCAACCACTTTTCCAATGATATTGAACTAAAGGATGCTAAAGATGAAGACCATGCAAATGCTGTCGAGGACTTGGAATTCAATGGAAATGGTACCAACTGCTTTACGGTCGAGCCACACACAAACATCAACTTCAATTCTGTCGAATGGGGGTACTTGCAAATTGCTCAGCAGTCACTTCACCATCTGGCTTCTCAAAACACTGGACTTGAAATTTCGCCTTCTATATCAAACCATACATTACAGCTGATGAAACCAGCTTTTTCAGCAGAATATGACACTGATAATACCGACCTTCTTGGCATACTTGACAGTCAGAATCCTAGCAATTTTAATCTCCTGGAAAACCAAAATTGTGTCTCAAGTGACAGTCTTTTAAACACATCAACCAGCACGTATAAAGCTAATCATGAATTCACGTTTGAACACCACTTGGACTCGACCTACTGGGAGTGTTTGTTGGAGAAGGAAAATATGCTTCACGATGGCGATGATATATTAAACGTAAACACGTCGGGTAAAGCATATGTTGAGGACAATGACGGAAACAGCAAAGCTAAGAACCTGAAAGATGGCGACATACAATCTGCTGTTTGTTCCACATCTACTATCGAAGATGAGGACTTGATAGATAATTCCTTCCATTATAACCAAGACGACAGCATCATGCAATGTAACTCCAATGATGAGGCAGGAGACCTCTGTCCCGAAGAAGAATGTGTGTGGGATGAACGACTATCGTATGAAGGTCAAGCCCATACCGAGAGGGGAGCCAATTTTTTTAGTGATCCAATAGCTCTACAGCTTCTGGTAGCTCTGCCACGAAGGACTCGGGCAATAGTTCAGCCGAGGACAAGTGGCGAAAAGTATATAACGACCCTGATTTACGAATGGCCTGACGATGAAACAACTGGATCTACACAGTTTTACAACAAAATGAAGATACGATTGTCGACCTTGGAGCCGAAATGTGTTAGTGATGCAGTGTTGAAGACAGTACGAGCAGAATTTGTAATTCAAGACTTGTTTTTGAATGGGCAGTCTCCTCCAAGTCCAGAAATTCCAGAACTGATAAAAAAGCGATCTGATAAAGATGTTGAATGGACGCCGTTGTCAGTTTACAAGGCATATACTAATATCAAGTCGCCAACCAATGGTAAAGAGTCTTATAATAGGTTGGTTCCTTATTCCTCCTGTATAGGCACCTTGAACTACAGGCCGAAGGACCACGCTGCTTGGAAAAGGGCTCCCAACAGGCGTCAATAATTCAGCCCACAGACGCTTGAAATGGCCAAATCAATAAAGGGATCAGCGAAAATTAATATACATAATTTAATTTCTCAGGGTAGTCTAGGTGGTTTAACTCTTACTTCTATATGTAGTCGCATACAATTCTCTGATAACTAACTAGTGCCTGATTAATAATTACACACCACAATCGGGTGCAAAATCAGAAGCATCCGAAACCGGGGGCGCGGGGACGAAAAAAAGATCGAAAAAAATGTATTTTACCGCGGTGCTAATAAAGATGGAGAGCATATACAAATTCACAATGTATCCTAGGTTTCGTAATAAACAACATGTATTACACCATATTCCAAATCTCATGTGCGTTTTCTTTAATTATAGCTGTTTGTTGGGAGAGTCAAATAGATTCATAAATTATTGCTGACTCATTAGCCGCGTTGCTCGATAAAACAAGAGTACTCTTTGTGCAATAATTGATGTTTTATTGGTTATTGCACGTGCCGTCGAGTAATCAGAAATGATACTGCATATAACTCACTCATTTTTTGTCTCCATAAATTAAAAATTTAATCAAAGTAAGATGCAGTTATTATGATTGCAAATTTTTCTTCCTTTTCAAACCTATAGTTTGAGTTTGTTCATTTGTTACTTTCAAAACTACTAGCTGCAGTTCCTCATTACACTTTGCATTTTAGACTTACGTATCCAAAAGCATCCACGATTTTATATTGGCTGAGAAGTGTCCGCAAAAATGAGTTTGAGCAAAGAAGAATCTATTGCAAGAACAATCAGCCTAGTTGATGGAATCAACTTTGTTACCCAGCCAGCAAAGTCGGTTGAGTCACCATTTGCAAAGTTGGTATCAAATGCGAACAAGCTTATTCGCTCAAATGATCCATACGCATTGGTAGAGAATTTTTTGTTGGATAGAGATAACCAAAGACACGATAGAGGAGATGAAGAATCAGAAGAACAAGAGCTTGACACTGTTACCGTGACAACAGATTCTGAAACCTTGTTGAAGAACTTGCCCTTTTTGTCGGCATCATCGTTTAAAAACAACAAAGTTGTCAACCATGTCGAAATACATAACTCAGACTTCACGGTTGTTACCAGTTTGAAAGACTTGAAGTTTCCAATATTAATATCACAGAGTCCACGTGAAACCTACCAATTTGCCAATTTGGCATACAACTTATCGGAGAAATTGAATACATCTATTTTCCACTTTTACGTCTCAGACGCAACGTATAAGTCGAGTGAATCTATCAAACCATCTGAGGGTATATTTTTGAAAGACTTGAATGAGTTGTCTTTTGACAAAGTGTTAGCTGAGTTTGATGTTCAACCTTTTGAAGTTGCCAGCAAAATACAAAAGCAGAAGGATGCTATTCTTTATCTTGGTCAATTGGACGATGCTTTATTAGAGGCTGCTACCAAAGCTGGTGTTTTGTTGATTAGCATTAGGGTATATCAACCATTTTCCCTCGCGCGCTTACTTAAAATCGTACCTGACCATGTTGAAACGCTCACCATTGTACAACAAGCAAACACTGGCTTTTCGCAATTTTCTCCATTGCTCCTTGATTTTTTTGCCGAATACGCAGAGCACCAAACTTTGAAAAACTTTACAAAAATTGTGTCTGCTACTTTTAGCCCTGTGATAAACTATACCGGTGCTTTGATCAAACTTGTTTCAAACGTCCAATCAGATAAACCTTCTCAAAATTTGTTCTACGGTGAATCTAAAGACTCCAGTTTGGGAAATAAGACCGCCAACAAGCAACATCAAGAATACGACAAGGCTGTGTCAGAGGCTCATAATTTGGAACAGGCTTATTCGAAAATCTTGCAGCAAGTCAACGACACTAATTTGAAGATTTTGAATGAGTATCAAGCCGATAATATTGGGTTGGAGACTAACCCTGAATATGGTTTCGGAGCATTCTTGCATGACCAGGAACAACAAGAGAATTTGACCAGCTTGGTACAAGTCGCTTTGAAGGAGAATAAATTCAAAACAAAAGATAACAGTAAATTGATTGACTTGTTGTCTCAATGGTTAGTACAATTGCAGGAGAATGGTGAAGTCGAAAGTAGGATACCACTTGAAGCTATTGAGTTATTGAAGACAGATGAATCGTCAACCACTTCGAGAGAACTTCTTGCATTGTCAACTTACTTCACCACCAATAGTAATTGGCTTATAGGGTCGGATGCCTGGTCCTTTGACTTGGGCTCATCAGGTGTCCACAGTGTTATCACTTCTGGTAAAAACATTAACATGTTGATCATTGATTCTGAACCATATGAAGAAAAGTCTTCAGACAAAACTATCAATGGGTTTAGAAAGAAAGATGTTGGTTTGTACGCCATGAACCATGGAGATTGTTATGTTGCATCGGTGGCAGTGTACTCTTCGTATACACAAGTATTGCAAGCATTTATTGAAGCCGAAAAGTTTAATGGACCATCGGTAGTTTTAGCCTACTTACCATACCACAATGAATCAGATAATACATTGGCCGTCTTGCAGGAAACCAAGAAAGCTGTTGATACCGGTTACTGGCCATTGTATAGATACGATCCAAATGCGGCAAAGGAAACTGACGTTTTTAAATTGGATTCATCGAATTTGAGAAAACAATTGAAGGAATTTTTGGACAAGGAAAACAAGTTGACCTTGTTGGCTTCTAAGGACCCCTTGTTGTCAAGAAACTTGACCGCAAATGCCAACACTGAGGCTAAACTCAAGCAAGCAAAAATTGCTGATGAGTCTTATGCTATGTTGTTGCAGGGCTTGTCTGGTCCTCCATTAACAATCGCTTTTGCATCCGATGGTGGAAATGCAGAAGGCTTGGCTAAGAAAATCAACAGACAAGCCTTGGGAAGAGGATTGAAAGCAAATGTGTTAGCCATGGATGATATCTCAATGGAAGACTTGCCAAACGAAACCAACGTTATTTTTGTCACATCGACTTCGGGTCAAGGTGAGTTTCCAGGTAATGGTAAACAGTTTTGGGACGGCCTTAAAAATTCAAACGCCTTGGATCTTTCTGGTGTTAAGTTTTCAGTGTTTGGTTTGGGTGATTCAGAATATTGGCCAAGAAAGGAAGATAAGCATTACTACAATAAACCTGGTAAAGATTTGCACGCCAAACTTAAATTGTATGGTGGTGTTGAATTGGCTGAGATTGGATTGGGAGATGATCAAGATGCTGATGGATTCTCTACTGGTTTTAATGAATGGATTCCAAAGATTTGGGCTGCATTGGGTGTTGACAATGTTGAAGGTGTTGAAGAACCAAAGCCAATCACTAATGAAGATATGAAGATTGGTTCTGATTATCTCAGAGGGACTATTGCCGAAGGTTTGCAAGACGAATCAACTGGTTCAATTTGCGCCGTTGACCAACAATTAACCAAGTTTCATGGTATCTATATGCAAGATGACCGTGATGTGAGAGACGAACGTAAGGCCAAAGGTCTTGAGCCGGCATACGCTTTTATGGTTCGTGTAAGATTGCCAGGTGGTATTGCCAATCCGAAACAATACTTGAAGATGGACGAATTGGCCGATGAAAGAGGTAACGGTACGTTGAAGTTGACAACTAGAGCCACTTTTCAACTTCATGGTGTTGTCAAACACGATTTGAAACCGGCAATCAGAGGTATGAATGCTGCTTTAATGGACACTTTGGCTGCATGTGGTGATGTCAATAGAAATGTGATGGTGTCTGCATTGCCAAACAATGCTAAAGTACATGGACAAGTTTCTGCCACTGGTACATTGATATCAAACCACTTGTTGCCAAGTACAACAGCATACCACGAAATCTGGTTGGAAGGTGAAATGCCTTCTGATAAGGCTGGTGATAGAGAGGCTTGGGAAAACCGTAAAGAAGGCCCAACAAAGAAGAAAACCTTGGTTGCTGGTAATGTTTTGGCTGATGTCGAACCATTGTACGGTGTAACCTACTTGCCAAGAAAATTCAAGATTGTTATTACAGTCCCTCCTTATAATGATGTTGATGTGTATGCCCATGATATTGGATTGATTGCAATTGTTGAAGATGATATTGTAATAGGTTACAATGTGTTAGTTGGTGGTGGTATGGGTACTACTCACAATAACAAAAAGACCTACCCAAGAACTGGTTCCATGTTTGGTTATATTCCAAGAGATCAAATCCACATTGCTTGTGAGAAGATTATGTTAGTTCAAAGAGATTTTGGTGACAGAACAAACAGAAAGCATGCTAGATTGAAGTACACAATCGATGACTTGGGTGTTGAGGTATTCAAGTCCAAGGTTGAGGACTTGTTGGGATACAAGTTTGAGGAACCAAAGCCATTCAAGATTGAAAACAATGTTGATCATTTTGGATGGTGTAAGGATGAATTGGGATGCAATCACTTTACCGCTTTCATTGAGAATGGTAGGATTGAAGATACCCCGGAATTGCCACAAAAGACAGGTTTGCGTAAAATTGCTCAATACTTGCAGGACAACAAGAAGTCGGGAGAGTTTAGACTAACTGGTAATCAGCATTTGCTTATTTCCAACATCAAGGATGAAGATTTGCAAGACGTGAAGAACTTGTTGGCAAAATACAAATTGGACAATACTGAGTTTTCAGCATTGAGATTGTCTTCAGCTGCCTGTGTTGCTTTCCCAACTTGTGGTTTGGCCATGGCTGAGTCAGAAAGGTATTTGCCCCAATTGATCACCAAATTAGAGGAGGCTTTAGAAGATTATGGATTGAGACACGACTCTGTGGTTATGAGGATGACAGGTTGTCCAAATGGTTGTGCTAGACCATGGGTTGCAGAAGTGGCCTTAGTTGGTAAAGCATATGGCGCTTACAACTTGATGTTGGGTGGAGGACACCACGGACAGAGATTGAATAAGATTTACAGATACTCGATCAAAGAAGATGAAATTTTGACAATCTTGAAAGACTTATTCAAGAGGTGGAGTAAGGAGAGAAACGATGGAGAACCTTTTGGTGATTGGTGTATTAGAGCAGGTATCATTCAAGAAACTACGGAAGGTAAGTTTTTCCACGAGGGTATTCCTGAAGATGCATAGTGTATATTATTTATTAAATGAACTATTAGATGTTATACGGAATTCGTAGATTGCACTGTGATGACCATCGCTCTTGAGAGAGACTTTGCCAGCAAGATCAAGAGTAAGAAGCTCGCCACTGTCTACAGATCATAGGTTTTAATCACTCTGCTCAGGTAATATGCCGGCAAACAAATTGCACATCGCATTAAGCTAATTTCTGTTTAACCAAATTCATTTTCAATTCCTGAATGTCCTTTATCAAGCTTCTGGCTTCCAATTTTTTTTGCCTCTCTACTTGAAGCACATCCTTCAATGTAACCTGACGCAACGACACACTAACCCTGTTCAATCGCCGTATAACCTTTTGATAGGTTTGTTGAGTAGCCTTATTAAGAACCTCTTCATTCTGCTTCACTATCCGAGATCGTTCTAGCTTCAAGTGGCTGATCAAAGCTTGCTTCTGTTGTCTTGTGTACGCCATTATTGCTTCATACTAAGTTTGGGTAATTCAAGCTGATTTCCATGTTATTTCGTGTAGAGACATTTTTTTGTGTGGCAAAAAAAAAATCCGAAAAAACATCAACGGAAACCAAACTCAGCACTGTTCAACCACAAGTTGTTGCAATAAACTAATCAACCCTGCATTCAAAATGGTCCTCGAAGCTACAATGATTGCCATAGATAACTCCGAATATATGAGAAATGGAGATTATCTAACTACGAGATATGACGCACAATTGACTGCCACTGAATTTATTTTCCAGAACAAGATCAATTCCAATCCTGAAAACACCGTAGGGTTATTGGCCTACGGAGGTACAGGTCCGCAGGTGTTGAGTACGTTAACCACTGACTTTGGTAAGATATTATCTGGCGTTCATGAGACTAAGATCTCTGGTGAGAATCATTTCAGTAATGGGGTAGAAGTTGCTGCATTAGCCTTGAAACACCGTCAAAACAAAGTGCAACACCAAAGGATCATAATATTCGTTGGATCTCCCATAAAAGAGGAAGACAAGGAGTTAGAGAAGCTTGCAAAGAAGATGAAAAAGAACAATGTGGCAGTTGACATTATAAACTTTGGTGAAGAAAATGTGAATACTAGCAAGTTGGAGAAATTTCATTCCACCGTAAACAACCACGACAGTTCACACTTGGTTACAATTCCACCTGGACCAAGGTTGTTATATGAGGTTGTTGCTACGTCACCGATTTTGGTAGAAGATGGTGCATTTAGCGGTGCAGGTGGTGAGCAAGACTTTTTCGGTGGCGGTGTTGCTGGTGCAGGAGACATTATTGACCCTAACATGGATCCAGATTTGGCTTTGGCATTGAGGTTGTCTTTAGAAGAGGAGAAGGCGAGACAAGAGAGGGAAGCTGCCGAGAAGGCTAAAAGTGAAGGCGGAAGTAGTGACAAACCTGAAGACTCGAAAAAGGACGATGGTGATAAGGACGGTGGAGACCAGGACGTCAAAATGGAGGATTCTAAATAGAGTAGTAGCTATAAAGTGATTCATACGTTGAGCTTCAACCGTTATCTTTATTTTGCCTCATTCTTTTGTCGCCTGAGTTAGACTCTATACTTGGTTGCAAAAACAAACACCCATAAAAAAAAACGAGGGGAATTAACCCCACTACTTCCTTCTACGCAAATTGGCAACAATAATACGTCTTTCTCGAAATTATCGTCATGCGAAGAAGTAATATCGTTCAAGATCAAACCCCATCAAGAAGACCGATGGTCAACACGAAAATTACCATTGTTTCCGCTCCAAATCAACACATTTCCGTATCATACCAAAAAAACCAAATTAGGCAAATCAATGGTATCCCTGAGAAGTTCATACCATCGAGCAACGAGCTAGTTGTTAAACCCATACAACTGACTAAGTCACATTTCATTGATGCTTATTCAAAGGTAAGTAGAACACTCAGCTCGATTTGCGCTTAAACCTTACTAACGAAGTTATCAATAGGGAAAATGGAATCTTTCGAAAGTCCCTTGCCCTCCATTTATGGAGGATTTAGGGTATATGAAACCACCAGAGAGTTTTGATGAGATATCAAGATTGGATGCCGTTTCCAAATACAAGGATTTGGAACATTGGGGTAGCTCTAAGTTTTTCAACAAGCTATTGGCCAGATTGAAGAGAGAGTTCAAGGTAAGCGGCGTGTCAATTTCATTGATTGATAATCTGAAGTGTTATTACAAGTTTGAAACATGTTTAGGGATCGCCACTATTCCCCGGTGTGTTGCGATAGACTCTCATGCTTTATTATCAAATGGATATTTTCTATTATTAGATGCGTCTCAAGATTGGAGAACCCGAACGAATCCATTAGTTGCTGGCTCACCATATATAAAGTTCTACTGTGGCGTGCCCTTGATGAGCGACGACGCAGGCGTAATTGGGATTTTAGCCATTTTTGACAATCAGTCTAGAATTGGATTTAATGATCAATCGTTTAAGAATTTATGCTCCTACAGAGATGAAATTATGACTTATTTGAACCAGCCTTTTGGAACTGAATGTCACCCACCTGATCGTGGAATTGCTGATTCTTTACTTTTATACGGAAATAAAACGAAACTGGACTCTTTGGAGGAGTTAATGAAGGAATTGGGAAGACCAACAACGAACAAGTCGTCTCTAGTTTATGAAAAAGATGGTTCAGGAGGGCCATATAACCAAAATCAGAATATCCGCTTCTACGCTTTCAGTAAGAAGATTAAAAGAGGTTCTTCAACTAACGAGTCAGAGGAAAAGAAAAAGAAGAAGAATGCCCAACGAGGAGAGTTTTCCAGTCTTCGAATCTCGGGACACCATCTGAAAACTCCCCCCTCTGCAGATTCTATCGACGATAAGAAAATGTGGCACATGCTTTTCAAAGTTGGTTCCTTGAAAAAAGCAGCCACCTTATTGGCCAACTTGCTTTCTGCATCATTTGATTACGACTTGGTTTACATCCTAGAGATAAGAGTAGCTGAAAAATGCCGCATTTTGAATGAATATTTCCCTCCAGGTTTGGACAAAGCTAATTTAGACCTGTTTAAATTTGCAAGCAAACTTGTCAAATCAAGAAAATCACCAGATGAGTTCATGACAAGATTAGTTGGTCACCATAATCAAGGAAGCCCAAGTTTGATATCGCAGAACAAGATTGAACAATTTTATCAAGATTCAATACATTATAAAGCTTTTATATCTGAGTTTGGATTGGAGTATACAAACATCAATCGTGATACAGTCTACAATCATGGTCTATTGATGCCTTTTTTTAGACACGATTCGAAATTAGTGAGAAGCAATGAAACTAAAAAAGATAAAAATGCCAAATATGTCGACTTGTATTTGAGAAGTGGCGGATTTCTAGTTGCATTATTTGCAGACAAAATCAAACCAGTTGATAGCGAAATGGTGTCTGCTATATTCGACCACGCGTGTACATATAGAAAGATATATATCAGCTCTCAATGATTAAACTTTTTTCAAGGATCGACTTGTCTCATTAACTCTAGAGCAAGATCTTCATCCTCTTCTTCTGCTTCCTCGCGTTGATACAGCTCTTCATCATTATTTGCTATTTGAGGAGCAGTCTTTGAGGGCTTTCCAAAGAATGCGGCAACCTCGTCGTCTTCCAAATCATCCCACCCATCTTCTGCTGGATCGTTTGTCGTTCCTATGGTTTCTGTTCTATTAGGCTCACCATTCAGGTCTTGACGTGTTGAATCGGATGTAGCTCCAATACGCATAAAATCCCATCCTGTATCATCGTCATCATCGTTTGCAGTTATCGCTGTTGGTCTTAGTTCCGTGATATTATCACCTTCCATTTGTGAGTTGGTATTATCCTCTGTATGTGCCTCTTCACTTGCTCTGCTAACTTCATTTTCATCGATGATTCCCCTTTCAACTTTAAGTTTGTAAATCTCTTTCTCAATCAATTCGCGTCTATACAAACGCAACTGCGAAGATTTATGGCCCAATGATCTAACAAGATATGCACAATCTTTAAAGTTTGCTTTGGGAAACATACCGTGGCACCATAATTGATAAAACTGCAAAATTGATACTAAATTGTTGTATTCATGATCGTGTTTGAGCTGTGGTGAAGGTTTGTAATTGGGCTGCACTGCAAGTTTCTCCTTTTCTTGTTTGTAAAACTCCTTGTCATTTTTCTCAATAATCCGAAGTAACCTTCGTTGGTTCTTTAGCAAATATGGTAAACCTCGTGGGTTATGCAAGAGCCTTTCGTCGTCAATCTTGGCAATCTTCTTTCTAGTTTTGAGCTTTAAAGGCTCGTCGATTCCAAGAAGTGCGGGATCATCTAGCAAGTTGTTGCCATTGTTGGAAGCGTTTTGTTCCAACACATCCTCTGTTGCATGACTATTCGAAGACATAATGAGCTTTGCCAGTGTAGGTTGTTTACACCTCTATACTTCTCGGGGTGAAGATTTTATAAATTCTCGCGTAACGCGTTTTAATGCTGCGTTAGAACTTTCATGATTTCATGGTAGCTCTATCCCATCTCTCGAGCCATTCGCTTTGCTCCAAAGAAAATGTATTCAGTTGAATATCTCCCCAGGCTAAACCAGTTGTCCGTTGAAATAGAAGATGCAGCTTTTGATGCTATCACTGGTGTAGGACTAGAGGAGGAAGGGAGGATTATTACTATTGCCGTGAAAGGACAGGACCCCATTAAGGTTAAATGTCCCTTAGCTATAGAAAGGGTGTCCCCACTAAGTTTAAAAGTTCAAAATGACAGGCTTCTCATCTCCTTGAAAACTCATTCGCAAATGGATATGAAAGTGGCAAATGATCTGTGCGATGGACCCGATAAATGGTCCTGTGGGTGGCTAAACCAACGTACTTCGAAGACAGGCTCCAAAAACGAATTTCAATTTAGATGCAGCAATTGTCAAAACCAGCTAATCGACTCATTAGAATTCATATTCAAAGACATGCCGGGTGATTACTGGTATGAGCTTATGGATTTCTGGCATTGCCATAAACCGGAGAATAAACAGCCTACGGATAAAAATTACGGGGTTTTGAAACCGAAGGACGATAAAACTATAGTCATTGGCTCGTTCTATCTTTTACAAATTGTCAACCAGTCCTTAAAATTAAAAGGGGACGGTGATGAAGCTTTTTATTTTTGTGAGAATTGTCACCAACCTGTTGGTGATAAATTTCAAAACGTGATACGATTGTTCAAGTGGAAGTTAAGCCTTACTTACACGACAGGAAATGGGGAAGCAATTTCCACATACGACCCACTCCTTTATGCTGTTAATCTATTCGTTACCAAAATACAGTCACTGGCTGTGAGAAAATTTGTCGTAGATGTTGAGGGAGAGGATAATGTGTATTTGTGGATACTCAATACAGATGTCGATGTCACTGTAAACGGTCGTATACTCCCAAAGTGCTTAAAAGTATGGTGGTTTTCGGGTAAAATTACGGCCAATGCTGTCAACAGTTACGAGCATACTGAAATTCCATACAAGGAGGTGATGGATAAGCTCTTGGCAGCATTGCGAGATAACACGATAAACTCTAGTATTAATGTTGGTTCTATAAATTATCAAGTTAGTTACATACCGACTATAATTCCCACATAATACTTATTTTTCTAATACCTCCTTCACAATAGGAACTACCTGCTTCCGGGTTGCGGTCACTTTCTTTTGATTATAAATCTTCAAATGGGACCCACTGTCATTAACACCATTTGTTAATGAGCTAATTGCCTCGCTCCTATACAAGTCTGTGCTTAGTTCTAGTTGTTGCCAAACTAATTGATACAATTCAGCGTACTTTTCATTCTGCCCTTCGTAGTAGTAACAAAACTCCCTAGTATAGATGCCGGTATCTTTCTGCGTAAAAGATGCAGTTATTACCAACAACTCAATCTGGTTCGCTTTTAATGTCCTTGAAAGATCATCTTTGATGTCTTGGATGGAAAATTTATTTGCGATCCACAGCAATGGCTTGCTGATGGAGCTGAAACCTACTCTGTCATCGTGGAGGAACTTGAATTGCTTGTAATCCTTTCTCAAAATATCTGCAAAACTAAATCCACTTATATCTTTCTTTGCTGTTTTCAAAGTTTTGTAGAAATCATTATAGTTCGATTGTGCAGTGAAATTGACAGTGTCACTAGCCAAGACTTTCTTGTAAAACTCGAAAGCTTTAATGTCGGGATCTTCAACTTTCTGTGTCATGTTGGAAGTATCAATCAACAAAGGACCTAACAGCAACTCGATAACATCCTTGTTGCTTTCCCAAAATTCCTCTTGTCCCGCCGCTAAATCATGGAAATAGTGGAAGACTAAAGTCGAATTTGAGCCACATGTTCTAATAATTCTAGGATTGGCATTCTCAAAATGACCTTCGTCCGCATGGTGGTCAATGATTGCCTCCACATTTACTTGGCCTCCATCAAAGCCTTTGTTGATTTCAACACCTTGTAGTCCATTGTGGTCAACCAAAGACAAATCAATTGAAGTGCTCTTGTCCAAAAATTTGTCGAAATCTTCAACAAAGTACAAGAGGTCCTCAGTAATATTGTGGTACAGCAAAAGCTTGTTGATATCTCTTCGTAAAGCAAAATCCTCCCTGGGTATATCAATCAATGGAATTATGTACTCGTTTGGGGTTTTAAGAGAGTACGTCAAGTATGCAAAGGTGATGGCTGACACAACCGAGTCCATATCAGCCGATTGGTTACCGGTGACAATCCTGTACGGAGTCTTGAAAGTTCTCAGGCTCAATGCCTGTTTCAAGTTTACCAAGTAAGATCTAAGTGACATTTGCTATGGTGTGGATGGGGTGTGAATTGGGACTCTGCACGGTTGGATCTGCTTTGGGGCACATGCCACGGCAAAGACAAAAAAATTGTTCATCTAAATTATTACACAAAATCTGGTAAGAGAATGCAAAAGTAGATGGCTCTTAGGGCTTCAGTGACTACATCATCATTGTAAATACAAGTAATATTTCTGTAATCGCAAACAACTCTACTAAACGTTCAGATCTCTACACACTCATGTTGATTACTTAGCGTAGTGCAACTTGATATCTAACCACTGTCTTGCTCTTACCTCAGCTGGGGTCAAGGAAACATCACCATAGGTAATTGGTCTAAAGTAGAAAAAGAACCATATGATACCAATGGAGGCAGTACCGACCAAAAATGTCATCTTGATCTTTTTGCGTTTTTGGTCAACATTGGTAGCATCTGTTGAGTTGTTTGAACAAATGAAGTCGACCAATCCCCCAGCAAATAAAGCGGCTATCAAATGAGCAGGCAAGTAGTGGTGCAAGAATTTTTGACGATTCATCAAGTAGAATGGAAAGTAATGGGCGCACCAGCCAATAAACAAGAAACCAAGTGTGTTGTATAGTCTTGATCTGGCCTTTTTACTCAACAAATGGTAATCCCTTCTGATTGTGAACTGATCAGCCAAAATTATACCGACGTAAATCGACAACAAGCAAACTTCCAACCAGAAACCAATCACATTTCCTACAAAGAAGATTTGCTTCTTAGTATCGTTATCATTGAAAAACGACACCCCACTCAATGCTAGTGGCCATGAGTCGGGTTGTGATGCAAATGGATGCGTTGAACTAAGTTGGTTGTTGTGGTGGAACATTAAGCCTTGCAATTCCCACCATTTCTTCAAAAATGGAATTGATTTGATCTTCTTTGGCACATATTTACTCCTAGGATCAGACTCCGCCAAACTGGTAATCGAGTCGAATGTCCAAACATTCTCTTTGCTCTTTATGTTTTTGTTACCACTCACTTCTTGCTGATTGAAACCCCACTCAGGCAATAATTCGTCATCGTGGGTCCACATAGCAACAACCGTATCCATGTGCAAAACTCTCAATGAAGTTGCCAAAGTCTTTATTTGCTTTCTTTGATTTTGTTTCTTGGGCGATGATCCTGGAACATCGAGCTTCAATCTAAACAAAGTTTCATTGTACCTCTGTTCAGCATAGTCGTCAAAAACCACAATGAACTCTTCATTTGTTGCTTTTAAAGGAGAAGCAACATCGTGAGTCAAAAGAAAACCGCCAGTTCCCACATGTTTAAACCTAACAACGTCGTTGGTATAAACATCCTTTCCCGCTTTTCCGTCATCTTGCGCAGCTACAGGAATAACCTCCCACTGGTTGTTTGGATCTGCAGACGCATTTTCACTGTCAACACAGGTAACTTGCTGTTTGTTTGACGAGATTCTTCCATCTTCATAACGTAAAGGATACACATGTTCATGTGAGTGTAAGAATGCACCAGTTTCCTTGTGTTTGATTGTTATTTGGTCATAATATTGAACCTGTTTGGAATGTCTGGCTAATGGAGATTCTTGCAACGTTTCTTGGAAGTCGGAGGACATGAAACTGTCTCCTGGACCAGACTTTGTTAATATAGCAAAGTGAATGTAGAACCAGGTCAAGTAAATAATGAATGGGATAATGATCAAAGCCCATAATCTCGCAAAAAAGTGTTTACTAAACTGTTGCAAAGTTAATCCCTTTTTATAGTCCAACAAGATCCACAATTCATGACAAACAGCAATACCAACTGTAAAATATGTGAAAACCCCAACATACTTGGTCGAAATGACGCAAGACAATGAAACTCCTGTAGCTAATAGCCAAGTCCACCATTTTTCACTAAATGGCTGTTTCCTAAACGTTGAAAACTTGCAATAACTGAACATAGTCAATGCAACACTTAATATTAAGGTTGCATCCAACAAAATCAATCTGCTATCCACTACTTGAGCATTGTCAAAGCAAACAATGATACCAGAGAACAAACAGGCAGTGACACTAAATCCCAATGTTTTCATGGTCAAAAACATGATTGGCACAACGGCTGTTCCTTGGATAGCCAGCAAACTTCTATATGCGATGTAAGGGACATTGTTTTCAATATAGGAGTCTCCAATAGCATCAAACTTGAAACGACCATTGTAGCCAATTAACCACCCCACAAACGCAATCAACAACTTGGCAAAAGGTGGGTGTAGATCAAAAAAGTATGTGCGTTCCAAGTAATACGAAGCAAATTTTCCAAAGTGAACTTCATCAAAGACAACTTTGTTGGGGGTACCCAATTTAACGAACCTGACGTAGAATGCAAGGGCAGTGACAATAGATAATGCTATCCAATACTTGTATTCAGGCTCACTTTCGGCTGGTGTCTCGAATGCATTTACTTCTTTAGTAGCCTGATTTTTCTTTTTCGCGTTGCTGCTGTGTTCAATAACTGGAATATCGGCCACTGTCTCAGAGGCCGCTTGGGCCCTCTTTCCAGTACCTGTCCTTTTCTTAACTGATTGGGACATTTACCTGTACAATTGATATGAAATTTAAATCAAAGCAAATGACGCTCTTGAACTTCAGTTTATAGTATCAATTGGTCTTGAATGGCTTGATAACCGTGTAGAAGGTAGTAGTTTGACCGAAATGGTTAGCTAACGATCCGAATATTTTGAACAGCGATTGGATCTGAAAAATAAAATTTGAACAAATGTAAACCAAAGCACAAAAACACGTCAGCCTTTAACGCTGTTTTACTGAGGCAATGCACGACTCAATGAAACTGTACAGCACCCATTTCAAAAGCCTTGCTAATGTCAAATTTGAAAATTCTACAGAGATGCTTGAACCAATAACACACTTTCTTTTTTCGCAAAAGCGTTCTATTCTACAGCTGGTGCAATATTACTTTACTAAAAGTTGATCTGAGTCTATACATAAAGCGAAACATACATCCTATTCTGTCACAGCTGAATCTGCTTGCATCACCAGCCGTGATCAAACAACATGCTTACACTTTCTCCATTATTAATCCGTCTAATTGCCTCGGCAAATATTCTGCTGACATCCAAAACCTCCATCCGGTCTTTCAAGATTGCCACATTTTCACTCTGAGGAACGGAGTTTGTCGTGACAACTTTGTCTATTTGACTCATTCTGATTCTATTGATAGCGTCCCCACTGAATATTCCATGTGTGACTAAAGCGTAAACATACTTGGCTCCTTCGTCCTTGAGTAGTTTTGCCGCCCTTGTGATTGTGTACGAAGTATCCACCAAATCATCAATCAAAACACAAACTTTATCCTTGACGTCACCAACTAACATGGTTGTAGCCACCATCTTGGGAGTATTCTGGTGATATGGAGATTGAGGAGTGGCGGTGGTTTGTGTCAAATCCGAAGTTAAAAAGGTACTGCTCGTCGAGGATGGTGTCTGTGGTGGTCCTTTGGGCAATTTGGCTCTTCTTTCTTTGTGAATAAGAGCAAATGTGCATCCAATAGAGTCGGCAATGGCTGTAGCACGTTTGGCTCCTCCGGAATCTGGACTCACAATCACACATTCACGGTAATTAGGTATGTAGTCGGTAATGTAGCGTTTCATTATCGGTCTTGAGTGCAAGTTATCAACTGGTATGTTGAAAAACCCCTGGAATTGCGGATCATGCAAGTCCATGGTAATTACTCTATCAGCACCAGCGGTGGTGAGTAAATTAGCGATCAATGTTCCGTTAGGCGAGATCCATTGTTTGTATCCACTGTCAGTCTTTCCTTGAGCATCGATCTGGGGCAAAAAATGTGTTGCTGCAGAATTGGTAATCACTGATTTCGGAGTATATCTTGCTGGCTGGGGATGCTTTATCTTATCCATTCTAGGATTCTCTTTGTTTATATTCCCGGTGTTGACATTGGTTTCACCAGCATTATTAAAAAAGTCTCTGTTGTCATTTTTAGACAACGGCTTTGGAGTACTTGGTGCACTTTCAAAGGTGTAAGTTTCCTTTGTTGTTGAGACACTGGGGGCCCCCGTGCTATTAGGCATGAATGGCACATCAGGTTGTCGTGAGTATGGAAACAACGGTAACACTGCTGTCACTCTTTTGGCACTTGCAGTTTTACAAGCCGCTATAGTAATAAGTAGCTCTATGAATGTATCGTTCACATGCCCACATCCACTTTGAACTATGAAGACATCTTTTTCCCTAACACTATCTTTGACAATTATGGAAGTTTCACCGTTGGCAAACTTATGAGAGTCAAGCTCACCGGGTTCAATTGTCAAGTTGCGACAGATTGTCTTTGTAAGGAGAGGATGTGAAGATCCACCAAGCACCACAATATCTCTCATTGTAGCTTGTGTCAGCATAAGATTAAAAACGTGGAGCGATGGAGAAGACCCCAATTTTTTTTTTTTGTTTTTTTTCCCTCCATCACACAGAGTGGATTAGCCAAACAGAGCAAAGGAAGATATGCTTATCTACCTGAACACGCAGAGTTGTGTGCAATGTAGACAACGATGCCATATCCAAGGGTAGAAAGAACATTCTACGCGTATTTTAATGAGGAATATGTTTTAAGTTGATCTTAACTACAACAACATTCCCTGTATAAAGTGCTTCTCATAGGACACTAATATCTAATTTCATATGAGCCCGACAACGTTGTATAACGAACCCATTTCACTGTTTTGTAATTAGCCTTTTCTTGCACTTTCAAATACCGAACAGTCAACCCTGAACTAGAAAACATATCCACCATAAAATCCAAAGTGATCGGCGGTCTGCTCCACTGTATAAGCTCATTTGATTGTGCTTTTATTTCAACTTCAGCCGTTAATATGTTTTCCTGTTCTCCAAATAGTTTATTGAACTTCCAAATGATTGCATTCTCTTCTGAATGGAACTTGGCTTTTCCATTTGAATTGGATATATTTGTCAGTGCCACTCCACGAGGTGTTGGAATGTGCATCACCACTTCGGTGGCTGGAAGTTTCGATGGTTGGAACGATTTCATTCTTATCTTATAAATGATTTTGTTTCTTCCAATCTCTTGAATTTGGGGATATACTTTAAACGGCAAATTGATATTTTGACTGCAATTGTAACTCATGAGTTGAAATTCACCATCCGGAGGAATAAATTGAATGGATCGGTCGTTTTCAAAAGCCCCCAACTCAACGCATTGATGGAATTTAGAGTCTTCTAAAGCAACCACTCCCTCTCTCTCGTCGTTTGGCACATCGTAATTGGAAAGCAAAATAGTGTTCTGATTGAATCCGAATCGACACTGGGGCATGCCTGATAAATGTGTCTTCATCTTGATTGCTCCATCGATATAACTCCGGAGAACATCACCTTGAGAGTTCATCAATACATTTACTTTCTCTTGCACGTTCAAAAATATTTCGTTTCTCCTATATTTGATGGTTGGAGATCTCCAAGTGACAGTTTGGTGTTTCGGTGTTGCTGGTGTCGCCGGTGCACTCTTTTTCAATGGATTGAAAGAAGCCTTCCTAAATATACCAATATTCGACTCGTTTAACCCGATAACGTATTTCTTCAAGTACTCCAAATCCATATTCGTGGGGTATCCATAATCGCACACCTCGCTCAAAATGTCGTAGCAAAGGGGGAAGTTATTGACTATGGCTATATCTGAGAGCGTTGGCTTCTGCTGCAGAGACTTTTTCTTGTTGTCCTCCCACAACACCAAGCTAAAAAGCGACTCGAGTTTGTACAAGAATTCCAAAATTGCCGAGCAATCTTGATTTGACCTTGCTACTGCACATATCCACACATTACCCAGTTTTATGTAAATGAATGATGTCGATCCCAAAGTCAACACTGGTGTGCGTTGATCTCGGTTCGATCTTCCCGACGATGCCAGATTGATAACCTGTATTCTAAAAACATCTGCTATGTTTCTCTTTATTTCATCCTTGTATAGCTTAGATATAAGTATATCTCCTTTGGAATCGTATATGAAAATTGCGGTTATCATGTGTCTTTCTGAAGGATCAAAAGTGCCGGATGTTAAAGGGGATCTAAAAGAGTTTGGAAGTGTTTTTTCTCGGAGATAATCTAAAAGCAAGGGCTACCATTTGAACGGATATATATAAAAAAGTTCTACAACTCATACCGACTTCATCCCAACAAGCTGCAAATTGGACTTCTTATCATGTCGAGATTTCCGATTGTGATTTGATTTGCTCGCTTTATTCTTTTCATTTCTTGCATGTGTGCGTTTAACTTGTTCTTTTGACTGTTGGTTGGTATCAGGAGTTGGCGATTTCGAAGAAGGTCCTTCTTTTCCTTCACTAACTGGTTCAATCTTTTGTTGTCTGTTTGGGTTTCCGCCGCCGTAAAAATAGTCTTCCTCTAATATCTTGTACCTTCTGGGAGATTTGAGTAGCATGCGCAACCAACCTTCAATTTGTTCATCAGACCAATTTGTGTTCTTTTTTATTTGTTGGCGATTACTGGACTTTCTCGAAGTTTTGGCAAAAGAATCAGACCCTTGCTTTTTGAAAAAACTAAATAGATATCGCTCTGTTTGATCAACGGCTGAGAATGCGGTTCCCTTTTCATCCGGAGGGGACGTAGTCTTTGCTCCCTTCTTTCTCTTGGAGTCATCTTCCAATTCTGAACCTGTGGTCTTTTCTTGATCATCATATGTGTCATCTGGTTCATCTTCGTCGCTTTCGTACATCAACCTCAATGCTGCATTCAAAGTCTTCTTTTTCAAATCGTCATTCGCCAATCCGGGTCGCTCCTTCTTTTTCTTTCCAAATACAATAGAAGCTTTAGAAAAATCACCTTTTGAAATATCATCTTCGTCGTAGATTGACCGTTTTTGAATGCTTAGCTTGAGATTTTCGCCTTTCTTAATTTGCGGTGGTGGCAGACAATCCTCAATCGAATTTATTCGATCAGGATTTTCCAAAAGCAAGTTGGTCACATACTCCACGTCACCATTATGTTCCTTCAAAACTATCTTTGCTTTTTTCTCTGTCAAATGGGGGAATAAATCAACCAAAAGGGAAATTTCTTCGATATTCTCCTCATAATCACCATTTTCGTCTTCGTAATCGTAATCGTTATCTATATCTTTGTTAATGAATTTGAGAAATGGCAACCTTTCTTCCAATTTTGGTATTAAATCCTTCAAAGCTTCCGATGTGATGACTGCACCATACAAAGGTGCAATGTTCAATGTGTCGACAGATGAGATTCCCAACTCCGAGGCTAATTTTGCCAACTTAGGGGCCGATAATGAGACAATAGAAAGAACCATCACATCCTTAATTGCTTCAGCATTTGTGCTTTGCCCATCAGCGTAAGCAAGGTCCAAAAATTCAACCCATTGTGACGAAACAAAACTTTCGGCAAACTGTAAGCTGTTATTTTGACTCTTGTTGACTGTTTTGCTTGATCCCATCGAGTAGGTTGTTTTGGAAACATGTTGCCCTAGTAGTATCGTAAAGCAAGTCATATCATTGGATGTAAACTTTCCTTCAGAAATCAATTTTTCAAGGTGTTTCTGCAACACTTGAATTGATGAAATACTACCTGATTTTTTATTATCGTTAAACTTTGACTTAAAAGATCCATCTATTAGGCCACGTACAGTTTGTGCATTCTTTTCTGAATAAATTCGAACAAAATCCCAAATCATTTCTCCAGTCATGTTCAACTTTACAAAACTGAAGTTCTTGATTAATTGGAACACATATGATCGCAAAGTTTCTGTGTTTCGTTTGATATCTGGATTGATCGATCCTAATGAAAAAATTCTATCCCCTTCAACGCTTGTTTCTTTTAAGTACACCTTCAAAAATAATTGCAATTGCTGTTGTGATTTAACACTGAGCTTTGGCGATTGAGGGTCTAGCATGAGTTGAATCAACTTGATGTAAGCTTCCAACAAGTGAGCCCAAATAACGGGATCCTTGTCGATCATCGACGACCGGAGCTTAAATGGGGGGAAATGTGGTATCGGAATGTATATAGATTCAGCCTCTGACATGTTCTTGGATGTATGTAAAGTAAATGGTGTAGTAGAAGGCATTGCATGATTGAAAAAGAAAAAGCACTGACTCATCACTAGCAAAATATTTCAGCCCGTGATAGTTTAGAAACTCATGTGTTACTCATAGACTCCTTTTTTCTTATAAAAAAGCGTCGTGACGCAGTGGAAGCGTGCAGGGCTCATAACCCTGAAGTCCCCGGATCGAAACCGGGCGACGCTAGTTTTTTTTGGACCTATTTTTATGAATATTCCTTCAAAAATCAATGTATTAAAGGATCATATGCAACAGCTAAACAACACAGCGCTGTCTTGATTACTTCAATGATGACGATGCAAGGTGCAGGTTTTTTAAGTTATTTCTAAAGTTTTTGCAACAAGAGAATTTTGCATCAATTTTGCTCAAAAGATAGAAGATTTCAAATTCATTAAATATATAACTATAATACGCTTGTTTAAAGTCAAAAAACTATCTCTCATCCCAGAACTTTCGCAATCTCTCCCCTGCCTCTCTATACAAAGTTATATCTTCCTCTGTCATTGGAGGAAACTGACGCCCAACCCTCGTCTTTTCCAGGACCTGACCTAATTGTGTCAAGGTTCGTGCATATTCCAAAGCGTCAGTAACACCAATCGTGTGAAACAACCTAGAATTCCCCTTCAACTCGTATCTGTGCTTAATCCATTCAAGCTGCTTGTTGCGTGAAACCAACTCAATCTTACCTGTCAAATATCGGGCCACTATAATAGCCTGATATTCAAATACTCTAAACGAGACTCCATCTATAGGGACACCAACAATGGTGATTAACGGCTCGTTGATGATGAATGTGTGTTGGTATAGGTTTGAAACCGTGATACCTTCGTTGGTAAGCGTTTTGTCAAATAATCGATCCAAAAATGGGTATGAGAATAAATATCCTGTACAGTAAATTATATGATCAGGATCGGTAACAGTCGATCCATCGGAGAACTTGACAATTATCTTTGAGTCCTCTGAATCAGGTAGTTGAAATTCCTCAACAACTGGTTTACTCGTCACATTAGGTCTCGTTGAAAGCACTTTGGTGCGATCGTAGTTGCGAATAGATTGGTAAACTTTAGTTCCTGGTTCCCTAGCGACAAACTTGGTCAAATCACTACCGGAAGCACGCGAACCAACCACAATTACCGTTTTGTCTTTGTATGAATCTGAATCACGATAAAATTTTGCATGTTGAACTACGTTAGGAAACTTTTCTTGCAAGGTGTTTAAACCAGGTACACTAGGAATGTAAGGGACATGGTAATGACCTGTTGCAACAATGATGGAGTCAAACTCTCGCTGGTACCAGTAATCATGTTTATCATCGTATTGTTCTCGAACCGTCAATTTAAATCTATATGGCACAGCGGCATCATCATCCCTGCCGACTCTTTCCACATCTTCCACGGTTGACGCTAATTTCAAACTGACCCTCGCATCGTTCAAATTCCGATCAATATATTTTTCAATATATTCTTGAACAACAGTTCCCACAACATATTTTCTCTCTTCGTCATTGCCCTCCACTGGCCATGTATTGGCGTCACTATATGTCATCATTTTCTCAATAATGTTGGTTTTTATCCCGTAATAACTAGGGGTTTGAATGAACCTTTCTTGTGTATTCTTTGGTAGGATCAACTTTCGTGTGTACTTGTGATCGTGAAAGGGGTTTTCCAATTGTGGGTCATTTTGAAAGTTGATATTACCTGCTTTGACTATATGGTTAGGAGTTTGTATTGTGTCAGGATTGAAATACCAGACACCACCTACTTTCTGCTGTCTCTCAAAGATGGTGATTTGTTTAATTTTCGAATTTGGCTCTTTTAGTAAACTGTCCAAGGTAATCGCTCCTGAAGCGCCTCCGCCTATAATAGCAACAGTTTCAACCTGCAAAGAGGGCAACATAACTGGTGTTTCATAATTTAAGTTGGAGATGGAAGGCATGGTTGGTTGGAATTGATTGAAAAGAACGAAATGGAGTTCTAAAGTTTGAAGTTATATATAGTACTTCTCTTATGGCTTTGATCAACTGATGTTCCCTTTTGTTTGATAAGAGTGGCTAAATGGAAAAAGAAAAAGTGGAAAATTAAATTTGTGATTTGCAATTTGCAGCCACAGTTTCCACAACGGGAAACACTTTATAAGCAGGACAAATCAAAATTAATTAAAAGATAGAAAAAGAGTGGTGTAACATATTAGACACTTTCGAGATAGATGAAAATTATATGGGGACGATTGGAAATATACCGATAACTGGACACTAACGCGGTGGAGTTGATTGTCGGTGAAGTGTTACAAGAAGGAACATCTACAAAATGAAAATCTATGTAATGGTTTTTTTTTGGAAATACAAGATACCATTCTCTGTTCCAAGATGTTAGTACTGGCTGCTAAACGCATACAACGGCTATTTTTCTGTAGAGCTCTCTTTTCACTCCCCCTCAATGTGGGTTTATGCAACTTGCTTTGTTTTTAAAAAAAGAAAATAAATAATGACAGATAACAAAGGGGATAATATATATTATGAAAGTGACTCAACTCTGGGGGTATAGTGTGTTAATAAAGGCGACCTGTATTAGCCATTTCACTCAGTACAAACATGAGCCTCACCCTTTGTTCCTGAATAGGAAACAGGCCACGTGCGTAATTTATTTGATTTCTTTCCACTTTAATTAAGCGACACAAAGAAAATGCTTTTTAAAAGGCGTGAAACAATGAGGCGATTCTATTTATATTCATCTCATCTCCAATAAAAGCCCGAACAGGTCATCGATTGACAAATTTTGTTTCTACATATTGATCACTTCTTCTTGTCGAGTTCAGGGTAATTGAAATTTCACAGTCGCCTAGCTGCACCTCCCTTACACTTCCTCTATAACTATGGTGACCCAAAAACATATTGACTTGAATGCACCATTGGATGTAAATGTCCCATCGACGTTGAAAAAGTCACCATTGACTCCTGAATTGGCGAAAGCAGCAATAACTTTACATGGAGATCGCTACAAGCAATCGCAAGCTAATTTGACTCGATATGTCATATGGCACCCCTATTCAATAGCCTTGTATTCGTTAATTTTCCCATCCATTTTGGTTTATTCGTTGTGGGATTACTTTGAAATTAGTGACAATTTGGTTGAGTTTTATACAATTGCATCGAGGAACAAGAGAGATTTTGCCTTTCACGTAATTTCGGTTGCACCTTTGATTGCCAGTGTTTTTGGAATCTTTGGATTTTTTTCATTTATTTTAGGTGACGAAGTTGGCACCATTACCGATCGATATGTTGCTCAGAAATACTGTGACTTTACTTTTGGGTTTGACATCAAAGAATTTGCTCAGGATCCTAAAACGCCGCTCTTGAAAGAGGGAAAGAATTCGGAATTGGTAATTTACAGAGACCAACCAATTGCTATAGCTACAATCAAACCCGATTGGGAGCAATCGACGCCAGAAAATTTTATTGTTCAAATCACTGGTCTCCATGTGAGGAAAGTTTTCAACAAGATTGATTTTGATCAGATGTTGATTGAATGGGCAGTTTTAAGATCAAGAGAATTGTATCAGACTTATTTAACTCTGAAGAATTCCAAGGTCAAGAATGGAACTATATTGATTGTTACAGATGCTTATTCATTTGACAAAAAATTCGAGAAAACTTTGTTCAGCTCCGGATTTAGAATCTTTAATTCATCGTACGAGTTGAACCCATTCAGTCCTACTTTGAAAGGGTACCAAGAGGTTTTGCACAAACTTCTTGGTCTTAAAAGAGATACTTTTGGGATTTTGTTGACCACGGAAAAAGATGATGTTGATTTACTCAAAGAAAGTGATTTACTTGAAAAAGATCAAGTTAGAAAAAGAAGACACTAATTAATGTTTAACTGGTAAAATAGGTATGTAATTTTATTTTTAGTCTAACAAACCAGCAGTCTTTTTCCTTCTCTTTTGCCTTTGGACTCTAATGACAATCCACACGATCCAAATCAAAACCACACTTATGATGATGTATATGAAAACTTTAACTAGCCAAAGGGTTTTTCCAACAAGTCTCTTGATAAACGTGGCATCGGGATCTCCATACTTTTCCAACCTTTCTTTTCTTTCCCTTTCTTTAATTCTCTTTTCAGCATTCCTCAATCGACTCAAAGTCTTTCGACGTTCAGTGCTCAACTTCTTTTTGATTGCCCTATTCCTGCCTCCTTTTCTTTTCGATTCTTGATTCACTTGATCATTGATACCTGCTAAATTGATCGTTTCCTGTTCGTATTCATTCTGCTCCTTAATCAAGTCATTCAATTCATCAATGGATTCAACAAATCCTCCGTTGGGTTTGTATAACGCATATATCTTGTTTTCCAATATGTCTACATTTTCAAACAATTGTCCTGTTTCGGCACTCAAACCAAGGAACTTGATAAATGGCAACTGGACATCAGTAAGTGTGACACAATTTAACCAATCTTCATGTTTACCATTGTAGTTGAAATCGATAGACAAGTACCCATTTTTAATATAAACCAATCTCATTTTTGTTTCCTTAGAAGCAGGATTCAAAAGACCTTTGGCCAGACACCCTGCCAATCGAGTTTCATACCCGTCAGTAGCCTTATTATAGCGAGTTCGTCCATCACCCATCATTAAATTTACATAGGGAAACTGACCACGTTTTCCGTTTTTGTATGTATCCATCATAATTCCTAGCCCATTGAACTCATTGCGAACTCCAAATACATCGCCAATGTCGCTAGGTTTGTCCAAAAACCACACCGCTAATCCATCACCCACCAAGCCATGCTTGACTTCACTGTTGTGGATATGGAAAGTCAACTCCATTTCAAATGACTCAGCCTGTATTGGCATTCTACTAAACATGTTGGAAGCGGTGTGGGGGACCAACGATGTCAATCTAATGTATTCATTGTTTTCAACCAATGGATTCCCGTTTAGCTCCCAATTCCTGACATGGAAATGCGAATCGTCTAGAAATGGCTTGGCTAATCCTTGTGCCGTTAATTCCGTTTTCTTCAAGGCAACAATGTTTGACTCTTTGTTCTGCAACAATGTATTGATTTCCTCTGGAGTATATGTTGATGATGATGGATACAAGAAATCAAAAATATTCAAATAGTAACAGATGAATATAGTAACACATCCCGCCAACACCAATAGTGATTGTAGCGGCTTTGACCGCTGAACATTACCCTTGAATGACATGTAGTTGAAGCTGTCAAAAAAATAAGAATGCGTTTTAAAGAGTATTGTTCTATGCTTTTCCGAAGGAACTTTTGCGAAAAATGACACGCACGCAATTTATGTCAGCTCTTTTCACATTAATCCAATCATAGGTCTGTAATAAACAAGTCAAGCCGTATATATTTAGAAAACCCTATTTACAAGTAAAGAAAAGGTGTGGCCCAGCAGTTGATTCATTTCCCAAATACTATAGTTCTCATAGCCGTAAGCAACGATTCTCTCTTTTCTCCTTTAATTTCACTCATCAACCGATTATAGTACTCTGGATTACCCTTTGGCTTCAATAGTTTATCATCTAGTTTATAATGGTTCTTGTATTTATCATTGACAAGCTCTTTTAAAGCTATAAACTGTAACTTCAAATCTTGTTCAGAAATCGACGATACCACATCTCGATCTTCAAATCTTTTTAGCTGTGATTCCTTGAATGAGGCATAGGGCTTCAACCTTTCATTGGGCAAAGTTTTCAACACTGATATTATCTTTTGAGTTAGCTGTGCTTTGGGGGAGCTCATCGTTTGATCTGCGAGGGATAGTTGTTGGATAAGATTATGTGAGAGATGATATTGTGAAATTTTTCTTTGCGAGATCTCTCTTAGATTGGTTGATAGAGAGGAGATTCACGCAAGTTTTTGACACCTATTTTACCGGAACAAATAGAGAACTAGATTACCATTAAATCTATTTCTTGACACTCCCAGAAGATCTTCTCTCAGCTTTTGGACTTTACTAGATTTTGGAATACATAGTAGTAACGATGCCCAGCGCTACCTGTTCATAAACTGATTGGCCAATAAGTGAGAGCGCAGACATGTTTACACTGATCTGCGTTGGCGAGGTTTCAAAATCGACATTAATGATAAGTATACTTATTACTGAGGCTTGCTTGAGTGGTATATCACTGCCATATACCTTGTAAGTTCAAACAGCGTATCAGTCCCACGAATATACGCTTCAACGGTTATAAATTTTAATTTCTTCTCTTGCATATAACGGCACATATTGGGAACTAGACGTCGAATGATTTGTAGAATTTACTTGCTACGCTTCGACTTTACTAAAAACAAGTCTTTACCCGTTCCTCATATTCCGTTTTAGACTACATCATAACCTAGAATACACACTTATTAAAGCCGAAGCCAGCACGTTCTTGTTGTTGTTTGGTTTTGCACCACATTATGCCATTTTTCCGCAATCTGAAAATCTTCTTCGAATTGCCCATTACCCAACAAAAACCCACACTTTACTTTCTCTCAAGAGTGACACATTAGAACTACCACCACTGAGATTAAAAGAACAGCTAAAGCTCTTGGACACTCCCCTTCAGTATGTCAACAGAACGTAAATTTAAAGACCCGAGAATTATATTTGTGCGCCATGGTCAAACAGAATGGTCAAAAAGTGGGCAACACACGTCTATCACCGACCTTGACTTAACCCCATTTGGAGAGATGCAGATGAAAAAGACTGGTGAGTGCTTAATTGGATCATCTCCTACAAATATGATCAAGCCGGAAAACATTACCAAGATTTTCTCCAGTCCAAGACGCAGGGCAAGACACACCACTGAGTTGATCTTGGAAGCTGTGCCATCCGAAATTAGAGACAAAATCCCTATTGAGTACGATGACGATATCAGAGAATGGGATTATGGTGATTACGAGGGGAAAAAAACAGCTGCAATTAGACAATCTAGGTTAGAAAGGGGCCTTGATACATGCGATCGCACATGGCTGATTTGGAGAGATGGTTGTGAAGGTGGTGAAAACTACAAACAAGTTACTGAAAGAGTAGACCGTTTTATCAACAAGTTAAAACTGATCCATGTCAAGGCATTAGAGAATGGTGAACCCAGCGATATTATTGTTGTTGCCCATGGTCACATCTTGAGATGTCTTGTTGCCAGATGGGTACAAGTCGAAATCAACCACGACCCCAAGTTAATGTTAGATGCTGGTGGAGTTGGTGTGTTGAGTTATCAACATCACAACATCCATGAACCATCAATTTTCTTGTCTGGTGCGTTTACCGTCCCAGTGGACGAACAGGGTGCTGACATGTAAGTGAGGGTATTTACACACAACATGTCGATCCTGCCACTACATAGGCCCTTTTTTTTAGATATCACATAGACCATTTTAGATTTTTTTATTTATGTTAGAGTATACAGAAGAGATATATTTAAGGAACGTACGAGCCTTCCCTCCTAGCTTGACGTAGGAACAATATTCGTGTACTTTTATCTCTAAAATGTCTATTTCAAATTCAATTCAGCCGTGTTTAATGCTTCTAACATACAGTTCCAAAACTTTTTAGCATCTAGGCTCTCTCCGATATATACACCCTCATTCTCTGACTCGTCAAGTGGCACCAGCTTATTAACAATTATGCTTTCTCCTTCGTGCGGACCACCGATTACCACATCCAATTTCCTCCGTAAGTATTTATAGCCGTATTCAGCACAATTTCCATCGACTATTGGCAACAAGCTATAAACTGCTACTGGGTCGTGCAATGGAGGACCAGTGTTCATATCTTCCAACATAGCATAAGCCTTGCTATAAAACATCAAGATGTCATAGAAAGCTTTCCTTAAAGGGCTATTTTTGGTTTCATCATCTTCATTGTAAATTTGATTACGAATATCAGCAGTAGCAATAATCTTGTGGGTGAGGTTCAATGGCGATAGGATCATTTTATCCTGTAACTTGTCCACGACTGCTTTGATCGCGTGGGGGTCGGTATGGAAATTGAATTCGGCATACGGAGTAGCATTCCCCATACCAAAACTACCTCCCATCACCGAGATATACTTTATTTTGTCAATAACATCAGGGTACTTTTCAATCAAAAGAGATATATTTGTCATTGTTCCAGTAGCAACAAGGCATATTTCATGCGCGTTTGCTTCTATAGCGTCCCTTAGTGCGTCGACATAAGAAACAGAAGTAACACGTTTATTAATTGATGTTTTGGGTAACTCCACGCCTCCAATGCCTGTTACACCATGGACATCCAAAGCATAACGAGGCAGGTTTATTAAGGGTCTCTCTTCCCCCTTGTAGACCTTCACTTTAAAAATATTCAATAGGTCCAACACCGCTAACGTATTATGAGTCGTCATACTTAATGGTGCATTCCCGTGTACAGTTGATATCCCCAACAACTTGTAGCGAGGATTGAATATGGACAACAATATGGCAAATGCGTCATCATTACCGGGGTCGCAGTCAAGCCAAATTGGGATTTGTTGTTTTGTCATAACTGTGTTAGCTGTCAAACTTCTGAATCAAGCCTGTTTTTCTTTGTAGATTCAAAAAACACAGGATACTAGGTAGAAAAGTAGTCTGATTATATTAGCAAAGCTTCAACAGTATACCACAATGCTGTTACCTGGAGTGGATTTTGAAAAGAAGAAAAAAAAAATGAAAAATGGTAAAAAAGTGTGGTTAGAATTTCAACGTGGGTTAAATTTGGAGAAAAAGAAGAAAATAAAAAAAATATTTTACTTTAACATCATGCAGGTCATGCAACACAAAAATGATTTTTGTCAAAAGTCGGGGTCGGAAAAGCATTTGTATCTGATTTTTAGAAACAAATTCACCAATAGCTTTAAAGCTTTGCAACAGAACATTTTGCTCATGACAATTGCAAGATAATACAATTGGGTGTTAGGTTACGTAAATTTTATGGTTGACCGCAGAAAGAGTGATTCGCCACGTACAGAAAAGTTGCGCTTTTGTGGACAGCCTGTAAAAAGGTGGCAACAACCCTACTGCATTCATGAATAATGATTAAGTTATGAATATTGTTTAACTAAATAGAGTATATGAATCGCACATGAAGTGAATGCTCCCTAAATGAGGCTGCAGGTTATGAGACTTAAAACTGGCTCGTTGATTCTCACTTTTTAGTATCTCTCGACGCCGTTATTTTTTTTCTTGTTCCTGTGTCAAATTTGCGCTTTACAAAATCTACAGTATAGAGATCCACCCGGGATAAATTTGTACATCTAATTAATATATAAATACACTCTACAATAATGACATAGGCAAACTATGTCCCTATCTACTGCCCAGGTATTTCACCACTAATAGTCATTTTTTCATTCAGTCTTCTTGTCTATTTGCCTCCATTCTTTCCCACTCTTTGCTCACCGCGTATCCAATAGTCCCAATAACGTCTTCAGCCCAGCAAACATCTAAGTGATTATACGTGGGGATTTCAAAGTGTTTCAAATTTTCTCCTTCGATATATTCCGGTTCATAATGTTGCATATGTGAGATTAACCGCTTTCCATCAACGAGATAGTCATCGCCACCAACAAATATTAATATTGGCACCTTGCAAGTTTCCTTAAACCAAGAGCTGTGGAATGGGAAGGTCATATCTGAATCGTTAGATTTGTATGTGTTTTCAGAGTAATGCTCACCATTAAAATACGTTTCCTTTGGTTGCAACATCTCCACAAACCCCCCCGGTGCAAATTTAGCCAAATAATACTGCATCAACTCTACTGACACATAGCTCATGTTGAAAATAAAAAGAATGTGCCAGACAAATTGATCATCGCCCCAGTTTCGAGCACTCCAGCCAAATAAGAATTTGAACATGTAATAGGATAGCTTGCCAAACAACCACGTTTGGGCGATATAATCACGGACAAGACACAAGTTTCGAAGCATAGCACAGAATCCAAATACAAAAGTCCACGCAGACTTGGGGAACTTGACAAGTATTTCAATGAATGATCGCGTGTAAAATAATTGACCCGGGTAAATTGCTGGTGCCAACGGTACAAATAAGTCAATTTTTTCGTGGATAAATGAAAATTGTGGATGCAGCAACATGAGGAAACTTTGAAGACCACCTTGCAGATGGCCAAACAAAGTTAACTTTTCATGCTTTGGTTTCATGCTCATTACTGTTTCGATCATTGCAGGCAAGTCCAGATAAGCCAACTCTTTCATCCCCCATTTCCAGTACAACTCGCTGTTGTACAAGTTGCCTTTCATAGTTGAGTGCCTTGCCTTGAACCATGATCGATTGTTACCCATCCACACATCATTGCCTTGCTCGTGAAAGTAATAAGCCAATGAATTACGTCCGCTTGCTATAAACGTACCGGAGCACGACAAAAGTCCGTGCTGCAAAAATACAGGCTTTCTCAAATCTCGCTGTTCTTGTGTCTCCTTTGGGTCTATAATATGGTGCAACATAAGAATATACCCATCAGATGTCGTGACATCGTACTGTTCTAAATCTAAACCCAATGCTTGAACGTAGTATTGCAAATCGTCTGTAGCCTTGAGAGTCTTCATGTCTTCAAAAGCTTGCCTGGGTACATACCCGTGGCCTCTCACTTCAATGTCCGGTGGCTTTAACTTATTCTCGCCCGTAATAGCTTGATAACAGTTGTGGGCTATTGCTCCAGTACATAAAATAGTGGAGTATAGAACGGAACAGAAGGAGCTAATAAATATTAGGGCATACTTCTGAAACCAGTTGTACTTTGTACTCCATGCACTGGGACCAGTTTTCTCCTTCTTAATTGGCATAGTTATCCTCTATTAATCCCGTCAAGCAATTGTTCGTTCAAGAGACAGTTTGCAAATCGCGGAGATGACGAAAAGTAAATATTACACAAAAATGTTAACCGTGTAAGTGATTATGTAATTGATTTCGTAATACATAGTTAAAGCTAACTTTTTATAGACACGATTACATGTTCAATAAAATGGACAGGTGATTCAGGCTAGTTGACATACGCAAAGAACCTACACCAGCAGGTTCAAGGTTGTTCAGAAGCCCGAAAAAGTTTCGGAAGCCACCTTTTTTGCATACAAATTGAGAAAAAAATGTAACCTAGTTGATGGAACCCCAACAGGGTTTGTTTTGAATATCTCCAAGCTAGGAAAAAAACAAAAAAATAATCCAGAGATATGAAATATAAGCAGAACCCTTTACATAGAATTGTAATTTACGATTGAATCTGGATAATGACAAGGCCTCGAGATGTGTTCAGCTTGTTGGACGCTCTAGACGTGCATTTCTTCTTCACGGCTTTGCTAATCTTAAACTTTTTGATCATTTCTTGGGTCAAGGACTTTACTACAGGATATTCCTACCACTACGCTACTGAATCCATGATGGTACAACCTTTCAAATATTATGTGTCAGAAGTTCTCCAAAGCGTCTGTAAAAATGTAACAAGATATAGTTGCGCCAAACGCCGTCATCATGTCAAAAAAACCCAACGGAGAGTCCGCAATTTCTCTCGAAGGAATCGACCCAAAGGTCAACTACAACTCCAAAAGAGGGCCATTATCAATGACTAATACGCGAGATTTCATCATGTAGTATAAAACTTGGAAGGTCATACAAAGAAAAGAAAAAAAGAAGGGGTAAAAAGAGGTTAAAAATTTTTCTCTCCCAAAGATGGTTTGTTATATTTGCAGAAAGTCGTGTTGGTGAGTAAAAAAAAAAAAGTATTGAGAAGAGGTTAGCAGCATCTCATCGGAAGTATATTGGGACATACACTTCTACAAGAAAAAGCTTCTACAATGGCACCAAAAAGGAAATCGCTCCAGCAGTTGGAAAAAAAGAGAGAGAAGAGGCTGAAAATTGAGTCGAAGGAGTTGTTATCGTTAGAGCAAGTGAAAGCATTAGGTGAGGAGATCAAGAATGCATCAAAGTTCAATAATTTTGTACAGTTGCTTGAACAACTCAAAATCATTCAAGGAATTCTCATTGAGAAGGAAAGTATTGAGGTGGAAACATTGGGACGTCTCATTTTGCTCGTTGTATTTGAACGGTTTGAAGCGTTATTCGATGAAGGAATGATGAGAGGATCCAAAAAACAAGACGAAAAGCAAAGACTAGTAACCAACTGGTTGGCAGACAAGTACGAAACCTTCAAATCAATCATTCTTAAACTATTACTGTCCAAACTATATTCAGAGACATCATTGCAGTTGGATTCGATGGAAATTTATTTGAGTATGATCAAGTTGGAAAGTCAAAGTTCAGAGAAACAGTTCCCCAAGAAAACATATCAACAATTCCTCGAAGCAGTGTTGCATAATCGTATCGGAGAAGATTCATCAGATGGATCGTCTAACAATTTCATTGTTTTAGAATTTAGTGAAATATTCAAGAACTATTGGGATTTGCAATTCTACTTTTTTGATGTTGTCAATGATGTTCTTTGTTCATGGAAAGACAAATTATCAGATAAAAAGCTACAAAGGATATTTGCAAACTTTGTCACTATTATACGAAATGGCTTAAAGTTTAAACCAGAGGATCTCGAGGACGAACCTACCTGGGTTCCAAAGGACAAGTTGCCTTCAACATTGTACAAACACAACAAGTTCAAATCGCAATTTCAAAAATGCATTTTGACAATTTTGTCTTATCCATTGTCTTCACCACAATACAAATCAATTTTGTTAATTCTACATAAACGTATCATTCCTTACATGTCGCAACCACAAGGCTTAATGGATTTCTTAACAGACGCTTACAATTTACAGGATGACTTGATTATACCAATATTGTCGCTCAACTCATTGTATGAATTGATAAAGAACTACAATTTGGAATACCCTGACTTTTACGCAAAATTATACTCCTTGTTAAGACCCGAATTATTCTACACAAGGTATAGATCAAGATTCTTTCGTTTATGTGATTTGTTCTTGTCGTCAACACATTTGTCTGCAAGTTTAGTGGCTTCGTTCATAAAGAAGCTAGCTAGATTGGCATTAACATCTAGTGCATCGGGTGTGGTCATTATCATACCATTCATTTACAACTTGTTGAAAAGACACCCAACTTGTATGATAATGTTGCACAATACAGATGAGTCACAACTAGGAGACCCATTTGAAAACCTTGAGACAAACCCTTTGAACACAAAGGCTATTGAGTCCTCACTATGGGAATTGGAAACGTTGATGGGTCACTATCATCCAAACATTGCCACTTTGGCTAGAATATTTGGCGAGCCATTTAGGAAGCCAAACTATAACATGGAAGACTTTTTGGACTGGAGTTATCAGAGCTTAATGGAGACAGAAAAGTCCCGTAGATACAAAAACCAAGCTGCTTTGGAATTTGAAAGCTTTGACAGTGTTTTGGCAGAGAATGGCAAAGAGGGGAATATTTTGTTAGACGGCTGGAGTTTATAGAAGTATGTTATTTAATTGCATTTGGTCAGTATAGAAGAAGATTGTAGAGGAGTAGAGCTACCACTACCAATCGAAGCTTTCTCAGCATACCCTACTACCTTAACAACATGCAAAATTCGTGTACTTTGGTTTGTAAACTAATTTTGTACGTTTACCATATTTTAATTTAACCGTTTTGGGATATTTAATGAAACGCGTGTGGAAGACAAAAAGCTGTTGCGCGTGTATTGTGTCTCTCTCCCATGAAAAAATTATTTCCATTCATTTTCTTTTTGCAAATAAAAAAAAAATTTAGACACTTCTCTTGAATCTCTACCCATTCTTCTTTTTTCCTTCGTTAATCAACTAGTCAGTCATGGATGATACTACCCAGTTCGACGAACAACCTTTAGATGCTGTCTTTGGTGACAGAGTTAGAAGATTTCAAGAGTTTTTAGACAGAATAGATGCAAACACTGGTGTTGATTATAGAGCCCAAATAAGAGACTTGATAATTAAGGGCAAATACAGATTAAATGTTTCAATTGACCAGGTTAGAGATTTTGACAGAGAGTTTTGGCAAGGGTTATTAAACCAACCGGCTGATTATTTACCTGCGTGTGAGCGTGCTTTAAGAGATACAGTGTTGACAATTTACGACCCTAGCGATTCATCATTCCCAAGCGATTTTGATACTAATCAACAATATTATTTGAGTTTTAAAGGAGCTTTTGGTAGTCATTCAATCACTCCTAGATCGATAGACTCAAACTACTTATCAAAAATGGTTTCAATTGAAGGTATTGTTACTAGAGCTTCCTTGGTTCGTCCAAAAGTTATTAGATCGGTGCAATATGCTGACGCTACTGGTAGGTTTTATGCAAGAGAATACAGGGACCAGACCACTTCTTTTGACGCTATTTCAACTCCCCCAATCTACCCCACTGAAGATATGGATGGTAACAAGTTGACTACTGAGTATGGTTACTCGACGTATAAAGACCACCAAAAAATATCTGTCCAAGAAATGCCAGAGACTGCGCCAGCTGGTCAATTACCCAGATCCGTGGATGTTATCTTAGATGACGACTTGGTTGACCTTACAAAACCTGGAGACCGTGTTCAAATTGTTGGAGTTTATCGTGCTTTGGGTGGTGGTGTCAATAACAATTCATCATTCAAGACGGTGATCTTGGGTAACTCGGTATACCCATTACACGCAAGATCAACAGGTGTTGCCTCCCAAGAGAAAATCACCGATCATGACATTAGAAACATTAACAAGCTTTCCAAAGACAAGAAAATATTTGACATCTTGTCTCAGTCATTAGCGCCCTCGATTTATGGGTTTGAGCATATCAAGAAAGCTGTTTTGTTGATGATGATGGGAGGGGTGGAAAAGAATTTAGACAATGGTACCCATTTGAGAGGAGACATCAATATCTTGATGGTTGGTGATCCTTCAACTGCTAAATCTCAAATATTGAGATTTGTTTTGAACACCGCCTCATTGGCCATTGCAACAACTGGTAGAGGATCCTCTGGTGTTGGTTTAACTGCTGCAGTCACCACTGACAAAGAAACTGGTGAAAGAAGATTAGAAGCAGGTGCAATGGTTCTAGCAGACAGAGGAATAGTATGCATTGATGAATTTGATAAAATGTCAGATTCAGATAGGGTGGCTATTCATGAAGTTATGGAACAGCAAACCGTAACTATTGCCAAAGCCGGTATCCACACCTCCTTGAATGCTCGTTGTTCTGTCGTTGCCGCAGCTAACCCCGTATTTGGCCAATATGATGTGCACAAAGATCCCCATAAGAACATCGCCTTACCAGATTCGCTATTGTCTCGTTTCGATTTATTGTTTGTTGTCACCGATGATGTAAACCCAACCAAAGACCGGGTCATTTCGGAGCATGTGTTGAGAATGCACAGGTTCGTACCTCCAGGAATGATGGAAGGGGAACCAATAAGAGAAAAATCAAGTGTGACATTAGCAGTTGGGGATGACGAGGTGAATGAACAAGAATTGTTGGAACAGCCCGTTTTTGAAAAATTTAACGCGTTATTACATGCTGGTGTTGCAAGAAATTCCAAAAAGTCACCTACCATTTTGTCGATACCATTCTTGAAAAAGTACATCCAATATGCCAAGCAGAGAATCAAGCCTGTGTTGACAAAGAGTGCATCCGATTATATTGTTACCACTTACTCCTCGTTAAGAAACGACTTGATTGGAAACAACCAAAGAAACACAGCTCCAATAACTGCAAGAACTTTGGAAACGTTGATCCGTTTGGCTTCGGCCCATGCCAAGGTGAGGTTATCCAAAAGTGTGGAGGTCAAAGATGCTAAAGTAGCCGAGGAGATGTTGAGGTATGCTTTGTTTAAGGAAATTCCCAAGAAGCAAAAGAAGAGAAGAACTGTTGCTGAAACTTTTGATTCAGAGCTGGAATCTGAAGAAGACTCAGAAGAAGGGGAAGGAGAAGAAGACGAGGTGGCGGGAACAAGGCCAAGTACGAGAAGAACCAGGTTGAGGGAACAACAACAACAACAGCAGCAGCAGCAACAACAAAGGACTCCAGATACCACACCAGAGCCACCATTGGGACAGCAAGATAATGATGGTGATGCTGAAGAAGTTGGTGAAGAGTTGGAGCAATTCCACATAACACCGGAAAATGAACAGCAACAGCTGCCTGTCCCTGACGAATCAAGCTCCACCTCGCATCATCCACTAGGTGATAGAGCAACAAACACAGAACAAACATCCAGGTTAAGTTCAGAGAGATTCCAAACGTTCCGCAGAGTACTTCAAAAAGTTATTCGTTCAGATGTGTTTACTGGTCCTGAATCCCAACGTATAGCCCCTATTGAAAATGTTGTTAGGGCTATAAATGAGGAAATGGCACAGGAGGAGAAATTCACAGAGTCTGAAATTGAAACTGGACTCGAGAAGATGCAAGAGGATAACAAAATCTTCCTTGCCGAAGGAAAAGTGTGGACGATGTAGTTTATGGGTAATTTTGGGTTTTTTCAAGTTTGTATTATTATAAGTGTATTAAACAGTAGTCAGTAACAGCTAATGGATATAATCCTCAATACCGGGGTCTTTATTTGCAATGGGTGACCTTATTTATAGTAGTTTTGCAACCCCTCTTCCTTTCATAGTTCCTTTTAGCTGTTTGATGTAATGGTAGCGCCAATAAAAACGAAACAAAAAAGCACAACTTAGAAACAGAGAAAGCAATCTGCTTACAACACAATACAAATACAATTGATGATGGCTCTCGCATCGGATGAGTCGGCTGACAGAGGAAACGAATTAACTGACACATCGAGTGGTAAAACGTTTGAAAGGTCCTCCTCCCCAGGGAAAATTGAAAAGCGAAAGAAGAAAAAAAGAAAGAACAAAAAGAAGAGTAGGTTGGCTCTTGATAATAACGAACAAAATGTACCCCAAGATCACTACGAAGGCCAGGAAGATGCGATATATGAGGGGGAAATAGACTACAATGAATATCTGTACAATGGTGAATTGTTGATGCATACATATTATACATTACCATCATCAGTGCAAAAATTCTGGAGTCGAAGATACGAATTGTTTACCAAATATGACGAAGGGATATACCTCTCAGCAGAGCTATGGTACAGTGTAACACCTGAAACGATTGCTAAATACATTGCACAATTATTTGTGAAAATTCTTCCTCCAGAAGCAAACTATGGGTTAGATGTATGCTGCGGAGGAGGTGGTAATATGATTCAATTTGCCCAGTTCTTTGATTCAGTAGGAGGAATAGAAATTAATGGCACAAATTTATACTGTGCTGAACATAATGCCGAAGTATATGGCGTCCAAGATAAAACATGGACAGTGCAAGCCGATTGGAGGCAGATTACACAACTTCAAGAGAATCATGAAGTGAATTACGATTGGATACCGCAACATGTACGTGAATCAAGAAAAGATGTACCACCTAACCGAATATTTGATTTTATATTTAGTTCACCACCTTGGGGTGGTACGAATTACGACAGGAACGAATTTAATTTATATGCCATGCAACCGTTCAACATCACCGAGCTTTTACAAACAATGACCCGGTATTCAGATAACGTTGGGTTGTTTTTGCCTAAGCTGTCAAGTTTAATGCAATTGAGTTTGGCTACGAAGGAGGTATACGGGGATTACAAAAAGTGCAGAGCAGTCTACATAAATTCCAAAGGTCGATGCATTGCCTTATTGGCATTATTTGGTGACTGCTTTACAGCAAAATTTGATGAGTTGGATGATATTAGCGAAGAGGCGTTAATAGGGACAACACCTGAGGCAACTGCTCAGGATGACAGGAGTGAGGCAGACGGAACAGAAAGTAAAAGACTGAATGATGTTACGGATATTATAGAAGAAGCTGATGAGGAGGGATTTATCTTGGGTAGTAGCTCAGAAGAAGTGGAATCAGATATAGGTTAAGACCACTTTAGACATTTTTATAGCTTGGTATTAGAGCTTTTCTCGGTAGCGCATGTCACAATTATCAAGAGACTTCTTTTTTAAAATTTTCTACAATTCCCTTTTTAGTTGGGAGACATAAACGATAAAGTCACAACATAGCAATCATTTGCCGACATTTTTGCAACTTCATATATTAGACGACACTCAGTGACTGCAAAATCAAACATACATAGACACAAAATCCAATAAAGTTGCTTGCCTCTTTCAAATGAACCCATCTTCGCATATTCGCACAAATGAACTGAGTTCGTCCGTTTTGGAAACCAAGATTGATAGATTGGCCAGCCAATTAAACAAAATTGAAAATGAGCGCGTAGTTTCATTACAGCGTGAAGTGGCTATATTGAGACAATTACTTGACTTTCAAAATGCTAAGTTGGATAAAGTCACATCGTTGTTGACAGGGTTTGTGGCGCAGTTGATGAACCGAAAGGGCAAAGTGTTGGATGAGGATGAAGTTGATCTGGAATTGATTCCTCAAGGTGACTCATCGGAAGCCGAGGATGATGACGAGTCGGTATTGCGATCAATACGTGCTTTTCAGGAGAGTGTCAATGTGAGTGATTTACAAAGACCCAACATGCAACAACAAATCAACCATCACATGAACCATTTGCACCCACAGCCCAACCTGACTCATCAAATACTCATTGACCAAAATAGAGCCTCCTTACAACGTATCCAACAGCAGCAGCAACAACAGCTGGCGCATCACCAAGCTCAAGGAACCACTTCTGGGCAAGTTGGTCGAACTGCAGATAATAATATGGACCCCGAGTTGCATCATGTATCAGCTGTGGTAACAGACCAGCGAGAAAGTAGGCTGACTCGACATGCTGGTAGACACCAACGGCAACACACTCGAACGTCACAACAAGCACACCAAGACCTGCCGGCTAAGACAAAAAAAAGGGGACAAAAGAGGAAAAGAGGCGGACAGGGAGATGATGTAAACCAATTGCTTGATGAGGAGCCTGTTCCATCGAAAGTCCCAACCCAAGATGCAAATCTGGGAAAGAAAATTCACGTCGAGTTTATTCACAATCCTACAACAGTTCGTGAAATATACGACGAGTTTTATAAAGGATACAAAGGTCAAGAACCTCTTTGTCAAATGGATGCCATATACGGCAAGAATAATTGGAGGGGCGATTCAAGGTCAAAAGAAAGTAAACGATTTCAAAGAAGAAAACGATTATGCGATGCTATAAAGAGAGGCAGCTACAAGTATAATAAACTGGACGACGAAATGATTGATTACTTGGAAAGCTATCGTAAAGAAAAGTCATTGACTTGGATTATGAATGGACATATTCCAGCTGATCTTCTAGAATGAGATGGTAGATTAGGTAAATACATTTGTGAAAAGTGAGACGTAATTAAATTGAAATATTAGGGAACAACGGTTGAAGAAAAGTTCTGGGTTGTTCTCTGTATAATGAAATAGCACTTATAAACCGAGCTCTTCCCTCTGATTCTTCAACCGAGGTGCGTGACAAACTAGGAAGAGAAATTTCGGATTGCTACTTTTTGGCGGCAATTTCTAGCAAATCTAGAATAGAAAAGAAAAAATTTGAACTTATTGACATCCTTGTCGTTTCCATAGCATAAAGTAGTGAATCAGTATACTGACTACATATTTCCTGAAACTTAATGCTATCATTCTCGTCTTGTCTTGTCTTACTAAACTACTCATCATAGGAACAATCTAGACCATTTTGCAACAGGTAGTGCTTGTGGCGAAAAAAATAGAAAAGATATTTGGTTATTTAATTTTTTCTATGACATTCTATGATGGTTCCACAGAGCTACCAAGTTGCTGCGACATTTAACAGAGAATGACGTTTTATACTGACTGTACCCAAACACACACAAACAAAAAATTTTCTCTCACTTCTTTATATATATTTAAAAACAAAAGAAAAGTTTTCCAATCCTTTTCCCGTTGAGTTGAATAAAATTTTCCCTTTCTTTGTATTGAATTACACAACTGTGAAAGTTTAGACACATCCACATTCACAAATAAAAGTACTACATAGAAACAATGTTGTCTGCTAGAAGTTCGTTGAGAAATGTTGCTCGTCAATTACCTGCCACCAGCAGATTTGCTGCTGTTCGTGCGCAATCCACAGCAGCTGCTCCAACTGGTCCTGTCATTGGTATTGACTTGGGTACCACTAACTCAGCTGTCGCTGTTATGGAAGGTAAGACCCCAAAGATTTTAGAAAACTCCGAAGGTGGAAGAACTACTCCTTCTATTGTTGCCTTCACCAAAGATGGTGAAAGATTGGTTGGTATTCCAGCCAAACGTCAAGCTGTTGTCAACCCAGAAAACACTTTGTTTGCCACCAAGCGTTTGATTGGTCGTAGATATGACGATAAAGAAGTTCAAAGAGATATCAACCAAGTTCCTTACAAGATCACTAAGCACGGAAATGGTGATGCTTGGTTGGAAGCTAGAGGTGAACAATACTCACCACAACAAATTGGTGGTTTCATTTTGAACAAGATGAAGGAAACCGCTGAAGCTGCTTTGAGCAAGAAGATCAACAGTGCTGTTGTCACCTGTCCAGCCTACTTTAACGATGCCCAAAGACAAGCTACTAAGGACGCGGGTAAGATTGTTGGGTTAAACGTTTTGAGAGTTGTTAACGAACCAACTGCCGCTGCCTTGGCCTATGGTTTGGAAAAGAAGGATGGTGAAGTTGTTGCAGTTTTTGATTTGGGTGGTGGTACTTTTGATATCTCCATCTTGGATATCGGTGCTGGTGTTTTCGAAGTCAAGTCAACCAATGGTGACACCCACTTGGGTGGTGAAGATTTCGACATTGCTTTGGTTAGAAACATTGTTGAAACATTCAAGAAAGAAAGCGGTATTGATTTAGAAAAAGATAGAATGGCCATTCAACGTATTAGAGAAGCTGCTGAAAAAGCCAAGATTGAATTGTCCTCAACCGTCTCCACCGACATCAACTTGCCATTCATCACCGCTGATGCATCTGGTCCAAAACACATCAACCAAAAGATCACTAGAGCTCAATTCGAGCAATTGGTTGAGCCATTGGTTAAAAAGACTATTGAACCATGTAAGAAGGCCTTGAAAGATGCCGGATTATCCACCTCAGATATTTCCGAAGTTATTTTGGTTGGTGGTATGTCGAGAATGCCAAAGGTTGTTGAAACTGTCAAGTCCATTTTTGGCAAACAACCATCCAAGGCTGTTAACCCAGATGAAGCTGTTGCTTTGGGTGCTGCCATCCAAGGTGGTATCTTGGCGGGTGAAGTCAAGGATGTCGTTTTGTTGGATGTCACTCCATTGTCCTTGGGTATTGAAACCATGGGTGGTGTTTTTGCCAGATTGATTTCTAGAAACACTACCATCCCAGCAAAGAAGTCACAAATCTTCTCAACTGCATCTGCCGGTCAAACCTCGGTTGAAATTAGAGTCTTCCAAGGTGAAAGAGAATTGACTAGAGACAACAAATTGATTGGTAACTTTACCTTGTCTGGTATCCCACCAGCACCAAAGGGTGTTCCACAAATCGAAGTCACTTTTGACATTGACACCGATGGTATCATCAAGGTCTCTGCTCGTGATAAGGCTTCTAACAAGGATGCTTCCATCACTGTTGCTGGATCATCTGGTTTATCTGATGCCGAAATTGAAAAGATGGTCAATGATGCTGAGAAATACGCTGAGTCTGATAAGACCAAGAGAGAAGCTATCGAAGCTGCCAACAGAGCCGATCAATTGTGTAATGACACTGAAAACTCTTTGAATGAACACAAGGAGAAATTGTCAACCGAAGCTGTTGATAAAGTCAAGGAATACATTGAAAGATTGAGAGAAATTGTCTTGAAGGCACAAGCTGGTGAAGAAGTTGCTGCTGAAGATTTGAAAGCCAAGACTGAAGAATTGCAAAATGCTGCTATTGATCTTTTCAAAGATTTGTACAAAGACGGTGGTGAACAATCATCATCTGAAGAAAAGAAGGAATAGATCGACTAAGGATTTAGCACAATATAGATTTTAAGTCTATATTGTTTCTATTCAATTATGATGATTACGTTCGTACCCCACTACCTTTTGTTTTTTTACAATTTGCTTTCTTGTCTATGACTTTCAAGAGGTATCTTACAGGACTAGTTTTTTATCAATTCCGTTGTACATAGTTTTAAAATTTTCCATCAAAAGGTATGCATTATATATATATATATGTGTGTGTATATTACAGTTGGTAAAATAAAGAATGATAATAAAAGTTTACAATGTAGAGTGTGGTTGCTATTTTGGGTTAGTTTTGACGAGGTTTGGTGATTCCATCATGTATAAAGTAATAAACTATTGTACCATCATCGTTGATCAATGCTATTGTTATCCTATCTACTCTTCCTTTGCCATTTGTGGTCTTGTCAATGGGCTTCCATTTAGAGAAAGGGGAGGAAGGGCTGAAATAGTTGCTATGGGATAATCTGTTGCTATTCGGTTCACTTGAAACAGCATTTCGATCGCCATTATCCAGTTCGTTAGTGTTGCCGTTTATGCCTAGACTTTGCAAATCATCTTTACTTTGAACATCCAGTTGAGAATCAATGTTTTGCTTTATATCTCCACCATTCTCCTCTACCCCACTTGTGAAGTGCTTTATTTCTTCAAACCATGAATTGATTTCCTTTACTTTCAATTTACTATTTTCATTCAATCGTTTGCATACAATCCATTCACGTTTGGTGTTGGGGTCAGTTGCGACTAATTTTGTTTGTGGTAAGCCACTTAGTATATATTCGTTGTGCAGTTTGACTTGAGTCCATAGATTGTAGTGTATGAGATTTAGCCGTACTTGGTCAGTTATCGATGATGTAAACGACAGTGTAGTCATTTGTGGTGTATCGGTTATGTTTAGAAGTAAGAAACTTGAAGTTTTTCCTCTTCGCAAAGTAGTGAAGTACGGAGTCATTGTTCCAGCTGCACGTGATAAAAAAGGAAACGTCCATTGTTTCTTTCTACAATAACAGAAGTTTTTGTGAAGATAATAGTCAAACCAGAATTCACTGATAATTTTCAAGGAATTCAATGCCGGTATTGGGATCGTACTCGGCTCATTGTCTTTGGTGCGGCCATCATAAAATTGTTATAGTGACAGATATTACACTTTCTCTTGACTTGACATTTTCGTAGAAGTATTATTCCCTCAATATAATGTTGCGTCTTATCATCAAGAGTGGAGCTCACATGCAACAATGATGAGGTCACCATGCCAGGAGGAAATTGATAAGAGGTGCCACTATTGTCTTAGTTTCTGCTATTGTTTGGCATGGGGGTTAATTCAATGAACAATAGACTAAAAATAGCAGAACATATGAGAGGAGAACAACAAATCAACAATGCAATTTCACCAAATGGATTACTCCAGTTTAAAGTCAACTACTGCATTAGGTTTCTTAATTTGAATGAGACCAAAAGGGGGAATGGAAAACGTGTTTAGTTTAGTTCAGTGGTGTCCATTAAGTATTGTGTGTAGTCTTTGTGTATTTGGATGTGTGTGCAACTTGGCCAAAATAGTTTTAGGCTAAAGTATCAAAGACAATCAAATCCAAATGTAATGGAAATATGTCCTAACGCTTCTAGCTCATCTTTCAGTTTGCTCGATGCTTTTTACTGGCGTCTGCTATCGTCCATCCATGCAAGTCGAAAATCATCCCCTGCCATGCGCCACAGCAAAGGGGTATAATAATCTGCATTTGTGAATACATATCCGCGGAAATGCACATCAGACACATTCATAACCTTTGGCATTTAACTTTGGTGCCGTATGGTTAGTAGCCAAAAGTCTATTGTGTACCGACACGACTGAGCTTTTTGTTGAACCTGATGAATTGTCTTCACATAATGTCCATTCTTTCAACAGCAAGCTTTCTTTCTTTTTCGACAAATTGTGTTTTTTTTTAATTCCTTTTGTTTGCTTCTTAATAAGGTAAGAAGAAGGAGAACTGTCAGTTTTGTACCTCTTTTTATATAAAGATTAGTTAGATCGCATTAGACCTGCAATTAGACGCCTTTTTCAATCTAAACTTCTCTTCAACAAGATACGAGTAGAAGTCGATGATTCTAGAAAAAAAAATTGTTGTTACTTTCAGAAGACAGATATAGCACAGCCTTTGACATACACAGACCAAATTGTGATACTAAATGTTTGGCCATGGAAGGATATGTGAAAGACTGACAACTCTTGCTGGTAAGACAAGTTGGTTTGAAACAACCAGTTCTTTGAGTATCGGTTAAAGTAACCTACCATTATGAAAAGAGTGTGATAAAGAGTTTGCAGAACTGAGACAATAGGCAATGTGATCAGCTGCGAATCCAAAGTAGTTAAGCTAAGAAGAGTGATTGTGAGGGGGAGGCCGGTGTGTCCTTCTTACATCTGCACCACAATTACTTGTCTATTATATTGTTTGAAATCTCCCTCAACCTCCCCCCCTTTCGAGTTTGTGAAGCTAGTTTAATTTTGGCTTGAAAACTTTGTGGACACCTACTTTAGTCTTGTCTCTAGGGCAATTAATTTGCTTCAGCATCCGGATCAGTAAGGTGTAATCAATGCCATGCTTACGCGCGCCATCGTCTCATCGATACACCAAGTACGGGGCAAATAACGTCGGTACATGCAGAAATTGCAGATCTGATCCCGACCACAAACGTTTCGTAGACGGGAAGAATGGGTAAATGCCATTAATCTTTGTGAATCATTTGCAAGGTTGGTTTGTTGGTTGTTGGAAGGAACACAAAACGAGTACAGCTATAAGGGTTTCAGGAAATATAATTGGCTGTTGACGAATGTATTTTGTGTTGCAAATGTTTGCTTGGTTTCATTAGAAAAGAAAAAGAGGAAAAAGAACAATAGGGAGATTTGATGAGGTGTTTTTTATAATCAGTTCATAAAATTTAATTCATTGTACATTTCGTCAGAGGCTTAAAAAATAGGTCCATCGATGGAAGCGGAAATTTCCAGTTAGTTAGTATCTGCTATTTTGGCAAACCAAGAAGGGTAAATTAAGAGGTTTTCCCCCTCCTTCTTTCCTTCTGTCGCTCTCCCCAACAAGTAAAGAGATGCGTTTTAATTTGCTACCCTTTTGGTGCATTTTCTTTTTTGTGTGTGGGTTATAAATATTCTTTTTTAAGAAATTACACACAACACAACACAAAATCCATACAAAGAGAAGGAAAGAGTTAACGTTTTTATAATTCCCAAACAATTGTTGTTGTTGAAAACCCTAAACAATCGGAATGGGGGTGTGCATGCATTAAGTAACAATGAATTCAGAATAAGCACCACAGAAGAACCTCTCTTTTCCCTCCAACAAAGTATATACTACTAAGTAAAACCTCCTATTGTGTGGTGGTGTCAAAAAAGAAATTTTAACTTCGAGACCAAAGCGCTTGATTCAAAAAGGCGTGAAAAAGGATGTTTTCCAATCGTGTAATATATCTATATATATAACACAATGCACATAATTTAAATTGATTTAGTCTTCTTTGACACTCGTCTCTGTCCTTCATTTTAAACAAAACTATAAATTACAAACCATTTCCATTCTTTATTTTTTTAAAAAAAAATCACACCACTTCTGCATTAACCAAAACCCCATCAGAACCTAAAGTTTACTTGCATTTTTTCAAACTTTAGCGTGTTCTTAATTCCAGATCAGCCAAGTTAAACAATAAAATCAAAACCGCTGCTTCAAATTATTCTGCAATAGGAACAATTCCAACGGTTTATTTTTCAAGAGCTACTGTCGCATTATAACCTTTTTGCATATTGAAAGCTTTTTTTAAGTCTGTTGCATACAGCCAACTCGTTTAACGCTTTGAATTTAGACGATACGGCGTTTCTGATCCTTCTTTGGTATTCAATTCCGTTTTCACCACTCCTAGAGGTACATTTTTTTTATTTTTTAATCGACTTGCGTTCCCGTATTACTTGAAAGACGTATATTACATATTGCTGCTACACTAACAGAGATCATAAATCTAATCTGGGTATTGCTATTGTTAAAATTTTCATTCGGCTATATTTATTCAAAACTATAAAAGAATTATAATTGTTCCAAATATTTTCAACTTGAAAGGATGCCGCCATCAGTAATATCACGAGGCTCCGCTTCAGATTATAACGTTACAGTCCCCATCTATCGCAAGTCTAAATTAGGATTTGCTTCAAATACCCCTGATCTGGCTTCAGCTGCAGACAACAGAAGCCTAACCAGTGAGTCTACTTCTTTGTACACAGTCCCTTCAAGAACAACCGTTGCAACTGCTCAAAACTCAGAAAAGGAAGAACATACATTCAATTTACCAACTGATTTGAGCGACAATTTAGCATTCAATTTACAGACAGCTTACCAATTAGCTCCACAAGAAACAAATACATCAATGGACCAATACAATCTAGAAGTACCTGATCGGTATCGATTCAAGCTTCAATTCACCAAACATGAGATTGAGATGTTAAGATATACATGGAACAAGATGTTGTTGGAGGAGAATAAAGCTTCCAGTAATATGCCAGGAGGTTTTAACAGTAATAACGGACCGAAGAGAAATGTTTCCAAAAGTCTGACTGCTCCACGACAAACAACAACATCTCTGATGGCATCATCATTGTTCTGCCGTCAATTATACTCCAATTTGCTAACACTTGCTCCTGAGTTGGAGTTGTTGTGGCCATCACTTAGACACCAAGCTGTCAGCTTTGCCCAAGTAATGCAAATGACAATAGCGCATTTGGAAGATTTATCAGTTTTGGATTCATTTTTTGAAAAATTGGGTAAAAGCCACGCCAGAATATTTGGTATTGAACCACCAGCTTATGAAATTATGGGCGAAGCTTTGATACAAACTTTTAATGAACGTTTTGGGACCAGATTCACCATTGAATTGGAAGTTTTGTGGATCAAATTGTTTCTATATATGGCTAATTCAATCCTTCAATTTGGATTAGACCCGGTACTTCGTTTACAAAGAACTGAAAGTAGACAATCGTCTGTTTCTATTGTCAATCAATCAAGTGCATCGGCTAGTGTTTTGGCAGCTGATGCTGATATAAATTCTGTATTTGAGAGGAAGTCCATATCAACAAATGCAACTTCAGTAGTGGAAGACTTAGCACAACCTCCCAAAATTGATGGTAAACCCAAGTCTCGCTTTTCGAGTCATCGTGGAAGCGTCAGTTATAATGGTGATTTAGGATCGGTGTTGGAGAAAAAGAAGCATGGTGAAGTTCAAGACCCAAAAAAGAAGAGTAAACTAGGTAGGTTGAAGAAAAAGGGAGACTGTGTGATTATGTAGTTCTGGTGCTGGCGTTAGTAGATACAATCCTTCAATCAATTACTGTATTTATCTTTACTGTTAATAAATGGGTAAGCTGGGTGGTTGTTCACGTGATTCGCACGTATTGATTGGGGTAATTGAGAATTTGAGACAGACGCGTGTGTCTAAAATCCTTTTCTTACACAAAGTCGTGAACAAAATTCTCCTCCGTAACAGGTTGAACAATAGAGCAACGAGATAAACCCCTTAAAATTCACGGGGGTTAGAGACAGGAAGATGGGGAAAGGTTGAAAAGAATGCAGTGCAATCTGCTATGGAACATATGCGTCTTCTTCTTCATGTATATTGGATCTTTAACTTGAGGAGTTGTGATGGTGTCTTCTTTATTGTATCGTAAAATGTGTGTCTGTCTGTTTGATTTCCTAATCGGGTTTAATTACTGACGCCAGTAACGAAAAATTTTTTTTAAGAAAAAAACTAAATGCAGACAAAATATTAAAATCGCAAGGGAGGAGTTAGCCATCTAATACGTCTATATCTAAATGGGGTGATACTAGATCCGGTGCCGTAAGTCAATGAATACATCTTATACAGAATAAACCCTCATCTACAGTATATAGCCGCTCAAATTGATGGTTCTGGATATGTCAAATCGGATCTTTCTCGTGTCTGAAATAAATTTTCTATTTTTATTTTTATATCTCCTACTTTTTTATTTTTAATTTTTTATTTTTGACCTTAAATTTTTTTAAATTTAAATTTGTTTTATCCAAAAAGAGTCCTTGTTGTAACAAAAGAATATCAAAAAAATTTAGAATACTTTTGACAACCAGGTATCCATAGGAATCATTCATCTACTAGGATAACTCGTTGTTTCTGCCAGCATAGCATAGTTCAGAAATTACTCCGGTACATTGTATTCTGGTTCAACTTAATTAATTATCGCAGCAAACTACCCTACTTGGACTTGGACTTTCAGATTTGCATTAAAACATAGAGCAATACTTTCCTTGTCACGTATTAATCCAACATAACACAGCATCAAAGTACACCTCAGTCATACCTTGTTAATCTGCATCTTTTAATACCAACAGCCATGTCCAATTCAGAACCATCCACTGATTTTGACGAGTTCTTTTCAGAAAACAACTTCTATTCAGCACCCAGCAACAACAGCTCCAACCATATCAATAAACTTCGAAGCTCGGTACAGATCCCTAACTCACTAAGCTCTAGAAGTATTAAAGATGGCTTGAGGGTGGACAATGAGCTTTTAACCCAGAAATTATCCAGTTCCACCAGCCGCACTTCAATTATCAAGTCATCTCCTAGTTTAAAGGCTTTGGAAAGCATTCTTAATGAGAAGAGTAAAAATAGGTCACCGGGCACACTTGCTCAACTGGTTACTGAAGAGGAAGAGGAAGAGGAGGAGGGAGAGCAAGACGAAGCGGAAGAGAAACAATTCGGAGACGATGAAGAGGAAGAACTAAAGCACCACGACCCTTTAGATATCAAGAATAAATACAGCCCTGAGAGGTTATCTGCACCGGTTAACTATAGAAGTTACAATGCGACCCTGGAAACGGTCAATTCGGGGCAAACATTTGAGACTGCTGATGAAGCAATCGGAAATGAGTATCAATATGCCAATAAATCAAGTAATAAACGGGCTTCAAACATCTCACATAAGGCCAAATCGTCCATTTCAACAATAAGCGGGAGTGGATACAGCACCGATGATACTCCTATCTTAGGCCAACCACCTACTTTTCAAAATTTCACTCAACATAATTTTGATTCCCCGCAGTTGAAAGTTATTGAGACCGGTGCCCAACACAAACTGGGGTCCAAAGATGATACCCTAATCAATGATACTACGGAGTCGCAAATGAATGACATTACTGAAGAAACTGTTAGCGTTGACTTGCCGGAACCAAAAGTTCACAAAAATTCTTTCGGAGATGGCGCAAAGGAGAGAAATAAAAAAGCCCAGAATAATAATAATTTTAGTAACACAACAAATAATTTCAGTTTAGACAAAAGGGATAAAAAGTTAGATCATTTCTCCAATTCACCGATTGTTGAGTCTCCAACTGAGCAAAGGGGTGGCAAGCTGGATAGATATCAACACCAACTCCAGCAATCACATAATAAATCGAGCCGAAATTTCAAGAGCGCGTTTGCACCATTATCTAAGCCGGCAATTCCACCACAAAATAATAATTCTAACAATAGTAATTTGCAGAAGAAATTTTCAGCCGACGCAACGAATTTTGGAAATCAACCCTCAGCAGCCAAGCCACAGGATTTCAACCCTGATATGAATTATGAACCTTATACTAATAAGAAGCCAAATTCAAAAGAACCCAAGAAAGGAGATATAAAACAACCAAGTATGTTGTCTGTCTTATCTCCGAATGAGCAAAATTTGCAAAATGAGGGAAGGAAGAATCTTGCACCCAACCAACCGCAGCAAACTGTTTCATCTCAAAACAAGTCTCAACCAGCAGCACCCACAACGCCAACACAGAGGTCGCCTCATTTACGATCAAATTCGACATTTTCTTTGAATTTTAATAAAAAGACACCTCGCGATGACAATAAGCCACAATTGCTACACAAGAGAAGCTCGACAATGGATGATTTGAACAAAGTGTCCAATGGACATATTCAAGATGCCCCTGCGGAGAAGAAGAAGTTTAGTTTTAGATCGCTTTTCAAGTCAAAGTCCAAAAGCCATGAGTTGAATAAGGCCCCAGAGTCAAGTGATACCCGAGCAGTTAAAGCGGCTGGAAAATCATATTCAACAACTAATATCCCATTATATCGTCCAGAAGAGTCGGGAACTACCAAGGATGCGAATAGGACAGATTTACTGCTTCCACCATTAACAAAGACCAAGTCGAACATATCGATTATGAGTGTTTTCAAAAAGAACAAATCATCAGACAAACTTCACAGTTTGGGAAAGACTGAGGCCGCAGGTAAGGACAAGACTAAAGCAGAGACTGCCATAGATTCAGAAGCACCCGGTGCAGGTGCTACGGCAAACGACCGCGCAGGAGAGGAATCGGACGGTTCTCCTGTATTGCTTGATGAAAGATTTGCACCACTACAATCACAAGCACCAAGTAAAGCAGTTGCTACTCCCGGCTCTGTAAATTTTATACGTGAAGTCAGCGACAGCAATCTTGCATTTGGTGCAATCAAGCCAGCCTCGGAGAGTAGTGATACTGAGCTGGATCAATTTGAAGATGCCGATGAGGATGCCAATGAAGATGACGAAGAAGAAAATGACGACAAGCTCTCATTCGATCCATCAGCAGATGAAAAATTTGATGTGTATGATTCCAAAAACTTGCAAGCAAATCCGCCGGTGCAAAGGTTATCAAATCATAAACAAGGTGAAGAAATTCTGTTGATTCCACCATTAATTCAAGATACTCAATTTGGATCGCCTTTCAAAGTTGACTATCAAAGCTCACCAGATGCTAAGCGGCCAGGTAGAAATATGGAAGCAAACCCATTGGATAGAAACTCTATTTTTGCCAACTCCGACAATAGCAAACAATTTTCAGCATCGATGTCTCCCTCTGCATCGCCGGTGCCAAAGAGGTATCCTAGCCGTAAAGAGGATAAGAGCTATCAATTGTTGGGAGAATCATTGTTCCCCAGATCGCTTAGTGCGCATGAGGTTGAGAGCATTGTGTCATTGGAAAGATCAAGGTCTTTAAAATCAATCAAGTCGAACAAACGTAGTTCGTTTGTCAATTACGATGGAAGTGATGATAATATTGTCCATTACAGTGGACCCACCTTGTCACCACACAATCCTAGTGGAATCACTAGATCGAGTTCAATATTGAAAAATTCCACCAGTAAACCAAGCAATTTGAGCAAGGAACTTGATCCTCCTTCGATTGATGCAAATATATTGGATGATAATGGTGATGATGAGGGAGCAATGCCTAATTCGAGTTCGGTATACTCCCAAGCCGCAGATGGTTCTTTGATAAAATCTCAATCACTAGCTGCTTCACCACGCCCTGATGAAAATTCTCTTCAGTATAATTTGATGGATACTTCAGATTATAACGAGTTCATGGAGTTTAGTGACTTTATTGATGTTGATAATTTGACATTTAATTATTCGCCTGCTGCTATGGCATCTGCTTCTGCCAGTCCCAGACCGGATGTGAATGGTTCCAACTATGATGTGAATGGTTCCAACTATGATGTGAATGAAAGACTACGGGCAGAAGTGAGTTTACAGGAAAATGAGACTGCAGATGAGATGGTAGACACACCAGATATTCGTGTTGATGATGATGGTGATGAAGAAGAAGAAGGTTCAATGCCGTCTTCTCAACTTGCCCCACCAGTGTTGCGAATTGATACGGTTGATTTTCCAAATGTTACAGCTGATCTTAACTCACCAGCTCCAGCTGTGGTTGAATCGAGGACACCTTCACCTTCTCCACTTTCAATGAAAACTACTGAATCTCCAAAGACTAGTGTGGAGCTTGTTGATGGGTTTGAACATTATGCAAAAGTTAATGATGAATCATTGGCTGGCAATGATGAGGCAACTTTGGGTGACAGTGAGCGTGGAAATGTTCTTGTTGGTGATTCACTGAGCAATGAAGAGAATTATGTTCCGATAGAGGGTGACAAGGGTATTGATGATAATGCCACTGAAGTGATTAAGAGCTCGCCAATTTTGGACAGTGCATACAGGAACACCAAAAAGGGAAAATCCAATTATAATAATCGACCAATATCGATGTCATTCAAAGGGTTGAACAAACCATCCTTTTCGGGTAAGATTGCTCAACATGATTTAAGGAGCAGCGATTCGCATCAATCGTTTACCATTTCATTTAATGATGATCTGTCGTCAGTTGGTGGCGGGTTTGGAACTAGCAGCGACGACGACGACGAGGATGAAGAAGAGAACGAGGAACAGAATGCAACAGTACACGGGGATGAAGAATTGAAATTAATTGACGATCAAATGAACCAAGAGTTTAGCGAGTATGAAAAGGAGAATCTAGTGCCCAATAACAAAACTATTGTTGGTGGGATACAACCACAACACAATACACCATCTGAGCAATATAATTATCATCAACCAGGTAGGAATAAAACACCACCATCGAAATCAAGGTCCAAATTTGGTAAGGAGAATAATAATCAGAATAATTCCGTTGACTCATCAACTGGTTCGTATTCACCTGATTTTAAACTACCATTACCTCCACCACCATTTGGTACCAAGTTTAGTCATAATAAGATCCCGTCGATATCTGACCAATCATCCACCAGTTCGTCGCCTCGATCCTTCACATCCATGTTGGGCAGATGGAAAAGGAGCAACAACAACAACAATAATGCCAACGTGTTGGCACCACGTGTTGCACCTCCACCTCCTGTGCCTACAAAACCATCTGGTGTACGATTCAGCTCAAGAATTATCTTGTATGACACGTATAATGATGATGAATATGACCGTCACCCGGATACTGCTACGTGTAACCAATTGACTCCAATGTTGGCACAACAAATTAAAGAGGAGATGAATATGATCAAGAGTGAAATGGATGTTCATGTTGAAAGTCGTTGTTATACTCAGTTTTTCTAGATATGAGAGGGGAATTATAAAAGAGTTGCGAGTTTATGAGGATAAAGGAAGGTGAACTTCAATAATGGTTAAATATATATAAATAGAGATATATTTAATAGTGTAAAATCTAATGGATTTAGATGTTTATTTGCATTTAGTATTATTTCATTTTGATAATTTGTAAATGGGCATCGGGACATCCTAACACTAGTATTACCGATTGAGGTACTTGAAATTGACTTTCACTTGCAACATCATATAAATAAATACTGACACACATGCGACTCAAGGGACATCAAGCAATCGCCCCTGGTACTGGCATTGTTGCTATAGCTCCTACTGTTGCTGCTGTTGCTGTTGTTTAGCATGTGTTTCCTTGGCACTGGAGAAAATAATATCCAACACTTTATTATCATTCGGGTCAATATGTGCCACAATATAATCATTTTGTTCCAAATCAACAATGACATAACGTTGTGAATCTGGCTGGAAATCGACACAGGTAGTGTCGGCCCATTCTGCATCATCGTAATCACGTAATGAGATTGTAGGTGGAGCTGTGTTGTCGTTGATGTAAGCTGGATATTTGTCATTCATTGTTTTTTTGGTGTATTAACTGTAGTGAGTGTAGTGGTGGTATTGAGGTTGCGAAAATGGACGATGACGCTGATGCTGCTGCTGCTGCAGCATTTTTTTTTGTCTTTGGGGGCGAGGTCAGTGTCGTGTCGTGTCGCGTAACCAAATGATTCTGAAAAAGAAAAAAAAATTGCATCTCTTCATCAAGCAAAGGAATTCTTGTCAATTGTATTACTTTCAAAAATGGAGTCAAAGTTAGTCGTACCTGGTCAATACATAACGCCAACTTATAAACTAACGCAAGAAAAGAAAAATAAGCCAGTCAAATATGTGGCTGGCTCAGGTACAGCGGTAAATGCAATTGAAGTAGTTGATGGTGATGGCAGTACCAAAACTTTACCAGTAATATGTGCTACTATTCTAGGAAAAACCCATTTTGTTAAAGTATCGGCGGGAAATTCAAGCAATGGAGAAAGTAATAACGACAATGATGCTAATTCTGATGAAGAGAATGCAAAAGACGAAGTGGAAAAGGAGTTGGCGTATATTGTGTATGTTGTACCTAAGAATCAACAATTACAGTCCAACGAACATAACAATAAAGCAACTCATGCATCTAATGTTACGAATAAAGTATCGTCGTCGATAAATCTTCCTCAAGAAAACGATATTGTCTTGGTCCGCATCACGCGGATTTCGCAAAAACAAGCCAATTGTGAAATCATATCCCTCGAATCAAAATCAAGTCTGCAGCAACCAGGACAATCGCAAATTGGCGGCAACATCCTTACCGACTCAGGTACCGGCTCCAATGGTGCTACTGCCCTTGCGTCAATCCCCGCAGGAGGCGGATCACAGCACAACCACAACCAACAAGCCATTGCATCATCCATCACCACACCCACACAGGCAACCATCTATGACTTGGGAGAAAACTATCGCGGTATAATTAGAGCTTCCGATATAAGGTCAACTGAACGAGATAGGGTCGTTGTTGGACAATGCTTTAAACCGGGCGATATTGTGCGATGTATGGTTATTAGTTTAGGTGATGGCCAAAATTATTATTTGTCAACGGCGAGAAATGATTTGGGGGTGGTGTTGGCTAAACTGTATGGCGGTGCCGGTACGTTGATGTATCCTGTCGATTGGCAGAATATGATTGATTTGGATAGTGGGGTAGTTGAAATGAGAAAGAATGCAAACCCATTCATCATTTAGGGGAAGGCAGTTAGTCTATAGTTATTCTATTAGATGCAAAATTAAAATACTGGTATCTAATTATATATATATATATATATGTATGTATATGCAGCTTTCTAAATGGTTTCTACAGGATGAAACAATTCTTCATTGTCGCCTCTTAAATCAACTTCACTTAACCCAACACATGCACCAAACTTTTCGAATCGTTCAAAATACCTCTTTTTCTTTTCCTCACCAATTTCAATCATTTTGGGCCAATATTTATCATGTTCATAAATGAAATTGACATCACCTTGGAAATCTTTATCTAGTTGCAGTTTAGGCACATAGTTAATAAATGGTTGATCAAAAACCAATTTTTCTCTAGTCAAGGGGTCAATGAAAGGGTGAATAATCTTAAGAAATGTCCAACCTAACCAAGGAATATTTGTCAACAATGCCTTACCCAATCTCTCAGGGTAATGGGTTTGTAAAATATGCAAAACTTGTCTACCTACCCCAACAGGCGGGATTTTACCGCCCTGAGTGCCTACAGGGTGTGCTTTGAAGTCAATTAATAAAGCTAATGAATCTTGACCTGATGGCATATAATCAATGACTTTTTCCAACATGTATACTAAATGTTGCACTTGGCGTTGACTGGTTTTGGTATTTTGACGACCTGGTTTTAAATACAAGCAAGGTCTTGAGTCATTGTCATATCCCAATATTACTTCTTTACCCGTTTCATTTTCAGGGCTAGTCAATTCACCATTGACAACATTATCCTTTTCCAAGATGTGGTTAATACCAAATTCTCTTCTCCAAGCCAATGTCAACTCAATTCGATCTATGGCTTCATCGACATGCCATTTAGTTGCTCTCAAGTACCGTAAAAAGCATTCTCTGGTTAACCATGATTTTTCCTCAATTGTCAATGGCGATGATGCATCTGCGGCGGCATTAGCGGTATTTTTGTGTTTATGATGCTCTTCACTATCAGCAATGGTCAAATCCGGGGTTTGGAAATGTTTCAATACTTTGGAATATTTTGCCTGTTCATCTTGTGTGAGTTTGTGTTCCTTTGGGATATGGGATTCTGAGGATGGGCTGTCAAATGGGATATATCGTGGTGGGCCAACATTTACCAGTTCTTTTGATTTAGACTTGCCATTAGCTGTAACTGTGTCATTACTAGTTGAAGACTCAGGTGAAGATGTGGCTTTAAGTGACGATGTTTCTGAAGTAGATGGGGTATTTGAGTTTGAACCTGAAACTTTCAGTTTCAACTTACTAAACATTATGAAAGTGATGAAATGGGAATAGTTGTTGTGATTGTTGTTTCTATTATTGATGAAAAGAGGTTGTATACTCTATCTCTATCTCTATCTCTCAGTCTATGTATAAGTGTAGAACAGCCTGGGGAGGGGTACTCTAACGTAGTAAAAGGGGCCAAGAAAGAGATATATACTTGTAATAAGTTAAAGGGTAGTTTTAATTTATTTCAAAAATTTTTATTTCTTTTTTCCCATTTTGGTTTTTTTTTCTTGTCGGGTTTTGACTTTCGTTCTTTTGTTTTGTGTGTGCCGTTCCTTTAGTATTGTTAAAACCGTAAATTACTACAACAATAACTTTTTTCGGGCCGAATTAGAAACCACGGCAACATAGGTTGTTATGAAGAGTAGAACTATGCTATACTCCTACGACTAGTATACATTGTGAATAGCAATAGGCTATATGTATATACAAACGCTTTCAAAACAAATATAATCACTGGATTGTGTATCCATCGTATATCGTATAGCAAAGAGTGTATGAAACGCGGTAAAAGAAAGAAAAAACGAAAGAAAAAATAAATGTGACACGTCCATTTTTTTTATTTTCTTCGGAGTTAATAACTCCCACTTCATTTATAAAGGATAAACTCCGTATATCGGTGTTATTAGATCACCCACACAATGATAATAATCAACACAATTTTCACTCATAGTCTAAATAAATACTCTAACTACATAACGACCTAACTAATACATTTGTAAGCTACTCAATCCACCAACATATGATCCACCAATCTGTCATATTTCCAACTACGTGAAATATCAAATGGTAAATCAACATCCTTATCTATACTACTCAGATCAACATCCCATTTATGTAACTCATTGAAAAACTGACATATGGGGGACGTATACCATCTACCTCCATTCCAAGTAAACCATCCTAAATGGCCACCAGTTGTCGTAGTCACCATGGTCACATATGGATTCAACTCTGTTTCTGAGTAAGGTAATGATCTAGACCCCGTTATAGGATCATCTTTAGAACTAATGATCAAAGTAGGCACTCTAATCTTCATTAATCGTTGTATGGGTGATGCTAATCGATAATACTCATTAGCTGAATTCAACCCAAATAATCGACTAGTAAAATAATCATCAAAATCTCTTAAAAACTTCAATTGGAATTGGGTCGGATCTTGTTTATATTGCTTAATCACATCATGTGATTCGCTCATTAAATCACCTTGACGGGTCAATAGTTTTAATAAATTTTGACACATTGTTGGTGAATAAACTTGATTGCCAATAATACTATCGCGCAAATGATAGGCACCATCAGGGAAATCCCATGGAGTACCAAACATTGCTGCTCCCTTAATTTGTGGAGACACTGTATCAGCTTCTTGGCCCAAATAGTTGGCCAATATAGCGCCACCAAGTGAAAACCCAATCAAGTAAATGCGCTTGTTGGGCCACTTTTTGGTGACAAATTCATTGATGAAGTATCGTAAATCATTGGTCCATAGCCCATTGTATAATTGAGGACTAGTTATAGTATGCCAGGCGCACCCACGTGAGTTTAACACTATAGCATCAAAATTGTATGGAGCATCGACTGCTTTCTCCATAACTGCTCTAATGTATGCTTCGTATGATCCACCCGATAATCCATGCAATGCAATCAACAATGGCTTATCATCAGAATCATTGATAAATTCTTGATCCGGGTTTTTAAACTCGGTTCTTGGTGGTAATTTGTCGCCTTGATGCGATGGCTTATATTGTAAATGGTTAGCATCATGGTCAAAGTTGTCTTTATTAAATGCATAATCAATAGCAACGGTAGATTGGCCCTTCCACTGATCATATTTGACACGGTCACCATCAGGTACAGTATATGTCTTGTCTTCAACATTTATAATTTGTCTCTTGTAATAAACTTGATGCACTTTATCAAATTTATTTATGGCTGAATAAGCAGTTTGTGTATGTCCTGATGACAAGAGAGGATTAATGTAAAATGCATGGTCAGGGGAAAATTCAACTACTTCCTGTTTAAGGATATCTGGCACTGTCGTCGAATTAGTGGCAGTAGTAGTGTTGGAAGTTTCCTCAGCTGGATTTTCGTGTTGTCTTCTGGTAAACCCTATAGGTTTCCTCGCGATGTGGTTTTCGACTCGGGATAAAAAAAATCCTGACCCATACATTCTTCTGGTAAATGTTCTAATATGTATAAGTAGCTTCAGTTCTTATGCATAAGCCCTTGTCCTCTTTTAGACTAAGTGTTTGAGTATGAAGTGCAGAAGTTTTTGGGAAGAGTTTGCTAAATTGCATATAAAAATATTCAAAGGGTTTGCACAAAAATTGAACAATTTAGAACTCTTTTTTTTCTTTTCTTTTGCAATTAGCCGAGTGAGTAAGTGGGTGAGAAATATCGATATTTAGCCGAAAATGCTAATAAATGTGATTCCTTATACCCTTTGTTCGGTACTAAGACTGGGTCAACCTATTTCAGTCCTTAAACTATTGGAGATCATCGTCAGCTCACCTTGAACTTCGGGATTCAGTCCATCTATAATTCTCTTAACAACTCGATGAATACGTCGTTCGAGTGAACTCGGTAGCTATACCAACATAGCCTGAAAGATTCTTTAATACAAATTTCAAGTCTATTGACGTAGGAATTCGAATTTATATATCATACAAAGTTTATTCAAAATTGTTTTCTCTATGTGCTCCTAAACATAAAGATATAGCTTTACGACATTTTCATTAGGCGTAAACAGAAGACGTAACTCTCGCACTTTTATTCTTGTGTTTTTGAACTTTTTTCCCGAGTAAAACTATCTTTACTACTGGTAGTGTATCAATCGACAAAACTTTGGAGCCAAGCAAAGTAAGTAGTTTATATACAGGACTTAATCCCAACAAGTCAATAACTTATCTATTTTGGGACTGATGACGTAATACTGTACTACTGTATTACGTAATAATAAACTATATCATTGCTTGCTGATATCAAAAGGAGGTAAGGTGTATGCTACCAAATTCACTTTCCCGCCTTCGCCTTTTCTCATGCCATACTACACTCACCATAACAAAATAAAATTAAAACATCAGTCATTACTTTCCTAATCTTCTTCTTTATTACACAACCGCAATCCATCATCTTTATATCATCACATTCTAAAGGAAGAAGGTATCATCAACTAACAATTGACACTTGATAGACTACATCAATTGTTCCTTTTTTCTTTTATTCTTTTTTTGCTAGACAAGAACAACACCCCTTTATCTATTTCGTTGCCACCCCCGAGTAACAATGCAATTGTCTTTATCAGTATTATCAACTGTTGCCACTACACTTTTGGCATTCACAACTACTGCTGTTGATGCCAAGACTCATTCAATCAAGTTGAATAAGTTGTCAAATGAAGAAACTTTGGATGCTACGAAGTTTCAAGAGTATACTAATGCATTGGCCAACAAGTATTTGAATTTGTTCAATAAAGCTAATGGTAACCCACAGGCATTTGGTGCTCAACAAATATTATCGTCAGGAGACAAGAGAAAGAAACACTCAGCCGATATTCCATTTGTTACTCCTGAAGGAAAAGATGGTAAATACGAAGCACCATTGACCAATTATTTGAATGCGCAATATTTCACTGAGATCCAAATTGGTACTCCTGGCCAAACCTTTAAGGTTATTTTGGATACTGGTTCATCTAATTTATGGGTGCCATCTCAAGATTGTACATCATTGGCTTGCTTTTTGCATTCAAAGTATGACCACGACTCCTCATCCACCTATAAGGCGAATGGATCAGAATTTTCGATTCAATATGGTTCAGGTTCAATGGAGGGTTACATTTCTCAAGATACAGTTAGTATTGGGGACTTGGTTATTCCGAAACAAGACTTTGCTGAGGCCACTTCAGAACCAGGTTTAGCATTTGCATTTGGTAAATTTGATGGTATATTGGGTTTGGCTTATGATACAATTTCCGTCAACAAGATTGTGCCACCAATTTACAATGCCCTTAATCAAGACTTGCTTGATGCTCCACAATTTGGATTTTATTTGGGTGATACCAACAAGGATGAAGAAGATGGTGGTGTTGCCACTTTTGGTGGATACGATGAGTCACTTTTCCAAGGTAAGATTACATGGTTGCCAGTTAGAAGAAAGGCTTACTGGGAAGTTTCATTTGAAGGAATTGGGTTGGGTGAAGAATATGCCGAATTAACCAAGACTGGTGCAGCAATTGATACCGGTACTTCATTGATTACTTTACCTTCAACTTTGGCTGAAATCATCAATGCCAAGATTGGTGCAACCAAGTCCTGGTCGGGTCAATACCAAGTTGATTGTGCCAAGAGAGATGAATTACCCGATTTAACGTTGACATTTTCCGGTTACAACTTTACTTTAACTGCTTATGATTATGTTTTGGAAGTTGGTGGCTCATGTATTTCAGTATTCACCCCAATGGATTTCCCTAAACCAATTGGAGACTTGGCAATTATTGGAGATGCATTTTTGAGAAGATATTACTCTATTTATGATTTGAAAAAGAATGCTGTTGGTTTAGCTCCATCAAAGGTTTAATATGAAGAGCGTTAATATTTTTAAAGATTAAATGAGGGAAGAGAAAGGCACTGCTAGATTGAGAAAATGAAAAGTTAGAAAAGAAAAGCTTACAAATTTTTTTTATACGTCGTTTATTACCACATTTTGTTTATTTTTATTTTTCTATATACAAATCCACCCGATATTTGATATACAAGTTTATAATGGTAATTATGCTGTAGCGTACAGTTGATACTTCCTGTCAACTCATGTGCTTTGTATATGGTTTTTGTTTTAGTACTAGCTGGCTGTTTAGTTTGTGCGTTATTTGCAACTTAATTTTTTTAGTTTTTCAATTTTTTAGCCAGCCATCTTTGTTTTTTTTATCAAAAGTAAATAGTAACACTAAATCAAGAAATATATCCATCTGTCATGATACAATGAGATCAGACTCATTTCACGAAATAATGATCATCATCTTCGTCAACTTCCTTTCTCTTTCCTTCTTCTTATTCATTCAATAGAGATCAGTTACTTACGTCGTCTATTTTCATCACCATCCGTCGTCCATTTCTTTTCCGTTTATTCATTGTACATATCCAATTCTACACAATTAACGGTCCTTTGATTCCGCCCCTAAATCGTTCCATGTCAATGCCACAACAATCAATTCCAGTTGAAGATAAATTGACGCTCGTGCAAGATCCATTTACTAATGAGACTCAAATAATTGAAGGTACTTCTTTTCCTAGAGGACAACAACACTTTATTGACAACTCAAGTGACAAGTTAAAGTCTAAACAAAGTGGCCAACTTCAGAACCCGCACAAAATGACGCAAGATTCATTAAAAAGGCTAGAAGTAGAATCAGCATCGAGTGAATCGGTTAGTGCTGCGGCAATTACACAGTATCCTTACTATAATCTAGATGATGTCATGGTTTCGCCTAGTCCAAACAGTCAGAGTCAAAGTCAGAGCCAAATTAGTCACAAATATACACCGCCGAGTCCCAATAAGCAACAATATAGTGGATCTGGATCTGGATCCGGATCAGCAAAAGGACACCAGCGAATTAGTTATGATGGAATACCATTAAGTCCCATTGGCGATGATGCGTTTAATCAAGTACCTAAACGATTTTCCCAATTTATTATTGATCAACAAAACCCATACATTTCTCAAAGATTGGATAATTTATCAATGATTTCATCGAGTTTGAAATCGGATCATGTTGGGCACAAAAAACACGATGATGGCAGTAGTAGGAATGAGCGTGACACGACGCTGAGCCTGAATCATAACAAAAGCAAAACCACCCATGGCTCTTCTCCAATTGAACTACCAAGTTCGAGATCAAGGTCAAATAACGACTTCAATTTGAATCATCATAGTACTCAACTATCATCGGCTCCTACTCGTGATGATGTGTCCGACTCAATGGGATCACAAGCGACAATCTTTTCAACAAGACAAGAACCAGAAGCGTTGTTATTGATAAATCGTCGAGTCAGTAAAATAAACACCGGCTTAAGCAAGACAAAATCATTATTCAATAAAAACAAAAGCAACGGCAAAAGGTCATCTAAATCAAGAACTGTGAATCGAACTAGCACCGTTCGTTTATACAAGAGTCCAACTTCATCAATCACATCATCTTTGCTAATGAATCGAAATGCAAATGGAAATAACAGCAATGTTAGAGGAGCTACCGGTAGTGCCACTAGTTCCTCTCTTCAGTCGAGTACTAGCCTAACTAGACATAATGCAATCAAGACGAAAAAGGGAAGTTGGTGGTATCGATTACAGTTGAAAATACGGCAATTTTGGACAAAGTTTAAATTCTACAATTTTAAAGCATCTTCATCGAAAAAAAGACAGGTCAGCATCAAGAAACGGGGAAATAGCTATAAGAATGTTAGCGCCGCGAGGGGTGAAACTAGAGGAGTATCTTCTTCAAATTTGAAAAAATCGAAATCATTGGTTCGAAAAGTGAGAGAAAATCCGCAGAATCAAGATTTGAAACGATTGACATCGATTAAATTATCACCGGGTAATAAATTAAATCAACAAATGGAGAAGGATAAAGGAGTCAGTGGAATTCGTAGTGGGTCCATTGCTGGTGCTAAGAGGTTGCAAATTTCTGCACCAGTGAATAATCCTGAATTGGGTAAGTTGCTGAAGGTTGAAAGAGTCGAGTTGAATGATGATTTGAAACGATATGCTGGTGCTCAGCATTTACCACCAGCTTCCCAGCAACAAGGACATCAACAAGGACATCAACAACCACTGCAGCATCCTCATCATATACAAAATAACCAATTACTTACACCAGAAGAAATTGCCGATGAAAGTACTGGAAAATACAATCATTTGTCAAACTATATCAACCAACAAGAATCAAGGTACTTATATCAATCACAACTCATGAATCAGGAACCACAAATCCAGAGCGGACGACCAAGAGGAGGAATAACAACAGGAGCATCACCTTCGGGAGCAGGAGCAGTACCCATAGCAGTAGGAGTACTTAATTCAAAGAAACCATTAGTTGTCGATGATGACAACGAGTTTCCATCACCTCAAATAGGAACCAGTGAAATTGATCAACCTTCATGGACTTCATCTTCTGCTGTTACTAGCCAAGCCCCACCACCTGTACCGCCGCCTCATTTGGATACTAGTTATATGACACAACACCTGAGAGAATTACACCATCATCAACAGCAACAGGAAGGAGAAGGAGAAGAAGAAGAGCAGGTGTATACTGATGAGGAAGAGGAGTTGGATAAGAACAAGATAAACCAGTTGTGGCAAAGTTATCTAATGCGAGTATTGTACAATCGAATTCAATTACGCCAAGAAATTAACCAATTTGAGCAGTATTTGGTTACGAGAGAGACTAGTGATGTTATAAATATGATATTTGAACGTGCTCGCCATGATGCTGAGCTGGAAGATGAGAGAACAACAATTGGCCATGCGCCATCGAGGAACACGTCCATTGTGACATCGAAGCCCGAGCCCGATTTTAAGAGTAAGGATAATGCTGGATACATTAAGTCACATTCTAGGTCTGGAACGAGAGGTGAAACTAGTGTTGCTGAAGATACTCCAGTTGGTGTTGATATTGATACAGAAGCTAATAGTGTGGCTGCAGTTGACGTTGACGCTGACGTTGGAGTTGGAGCTGCTGCTTCTGCATCGTCGATTTATTCCCAAGATGATGTGATCTCGACAACTACATTCTCAACCATCTCCTCAACCACAACAACGAATCAACATGGTGATGTCTTTATTGATCCCCAAGATCAAGAATTCACCAGTACGGTACTCAATCGAAGATCAATGCTTGGTGAGATGTTAGAATACCACTCATCTGAAGAAGACGAGGGAGACGAAGAGGGAGACAATGATGATACAATATCGTATTACGAGTCTGTTAGTCAATTGAATAGGTCTGCAATTGGATCAGTCAAGACACAGGGCAGTCTTGTAAGTAGTACTGGTGGGTTGGATGAATTGAGGCGGTATGGGACGGTGATTAAACGTCCCTCATTAAGGGCAAAATCTAATCGTCCTGGTGTTAGTGGAAATGCCAATGGAGGGGCTATTAATGACAATGATGAACAAGCTTTGTTACCGAATAATGGCAGTCCACTGGGATTGAAACGGAGTTTTGGTTTGGTTCACAGTCTAAGTCAATTAACAACAAAGTAGATAAAATCTCTTACAACTAGTTGATACATATGAATTTTGAAATACAACGTGGGAAATTCGTAAACAGAATAGATGTAAAACTACCTATGTATCTACATGTGCTAATTTAAACAGCAGTCATGTACGACGACACTGAAGAATTGGCATGTGCCGGCGCCAAATAATTGAATGAACCCGGCATCGTATGCGGTTGTAAATTATGGTTGGGTTCATTTTCTGGCAGTTGCTCTTGTTGCTGCCATATCCTTAATGCGTCGTCGACATTTATAAACACATCACTCACGTCAGTCACGTCATCAGTAGTGTCACCGCCAACTGTTCGATCTCGTTCATCGTTATTAACCTCTTGGCCATCACTTCTTCCTGTTGAACCTGACCCATTCGGCTCAGTTGCTTGATTTTGAGTCCGCGATGGTCCATTATACCTAAACCCATGAAACAATTGTCGTTGAGTCTGTTCTTCCATGGAAATAGCCAACGCGCGTTGAATTTCCAGTTCAAATTCCAATTCTGACCGTTCACGAGCCACTCTCACTGCTTCATTCATTGCCCGAATTTCCTCTTGGGTATCATCGCCATTTAATAATTGCGGCAATACTTGATAAAATTGACCATCGTCAATTCGATCGATTTTCCACAAATCGATTTCTTCAGGAACAATTTTCAATTGAATCAATTTACGTATCGTTTTGCGTAAATTTGTTGGCGTACGAATTAATTTCTTGTTGATACGTAATACTGGCGTTACGTAGCGTGGATCAAACGAAATCAAATCAACACGTTTATGGAGTCGCTCCCGGTATGGTGGAGTGGATGGTTGGTCTTCTGCTAGGTGTGCGTATTCATCTAATGGTGGGGGTGCTTCATCTTCTTCCTGTCGTGCCCCATTGCTCATAGCAGAAGTGGACGTGGATTGCTCATTATGATACATTGTTGGGTCTATACGTTGGTTTAATCGGGCAATAATTCGAGCTCGGGTGTCTTCGATGGTTGATTGACGGGACAGAGATGACTGGCGTTGGGTTTGAGAAGATGCAGCACCGGCATGGTTGCTTGATTGATTAGAGGAGTTGTCATGATGGTGAATATCATCTGCTATTCTATAATTGTCATACTCCAGACTTGACTCCTCATGAGAACCACCAACTTGTTGAGGGGGCCCCACATGGGAGCGTTGAGCACGTTGATTACGTCTCATTTCCTGATATCGTTGGCCTCGTCTGCTGCCTTGGGCAGTGCTTCCGGTTCTTTCCAAGATACAAGCCACAGCTTCTGTCCGACTAATTGAAAAGTCATCAGAAGCCATATGGTAAGTTGATTGCTCCGATAAAGTTGGTTGCATTGGAAACGACTGTAGATTAGTATGTGGTGAGTCGTGAGTTGGGGGTGATTCCAGTCGACCTGTCAACTGTTGTAATGTATCATTGTGCACTTCGTTTCTTGTATCCCGAGGAGTGGAAGGGGCAAAACTAAGGTGTGGCGAGTCTTTTGGAGAATATCTGTAGTTTCCAGGTATATTTCCAATTCTAAAGCTTCCTGAATTGATTGGTTCAAATCCAGCAGGAAAAAATTCTTCTTCGTCGATCTCATGTGATTCCTCTCGAATCTGGGATCGAGGTTGATAAGGCTCATTTTCATCTGAATACTGTTCCAGCAGTTGTCCTTCTAATTCCTCAGGCTCATCTATTTCGTCAGTAATTATAATGCTAATAATCTCATCATTCACTGGGTATGGTAATGTAAGTCTAGGTTTAAGCTGGCTTGAATGCACATTCTTTCTTCTACGTTCCTTATCAATCAATGTTCGCATTTGTTGTTGCTGTTTGTTCAATTGTGTAGATTCATTAGTAGTTTTGCGCAGCAAATTAACTGATTCCCTTGATCCTCCCGACTCCTTCGATGCAATAGAATTGCGTCTTTCCTGTTGTCTTCTAGTTGTAGGTTTTGCTCCATTTGGTCTCGATCTTGCTCTCATTCTACGAGCTCGGCGTTGATTAAGAACATCATTGCCGACTTGTGTCTTTTTGGCAACTTCTGACTCCTTGGGCGATGCGCCTCTTTTGAGCTTTGCCGTATTTACAAGGTTGGGTGATTGTGATGGTGTGCCGGTGACAGAAGTGTTAGTTTCAGTTGAAGGTGGATGTGGTGGATTTGAAGGACCTGGAGTATGATCGTTGATTGCTTCACTTGGTGGACTTGTTGTACCACTTTTAGGGGATTCTGCAATAGTAGGGAAATTGCTATTGGTGTTAATTGGGGGACTTGGTGTGCTATTCTTGTTGGCTGATGGTAGATTTATACGATGGGAAATGTATGTTCTTCTTCTACTAGCATTAGGCTTTTGTGACTGTAAAGATGTCTGTGACTGGCTAGTTATATGTTGTTGTTGTTGTTGCTGCTGCTGCTGCTGCTCCTGTGGTGGTTTCTGTAGTCTTGGGGATGGTAGTAAACTGGTAGTTGCTGCCTTTTGTACTATGGGATACTGAGGTTTGTAAGGATGTTGTTGCTGATGATGATTTATTGGTGTTTGCAACTCATCGTGCCCTAAATCTGAAGTAGTTGACCCTGTAGCCCTCTTCTGAAAAATGTTAAGTACCATAGTGTTGTATTTAGTACTAGCTTTTCTCAATGAATTATCTAAAGGATGGCGAAATATATGTGTGTGGTTGTTTGTATTTATGTGATATCCGTGTGGCTTCTTTTACTTTTACTTTAACTTTAATGGTTTGTAACTTTTACTTTTTTTATTCTCTCTTTCTGTTTTTGTTTCTTTCTTTTGTTATCATTACTTCCTGTATATAAACTTAATATCAAATATGTATGTATGGGTGTAATGTAAACAATATATTTCTATTTTAAGTAATAAGTAATATGCAGGATAAGAAAGGCTAAAATGCTACTCTTCAGCTTTAACCATAGACAACAGCACTCTTTATACTGGAACAAGAAGTAAAAGAGGAAGATCTGGGATGTTTGGACTATATATATATATATATGTTATATGTTTTATAGCTGAATCATATATTAATCTTGGCTCTTTGCTATGAAAAATTGTTTCAAATTTTTAACCAACGGTCTTTGTTTTTTCTATTGTGTTTTATTACAATAATTAAGAAATACTACTTCTTCTACTTCTTCTACTGCTGCAACAGATATAAAAAAAACACTGCTTTTTTTCTTTACTCCGAATCAAAGAGGAACATAAAACGTTTATAAAGAATCGAATCCTACCACCCCTCCCTTTATCCCCCTATATCTTATTATATCTTATGTTGCACTAGATCATTTACACTTCTAATGGTCCTGCATGATATAACAACCCTCCTCAAATAGTTTCTTTTTGGCTGGTAGGAAGTAATGACTACTTCTGAAACAGTAGCAACGATTGCTTTGCAATTATTTAGCCTTTTTATCCTTGTTTGGGGGTGGGGGAATCTTTGATATTTTGTTATCTTTATCTATTAACGCTCAATTTAAGCAAATATTGACTGGTGCTAAAAGATAGTATTACTTTTTCTCAACAATTTGTTGTTTATTTGGTTGCAAAAAGAATTACAAATTCACAACATTGCTGTAATGTTTTATTTCCCACCCAATGTATGACACTACGAGTTTCATAAATTAGCTTCTGTGGGGACCGTAGTACATTACGGATTACTATAGTAGAATATACAAGAAGAATGATTTACTTCACAAGGTGGTAATTCAAATTGCATGACTTTAAGAGGGAGATAGGTAAATAAAAAGAAATTGACTTCCATTTACGAAAAATATTTGGCAATAATTATCGACTTTCTTGGTCGTATCTGTCAGATCACAGACGTAGTCATGGTGGTAATAGGATGGTACTTTTTTTTTTTTCACCACAATGTGGCAAAAGTCTTTTTTTGAATATATGATATTTTGAGAAGATGGCGCTGCAACATCAATGATTATTTCAGCCAATTAGCATCCCCCCTCCAATACAAGACATATTGGTGATTAGTCACTGAATTCCCTCGATTCAACTGCAAATCTTTACACAATAAGCATAAACTCTTCAAAGATGGTCAATAAAAAAAAATAAAAATAATATGGCATTTTATTAAAAAACTATACATCTTCAAGCCATCAGTCTTCACTTACTAATTGCAACTGTGCAATACCAATTGAAACTATAATCAACAAAGTGCAATTCAATAAAAGTGTGTGAAAAATAAAAAGAACAACAACAGACAATGTGCTATTTCATATTATCATAGTAGTTTACTTTGACTTGTGGTTCTTCAATTCAGCTTGCAAATTCTCAATTGTTTGCTTTTGTTCCTCCAATTTCTCTCTCAATTTCTTCAATTGAGCTTCTTCTTGTTTCTTGATGTAAACATTTTCTTGAGCTCTTTCCTTTTCATGGAATGAATCTCTACCAATGTTGCTTCCAGACTCAATTAACATGGCTCTTGAAGTGGAAAAAAATCTAATTGAAGCAGCAGTTGAGACTGATGATGATTTAATAGCTCTTGATAACATTGTTTTAAATGGAATAAGTGTTGAAGGGATATTTTTTTGTATTCTGTAGCAAAAAGAGAAGGGAAAAGGAAAAGGAAAAGGAGGAATGAAACAAAATTGGGCGTTTATAATTTATTTTTTTCTGTGTGACTGAAACGCAAGAAAGTTCACAACTGCGAAGTTTTTCATCAAATGATTTTTTTGCTTTTATTTTGCGCGACAGAAAGGGAAGGGGAAAGACAAAGAGAAAGAGGAAAAGAGAGTTAGTACTATGTAGTAATAGTAAGTAATAATAGTAAGTAATAATAGTAAGTAATGATAGTAAGTAATAATAGCAAGTAGTAAACAGTAAATAGTAGTAATAGTAATAGTACTAGTAGTAAATAGTAATAGTAGTGTACAAATGACTAAAATATATATATATATATCTACATATATATATGGATAGTTTCAATTGGTTCAAACTAAAAACCAAACATTAGACAACACTTACACCACCTACACCACCGCCACATTACACTACTACTGCTACTACTACCACAGACTTTAACTTTTGATTTAACCATCTAAAATAGTGGTCTCATTATTTTTTTTATTCTATTTTTTATTTACACGTATAATAACATCATCCCACATTTAAAGATTTCTTGTTGGCAAGAATCTATAATGTTTATGAACAGTAGACAACAATCCCAAATTCCTAGCTGTCTTTACAGCAGCAGTCAATTTCTTTTGATTAGCAGCACTACAGCCAGTTTGTTGTCTTGATAAAATTTGACCCGTTGAAGTTAAAAATTGTGACAAAATCTCGGGCATTAGGTATAAATTTCTAGGATCAACACCACTGCGCTCAAATGGATCTTCAATAGCACGAGACTGTGCTTGTTTTCTTTCCATTCTTAATCTATTCATACTGAAATCAAATGGATTGTAGGTTGTGCCAACTCTAAATTTCTTTTGCAACGATTGGGCTATATGTACAGGTGGTTCACCACTAGCTATATTTTGGGTGATTTTTGACAAGTTTTCAGTCAAATCGGCCTGTGCTGAGGATCCTGGTGCATATGATTCTCTCCATGACTGTTTGCTTTTAAATTGATCGAAATTTGTTGGTGTTGATATTTCTGCAGTTGGAGCTTCTGATGTTGATGATGTAGAATCAGCTAATCTTTTGGAACTTGTCCCTAGAAAACGCACACTTTGAGCTATGGCTTTACCATTGAACACAACAGCTCTTTGTGCAAGCATGTTACTAATGAGGTGTGTATGTATAAAGGATGTATTGGTTAGTTGTTGTACTATTAGTCTGCTCTCTCCTTATGAAGGATTTTTTTTTTTTTCACTCACAATTTACAACAAAAAAATCATACTCGTTCTATTACTGCGGCAAAGGTGTGGATTCATTTTGTCGTTGGCGAAAGATTTTTTTTTTGATTTTTTTCCAAAAATGTAACTTACAATCATTCAATCAATCAATCAAAGAAAGAAAGAAAGAACCCTTTTAACACCATCCTATTAGTATAACTTTACATTTACTTAACTTTTACATTGTGGTGTGTTTATCATTTATAACACAAATATACATACATACATACATATATATATTCAAGATTAAGTGACTTGCATGGACAATTGTATCACTTTGAATTCATTCAAGATAAAAAACATTTATATCTAATTCATCGTTGCTTCTAGAATCGAACGGCCAAAAACATTTTTATGGTCACACATTATATTTCAACATCACCCAAATACTTTAATAACACCAACTCAAAAGCTTTCTCATCTATTTGAAGTTCAGATAAGGAAGGAAAGTTATATATCATCGCACGTTTTGCATAAATTATTCATACATAAATTACCTGCATACATTTTAAAGAAATATGGGAGAACGAGGTCCAGATCAGTGGTTTGAACAGATTAAAAGCTGTGTCGCCTTATCCGAATCGGATATGAAGCAACTATGCGAATTAGTCAAAGAATTACTAATGGAGGAGTCCAACATCCAACCGGTTCAATCACCAGTCACGGTATGTGGTGACATTCATGGACAATTTCATGATTTACTTGAATTATTCAGAATATCAGGTGGATTGCCTAGTGATGATAATCAAACCAACTACATCTTCCTTGGAGATTACGTCGATCGTGGGTATTTCTCATTGGAAACATTTACATTATTGATGGTTTTAAAAGTCAAGTATCCTCATCGTATCACCATGGTTAGAGGAAATCACGAAACTAGACAAATTACCCAAGTTTATGGGTTCTACGAAGAATGTTTAACGAAATATGGATCAACTACAGTATGGAAATATTGTTGTCAAGTGTTTGATTTCCTCACCTTGGCAGCAATAATTGACGGCAAAATACTTTGTGTTCACGGTGGCTTATCACCTGAAATCAGAATGTTGGACCAAATCAGAGTTCTATCCCGTGCCCAAGAAGTGCCTCATGAAGGTGGGTTCTGTGACTTGGTATGGTCAGACCCCGATAATGTCGATACATGGGCAGTGTCCCCTCGTGGTGCCGGCTGGTTATTTGGATCCAAAGTGTCACGCGAATTCAATCATATAAATAATTTACAATTGATTGCTAGAGCTCACCAGTTGGTGATGGAGGGGTTTAGATATCATTTTAAGGAGAAAGACGTGGTTACTGTTTGGTCAGCACCTAATTATTGTTATAGATGTGGTAATGTTGCTAGTGTTATGCAAATTGATGAAGATCTAGAACCAAATTTCAAGATATTTAGTGCTGTTCAAGATGGTGATTTGACGATGAAGAATAATAACACTAAACAGCAAAGAAGTGATTATTTCTTATAAATTAATGATGATGACAGATAATGATGATAATAGTAATAATAATAACAATAATAATAATAGTATAGACTTGAAATTTCGACTTTGTTGTTTGACTTAATGAAATGATGATTATTGTAATGAAGCGAATGAAAAACAAACATGAAAGAATGTAGGTCTACACTTATTTTGCATAATCTGTGCCTATTATTATGATTCTAAATTAAATAGCTACTTCTCTACTTTTACACTTACTTCTTTCCCTTTCTTCTCTTTCTTTTTTGACCAATGATGGACTTGATATTATCAGAAAGACCAGATCTATTCTTGGATTCACTCACCAGCTTCGATTCAGGTGCAGCTTTGGTGACTCCTTTGTTCATATTACCTTTTCTCAGTGGTCCTTTACCCTTACGTTGCTTCTTTGACTTTGATTCACCTTCACCTTCATCATCTCGTTTCCTCTTTTTATCGCTAGATGTACCTTTATCCTTTTCGTTATCAAACTTTCTACTAATAATCTCCTTTTCCCTTCTTCTCTTTACAACTTGAGCATTTTCAACAGCAAATTCAACAATTAACCTTCTCTTGTTTAAACCATCCAACTTGGCGACTTTCTTTTCTTCGTCAGTCAAGCCTTCGGTAATTTCATCTATTGACACTTCATGAGCATTTAACCATCTTAATCCTTGCAAGGCAGCTTTATGATCTCTAAATTCAACAAACCCATAACCTCTACTACGACCGGATTCTCCCGACCCCTTCACTTCCATAATCACTTTAGCTTGCTTAACAACCCCCTTGTGTTTGGAATTCTTTGACTTGACTTCAATTTCCTCTTGAAGCTCCTTTTTGGTCTTTATTGAACGCGACACTTCTTCTTTTGATAATGGTTGTCTTTGTCCTTCTTTAACTTCAGTAGCAAATTGAACAACAGCTTTTCTTCCTAATGCCTTCAATGCTTTTGAGTTCATGGCTCGTGGTAAATTCCTAATTGCCAACCTAGTTAATGACAAATGCAACGTTGGATTTTTGTTCAACTGCTGTACACGTAACTTGTATGATTTTTCTCTCAATTCTAAATCAGTCTTGGTGATGAATTGTGCCAATTTGGAATTTTCAGTGATTCGACCTTCATTAAGCAAAAACAAATTACGTTTATCCTTTTCCGCAGGTGCTTTTCCTAAAACCTCTTTTCTCTTTAAGGCATTCCTCTCGGCCAATTTATTGGCCGATTGTCTGTCGACAGCAGAGGTGATGGATAATATACGTCCTTGGTAAACATATTTGGGTGACACATCATCGGCAATTAATATCGATGTTGATCCTGTATTTGATGGAGCGTTGTCAAGACACTCAAGGTAAGCATCTTCCTTTTTAAAGGCTACAAATGCTGAACCTTTGGATAAACCAGTCTCCTTATCAACTACGGGAAGAGCGTATTTGACGGGTCCAAACGATTCAAAGTGCTCTTTCAAACTCTCTTCATCGGCATCGTATGGAATATTTCGTACAAAAACTGAGTATGCTTCTTGTCTGTTGCTTTTCTTCTTTGGCTTCTCTTCTACTTCCTGTGGCTCACCATCAACTTCAATTTTGATATCCTCATCATCCGAATCAACTTCATCATCAGTGTTGATCTCATTCAACTGATCAAAGTTTGAGTCATCATCATCATCTCCATCACTGTCCTCCTCTTCCTTTTCGATATCTTCTTCATCATCACTTCCAAGACCCCCTTCCGCTTCCTCTTCCTCTTCCTCTGCGTCTCCTTTACTAGAGCGGTCCACAGCTGCTGCTTTCTTCTCTTCTCCTTCCTCATCATCTTCATCTTCACTTTCCTCATCCTTGATTTGTTCCCATTTTGATTTTTCAACTGCAAAATCAACAGCAACTTCTCTTCCATCTATTTTCAACCCTTTGCTTTCCTCGACAGCCCTTTCAGCAGCCACCCTCTTCTTCATAATTACAAATGCAAACCCACACATCTGACCTCCCTTCTTTTTAGGAATATACGCATCAAACACAGCACCATATCTTTGGAAGATATTTTTCAATGTGTCTGCCTTCTTACAACTCCAAGGTAGGTTCCTAATAATCAAACGAGCTCTTCTTTTCTCTATTGGCTCAGCTTGCTTCTTGTTAATTGAAGTTCCATCTGGTCCTTGTGTTTTCCTATCTCTTCTCTTGGCAATATCAACTCGTAATAACCTGCCTTGAAATTTTGTCTTTCTCGACTCAACTAAAGCAGTCAATGTGTCGTCATCTAAAGTGAATGAAACAAAGCCAAATCCTCTGCTTTGTTTATTTTCATCGGTGACAATAACTGCATGCTTCACTGGAACAAATTGGGAAAAGTATGTTGATAAATCTTCTGATGTAGCTTCTGACGGTATGGACCTGACGAAAAGTGTTTTATGATCTAAGCCATCATCATTCACTTGTTTTGAGCTTGTTGTTGAGACTGTAGCAGTTGAATCAACAGCTTCTTTGGTTGGTATACTTTCAATTTCTGACATTATTGCCTTTCTCACGAGACTGTAAGGCAATTGGAATAAACTCTGATGTTAAACTAAGAATCAAAAAGCAGAGCATCGCAAAAGAAAAAAAGAAAATCACAAAAATTAATTTTTCTTTTACTTCTCCTTAATTTGGAACAGAACTTGGTAGCGAGAAGATAAACAACGGTGCTTGATCTGGTGTTCAACGGTAAAGCACTATTGGCGCTTGTGCCTCACATCAGACGAAATACACCGTCAATGGAAGAAGATATCCGGAAAGAAAATGTTCTTCCCAATGCATTTATACCTCATTACTCGACTAAATGTCTCTTCACGACATTGGAGCGTCTAAATACGGATACATTGTATCAACTTTGCGTCCGCTGGACCCAATCAGTCAACACGCAACCTCATGTTCCAGAGGAATCAATATACACACAACAGGGCCTTGGGAAAAAGTTGGTGAAAGAAATCAAGGAGCTTCGAAAAAATCCACGGAGCCAAAAGAGTGATATCATTCGGAAAATAATATACGAGTATTGGCCAAATGGGTTAAATATACTACAACATGCCCAATTGGACTGTCAGTTGATTCTAGATGAGCCAGACCAATCCAGTTGGCTATTTTCAAGAATCACCAATGCACAAGGAAATGCATTCTGTCCTGATGTCGATCCTCAATTGTTTGCACAAGATATGGCATCAAAATTAGCCGACCTTTACATCACCCACGTTTACATCTTGAAACATCCAAGTCTATCAATGCATATTATACGAGTTCAAGTGTTTGATTTAAACCATCAAGCGGGTGTTCTCGACTCAACTCAACCACAGTTTACAAGCCATAAACCTTACTTTGTATGTCTACCGAATGAGAGTTCCTACATTTTCCATTCTGTGAATAGTAATGACATAGCTTACGATATGATTATGCAAACGATAGAACAATGCCTACCTGAACAGGAACAAAACCAACTATGTCTTCACACTCCATCCGACCAGAAACAAATTGCATCGTTAGAGACTATGTTCACACTAAAGGGTAATTCGCGTGTGGCGAATAGCTTGGGTATATGGACACCATACGCCGATGGAACAATCGATGTGCCTCCACTTGGTGCGTTAGAGAAGCATTCAACTCTACAACAACAAGTCAACGATGAGAAAGATGATGGTCTGAATGCAAAGCTAAGAAAACTTGCAAACCTTCGATTTCAGGGAAACGTTGAAGCACCATTGAAAGATGGCACAGAGTCCAAAAATAATAATGGATCAAAGAAACGAAAGTTTACAGCTATTGAAGATGATGTAGACACGCAAGAAAAAAAAGTAAAACTCTCATTTGCATCACGTACACCCTTACAATACAGTGAGTTCATCATTCAGGAAAACATCAAACAAGACCAACCAGAATCAAGATCCAACATCAAACTTAAATTCTCTGGATCTGACGTGTTTGGCGGGCTACATGAACTTGCTGCATCTACTAGGGACCCAAATGGCATGATTCTAAATCCCGCAGAAATACCCAATTGGTTAACAGGGGAGGAGGGTGCTACATCTGGACATATAAGAGACGGAAAATTTCATTCTAACTAAATAATCAATAACCCAACTTTTGCATATTTGATTTTATAACTTGTACAGCTTTTGTATCAGAAGCAGGCACATTTTGCTTTAAATTTCGAAGAATTTCAACATCTTTATTCTTAAACGCCTCTTGCGCCGCTGATTCATAATCCTCGTTTCTAATGAATAACCGAACTTTTTCATCATAATTGTACTTGACTGAGTTGCGAATATATGCAGATATGTGCTCCTTTGGTGCATTATTGGCAAATGCGGCTTCTATAATTGGCTCAAACCCTATAGGAGATTTACCCACCGATGCATCTAATGATCCAAATACAAATTCATACAATCGGTCAAACTCACGCGCTTGAGAATACGTGTTTAACACCAAATGCCAAAACTTTTCTTGTGACACCGAGAACTCTTTAACTATTTTGCTCGCTGGTTTGACTTGATTCATTTTGATTAATTTTTGAAGGATTTGCAACAATGATTTTTCAGAATAAAAGTTACTAAGGTATGTCTTTTCCAACCGGTTTTGAAGTTCAAGAATCTTGAGCTCTCTTTCAATGGCTTTCATGGTAGTAGTTCGAATTGATTTTCGCAAACACTTTGTTAATAGCTTCTTGTAGTTATTGTAGTATTCTTCACCTTCCCCATTTGGATGAGTCTTTGAAAACTCTTTCAACTTTATTAAGTTCAACTCGTGAGTTTTATCTTCATGAGCTAAGAATTTCTCCATCAATTTGGGATACGACTTTCCCATTGACTCAACCCAAGTATGTCCGATAACCTCACCTTTGATTGGTGTAGTCTCTGTTGGAATTTCCACATTCAAATCCAGCAATTCTCTTTGGATAGTGGGGTTAAAATGCTTGCTTTCATTTTGGTTTAATATCTCAAAAAAATCTGATGTGGGTAAGGTATCTTGCACACGCAAGAGCATAAGAAGACTTAAGTAATAGTCACCCGATTGAAATGCTTTGACCAATGCGAGTTCAATCTCGTCAAAGTCAATTAGCTTCTTCACCTTGTTGCTAACGGAGGGCTCTAAATCAACCAACAAATTTGTTAAAATCACCCTCCCTTCTTCATGTGCCACATCCGAAATCATGTCAATGGATATGTAATTCGTCCTCTTATTAGAAGCAGATAGCAACTTGTCAACAATAACTTTAAACAATTTCACGTCCGAGTAGTCCAGCTCTTTCCGTATTTTATAGCAGCACCAATGAATGTAGATCAATGGCATCAAGTCTTTGAGGCCTAATGTACTTACGATTCGCAACGCCAAGTAGTGCTGATTTCTTCGTAGAAGCATTTTGACCACTTCTTTCCATCCAATGGTTTGCACCTCCAGGTAGGTCAAAAACAATCCCAACTCTTGCGCCCTTAATTGATTCAACACCTTGACGGTGTTTAATACAGTTACGTACTTGTTCGCATCAAATGTGCCTTCAGTATAAACTTTTCCAAATGAAACCGCTTTCAAAGCCTTTTTCTGCCAGCTTGAATCAAGTTCATCGAGTGCCACTTGGAGGGCGTCTTCCATGGCAATTGATAGTACGCCATCTGATTTCAAAAGGGTGATATTAGCATGCGCTTTTGCTGCATTCAGGTTGAATTTGTTGACACAATCGGCCAATATACTACTTGGGCTGTTTGATCCAATTTGGTACATCGCCACCGTCTTTTCTGGTACTCGACATAAAAGCTGTACTTTTTCACTTGTTACTGCACGCAAACCATCCGACAAGGTTTGCAAGATGGGGATTGTGTACAGTAAATCATTTTTTCCTGGGTCTTTTAGAAGCAAGTTGTCGAGATCAAAGTCATCATCCTCATCAATATCGTAAAAGAATGATATTGATTGTTGTTCTGGACCAATCAATTTTATCTCATCTTTCAACGACAAAGCGATCGCATCATTGCCACACCAAGTCACTTGATAGGGCGAACTTGAATCGTTTGACGTATCATATTCCAAAAGTATTTGATCGAACGAGCTGCTAACAACAAGGACTTTACTAAATGACTTATTATGCAATGCAATTAATTGTTCATTTGGTGACACAGAAATGCTATTAAATGGTCCATCAGTCAACTCTTGATCAACAAGTTCGAAACTCGAGAGACCGAAATCGACTTTTAAAACTAGAATTGTCTTTTGACATGCAATGTAGATGACAACGTTTTCCTTGCTATCATTTACAGAAAGTCCCTCGATATCCTTTGGTGAGTAGCTGGAGATATCAATTTCATAGTTTTGGAATGAGTCCAAATCTGTCAATATGAGTTTGTTTTCAAGTCTGACAATTAGATGGTTTTCAGAAGTATGCGTTTCTAGGATGTTGATAATTTCCTCTGTTTCGTCGTTTTCGAGGTTGGTTATCATCCTACTCGACTCCGTGACAGGCTTATTACCGTTCTTACCATTAGGAGTCATATTGTCCAATTTAACCAAATCCTCGGTAAATCGGTACTCATTGAAATTCCCCACCAAATCCTGGTAATACCTAAATTTCCCATCGTTAAGGATCAATACTAAATCTTCTCGACGGAAATGAAAGTCATGAATGTAATCGGTTGGCGTACTATTATAAACCACTGATGACACCTTATTTCCACTTAGACCATAAACTTCAACAAGGTTCGGGTGTGGAACTGACTTGGACGCAATGGCAATCAACGTCGTGTTTGGCGCAAATGATATCCTGTAATTGGGGTAGAGGTCCTCAATTGGCCAACCTAAAGGGGCGTAACAAGTGCTTATATCATAGTAGACATTCTGTAATCTCAGCCAGTTGAAGCTAGGATTTGTAGGCATTTGGTTGACCAGTGGGGAAGAATAGTTAGTTTTGGCTTTGGTGAGACCGAGATGAAAAAAAAGTAAAATTGGAAATTATCAGTGATTTTATAAGCTTTATCCAAACTGTATACACGATACCATGGCTGACCTGGAAATAGAATTTGTCACATTAGTTTCAACTGATAATTTCAAGTTTATTATACTGAAGGAGGTGGCGTCGATTTCGTCGGTATTGAGAAACTCGCAAGGTTTCGAAGAAGGCAAAACAGGCAGAATAGATCTCGATATGGATGGTGATATTCTAGAGTGCATTGTTGAATATTTATACTATCATCATAAATACAAGGACCAAGCTGAAAGTGGTGACGTTCCTGAATTTGATATACCCACTCATTTAGCATTAGAGTTGTTAGTCAAAGCTGATTACTTGGATATATAGCAGAGACAAAGAATGTTAGAGGAGTATAGAGAGAAGAAGTGAGATGACTAAGCATCTTGAAGTGGCCATATTGAGGCTGTGTAATTTTCTCTTGTGATGGTAAGTGTTGTGCATCGGTATGTGTGTAATATATGTGTAGTATATGTGTGATATCTGTAATGTGTGTGATCATAATGCGATCGGAATTTGAGTGCGTAGATTTTCCTTATCCTTATCACTTACCACATCAGCATTATACATCATGACAACTGCTCTATTAAATACACTAACCCTGGAGGTGAATCAGTTTATTACTAGTGGCCAAGAAAGCTTAGACGCTTTACTTGACGACTCGAATAGTTTCTTACAACTGTTGAAAGAATTGGAATCCGATTTGGAAAAAGAATTAAATGTGGAGCAAGGAGAGCCACAGGCGCAAAATGGCGACACCCACGACACCACCACCAACAAACAAGTCAGTGGGTTACTGAAGCAAATGGATAGTTGGTACAAATCATCGATAAATCGACTCAAGACTTACAATACTTCCAACAACAGGTTTCTGAAGAATGTTCTCAATAGTAGCAAATTTGGTGTCAACTTAGATGATGCCTACATATACCCCTTGAATATGGATACCTACCCAGTGGGCGACTTCGATCTTGACAAAGCATTGAATGAAATAAATATAGCACCGCATAACCGGATCCCCTTGGATCTTAAGAACAAGAGCGTCAGGCGAGAGAATCGACAAGAATTGACCAAAGCAATAATCCTACATTTGTTGAAGATTGGCCAGAGCAATATTGTACCTACCATGGTAGAGCAATTGCTAAACGACCCTACAATATCGATAGACCTGGAGTTAGCAGAGAGGTTTAAGTTGCTCAATCTGATTGTTGATGACATCTGTATCAGCCATGACTTGACTGATGCCTTAGGCTGGTTCGAAACCAAATTCAACGAGCGAGCCGTTGGAAAGGTACCACCTATTGAAAGAAGTGATACCTTAAGCGAAGTTGAGTTCAAGTTCCATATGCTCCAATTTATCATTTTATTGAATGGAAAGGAGCGGAAATTTACTGCTAACGATGCGTTGGAAGCATATTTTTACTCAAGAGAGCACTTTAGTAAGTTCTTAAAGGACTACCTAAATGAGTTAGCACCATTGATGTCGTTGATTCTTTTTAATTCAGATTCGGGAATTGAAAACTTTTCACGACAGAAACACAAGGAGGTTGCTATAAGTAATTTTATTGAAAAGCTAAAGCAAGGTTTTGCGATTGAGGCAGAAGAAGTTCTTAACAATGGAAGACAGGGTCAGGCGGAGTTTGTGGCCGAGTTGCTTAACAGTTTTAATAACATTCACGAAAATGAAGAGCTATTTGCCAATTTGTCACATGACTTTGTTGCAGAGTATTGTAAGGATTTGAAGTTGTCAAGTGACTCGTCGTTGTTTCAAAGCATTTTAGCTGGTCATATTTACTTGCCCAGTTTTTACAAGTACAACCAAATTGAGTTAAAGATGAAACGATTTAATGACCGAACCAAATCCGGTCAATCTGAGAAGGATATAATTATGAACAACGTTGCATCGTTTCATTTTGAATTACCGTTTCAGCTACCAGACTCGAACAGGTTTTTGTTTAGAAACCATCCCATCTTCATTTGCCCTGTCACACGAGAGCAATCCATACCTCTTTCCGAGACTATAGAAGAGCCGATATCGGTCCATTATGATGACAAGGACCAAGCTGTGACCAGAAAGAGGAAAGTCGCAGTCGACAACCCACTTAATACACAGGTGGTTGCATTAAAGTATTGTAATCATTTGGCGTTGAAGGAGAGTGTCTGGCACCTTTCTAAAAAGGGAATTGATGTATTCAAATGTCCCTATTGTTACAAGAAACACAAGTTTACAGATGTGGTAGATGCATACTTTATAGATTTATAATCTGAAGTGGTGACAGCTAAACTGTGAGTTGGGGATAAATTGAGAATGTCAACCTCTGGTAATGAGAGAGAGATGAGCTTGATTGTAGACTATCAGATGTGGTGATGTGCAGTCTTTCTAAACTCCTCTTCTGATTGTTTGCAACCTTTGACAGAGTCTGCCTCAAACCGAACTGCGATCTCATCTGATGAGATTTATACGGAAAAGCAAAAAAAAAAAAACGAAAACAATTCTCCATCTAAATCGGAGCCTATCAAACACAATGCAACCCAAGAGCAACAACAAGGGCAAAGATCCTACTCTACTAATAAACGAGGAGTCCATTTTAGGCGAGAGATGGTGTCCCATATATGAAAAAGTTGCCAATTTTGAGCCTACCCATTTCGAACAGGCGATGCTCAATATTATCAAACAACCCAATATCAATTCAACTGTAATACTACGAGCCGACATTTTGAAGGAGAAAATCTACGATCCAAATGAAGGAGAAACTACTTTCATAAGCAAGTTGATAAATTCTGTTCCTGATGTCGAATCCAAAGACCAGGGAAATGAGGTTGTTTTGCTACATCGCGATTTACAAGATGTTAATATTCGGGAGATAAATGTCGATGGGTGTCAACTAAATTTAAAGAATAGATGTGAAATCGTGCGGAGAATGATTCCACGGAATCCATTTAAAGATTTTATCATCAATCAGACGTGTTTGGTGATGAAGACAGACGATGAACAGAGCGTGCTTGTGGTGTATGTGCCACATATACATACAGCCGAAGAAATTCCATACTACTTACCTCCAGTGTATGCCGTGGGAATATTATACCACAATAATAGGGTGTCTCTTCATTATCTACCATTTGAATTGGACGACTGGCGTGAGGAAAGGAACAAAATAAAGAATATGGACTTATCGGAAAGGCCCATTAGAATTGCATTGAGGTTACTACAGACATCTACCAAGCATTCAAGTGGTGTCAAACTAGGATACGAGAAGCGAGTCAATCACGATTTGGTTGTTTCCAAGGTCGATTTTCAAAACAGGTACATCACTCTCAAGTCAAAGTATTCATCAGACTTGGTTAATTCATGGTGTGAATCTACTGATCCAAAGAAACATGTATTTGAAGATCTTGCAATAGCCGCATTTTTGATTGAGTATTGGAAGTTAAAAAAATACGACAAAAATGAGTTTGAATTTCGTGATTTGGGTTGTGGCAATGGACTCCTTGTGTATATTTTGATGATGGAGGGCTACAAGGGTGAAGGAATAGATGCACGAGCAAGGAAGTCATGGAAAATGTATCCACCCCATGTGCAAGAAAAATTAGTGGAAAAAATTATTGTTCCTAGTATCTTATTGAAACCGCATCCTTCGTTGGCAAAGATTGCCCCACATATAAAGGATAATGGCAGGCAATTTGCCGAACCAAAAAATAACCAGGTCAACTACCACACAGCAGAGAGTTTGCTCAATTCACCTAATGTATGCACCACTGAAGATTTCCCTAAGAAGACTTTTCTAATAGGGAACCACTCCGATGAGTTGACGTGTTGGATCCCACTATTGGAATATCCATTTATGGTGATCCCTTGTTGTTCGCATTCACTAAACGGTAATAAAATGAGGTTCACGCCGAGAAAGGTAAAAGGCGCATTGCCCAACCAGTCAATGACATCAACTTATGGGTCTTTAGTTGACCATGTAGAAGATATTGCCATTTTAAATGGGTGGCAGATTGAAAAAGAGATGCTTCGTATACCAAGTACAAGAAACGCAGCAGTGATGAGTAGTGAGAAAGTGAAACCATTTCAAAGCGAGCCGCTGGATATTTCTCAATTGAGGGTCTTGGATATAATTGCCATGGAAGGGGGTGCAGAAGGATGGGTTGAAAACGCATTGAATTTGATGAAAAAGGCGCCTAGGAGTCATTAGGTAGATAAATGTTGTTTGGTTTAATAGACTGCTTTATAGAATGTAATTGTAACTAAGTTAGTGGCTTTGTTAAAAAGTAAACAAAAGTTGCACAAAATAAGTTGTATCTCATAATTTTTCCATTTTTGAACATTTTAAAAAGTCGAGAAGAACTGCTCAACGACACTTGCCTCACAACCAATCGCTTACCCCCCCTGGAATCATGACCGGCTCATCATCCCAGTATGTATATATACACATAGTATATTTATGATCTATGCATCATTTTACTAACATCTGCTAGATTTCAGCAACTTGAGAAGCTAGGCGAAGGAACTTATGCCACCGTGTACAAGGGACGTAACCGAGCCACTGGCGCGTTGGTTGCATTAAAAGAAATCAACTTGGACTCGGAAGAAGGCACACCATCAACGGCCATCAGGGAAATATCATTAATGAAGGAGTTGGACCATGAGAATATCGTGACATTGTACGATGTTATACATACTGAAAATAAATTGACGCTTGTATTTGAATTTATGGATAAAGATTTGAAAAAGTATATGGAAGTTCACGGTCAACAAGGTGCATTGGATTTGAAAATTGTCAAGAGCTTTTTATTTCAGTTACTCAAGGGAGTCATGTTTTGCCATGATAATAGAGTCTTGCATCGTGATTTAAAACCACAAAATTTATTAATCAATAGTAAAGGTGAGTTGAAATTGGGTGATTTTGGATTAGCTCGTGCATTTGGTATCCCCTTTAATACCTTCTCCAATGAAGTTGTTACTTTATGGTACAGGGCCCCTGATGTGTTATTAGGTTCAAGAGCTTATACCACATCAATAGATATTTGGTCAGCTGGATGTATATTTGCAGAAATGTGTACTGGTAAACCATTATTCCCAGGTACTGCTAACGACGACCAGTTGATTAAAATTTTTCGGTTAATGGGGACCCCCAATGAACGCACATGGCCCGGAATCAGTTCTTACCCCAATTATAAAAATAATTGGCAAATTTTTGTCCCGCAAGATTTGCGATTGTTGGTGCCTAACTTGGATTCCATGGGTTTGAACTTGTTGATGAGTTTGTTGCAAATGAGACCTGAGCTGAGAATCACGGCTAGACAAGCTTTGCAACATCCGTGGTTCCACGAGATAACAATGCCCACTCCTGTACAGCACCATTTAAGTGACCCTTACCAACAACAATATCAACAACAGCAACAGCAGCAACAACACCACTCATCAGATGCGGCACAACAACCTATTATTGATCAACAGTATTGAGATTGTTTTTTTGTATAGAATGAATGTATGAACAGAGTTCGATCTATTAGTCTATATATGCTTGATTCTTTGAGTCATTGAGTATGATTTGCGTAACTTCGTTAATAAAAGGCACTTCAGTACCAGAATACTCATCTGTTTTTCTAGCTTCAAGAATTTCGTGTATTAGGTGCTCAGCATTGGTCTTTTTGTGCGGTTGACCAAGAAGAAAGCATAAAATGTTGAAATATCTTTCTGATGAGATGCTTTTGATATATATGTGATGGGGGATTGTAATTTGGTTCTCATTGTTTTCGACTTCACCGAAATACACATGGCCAGAGCTCATTCCATTGGCAAAATTGTAGAAATTCAACTCATCTATTGAAAATCCACCACCCCCAACCACTTGCTCGTCTTCATAGGTAGGCAACGGAGGATTCTCCGACACTTTCCCCAATGGATCTAAATCATAATTCAAATCTTGGTCATCTTTCATCGAAATAAACTTTATGTACTTGTCAAATTCATCGTACATTGACGAATGCTCAAAAATGCCCGTTCTTAATTCATAATTGACTCGTTTTGCCAAGGCATCGATTTCATCAAACTTGACCTTGAGAAACATCAATCTCAACTTACGATTCATGTATATATCACTTCGAGATTTGTAGCGTAAAAGCTTTCGCTCGTTAATGGTGTCGCCAAATGTAAACAGGTCAAGGCTGGTCAATAATTGCCTCGACACAAATCGGAAATTCAAAATCGATGCATCAATGACATACCTTCCAGCTATGGAGTTATACTGCAGCCAAAGTAGCTTGAGTCCCTTTATGCTCTCTAGCAATTTTGGATAAAACGTGCTTCGTTCAACTTCAATATGTACTCGATTCAACCTGTCAATACAGGATTCGTAGTACTGAATTTTGGATTCAATGGTGTTGCAATCAAGTCGACTATTCAAATCGGAAACAAAGTACAACCTTATCATTTGCAAAGCCAACGAATAATGTGGCCATGAGTTGGTAATGCTATCATCTTTTGTAGTAGTGGACCCTTGGTGATCTCCTTTGAATTGCAAGTTGGCATACATGGTCTTATTGACTAAAGGCAAATTGTTATTTGGGCCGGCTAGAAGGAATATCTTGTACATTAAGTTTATGGGGAGATGATTGATGGTTAGCTTACGACGTGTTTCATTGTCCCATGGATTCTTCTGAAGTTGTTTCTTTGATGGTACTTGTGTGATGCTAGATTTGACCAGCGGAAGTGTTTGGTTTCGCCTTCTCCTTTTTCGGTAAGGCTCCAGTGAAAACCGACTATTTAACGACTTTAATGGTTTGCCGGGCAAGATGAACCCCATGACTCTGGCAACTTAGTGAGATGAAGATCTAGCTCCATCTCCGAAAATAAAATAAATCATGCGCGCTCACACCGCGCGCATTTCCCTTTGAAGCACTTCTACAAACTAAGTCAAAACGAAATATTTAAAACATTCAAACTAAATACAAAAACCTATACCTTAATTCTTGAATTGGTCTTCGGTGACACCAGCACCCATGGCGGCAGTAGAAGTTACACCACCAGAGACCATCTTCAACAAACCATCAATGTAGTTAGCACCAGACCATTTTTGATGCTTGACAACTTCGACACCCTTGGCAATTTCTGGTTCTTGAACTTGAGAACCATATGCCTTCATACCAATCTTGGAGTAGTTGTTGGCGAAATCATCAACTGCCAATGCAGTAGTGTGGAGACCAGCCAAAGTGATGAATTGCCAGACGTAACCAAGTTCACCCAATCTCTTGATATAAGTTTCTTGCTCGTCAGCTGGCATAGCCTTGGTCCAGTTGAATGATGGTGACAAGTTGTAGGCAAGCCATTGGTCTGGGACAGCAGATTTAACACCGTCGGCGAATTCCTTAGCTTGAGCGTAATCTGGCAATGCGGACTCCATCCAGATCAAGTCAGCATATGGAGCAAAAGCTCTACCTCTCATAACAGCACATTGGCAACCACCCTTGTATCTGTAGTAACCTTCTCTGGCTCTTGAAACTTCCCAGTTGAAATAAATGTCCTTTCCGAGAAGTTCTCTGGCCAATTTTCTGGCTTCTTTGTTGGAAGTTTCCGATAATGGGTTGACCTTGTCAGTGAATTTCTTGATCAATTGGTCTTTGTTCGAGTACGAACCATTCTTGATTTCATCAACAACAGCTTCCGAGAACAACTTGACACCGGCCTTCTTGGTCCATTCGGCTTCAATAGCACCCAATTCGTCACCGGTGGCACCTCTTCCTTCAGCTTCAACCAATAATTGAACCAAGTCACCTGATTCGGGGTTGGTGGCACCAGCAATAAAGTAGTGGTCTCTGTGGTCAATAGTAGAAGTGATCAAAGTAGCAGCTTCTGAATCGGTTCTAGCAACAGCCAACAAGTTTGAGCCAAAGATATCAGCAGAAGCTCTAATAGCAACCAATCTGTTAATGTGTTCTTGGACTGGAACCAAAACCTTACCAGCCATATGGCCACACTTTTTGGTACCTGGAGCTTGATCTTCAATGTGGATACCAGCAGCACCTCTCTCAATAAACAATTTAGTCAATTTGATGATAGCAGTTAAACCACCGTGACCAGTATCAGCATCAGCAATGATTGGTCTTAAAAAGTCGGTGTATGGGGTCTTGGCTCTTTCTTCTGGGGTCATGGTCAATCTCTCTTCGTGTTGTTTTCTGTCGTGGAACAACTGGGCAAACCACAAGTGTTCAACCTTGTTTGGAACAGTGTCCATTGGGTAATCAGCCAAATCTGGAGATGGTTCATTCGAAGTAGAAGCGGTTGAGGAACATTGCCATCCAGAAACGTAAATGGAGTCTAAGTACTTGGCCATTTGGGTAACGTGGATTGGGTCCAAGGCACCGAAAGTGAAGGAGACACTCTTGTTAGCATCGTGCTTTTCCAAAAGGGAAAACAATTTATCAGCTTGTTGGGAAGATGGGTAGTTGATCTTTACAGTACCTCTCTTCTTAGCAATGTCTTCGGCAGTGTAGATTCTCTTGGTTTTTCTCCATCTTGGTTCTGCCCACCATTTTTTGATTTCATCAACTTCCTTTTGGAAGTCTTGTTCTTCCTTTTTCAAGTCAATAGTAGTGTAAGCCATGTTTGTGGTAATTGTAGTAATAACAACTGTACTAGTTGGATAAAGTTTAAATTTGAAGAGAAGAAAGGGAAAGGGAAAGGGAGATTGAGAAATGAGAAATGAGAAATGGGGGGATATCGAATGATATTTATAGTGAAATTTATTGTTCAATATAATTATGGTTGTCGGTGTTATATTACAATTTTTCACGGGAGAGTGGGAGTGGTGTGTCACAGAGAGAGAGTACATAAGGAAAATAAAAATAAAAATAAAGTGGACACAAAAAAATGGGCATGTAAAAGACAAAGAGAGAGAGTCATCATTTTAATCATCAAATTTAGCAAAAGAAGTAGTAATAACCATCCGAGGAAGCATACAGAAAGGTCTATCAGCAACTAATCGCTAACATTTCTAGTAAGGAAAAAAGATCAAAAGGCACATACAAAAACACAGCCAGAGTCAAATATAAGTGAGTGTGGAGACAAATACGTTTCTGTCTTCTCTCTCCTCTTTATCCCTCCTTTTTAAATTGCTTTGATTCATTTTCGCTTTTCCCCGGATTTTGACATGCGAAAAATATTTCTTTGACTGTCGACGTTAGAAAAAAACAAAGTACAAGTTTCCTGCATATTAATTAACTCTCGGGTTCTTTGACTATTGTCGGTGTTTTATGAGCTGGCGCTATTGTATTTGCCAATGGAAACAGTTTAAGCAGTAGCAGACGTTACACTAATTCGCGTAGTTAACTTAGAAAGAGAGGACTATATAGTGCTAGTAGTTCAGATATGTTGGATATTCTCTTTTTGCAGTGGAGTATGGTAGCAATTGAAAGAGTATCCAGCATTTGGCAGTTTTGAGAACAGGAAGTGCTATGGAATTATTCAGTAAGAGCGATAGCTACTTGGATGCTGCTGAAGCAGATCATTGGACGTTTCATTCCATTGATCCTACAAACACAACAGAAATAAACCCCAGAAAAAAAATTCTGAAAAATGTAATTCCTCGGTTGAATGGGAGTACCATTTTAAGTCTAAGTTGTTGTTTGCCCTACCATATTATGAAACCGTAGTGGTGATTACATCTGCAAAAGCACTCGATGCATTGATTGGTTGCCTTGCAGTACTACAGTGTTTGAGAAATGGTGCGATAAGTATAGCATCTCACCTAGGTAAAACATGAATGACTACAACGGCCAACCGATGATGCAACCCCAAATCAGTTGATTACTCAACCCTCAGTCGGTGGTTCAACTCCCCAGTCAGAAGCTCCATCCCCTATGACATATACAGAATTCGAGTAACCGCTATATTTTGGTTTCTGCAATCCCGGTGCCGAAAGTCGCAATCGAAACAAAAACAAAAGACCGTGAAAACTTTCCCAATGAGGTAATTGTTTTATTTGTCCGGCGCTCAAAAATAAAATAGAATAAAATAAAAAGAAATATATATATAAATTTTTTTTTCATTTACCGTGGAACAGGAACAAAACATTTCTTGACTGTGAAAAAAAAAAAAAAACTATTGAGAAGAAAGGGGCCCTGAAACGGTATATTGACGTAATTATATAACGAATTGTATCGTGTGAGGAACAATCTTCATAGCATTCAATGGTAGAGCCGAAGAGTAATACCAATTAGGTGTTAAAATCCCATTGGATTTGTAGTTACTAACAATGTTGTGCTCTTGCCAGTAAACTCGTCTCGTGACTTTATAAGGATCAACGGAAGAAAGGAATGCCTAAAACCATTTTCAATGTAAAGCGTGTAAAACAGCGCAAAAAATTATAAGACAAAAGGTGGGGAAGGCGGACCCAAAGAGGTTTGTTTATCTACGTTATCGTTGCAATCATTACATTGTCTCACTCTTCTTATTCACTTTCTCGCTTTTTTTGACGCGTTGGGATCACTATTTTGTTTTCTCTTTTTAACCAACCCAGACAAATCATTCACCACCTTGGGAGCACTTGTTGTAGTGGCACTCTTGCTACTACTACTACTTCCCTCTGCACCCTTTTTTTTCACAATGGATGTCAAGTTATTAATGATTGCTTGTCCAGCATTAGCACCTGCAGCATCACTGCCTAATATACCCTTCATTATATCCAATTGATCTTGTTGCAACTGTTCATTTGGATCTTTAATCAAATCCTGATACTTTTCCTTCAATTCACCAATCATCTGCTCATTGTCCTTCCTTTTTGTTTCGTCGGTTTCTTTCTTGTTCCTGGCCTCTGTTGATTTTATTGCCAGCTTAATATGTTGTGCTGCCTTCTTTCGTGATTCACCGGCATCGTCTCCTTCATCCTCAACACAAAATTCCAAAGCAAGCGCTAGCTTGTAGTGGGATTCTGATACAAGGGGTGAATCAGATGGGTATAATTCTAATCTTAAATCAAGTGACTTGTTTAAATCCTGGGCTGATTGAGGGAAGTTTTCCATTTCCAAAGATACTTCACCGAGAATGTCATATGTTTCAGACAATTTTTTCAACAACTTGACATACTCATCTTCAATTAACGCAGTTTCATTACTAATGTATGGTGGAGATTGTGTTGGTTTGGTGGCAGACTCGATTTGCTTTTCAAATACAGCTCTGGTTGCATCTAAAATCATCCATGCCATCTCCAAATCCCCCGGCTCCTGGCCCTCTTCATCACCTTCTTGATCTTGCTCGTCTTCAGAACCGTCTTCGGTCGTTCCGTCAGCACTCGTCTCACCATTTTTTTCTCCTTCCGCTGGTTCCGCCCCTTCTCCCTCTATTTCACCTTCAATTGGCTCAGCATCATAAAATTGAAACTTATCCTCACCTTCTGCATCTTCCTCACCTTCTCCATCTTGTTTCTCCTCATCACCATCTTGTCCATTTGCACCTCTTACACCACCCAACACTTCACTCTTGCTTACTCCATTTTGATACAATGCTTTTCCGTATAGAAATAATAAATCTCCATCCTCTTCTCCTTCATGTTCATTTGAATACTCTTCACAAGCTTTTCCGTATTTTTCAGATGCCAATTCATAATCCTTGGATGCATACAACTTGGACCCTTCCAGAACTAGCTGGTTTATCTCTGTTGAATATGACATTGTGGTTTATTAGATTGATTCAATTGTATGCCAGTGTTGCAGTCGTACGATGAAGAAAAAGGACTTTCGAAAGACGTTTTTCTTTAAAATTATTATTTTGTGGAAAGACGCGACTGCGAATTTATCGTGTAGCAAAGCAAATAAGCAACAGTCTCTGAAGGATAAGTGAGGAAGGATATTGGATGAGGATATAGGCTCTAAGATAGCATTGGAAATGTATTGTCGACTTCAATACTACGTATAAACTGTTGCACTTTGTAAGAACTATTTCCCTTGTTTTAGCATTTATAAAGATATTTACCCAAATTGTTCGCAAAAGAGAATTTTTAAAAAGAAAGGTAATATGCTTTTGATGTTACATTTACAAATATAAACCACTAGATACCCCAGCTTCCATCCCAAACACTGTTCCCTCTAACAAGGTCATTTGTGTTACAGCCATAGTTTTCTACATTCGGTAGCGATTGTAACTTTTGTTTCGCTTAAAGAAAAAAGATCAATAAATCAAAACAATATCAGAGCCGCTTGCAAACATCTTCAAAACTAGCGACTCAATTTTGCTTTACAAGTGCTAAAGACAAGATTCTATTCCGAATACATATTGCTGAACATCTACTTTAAAGTGAGATACAAGAAGCGACCGAATTGTCGATAGTGTGTGACAATGTCTAAAAAGCTACCTAGAAGAAAACCCCCACCATTGGAAACAGATGCCGGATCTACAGAATCAAGCAACTTTGGCGGAACACTATTTACTTTACCCCCAGAGCTGAGTCAATTTGCACGGCCGATACCTACACAACATGTCGACTACTCAACAAACACTGTCGATCTACTAAATTTGTCTACTCCAACAGAACCACTGTACAACGACACAACTGAGATTTCTTTTGATGAATCCTTCACTTCGGTTGACTCGCCTAAACCAAAGGGGCCGAAGGAAATATGGGAATACGACCAAACTCATTTCAACGCTATTCCAAAGGACATCTCATCAAGACCCACACACGCTAATATACAAATCAGTCGAATTCTTCCTAATCGAAGTTATCAACAAATGTCAAGATCGCAATCAAACCCAAACATGGTTAAGAGCACGTCTGTAGAATCAACTCCTCCTTATCCGGTGCTGGTGCATCAAGTGGAACCTCATAACCCACCTTACCCCACAGGACCCATTGAAGACTTTCTAGACGACGATTTCGATAGCGAATTCGCTTTTGATGTTGATTCTCCTTCACAAAGAAGGACTCGAGCTATTATAGAGGAAACAGTTTTTACAACCTCACCGAAAATGAATGATATCCCCAACTTGAGCACAAGAAGCTCGCAATCAACAATCCCAATCAATCACAATCAGAGACAGAGCATAGACACTTCATTCACCGATCTGGCCGGGTCGTCGCCCACATGTACGCCTAACCATAGGACATCCATGTATTCCTACTTTCCGGAATCAAATTCACAGAGTCGTTCGCCGTCGCCCAAGCGGTCTATACATAGCAACTACTTTGATTCAAGCAAGCCTGTCCTTATGGTAAATGACCACGCAGAGGAAAATGAAGCACAGGACTCGTTGTATTCTAAACACCATCCTGTATCACCTTATAGAGTGGTTTCTGATAACCCGTTTTACGATGAGCAAGAGTTTTATAACTTTGAGTCACCAGCTACGGATTATTTTGATTATTCATTCTTGCCTGAGTTACCGCCAAGTCGAGATATAAGTTCCACAAGCTCGCCACCACCACCACCACTACCGACAGGACCACCGCCACCGCTCCCCAAGAAATTGCAAGAATTACCACCACTCCCCTTGGATCTCCCTCAACTCCCATTTAGCTCTTCTGCATTACAAGCACAGCATTTTGAAACTTGCTCTAGTGTATGGTCGCTATCAAATTTGTTCCAATGGTGTTGCAAATTACAAATATGGTTGAGCGATCTGACGATTTCAAAATCGGAATTGATCAAAGCAATCACAAGGTTAATTGCATTCCATAGGAGCGACGTATCTCTCGATGTGGTGATTCATAACGCACAGACCGCCTTCAACTCATTCTTGCAAGCTCAAGCAATCAAGGTGATGGAATTGCATAGACCCAATGCCAATGGAGACCGAAGTGTTGTCATATTCGACGATAGTGCGTATGTGAATGGTGTTCTCCCCGAGCTACTGCAATGTTTTACTACTATTACACACACTAAGGATGAAGGTATGACTTGTTATTCCACAATATGCCCTTTTAGCAGAATGATGAACCTCGAGCGTAAAATGAGATCTATGAACATTAAGGATATTGTCTTGGCAACAGATTGGGCTGCTCATTGGCGGTTGACTGTTGATGATTTGCGAGATTTAGACACAAATATGATCAAGCGGCAATCATTAATCTTTGACTTGTTGAGGTACGAACAAACATTTATACAAAGAGCTAGATGTTTTGTTGATGTTGTCGGCCCGCTGTTTGTCAAAGCTGCAAAAGGTTTCTTAGGGCTGAATAGCTCCAAAATAAAAGTGTTTGAAGATGAAGTTATCAAAACAGGCGCTTCCATTGTTGATATACATCAGAGCCAGTTGTTTGAACCGTTATTAAAGGTGCTAATTTCCGAAGGTAAATTTATCAAAAACGTGATTGAAATTGTCAATATTTACACCGATTGGGCCAAGCAGGTCCGCCCATATTTGGTGACGTATATGAACAACATGCCAATGATTGAAGAGCTATTGAGCATTCCCAGCTTGAAAACATATGTTGACCAACGCATTGGTCAGTTACCGAGGGTCAAAGAGTTGAGAGTCAATGTGCCTATTTTGTTTATCAGCACATTCAACTCGAGGTATCAGCAGATACCATTACAGTTGTTGGACATTCAGAAACGGTTTGATCGACATGAACCAGAGTACTTTTTGTTGCAGCAGGCGAGTGATGAAATTAAAAAGTTGGGATCAAAGATTAATGACTCGAAAAAGCTTGCTGATAATGTGCATGCACTTGAGCAATTGAAAACGCAATTGTATTGGAAGTCGAGTCTCCGCCAACGGAACCTAAACTTGGGATCAGTCAATAGAAAACTCATTTGTCGCGGTGATCTCAGCAGACGCGGTGACTTGAAAATCACATCACAAATCAATCATGTGATCATTTTGGACAATGTCATTCTCATCACTGAGCGGTTAAAGACCCCCAAGCCGAACGGGAACCAGTACAAAATTTGCGAGGACCCCATACCAATTGATTTCCTCATTTTTGAAGACCGTGTAATGTCGACATCAACAATTAAACTCTCGTCATCGCCAATTACCAAGACAGAGGAAGAGGATACAACGAAGTATGGAGTTAAATTGCGTTATGCTGGTAGGCCGAGACACTCGTACTTGTTTATTTGCAAAACAGAACGAGAGAAAGATGATTGGATAGATTACTTGACAACGGCGAGGGCTAATATGAACAAGCGACTTTCGAACACAAAGTTGTATAGAGGTAAACCGATATCAACAACGTGTTTTGCATATGAGCTTAATAACCGCATTACGAAGTTGCCCGTCGTTGTACCAAACGACACCATATACAGTCTCTACAAGGAGTCAGTGGAAAAAGCGCAAACTTTGGGAATTAGTGACATTTACAGCCCACAGATTTTAAGAAGTCGCATTGTCCACAGTTCGATTCAGTGCTGTGTCACTTTTGAGCTTATGGATTTGAAATTCACCTTTGTGGGGCTACACTCGGGGCTATATTGTTGTGCATCAAGGAGCCGATGGAAAAAGCTCCTCCACGGAGATTTCACCAAGGTACATGTCGACACCAGCATTGGGTTGGTGGTTATACTTAGTGACAAGACTCTACGCTACTACTTTCTCCGTCAGTTGCTCGATGTCTACACTGGAACGCGACTGGAAATCGCTGGAATCACCCTTTCAAAAGAGCCGGTTCTCTTTTTCTCAATGAAAACGCACAAGAACGTGCCAATGCTATTTGTTGCCAAAAAGAAATTAAACATCACCTCGTTCAAGGTGCTTATTCCCGAGACTGACAACAATGGTGTTTTTTGCCGCTTCAAAGATGATCGCAAGTTTTATATTGAAGCAGAGTGTTTTGGCATTTCCATATTCAACTCATCATTTGCATTACACACAGACAAGGGGTTTGAAGTTATGGAGTTGGACAAGTTGATGCCACGCTCAGTTCCTGATTTGCCTCGAGCTGAAACTGAGCGGAAAAAGTTGGATCAGTTTTCTCGCAAGACGACCAGTTCCACCATGCTTGAAACAATTAAAAAGCTCGTTGTATCGCCAGCCTCTATACCAATGGGTATGTTTAAGTTGAATAATGGTACTGAATTTCTTCTTGTTTACTCCGAATTTGCCATATTCATCGACAAGCATGGGAAATTGTCGAGGGAAAAGACTGCCCTCCTTTTCGATTTCAAGGCACAATCGATTCATTTTGTCGATAACCATTTGTTTTTGGTGAGAGATGACATTGTAGAGGTGTTGTCTATATCTGACTTTTCCAAAGGCTCGAATGATTTAGTACAGCTTATAACTGGGAAAGGTATTAAATTGGTTTCAAGTGTCGAAGAGAGAAATGTAACCTTGGCGATGGCAAATCCCCGGGTTTGTGGTTTGCAATTGTTGTTTGATTTAGTTAGTTAAAACGCAGCACCAGTACATCCATTTAGTTACTTAATATACACACTACTTGTAACCATTAGCAGAGAGCCACTCTAAGATCAATTTGGAGTCGCGATCGGCCCATTTGCCCTTGGCAGTGATGATGTCCAAGGATTGAGCCAAACCTTGGTTGTACCCCTTGGTATCCCTTGAACTAAAGAATTTCTCAACATCCTTTTTTTGCTCCTCTTTGGTGAATCCAGATGTAGTTAAAGTGACAACAGAACCCAACATGGACAATCCTGGGGGTAACAACTCATAAACAGCATCCCAGTTTTCCTTTAACCATTGCCACAACTTAACAACACCACCTGCATGTGACCTCAAACCTTGCATTGGAATGTAAATGTCTTGTTGCTTGATAATGTCGGTTTGCAACAACAACCCAGTGACTTTGTCCATAAGCTCTGGCTTTTCGAACCTACCCAATGAGCGCAAAGCAGCAATCTTTTCTTCAATTGATTGCGGGTTTTTGTAAATGGCGAAAATTTCATCAAACGTCTTTTCGTCACCATTTTTAGCATTAACATTGAAGATGGTGGCTCTCAAGTTTGGATGGATAGCCTTTTTATCACCAGCGACAAACTTTTTGAATGCATCTTTGGCAAACTCAACCGCTTTTGGGTCGTCAGAATTTGCCGCAGAAGCAAACAACGAGGTCTTTAATTGTTGGTCTGCAAAAGAGTCAGTGCTCTTGAAGTCCCACCCAATCTCCTTCAACTTGTCGCCAATCAAATCCCTAGTGAACACCTTCAAGGCATTTTTGGTGGCATCATCTTCAAACAACAATGCAGCCTTGATGGATCCAACTCGGGTCAAAATCTCATCCCAAACAACGTAGTTTGACTCTTTGGACCAGGACTTGACCAAGTCTAACAAGCTTGAGGTTTTGATGAATCCAGAGGATGCTAACGAGCCAGCATCGGCAACAAGCCCAACACGATCCTCAACTGAAAGTTTACCGTCAACACCAGCTTTACCCAATTTGCTCCACCTTGATGGCTCATAAGCAGTACGGTAGATACCGGCTTGGTCGCCGTTGATTTTGAAGAAATCATTATCAGTGGGTAACTTGAAAGTGGTGGATCTGTCATCCAAGACCAAAGACTCGTCAAGACCTTTACTGGTTTTCAATCCCAAAAACACGGGGTACAAAACCTTGTCCTCATCAGGCTTGACATCACCAGTAGCCAAGAAACGGTTTTGCGTCACTTTAATCTCATTGCCCGTTTCTTCAACCTTGACAATTGGGAAACCAATGTTTTTGGTCCAAATGTCCATCACCTTTACCACATCCTTGCCCGAAGCTTCACTCAAAGCCTTCCACAAGTCTAAAGTTTGCGTGTTGCCCCATTTGTGCTTTTTCAAGTAATTTGAGACCCCCTTGATAAACACATCTTCGCCCAACCATCTCGAAATCATTTTCAACAAGGAAGAACCTTTGGAGTATGAAATTGCATCAAAGATTTGGTTAATCTCGTCTGCTCTTTTGACGGGGACTTCAATTGGGTGAGAAGCTCTCAAGGCATCCAAGGTTAATGCCTGCTGCAATGAGTCGGCAACATAGGATTCCCAAACTTTCCAATCAGGGTACAACGAGTCACAAGCATACCAGGACATCCAAGTAGCAAAACCTTCGTTCAACCACAAACCGTCCCAAAAGTCCATAGTGACCAAGTTACCAAACCATTGATGGGCCAATTCATGCATGACAACTTCGGTCACTCTTTGCTTGGTGTTGACGTTGGTGTTTTCAGGGTCAATCAACAAATCAACAGTTCTGTACGTGATTAGTCCAAAGTTTTCCATAGCCCCTGCTGAAAAGTCGTGGATGGCAACCATATCACATTTGGGCAATGGGTACGGAATGTCAAACTTTTTGTCAAAGAATGCTAAGGTCTTGGCGGCAATGTCGGCCGAGTATTGTCCCAAGTGCTGTGACCCAGGAGTGGCGTAGACCTTGATCGGAACGCGATAGTCATTGTTTTCGACATACTTTAAGTCACCGACAATGAAAGCAACAAGGTAAGTCGACATCAATGGGGTGGTGTTGAAGGTGACCTTTTTCTTGTGGTCACCAATCAAGTTGGTTTCCTTTTCATCCATATTCGACAAACAAACTAATTTTTCGTCAGCGATTAAGGAAATGGAAAACTTGGCCTTGGCTGAGGGTTCATCATACGATGGGAATGCTCTACGGCAATCAGTTGGTTCCATCTGGGTGGTTGCCAAGTACTTGGTTTTGCCATCCTCCTTGTACGTTGATCTGTAGAAGCCAGCCATTTTGTCGTTCAATTCACCGACAAAATTCAAGTGCAATTGAGCTTGAGCTCCTTCAACCAAGTGGTCTGGCAATTTGAAAGTAACAGTTTGCTTATCAGTGTCATATGAGATGTCCTTCACTGTAACCTCGTCAAGTTTGGCTTCTTTAATGTCAATCTCCAACGAGTTCAAAGTAATGTAATCGGTTCTTTCATTAACCTGGAAGTCAATTGTTTCCTGACCGTTGAATTTAAAAGTGTCGAAATTGGGTTCCAACGTCAAGTCGTAATGCAATGGGGTGACATTGGTGGGCAAGACTTCCCTGCCCTGTGGGTTTGCTTGGGAGCCAGTTCCGCTTGTTTTTAAACACATTGAGCAATATCGTTGAGGAGAAAATTGTGGAAGTTGTTGTAGGTGACGTGGGAATTGAATTGAATTTATAATCCGCCGAGTTGAAAAGTTTTGTGTCGCGAGAGAGCTATGGAGATATTTCTTAGAAACACTACGAATTCGGAACAATGTTGTTGTGAACATTGTGCAGTGCAAATGACAAGCGGTTCTAGTGACAGATGGATCTAGCGTGAAACGGCTCTAGTTGACTGACATCTAGCTCAATTATGCTGTGGTGCCACTCCATTGTCGACCCAAAAAAGAAAATTTCTCGCCAAAACGCCTTCCAGTATCCCTTTTGTGCTTCTTTTTTTTTCGTGCCGTAGTCCTAAGCGAACAAAGATCGTATACAGAGAGTATTAGAAGCACACTCAAACAATAGGTACAATTGTAGAGCTCGAGGTTTAATAGTAAACCGGTCTAGATGAAAGACATCATAGTCTTACAAAGTATTACAACTTACTTGAAGCTGTTCACTTCTAATGTTGTGTCTTTCATTTTTGCGACACGCATCGAGCCGCAAATATTTTTGTCCCGAACAAAAAAATTCGTAAAGTTACCACCATCATCACCTACACAATCATCCTCATATCACACACACAAACGATGAGCAGCTTAGCTACTGGATTACCCCCCAACTGGACAATCAAAGTCTCCAAAACACACGACAAGGAGTACTATCTCAACCAATCGACCAACGAATCCTCTTGGGATCCTCCATACGGGACAGACTTGCTGGTGTTGAACGAATATTTGACTAAATTCAAGGAGAACGGTCGCAAGCCCGTCATCAATAAAGATGGAAAAATCAGGGCTAGCCACATCTTGACTAAACATCAGAAATCTAGAAACCCCAAATCATGGAGGAACCCAGACATTACAATTTCAAGAGAGGAGGCAATTGATAGAGAAAGAGATATTCTTGCTAAGCTCTTGAAAGGAGATTCTACATTTAGTGAGATAGCTACATCAGAGAGTGATTGCTCTTCACATGGCAGAGGCGGAGACCTAGGTTACTTTGGAAAGAAGGAAATGCAGCCAGCATTTGAAAATGCCGCTTTCGGTCTACATGTGGGAGAGATTAGTAATTTAATTGAAACTGATAGCGGCATTCATATAATCCAGAGAACTGGATGAGTTTATAGTCTTTTAATAAAGAACTTATCGCAATTGTCTCGAATTTGTCGTTTTTGTAGCTTTACAAGCAACAAACCAGCTGGAACCGCCAATTTCTCTGAAACAAAATATCAAAAACCACTCTTTTAGAACTTCTTCATATGCCCTTGTGTCGAAGGTAGAAAGAAGACAAGCGACAACCCTAGTGGCGGGGTCCTTGAAGTTCCTCATATAACAGCAACTGAACAGCTTTTGGTGTAAGATAAAACCTGAGGTTGTTTGTGATACCACGGCACCTGCATCACCAGGACTGTGTCTTGTTTCCAAAATCACAGCGCCCAGAATGAGCTCTTGGCTTAGTAGGTTTTGTACCTATGGAGAAAGAAGGCCAGGGTGCCTATTTTTGCAGCCTGTTGTTTTGTTTTGAACAATCGCACACGAACACGAGCTCCAACAATAGAGAATGGTTGCAAATACAACCAGACTTAATGTGAATGGCTTTATCGTCCTTTCAGTGGTTCCTGCACGATGACGCCTGTGTATAAATAAAAGATGGATTCTTGGCCAAGCAAAGCTACTCTCTAAACAGGAAGTAGAGAGGCCTAATTCCATATAGAATTTGTATAGAAATTATTCAATGTATGTAGCACATTTCTAGGTATTCTGAAAGATGTATGATTACACTACGCCTTCATTCCTTTTTCGGGGAGAAATAAAGTTCTATATATAGTAAATTAATAGTATAAAAAAATAACACCAAGAGGATCTCGTCTCAACTCCTGGTTATTATGGGTTCGAGGTAAAACCCCATAAAGGGTTCGGAGCATAACTTACCTTCTCACGGCCGAGACTCAGCTAACATGCCATTCATCGTAGAGGCATGCAACCTGGGCGTTATATCTATATGAATTTACCACGTCCTTGCAGATTATCTAATACTGTCGTCGCAATCAACTTACATCTACTGGCTATTTTCAAAAAATAAGCAGCATTTACTTTACAGCTTGGCACTATATTAAACACCTATAAGGACTAAGGAAAAATGCCCCCATGTAAATATTCTTACTCTACTCTATGCTAATTTTAAAACTGGATTCCTTTCTCCTTCAATGCCTCCAACACTTGCTTGGCAACAACAGGAACGGGGTGGTCACATCTAACTTTAATGACTTTACCTTGTTTGTCAAAGTAATCCACCACTGGCATAGACGTGTCAATGAATGTTTTAAATCTCTTTCTAATACTCTCGATATTGTCATCAGCTCTCCCACTGGTCTTTCCCCGCTCTAATAATCTCTGCAACATAACTTGCTCGGGACATTCAAAGAAAATGGTTAAAGAAGATTTGGCAATTGTATTTTCAAAAGTTAATGCTTGGTCCATCTTTCTTGGGAATCCATCGACTAAAAACTTTGTCTGTCCTTGTTCATAATGTTGCTTAATTGCGTTCTTTAACAACTCAATTGTGACTTCTTGTGGTACAATGGTACCTTCTTTGATGCACTTAGCAATCAATTCACCATACTTTGACCCTTTCCTGATTTGTTCAGCTCTTAACAAGTCGCCAGCAGACAAATGAGTGAATCCTCTTTCTTTAACCAAAATGTCACATTGAGTTCCTTTTCCGGCACCTGGCCCTCCAAGGACAAACACAACATCGATCTTTCCTGGTGGGAATTCTGGTGAACTTGTTTGCGCTGTAGCTCCATTTGGTTCAAATGCAGATTTAGGACCGTCCTTGTTGTACAAAGTTGCAGCAATGGTCGATCCAACCACCAATGCACCCAAAATGAGCAACGTATTTCCCTTTAATGTGGTACGAGGTGGCTGAGGTGGTGGTGGTGTGGATCTTGTAGTTTTGAATCTACTAAATGCAAATCCTTGTTTCTGAAAGTTACGAGCAATCGCTCTAGCGGTGAAACATTGTCTAGGGAACATGGTAGAGAGAGGTGATAGATCTGAAACTACAAACATTACAGTGTTTATTTTTCTAATTTTCTTTTTTTTTTTTCATTCTGTATACAAAGAGAAGCTTTACTGATATTTAACGAGTTTCTCATCATTGTATCGAAGAAACTGTCCGTTGAGCTCAGACGGCCACCCTTTCAAAGCCAAGTTGGCATACACTCTACCTGGCTCCTCTGGAGGAACCAATTGCTTCTTCTCATGCAAATCGATAAATCTTTGCAACCCCTCTTTGCTCATATTGGAGCCAAATTTCTCTCTAATATCTTGCTGCATCTCGGTGTCGACAACTCCGGGTGCAACTGAAATGGCTTGGATGGATGGCTCTTCTGCTGCCAATGAAGCAATGAGGTGGTTCAACGCTGCTTTCGAGCTTCCATACGCATACCATCCACTGTAGACCTTGGTGGCGGCTCCAGAACTGACGGCAACGACATTGCCCTTGGTTCGCTTCAATTCGGACAAGCTAAGTTGTATCAATTGCACGATAGAAAACAAGTTAACATCGTACAACTTTTTCCAATCGTCAATTGAGGTGTTATTGATAGCGCCGACTGGATCTAATACCCCAGCATTGGCTACAATCGAGTCAATTTGTCCAAACTGGGTGAGTGCCACGTCGATTGCCTTTTGCGCAGTATTTTCATCAGTCACATCACCGGCAACAAAGTCAAAACTGTCTTTGCCATATTTATCTTTCAATGATTGAAGGGTAGTTTGTGACCTCGCAATGGCGACGACTTTAGCTCCGGGTGTTTGTAAAATGGAATCGACAATTGCTTTTCCGATTCCTAGAGGGAGGAGTTAGTCAAGCTCTTAAAGGGAATATAAAGCTTTAGTTACATACCTCTTGAAGCTCCTGTGACAATTGAAACGTGTATCATTAGATATCTCCTTATGCTTTTTCACTTTTCGTAACTTTCGCAATTTTTGCTTTTCTCCTTTTTCTACACTTCAAATCTAAGACTTACAAATTTTTTAGAATATATATGACTATAAAAAGTATATAAGACAGAGCGAAATAGCATGAGTCATTGTATCGCCAAGGATAAGTCGTCAATCTAGTTAAAGTTGGCGACAAAATCCTTGGTGATCTTGTGCAATTGGTCCAATTGGTCCTTGCTCAATTCACCTTTGTCTTGGATAGCTTTCAATAAGTCAGAGTAGTCTGATTTAAGATGAGAAACAAAAGCTTCTTCGAATTCACCAACCTTGTTGACTGGCAAGTTATCCAAGTAACCGTTGACACCAGCGAAAATGACTGGAACTTGCTCTTCGGCAGCCAATGGATGGTATTGTTTTTGTTTCAAGATTTGGGTCAATCTTTCACCTCTGGCCAAGGTTTGCTTGGTAGAAGCATCCAAATCGGAACCAAATTGGGCGAAAGCAGCAACTTCTCTGTATTGAGCCAAGAACAATTTCAATGAACCAGCAACTTGCTTCATAGCTTTAACTTGAGCAGCGGAACCGACACGGGAGACGGACAAACCAACGTTAATGGCTGGTCTGATACCCTTGTAGAACAATTCAGCTTCCAAGAAAATTTGACCATCGGTAATGGAAATAACATTGGTTGGGATATAAGCAGAGACATCACCACCTTGGGTTTCAATGATTGGCAAAGCAGTCAATGAACCACCACCGTTGGCTTCGGACATCTTAGCAGCTCTTTCCAACAATCTAGAGTGCAAGTAGAAAACATCACCTGGGTAAGCTTCTCTTCCTGGTGGTCTTCTCAACAACAAAGACAATTGACGGTAAGCAACAGCTTGTTTGGACAAGTCATCGAAACAGATCAAAGCATGTCTACCGTTGTCTCTGAACCATTCACCAATAGCGGTGGCGGTGAAAGGAGCAATATATTGCAATGGAGCAGCTTCTGAAGCAGTAGCAGCAACAATGACTGAGTATTTAAGAGCGTCATTTTGTTCCAAGGTTTGGACCAATTGGGCAACAGTTGATCTCTTTTGACCAACGGCAACGTAAACACAGTACAACTTCTTTTTTTCATCTGAACCATTGTTCCATCTCTTTTGGTTCAACATGGCGTCCAAAGCGACAGCGGTCTTACCAGTTTGACGATCACCAATGATCAATTCTCTTTGTCCTCTACCAATTGGGACCAAGGCGTCAACAGCCTTCAAACCAGTTTGCATTGGTTCGTGGACTGAGGTTCTTGGCAAGATACCTGGGGCCTTGACTTGAGCTCTTGAGTGACCTGAAGCATTGATTGGTCCTTTACCATCAATTGGGTTACCCAAACCGTCAACGACTCTTCCCAACAATTCTGGACCGACTGGAACGGAAACAATCTCACCAGATCTCTTGACAGTCTCACCTTCCTTGACTAATCTATCGGAGTCGAACAAGACAACACCGACTTGGTCAGCTTCCAAGTTCAAAGCCATACCTTTGGCACCGGAGGCGAATTCAACCAATTCTTCAGCTTGAATGTTATTTAAACCGTAGATACGAGCAATACCATCACTAGAAATTTCGTTAGTATTAAATTCAAAATGAGAAAGGAAAAAATTGGTGTGCGCTCATGGCGAAAAAAAAAGGTATGATTGGCCAATGAGCATCCAATATTTCACCGTCGACAAGGGCAATGCCAATGGCATCGACAACATTAACTGACACAACAGCTATAGTGTTGGTCGATAGCCCTTGTAAAATAGTTTAAAACACATACCCAACTGATAAAACTTTACCGGTTTCGTTCAAGTTAGCTTCATCGGAAACACCCTTGATTCTCTCTTCCAAGATAGCTGAGACTTCGGTTGGAGCAGCCTTGGCTGAAGCAAATCTTTGAGCGGTTAACAAAGTTGGACGAGCCTAGAGGAGAAGTTAGTATTCATGTGCTTTGTTGTAGTGTGCTTTGCTGGGAACGAAATAATGAAAAATGATTTCTCACTTAGTCGTCACCAAATCACCATCAATTAAAGTTCGAGTTGGTTGATACTAAGCAGCAGTGCCTGTTACTCCAATTGAAGCACTTCATTAAACCAATTGATTGTAAATCAGCACTTGATTGCCACGAATTGGACAATTCCCTCCCACTACTGATTCCCCAAAAAGAAACCCCCATTAATCGCTGATACATACAACTCTGACTGATGATCTAGCAGCAACAGCAGCTGAACGGACTGCGTTACGTAAAACAGGGCGTGCTGACAACATTCTATGTGTATGATATAATATTCTGTTGTTGATATATTAAGAAAGAAAGTAAGAAAGTCCTCTCAAGAAAACTCTTTCGTTGGTTTGGAAAAAAGTTCGCTGAAAAAAAAAAAAAGTAAAATTGAAAATTGTTCATAGTTTAGTACTGCACTGTATAATACATTATTTGTAGGTAGATTCAATGAGAGCCAATAAATTTTGTTTCCGTGTTTTTGTTTTTTTTTTCTTTCTCTCTCTTTTGCCAATAACAATTCATTTTTATTGAGTAGTGCACTTTGTACCAATTATACAAGTAGAGTAGTTTTTGCAACCTAGCTGAATGGACACATACATTATTAACTTCGCTCTGCTGAATGAATATGAGAAGTGGTTGTCAGTACTGAAGGCTGTATCAACTGAGTCAAAATATGCTTTCGTATGATAAGCAGGTTGTTGATTCAACAAGTGCTTTGCTACATTCCAAAGCTCCTCTATCCTCAAACACCTCTACCCACGAACACCTCCAACTACAGACTCATCTGGTCGGGAAGCAATGTTGCAACAGGCTGCTTACTTCAAGGGATCTTATTTATAAGACGTAGCAACAACCTCCACAACCCTTTGTCGTGTCATTTTTTTCAAGCTCGACACACGAATGAAGAAAAAAAAAATGTTAAAATTTTTCAAAGAACCCCAACTGTCAACTCCTTCAACACTAATGTGGACCTCAACTTCAAAAAGGGGGTTGTTAAATCGATCCACCAGGAACTTGGTTAGATTTAACTCGACTAAGAAAGGTGATGCGGAAAGCAAATCAGTGCCTGAGTTTAACTTGAATGATATTTTCAAAAGAATTGACCAGGTTACATCCAAAGCAGCTGAATTAAGCAAACAAAGACAATTGGGAAAGTCGCCTCAGGGTTCAAAGCCGAGATCTGCGAGACCTTCTCAATACAAATTCAAGTCGCAAGGTAATACCCAGCAAGGGCCGAGCAATCAACAAAGACAACAACGTCCTTTTCGTGCCCAAAACACCAAACAACAACAAGACCCAACTTCAACCCGTCCGTTTCGTTTCCAAAGTCAAGAAAATGGAACAGCAAACATTCTTCGAGGCAAATCGAGTTCCCCACAGGGAACCAGATTCCGCAGACCTCAAGGAGAATTTAATAAACAAACCCAACAATCACAATTTGTCAATCAAACGAATAGCCAAGAAACAAATCATGGATTTTATAGACAAAACCAACGTGTTACACCCTTCAACTCAAGCAACGCCACAGTTGGAGAAGTTTCAGAAACATCTCGCCCTTCAAAACTATTTGAGCCACTTGGGTCAGGATTTCAAAGACAAGAACCAAGAGGAAAACCATGGCAAAGTCGTGGCGAAGCTACTAGAAACGGCGATAACAAATCTGCATCCAGACCATTTAAAAGAAGACCTACTGGTGGACAAGGGAGAAGAAGAGATGGTAGACCAGGAAGTGACAAACCAGCAATTGCTGCACCGATTGAATCGAAAGAACTAGTTGCTGAACCATTGAAACCAACTTTGAAACCGGAGCAGTTCTTTTACGGAAAAGTTCCAAGTATAGTTTCCTCAGTTAGCTCAAGGGTGGCTTCGGTTGCTAAATTGTCCTTATTGGACTCAAAGTATCCATTTAATATGCCCAAACACATCATTGAAATTGCACCTTCTTCATCTCAAAACAGATTCATTTTACAAAAGAATTGGAATTTGGATCCAAATCAAGAGGTGTTGAAAAATAGGATTAGCAGCGTTGTTTTGGGTCAAGTAGACACTATTGATTTAAAGGGTAATAAAGATGCTGCTGCCTTGCAGGTGTGTCATGATATTTCCATCAATCCTACATTACATCTTCACCAGAGGCAACAAATGTTTGACACCATTCATTCATTAAACACCATCAAGACAATTTTTAAAGATGCTCATTGGAGGAAAGCTAGGAAGTAATTAATTGTAAATAGATAGAAAGTGGCTAATTTGAAAATGCCCCCTCAGTTCAACATCCCCTCTTTAAGCAGTCGCAGTGGTATGTTTTATTTTATTTTTGTCTGTTTTCGGCGCGACTATCGTGCAGAGTATCGCTCGTATCATTGAGCCACAGTTTAATACGTCGGTTCGGAACAGACCGTACATCAAAGGCACCACCTCTGTAGAGGAAGAGAGAGAGCGTCTTAGTTAAAAGAAATACTGAAGACCCTTCTACAACTTTCATGAGTTCACATTAAAATATCCATTAACTACGTAAACATATTTACCTTCCTGAGGTACCCCTTATATTTTCGTAAAAAGCGACCTAAACGAAGCTGTACCTTTACTTTCTTGATTTAGGTTCATCATGGATTCTTTGTATGACAAAATAAATGGCAATGTTGTGGAAATGCTTAAGTAGCTGATTAGAAGAGCGGCAGACGTCTTGGATGTTGGTCTCATGCGATAAGTGTACATTGTATTAGCAAATGCAGTGTGTTGAAAAATATGAAGTAAGGTAAAGATTGTAATGTTTGTTGGACTAATTGGTAGAAAAAAGTTTGGGATTTACTGATAGTTTTATATTCCCCCTGGAAGAGTATTTTATTGATATGGGTGATTTGTTATAGATGACACAAAGTGGGGCAATTAAAATAAAAAAAAGGCGTATGTACTAAAATTAGTGTCTCTAGTCGTTTACAAAATGCCATCACTTGGAACAATGACAGGTGAGATTTAGAAGCTTAAAATTTTCTTAACCACTATGGAAATAACCCCCCAACAAAAACATTTACATAAATATTTGTAGTTTGAATAAAGGAATAGAGTGGTTTTGTGTAATGTACTGGATGTTTTGGTTTTTCTGATCGGGTGATTTTCTTTCTTTAGTGCATAATAACCAACGCCACAGAAAAAACTCCTTATACGACAAGGGAGATATTAACGAATGTTATTTTTTTATGCGCCTAGATTAGAGACTTCCAAAGGGAAGCGTTAGAGGGTTGTCCCCTCCCCCCCCTCTCCTTGACGACGTCTTAGAGCATAGTTTTTATCGTTTGTATCGTCGTTTTCACTAACTTACCAACGTTCACTCTAATGCGATTGTGTACTATAATTATTTAATCCTTTTCCGACGAAAATCTCCGCACTATTTCAGCAACTCCCCTTTCTCAACACCCCCGTGTGTACTGCCACATTGATTTAACATAGCAGCACCTCTGTGTTCACCACTCATGTGCGATCTTCGGAGAACAGAAGAAAAAAATAAAAAAAGAACGAAAGAAACATCTTTTTTGTCACATACACTAAACTAGAATAGCAATAGATTGCGAAATCAAAACACAACATTTCTCAAGGGAAAGGTTTGTTTGTATTTATACTTGAACAAAATTGGGTAATCCAATATCCAAACACGTCTGAATGTAAACACGTCTTATTTACACGTTTTATTTACACGTTTTATTTACACGTTTTATTTACACGTCTTAATTCTACTTTTTTTAATACACGTTACACAGAATGGAACGTGAAATTCCATGACGTGTTTAGGAACGGGCCAATGAGAGGGATTAGAACACGTATAGTGGTTTAATCCCTCTCATTGACAGTAAGTTCTGCTTATCATTTGATATTTTTGATTAAACTTTTGTGCAATATGTGAGCGTCGTATAGATGATGGACTCCAGTAGGAAACGATCGTGAAAGTAGCAAGGTGCCACAATCGAGGAGCTCGGTGGGAGTGGCTATGACAGTGTGGCTGCTCCTAGCATCAGTAGGTGCTCTTAGAGTTTGTTGTTGCAATGAATTCCAATTGCACCTTCAGCTTGTGAATTCCTCCAATTTTGCTTAATTTTGGCTCCAAAATATTACACAGTAAAACATAGCTGTGTCTTACTTATCACAGAAGAAAACTTTACCAGTAAACCTAACTATTCACCAGTAAATTATAAGCCTAGCTGCCATATATCTTGATCGATTATCAAGTGTGGGCTCTTGGGTGCAAAACTTTGATCTCTTTTGAAGGATTAAGCGCTACCTTATCACCAATTGATAGTTAGATATATATTACAGGTAACTTTCACGCTAACCCCTTTTTGAAAAAGGATGTGGCAGAAAGTGGCGCATTGTGGATTATGACTCTGTAATAAAGTTTCTGTTCGTGGTCAGACTAATATAAATAGAGTAGGATTCCCCCCACTAATGTCTGTTCCAACAACATTATATTCCTACCAATCACTGACACCATCAAAAACTACAGAAGGCTTTAAGAATACATCAGAAGACTCTTTACTCAAGTTTCACCATGTTTGCGCCAAATTTTCCAGTGTTCTTATACAAACAGTATTTGAATCTCGTTTTTTAATATACTCATTCAGCTTTCAGGAGTGGATCAGCAATTTATCAACAAGACACACATAGAACCTAGTATTTAACTAACACAAATTACATGTTGCACTCAATATCTATATTATTCAGTATTCACGACCTAATGGCATTCACTATTTTTTTAGCCTATTCCATAGATCCAGATGAGCACATGTCAAATTTGCAAAAGGATCTTTTAAACCAAGCCACACAAGAGCCCCAACAGCCACAGCTACAACCACAGACATCGTCCCTTCAAGAATTAGCTCACTTCGGTTTATATTAACTTGATGTGATACAAACAAAAAGAACAACTCATACTGATCCAAAAATTACCAATGCATTGTGATTAAAGTTGTAACGGACTTGTAGACTGAGATAAAGAACCGGGTTTGCGAAGCGATTTGAATATCTTTGTCTTGTCACATGTATCACGTACTATCTCAAGATCCTTAGGTATAATTCTCACATCCTCAGAGTTCAACATGTGTCTCAAAGCACTTCTAATTGGATGATCAAACTTAGAATTGGATTTTGCAACGGAGCACACTTGTTTTTCAACTAACGATGGAACTAAAATTGGTTTCAATGATAGTCCCAACGTTTCGTTATACTTGCCAAGCTTTCCTAACCTTGAACGATGGACTTGGGTACTGGTAACAATTAATGAACCATTATCTTGTTAAAAGGATTTAGAATTAAATAATTGTATCTTCAGCAACAACTTTCAAAGTGCCCTAGCCTTGAATCGGAGCACCACCACCATCCAAACTTTCAGTTGAACCTGCCATTTCAGTGTTGTAAATATCCCTCTGTTACTAATGTGTATCTATCTTAACTCATTAAATTACTTTTTACTATATCTCTTTAGGAATTATGCTTTTCTACTTATACACTTTTATCTCTCATAGATTGTATTTTATTAATATCTACATTGGATTGAAATCACAACAAGTTATAGTGCTCCTCTTCAATTAGAGGAATACTCTCACATGTATACTCATCAGAAATATAACATTATTACCACGTTTATGTTGATTATACACTTTTATATCCCTTTACAGATAAATTAACACACACAATAATCTACATTTCACCGTACAACCAGGATTAAACTCACAATACCCCATAGACTTCTATTATAGTCGAGTCTTTTTAAATCGTGCGAGTACTCAGCTTTGTTCTATATATTTTACTGAATCCAAAATAAAACTAATATTTACTTCGCCAAAAGCCACAATGCTACCAAAATGAGTAAGCCTAAAACTGCTACCATGACTCATTCCAATTTTCTATTTTTCCATGTATTTAAAGACCAAAGATTATCCCCAACATGATTCATTACCCAAGTTTGCTTTAACATCAAATGCCATTAGAGATTGTATTCCTTCCACTGCCGTGGTTCCGTGCAAGGTGCTCTTTCCCTAACTTGGCAAAACTTCTCAACAAAGGGTACGACAAGCCCCGGTTAAAGTACAATATCATCCAAACGCCAAGAATTCGCAACAGTGAGTCATTGCTTGAAAACTTAGCTGTAAAGCCAGATGATGAAATAGGGATCTTTTTGCTACTCGGAGGAGAAAAAGAGTTTGCAGCTCTCAAGGAAAGAGGGTTCGAAAGAGACTTTAATGACGATTCAGTAGAAAGTGCTTTGGAATGCGATATACCCCCAGAGTTCAGTTCATATTTTGACCTTGATATGTTAAACACTGCGCAAGTGACGATAGCTGACACAAGCTATGACTTCAATGAGAAAAAGCTAAACAGAGTCATTGCCAGTCTTGGGTTTAGATCATACTACAAGAATTCCAATCAGACAACAAAGCCATTTATTTTGACAGCATATACCTCGTTCGTGAAAAACGCTGCCTCAAAGTTTCTTGAATTTGTGTTGAAAGAACTATTGGTTGATCCCAAATACTTCAATGTACTCTCTCATACTGGTGACATTGCTAAATATGGCCGTTTGTCAATCCACGCTGATTGCATTGTTGAACATGGATTGGTTGGCTATTACACAAAAAAATGCAGCTTTGAAGCAACGGGAGAGAAAGTCTTAGTCCAGGTGGGTGCGCTGATTGGTGGTGATGCATCGTCAGCTAGCTACAAGGCAATTGAAGCGAGTCGTGACTTCCACATAGCTTATATACGCCGGGAAATCGAGCTTAGATGATTATTGGAATCAAGCTTGTAGTAATTGTCTGTATTATTGCGAACTAATCAGGAACTGCCAATACTCTGATCTTTTCAATATGTATATCTCAATTTTATCAATTTTGTGTCAACCATCGGACTTAAACCTAGTGTATGACATTGCCACTACATAAGTAACATCGGACTTAAACTTAAATCTTTGACATGCCACTGATACGTACATATTGCAGCATCAAACTCTAATCGAAATTACCCGACACAGATTATTATCCTTCAATCTTTTATTTTGAATTATTTGCGGAAAATATTTCTTTCATCTGCAAAAAGTGGGGTCTATTGTACCTCCGCATTTTGTCACCTGAGAAGATCTTTTAAATACCCGCAATTCAAATAAAAAGGGATTGCAAATCCCCTCTCCTTCTTTTTCACTTTTTCCAATAACATCTTCTTTAGCTAATCCAATCTCATCATGCAATTAAATGTCGATAATAAAGTGGCTGTCGTCACCGGTGGAACTCGTGGTTTAGGACTTTACTGCGCTGAAGCCTTTGTTGAAAACGGAATCAAAACAATCTTTATCACCTCGCGTAAAGCCAAAGCATGTGAAGAGGCTAAGAAGCACTTGGAAGATTTAGCAAAGAAAAACAGCAAATCGGTTGAGATTGTCGCAATTCCAGCCGACTTGGCTGTTGAAGAACAAACAGTCAAGTTTTACAAAGAAGTGGAAAAGAGAGTCGACAAGGTTGATATTTTGGTAGCTAATGCTGGTGCCTCGTGGGGCGCACCATTAGAGGATCACAACGTTGCTGCAATCAAGAAGGTTATCAATTTGAATTTCGTCGGAGTGTACCACACCATCCAGTTGTTTACTCCATTGTTGGAGAAGGCAGCTTCGGTTGAAGACCCATCAAGGATTGTCATCATGTCGTCAGTTGCCAGCTTAGCAACCAACGATATTGTGGGAACTTACGGATACCTTGGCTCTAAAGCTGCTGTGTCACATTTAGGAAGAAACTTGGCTGTCCAATTCTCACCAAGACACATCAATGTCAATTCAATCTTGCCAGGTTGGTTCCCCACCAAGATGGCTAACGGATTGATTGAAGCTGGTGGTAAATTATTAACCGAAACAAACCCTCGTGGTAGGTTAGGTGAGCCAAATGACTTGAAAACCGCTTTGTTGTTTTTATGCTCAAAGCAGGCAAACTACATCAACGGGGTTGATTTGCCAGTCGATGGTGGTGCTCGTTTGAACAACCCATCAGCCCACTTTTAAGCTTTACATAGTACATTTTAAATAACATGTAACATAATTAGGTTGAATTTAGCTCTGAAGGAAGGCCACGCGTCGACTGTCTCAAAATATTCTAATCTAAGTATCGTATCTAACGTATAAGGCATCTATAAAGTGAGGATGTCTAATTCCAGGAGGTTTGGCAACCCTGAAACCTTCAACTGCATCTTTCACCGACCATCCCAATGCTTCAATTAAATAGCAACAAATCAAAAACCCCGTTCTATTGAATCCGTAGTGACAATGTACCCCAATGAGCGGTTTCTCTACATCGGATTCCTTTAGAATCTCATCCACCAAGTTGATAAATCTGCATATGGACGCTTGATCAGGAACAACTTTTGACACGGTGGCACATTTGTAGTATCGGATGTGTTTGAACGACTGAGGGTTATATGGCGGGATATCGGAAGAAATGTCAATTACGGCAATCAATTTGCCTTTGACATTTGAATTTGCATGTTCATAATACACAGACTCGACTACTCCTGGTGAATGAACCGCATCGCCTTCCCTCAATGTCTTCATGCCCAACAATGGAGAAACCTCACTGCCTCGCGTTATATTATCAGATATTGGCTTCAAATTAAGCCACTTTGCCTCATTCTTTAAACCCCATTTGTCCCCTGAAATAAGTGCTTTGACTTTCAAAACCCAAGCAGGTGATAGATTCAAACGCTGTGGTAGCTTCGTTTCAATGTGATTTAAAATCAGACCGCTTGTGAGCTCTGGCTTTGCTAGCAACAATGAATGTCCTGCATCTTTAACCTCCATTGCTGACGAAATCTTTCTATTAAAAGTGTTGGTTAAAAATTTATCAATGTGATAAATGTGCTTGACATTGGTGACATGGTCTTCAGAACCACATACTAACAAGGTCTTCTCATAGGCACGGTCATCGCTTTTGTTGTTGTTGAATTGGCTGATCGCCACCACGAGGTCAGATGTAGTAATCTTTCTAAACCCATGTACATACTTAAGCAACGTAACCGAATCAATATCCAAATTCCACCGAAACTGCCGAAGCCTATTATACAACAGACTATTTTTGGGCAATTGTCGACGCACACTTTTGCTCTGTAACCCGGGGAGCCTATCCCAAGTTCTAAACAAGTTGAACAAGAACGGAAGGTAAACAAAAAGCCTAAAAAGCCATGATAACCCACCCGTTTCTAAATCCTGCAGCCCTGGTACTGAATCATCAATCACATCTGGTGGTGAAAGAAGAATCAATCCTTCAACCTTGTGTGGCGGCAATTTCTTTGCTACTCTTACTGCAATGTGAGTTCCCATAGAATGGCCAATTAGAATAACCTTCTTTTCAGGGACTTGTTGCCGTAGAAAAGCATAAACAATGCTAACGATGTTGGCTGTCAGAAAGTCTTCCCAAGACATACCCTTTATGGAGGCTGAAATTCGTTGCTGCTCCGATTCACTTATATGGGATACAAACTTGTGACCTTTGTCAAACGCTTTGGAATTTCCAAAACCAGGCAAATCTAACGACACTATCTCGGCACATTGTGATAGTAACCCGATTAAAGGCTCAAACTGTGACATTTGTCCCCCCAAACCATGAATGAAAACCAAGATTGGGCTTTCCCGCAATTCGTTGTTTACACCTTCTAAAACATCGTCAGCAGCTTGTTGATGAGTTTCATTCCTCATAAAACTCTCGAGGGGATGGGGGATATGTAAAGTATTTAAAGTCAATTGATCAATGGTCAATGACGGTTCCATGCTCAAGTCTATATCTGTAGTCCTTCGGTACTTTGCAATCAATGCACAATCATTTGGCTCCTTTTCTAATATGTACTTTTCCAACTCGTTGGGGTACCTTAAGAGCTGTATTTTGAGAAATGACTTGATTTTCGCAAAAATAGTCTGCGTCTTGAGTTCTTGCTCAGCTTCCAACTGAGACAACTTGTCTGAAAACTTTGAGCCGGAGGTGTGAGCATGAAAGCCAGAAGAGGCTGTTATAGCCAACGTCTCCTCTATATCTTCGTCACTCAGCATCTATCAGAAGGTGTATGATACTATATGATATTTGCCTGAGAAAAAAATTGGGATCAATTCTGAGATTAAGCTGGAAGATAGAACTCAGGTTTGAAGCTCTTCAAGATCAGGGAACGAAACAGGCTCAAAAGTGTGTTATCTCAATTTAAAAATAACAAAAAAAAGAAATTGATAATCGTGGGCTGCAGCTACCAATTTTAGCCTCACATAACAAATAAGTCATTCCCACCTGATGACGCAAAAGAATTGTCAGCTCAAGAGTTGAATCTAAAGTAGATCTTGCAGGGAACACTTAATATGAGTACACTATCCACTATACCGAGACTCAACGCAACTGCAAATCGTCTGACACAACTGTAATTTTTGTTATATATCAGTTGAAGGAAAATTGCCTTTTTATACCCAGGAATCAATTTTCTTTGAACACGTTGCAAACGTCAAATAAACAATTTCTACACCTGCTCGATTTCCTCGATCACCTCTTGCCCTTTTAAAAACGGCTTCCCGACGCAATATCTCGAACTACATGTTTACTATAGGTCATGTAAGAGCTCCCAAGGAGTCACTTGTGGTTCAGGCGCATCCATTTTTCCCGTACTGTAAAAAAGATCCATTCGTTCAAAAAACACAAACAAAATAAATTTCCTCGCATATAAACACATGAATAATTACGCTTTATAACCTACGTTGACCTTTGTCCCCAGAAAATGACCTCGTCTACAAGGCGATACTCTTTTAGTCGCGATATTGAATCTTTTGACGACTTGGACAACTCGCTAGATAGAGCATTAAACAGCGCAACAAACACTCTACAGCAACAACATGGTACCAAGTATAACAGCAGAAACAATTCCATCAACTCAAGTGCAGGCATACTGTTGCAATCCTTGAAATCCAATCACGATGATCAAGACTACTTGCACGATGGCGATCACTCTCCGTTGATATCCAATGCATACCCTTACATTGGGCATCAATCGTCACACCATTCTTCAAGCTCGTCGCTAAATATAGCAGCTAGATCAGCTTCGTCAAAATTCAGACGTTTTTTCAAACGCTTCGTCTTTCTTTTCAATGACGCTAAACGCGAGCTAAATCAAGAAAGACTCAAGGTCTCAGGAGCATCCGACTTTAGGATCAACAACTTGAGTGAAGAGAGGTACATCTCTGCCAAAACTACTAACCTGAGAGCCAACAACATATACCCGTCAAACAGCGTTTCCAATGCAAAATATAATCCCATCACCTTCATACCAATCATCTTGTATGAACAATTCAAGTTCTTTTTCAACCTATATTTTTTGGTGGTGGCATTGTCACAGATTGTACCTCAATTAAGAATAGGTTATCTTTCTTCATACATAGTGCCTTTAGCATTTGTGCTTTTCGTGACAATGTTGAAGGAAGCAAGTGATGACATTACAAGGCGCCGCAGAGACAGAGAGCAAAACTTTGAGGTTTACGAAGTGTTAAATCGAAATGCACAGAATAATTTGACCGGCGAACCAAAATACGTAGCATCAAAAGATTTAAGGGTGGGTGATATCGTTAGGTTACACAAGGATGTAAGAATACCGGCCGATATGGTTTTATTACAATCAACTGAAAAAACCGGCGAGGTGTTTATCAAAACAGACCAACTAGATGGTGAGACAGATTGGAAATTGCGGGTTGCCCCCAATGTCACCCAGAATTTATCAAGTGTTGGCCAAATTATTGACTCGCTATCGTTAATTATTGGAAATCCAACCAAGTCTATCCACGCGTTCGCTGGACAGTTGGTGTATAATCCACCTACCGCATCGGGGACAACCTCTCCAACTTCGTCAGAGACATATCCATTATCTGTTGATCAAACATTATGGGCCAATGCAGTTTTAGCATCTGGAAGCGCAATGGGGTTAGTCATATACACTGGAATTGAGACACGACTTTCGATGAACACGACAAAGAGTGGGGTCAAGATTGGTCTTCTTGAAATTGAAATTAATAGTCTTTCCAAGATATTGTGTGCCGTGGTTTTGGTTTTATCTATTGCATTGGTGCTTGCTCATGGGTTCCCCTTGGAGAAAACGTGGTACATCGACATTCTTCGGTTTTTGATATTGTTCTCGACAATTATCCCAGTGTCACTTCGAGTCAATCTCGATCTTGCGAAATCGGTGTATGCCTCGCAAATTCAAAACGATCTAGCCATACCCGATACAATTGTAAGAACATCCACTATTCCAGAGGATCTAGGAAGAATCGAATATCTCCTAAGTGACAAGACGGGTACCCTTACAAGAAACGAAATGAATTTAAAAAGACTTCACTTGGGCAGTGTCAGCTATGCTGGCGACACGTTCGATATTGTCACAGACTATGTCAAGAACTTGATAAACTATCTCAACTCGCCACAATTTCTGCTGAGGAAAAAAGACTTGGCAGCTAGGGTGTGTGATTTGGTTTTGACATTGGCCCTATGCCATAATGTTACGCCAGTATTCGATGACGATTCAGAGGATGCTACATTTGGCGAAATAACTTACCAAGCAGCTTCGCCTGATGAAATCGCTATAGTTGAGTTCTGTGAGTCTGTTGGGTTGAAATTGTTCAAACGAGATAGACACAAGATTACATTAATGCACGTGCACACAAGCCAGCTTCTCGAATTTGAAGTATTGCATAATTTTCCATTTAGTTCGGAAACCAAGCGTATGGGTATCATTGTAAAGAGCAAATTTAGGGACGATGTGTGGTTTTTACAAAAAGGTGCAGACACCGTGATGTCGAAAATAGTCGGAGCTAATGATTGGCTTGATGAGGAAACTGGGAATATGGCTAGAGAAGGATTGCGTACATTGGTAATTGGTAGAAAACTCTTGCCAACCAGTGTATATGATGATTTTGCTTCAAACTACAAGGAGGCGTCCCTCGCAATGAAAGATAGGGATCAGACAATGCAGAAAGTTGTCAGCTACTACCTCGAGCAAGATTTGGAGCTCCTCGGTTTAACCGGTGTTGAAGACAAATTACAAATGGATGTAAAGCCATCTATTGAATTATTGCGAAATGCCGGTATAAAAATTTGGATGTTGACTGGAGACAAGGTTGAAACTGCAAAGTGTGTTTCAATCAGCGCAAGATTAATTTCACGTGGCCAGTATGTGCATCAGGTGACTAAGCTATCTGACCCAGACTTGGCATTGGACCAGATAGAATATCTCAGAACAAATCCCAATTCGTGTTTGCTCATTGATGGTGAATCCTTAGCCATTTACATGAAATACTTTTGTGATGAATTTTTGGAAATAGCTATTAAATTACCAGCAGTCATTGCTTGTCGTTGTTCACCACAACAAAAGGCCGATGTTGCTGTTGAAATCAGGCGTGTGACTGGTAAACGAGTCTGCTGTATTGGAGACGGTGGTAATGATGTTAGTATGATTCAATGTGCTGATGTAGGTGTTGGAATCGTTGGTAAAGAAGGTAAGCAGGCGTCGTTAGCCGCAGATTTTAGTATTGACCAGTTTTGCTATTTGACCAAGTTGTTGTTGTGGCATGGAAGAAATTCGTATAAGAGGTCGGCCAAGTTGGGCCAGTTTGTTATCCATAGAGGATTGTTGATATCGGTGGCGCAAGCTGTATACTCCATATCATCCAAGTTTGAGCCCATTGCATTATATCAAGGCTGGTTGATGGTGGGGTACTCCACTGTGTACACCATGGCACCAGTGTTTTCACTCACACTAGATTGTGATGTTGACGAGCATTTGACCAAAGTTTACCCGGAATTGTACAAAGAATTGACATTGGGAAAATCATTGTCGTACAAGACTTTCTTCATGTGGGTGTTTATCTCATTATACCAAGGCTGTGTCATTCAATTGTTGTCGCAGCAGTTTCAAACTCTACTCACAAAGAAATTTACAGCCATGGTCGCTTTGTCGTTTTCGTGCTTGGTTTATAATGAGTTGTTCATGGTTGGATTATCAGTCAACAGATGGAACAAAATAATGGCGGCCACTATTGTTGTGACATTCTTGGCCTACGTGGGTTCAATTCCCATGTTGTCAGAGTACTTTGATTTGGACTACGTCAGTTCTATTACATATTTGTGGCAGACAGGAGTCATCTTGGTTGTGAGTTTGTTCCCAGTTTGGTTGGTACAGTTTTTGAATAGGAGGTTGAGACCGCCAACCTACGCCAAAGTACAACAAGATTGAATATTCGATAGAGAGTATTTTGATACACTTCTTTAGTATTTACATAGCTGTTGAGCTAATTTTAAGGGATATTGGTAATTCTCATAAACCTTAGGATAACCATAAACTGATCCTCTTCCAATGCAAACATATTTCTAAACTTTAGCACGTGTTTCCATCTCTTGGCATTCATCCCTTTCAACTCGCGAAAGATCCTGTCCCACAAATGAAGTCCGCCAATTTTCATCTTGATTTCATTGGGGCTGATAGATACATTATACTCGTCAGTGAAAAGAGAAGCTTTTGCTCTTCGTTGCAAATGCAACGCCCAAATCAAAATGTGACCAAAATATGCAAACATCGAGTAATCTAGAGTATTTCGATGCAGCTCCTTTCCAGAAACAGTGATTGCCGTATGTGTATTTGTTAGATTGAGCTCGTCGTAATGACCAAAATTATCAAGGATATCTGGGTATTGCAGTACCGACTTTTTAAATCCATTCGATTCATAAAGTGCAACATTGAAGCACAAGATAAGAAATTGTTTCTTCAAATTGTAGTTGTCAAAGATTTCATTTTCATATTTTTTAACAAATTTCATACAATTGGAAGCGTATTTTGACATGGAAGGTGCATTCATAATGGTTTTGATCTTGACGTCTGATAAGTCAGCTGTCAAAATTTGCTGATGAGAAACTCCAATGATAGTTTTGATAGGAGAAAGCTCCGGTAAGTGTTCCGATTTGGTTGATGACAGCTTAAGTGGCTTTAAAGTCACTCCAAATAGCGAAGACACAGAATTGGCAGAACCCGGTGCATTTCTCTTGTTCAGGCTCGAATTAGCTCTTATTTCAGGGAGTTCACTTTCATCAGTCGTCATCTCCCCGACGGAATTCAAACTGTTGTCTTTCTCCAAATTCACGGCTTTCGTATTGTCCGTTGTACCGTTAGCCTGCAGCATAATGTTAGTACTTTCGTTGGCAATTCGGCCACTAAATCTGGGTACTTACTATTGTATTGTCTTTGGTTGGGTTACCAGGCACGCCTCTAGAGGGGGCATGTGTCTTTTCTAAACCCACTTTTGGTGAAGATGTTGTGTTGTCTGTTCTACTTTTTGATGGTTCTCTTTTCCTTGCAGATTTGTTTTTCTTCCTTTTCAATTCAGTTTGAGGGGCTTGGCCATGTTCTGACTTGATTGGACTAGGTTTTGTATTTTGTTTAGAGTCATCTTTAGAAAGGGTGGTTTCCCCGTCCTGCACAGCAGGGGGTTGTTTGTGATTTCTTGTCTGATTCGATTTCTTGTCTTTTGTACTTTTCTTGACAGGAGACTTGGACTCAGACGTACTGACCCCCTGCTCGTCGTTGTTGTGCGTAAGCTTGTCTTTTCCTGCACCACGTTTCGAGTCCTTCTTAGTACTGTTCTTTCTCTTCTCAGCACCCCTTTTCGGTTCGGTGTTTACTTTGTTGGGTAAAGTTTTGTTATCCTTGCTAACACACACCTGACTTGGCTCTTCTTTGCCCCCTCCATTCGAGTTGTTGTTGTGCTCTGATATTATCTTTTCTGACAGGGACGCTCCATTTGGGTTCTCATCAGTGATCACCTGAGTTCGGCCAACACATTCGTTAAGAGTTTTCTTCTCCTGATTCTTTTTTTTGGGTTTCTTCTTATTCCTCTTGGCGGGACCATGGCTTGAAGTTACAGCCACACTTTCAATTTCCAAATTTACACCTTCGTCATCATCAGACGAAAATTGGAGACCACCTATATCCTTAACGATTTCTGCAACAGTGAAGTTGTTCCTTCTTGCTGAACGTTTCAGAGCTTTTGGTTTACCAGAATTCCTACCGCTTTGAGATGCAACTCCAATTTCAATCTCTTCAATTACATTTGCCGTAACATAAGTCTGCTCATCGGGTACAATTGCCGGTCTTTCTTTGTTGGTTAACAAGTAGTCTAGGTTGTTTTGAAATTCCTGTTCTTTTGCTTCTGGAGTTGATTCAATGGTGGTGGGAGATAATTCCAGCTGGTATTTCGCTTCATTCCTAATCTTGATATCTTTGAGACCTTTATCTGCTTTTTGCCCATGCTTAGGACGCGCTTTTGACATTTGTCTGGTTGTGCTGTAATAGGAAAAGTATGGCCAAGTTTTCTATTTTCTTAATTTTTTTTTGGCGTTTAATGTTCTGCTGCAAAAGGACTGAAGACGTGTCATTCGATCTCCTACATAAATTGTTTACAAATTTGCATAACTATCTAGAAGTAACCCTCTGCCTTGGGTGGCGAGGTGTTCTACTTGAATTTATAATCTAGTTTGTCTCCATGGTCTAAGAAAGAGCCTCTTTAGGCTTGTATGGTTCCTCTAAATACTTAACCTCCTCATCACTCAACTTGACTGTTATTGCCTTGACTATATCTTCAACTCTTTTCTCAGAATTCAAACCAACTATTGGATTACATCCTTTGCTGATCACCCAAGCTGTTGCAATAACAGCCATACTCTCGCCGTGATCCTTAGCTACCTTTTCTACTCGTTTGATTATTTCTGTATCGGCATCGGTCAAAGCATCTAGTCCCAATCGAGAAAATCCCCGGTCAGACTCGTTTCTTTTATTTTCTGAAATTGTACCAGTGGGTCTTGTCAACACGCCTCTAGCAATTGGACTCCAAGGAATAATTCCAACTTTGCTCAAATCATTGTTTTTGCAAAATGGAATCATTTCCCTTTCCTCCTCACGATAAATCAAGTTATAGTAGTTTTGCATACTGATGAATTTATACCAGCTGTTTTTTTCAGCTATAAATTGCAACTCGGCAAACTCGGTAGCTTTCATGGTTGATGCGCCAATGTATCTAGCGAGTCCTTGGTCAACAACATCATTTAATGCCTTCATTATTTCCTTCTTTGGTGTAGTTGCATCGAACCTATGGATTTGCAATAAATCCACATATGTTCCCAACCTGTTGACAGAATCATTGACTGCATCCAAGATGTGCTTTCTGGATAATCCTCTTGAGTTGGCAAAATCCTTGTCGCTTAAAGGACCTGCTTGTAATGCATTGAAATCAGGATCTCTTGGATTCATAGGCAGGAAGCATTTGGACAAAATAACAACTCGTTCTCTTGGGATGTCGTATTTTTTGAGAAATTTACCCAAGATAATCTCCGATTTTCCATTTGAGTATACATCAGCAGTGTCAAAAGTTCTTAACCCAACATCATAACATTTCTTTAAGATCTTGAAAATCTCTTCCTCGTCTTCCAAGACCCAATCAGCCCATTTCTTGGATCCATAGGACATACATCCAACAATTAATGGAGCAATCTTCAAACCGGACTCGCCTAAGTTGTTGTATTTAAGTTCAATCGACATATTTGTAGAGGGGTACTAATGAAGACTATCCAAGATCAATTCTTCAGCTTTGCTACAAGTTGCCTCCTTTTTATAGCCAAAGTTTTAATTTATTAAATGCGAAGCTTTGCAATCGGACTTACCTCTTTCGGGAGTAGACCGATTGTTACGGAAAACAATAGATTAACCCCTCCCCCCCCCTTGAACAGACATTAAGTGCCTAAAAATTATATATATTTTTTTTTCAATGGAAAGATCCACCACAAAAACGTTTGAAAAAGAGATTAGAAATTAACAGAGCTAAGGTATTTGATCAAGTAGTTGAGTGTGCTGAAGTATTAGAAAATAGAGTAGGTGTATCGCTCACACTGTATATCATACATGATGGATAGTGTGATAATTGTAAATAGACTCTTATTTGGACACGCAGATGATACTTTCGGACCGATGCTTAACTCTATACTACTATCTCGCTACCAATTACAATTTTGCATATCTTCTCATTTTCCTTTCTGCTTTTCTCTTTTTCCATTCATTTTTTTTAGCCTCACGCACACACAACCTTCTTTCGTCATTTCAGATAACGCTTGTCATTTTTCATTCCCTTCCCATCTCATTCAATACAACAAACATTATTATCTACGCCATGTCTGCAAACGGATTCAAAGAGATTAGCGAAAACTTAAGTCATAAAGTACAACAAAATCCTTATGGACCTAACCCTGCTGATTACTTGTCAAATGTGGGCAGTTTCCAGATCATCGAAAGTACATTGAGAGAAGGTGAACAATTTGCCAATGCATTCTTTTCTACTGAGACCAAGATTGAGATTGCAAAAGCTTTGGATGATTTTGGTGTCGATTATATTGAATTAACCTCGCCAGTTGCTTCTGAACAGAGTAGAACAGATTGTGAAGCCATTTGTAAATTGGGCTTGAAAGCAAAGATATTGACTCACATTAGATGTCATATGGATGACGCTAGAGTCGCTGTTGAGACTGGTGTTGATGGTGTTGATGTCGTTATTGGAACTTCACAGTTTTTGAGACAATATAGTCATGGTAAAGACATGAATTATATTGCTCAAAGTGCTATTGAAGTTATTGAATTTGTTAAATCCAAAGGTATTGAGATTAGATTTTCTAGTGAAGATAGTTTCAGGTCTGATTTGGTTGATTTATTAAACATTTACCGTACAGTTGACAAAATCGGTGTCAACAGAGTTGGTATTGCCGATACTGTTGGTTGTGCCAACCCAAGACAAGTTTACGAGTTGGTGCGTACATTGAAATCAGTGGTCAACTGTGATATTGAATGTCATTTCCATAATGATACAGGATGTGCTATTGCTAATGCTTATACAGCTTTGGAAGGTGGTGCCAAATTGATTGATGTCTCTGTATTGGGAATTGGTGAAAGAAATGGTATCACTCCATTGGGTGGATTGATGGCAAGGATGATTGCTGCTGATCGTGACTATGTCTTGTCGAAATACAAAGTTCATAAAATTAGAGATTTAGAGAATTTAGTTGCTGAAGCTGTTCAAGTCAATATTCCATTCAATAATCCAATCACTGGATTCTGTGCATTCACACATAAAGCCGGTATTCATGCTAAAGCAATCTTGGCCAATCCATCCACATATGAAATTTTGAGTCCAAGTGATTTTGGATTGACAAGATACATTCATTTTGCCAATAGGTTAACTGGATGGAATGCAATTAAATCAAGAGTTGACCAATTGAATTTACACTTGACTGATGCTCAATGTAAAGAAGTTACGGAAAAGATTAAGAAATTGGGTGATGTTAGGCAATTAAACATTGATGATGTTGATTCGATAATTAAAGATTTCCATTCTGACTTGTCCACTCCATTGGTGAAACCCACAAGTAATGGCTTGCCCAAAGTGCCTCATGTCTTGGAAGGTTTAGAGGAATCCGATGAGAAAAGAACCAAAAATGAATAAATAAATAAATAAATAAATAAATAAATAACCTTGGTATTTTTATTCTCTTTTGATATAATATATATCCTATTTGATGAACTGAAAAATTTATGTAGCCCAGCCTGGCCTGGTTTTGTTTTTTTTTTTCTAGAAAGAAAAAGCAAAAAAAACTCTATACTTTATCAACTACCTATCCAAAGCCATTGTAAGACCAAATTTCAGCTACACTTGACCGCCATTTAGTTTATTGTAATTCCTCAAGAGGAAACACATTGATGCCACACCAAAAAGTATTGACATTGCTATGCAGACCCTAAAACTTTTGAAATATTTACCGGAATTGACGGTAACACCCTCTTTTCTGTCCACAACGTAAATGACAAACGCCGTAAACAAGTTGAGAAGTGAGATGATTGTAAGTACGTACTCTATTGTGGTGTACATCTTTGATTTGATTGTGATTGGGGTTGTGTTTTCTGATAAGTTCAAGTTCTTTCTAGAGTGGTTATATGATTTGTCGTGAGTTTGTTGGCTGATCTTGTGAGTTAAAATCCAATGTTTAGTCCATTGGAAGTAAAGGGCAACCTTTTCTGTCTTGTATAATAATATAGGTTGTGTTTTAATTCTGGTGGGTGAGTGATGATGACGCTTGCACAAGAATCAATTACATCTGAGTATGCACTAGTGTAGGTAGGTAAAAAGGAAAAGATTTGTTTCCAAAATTCCACCAAAAGATCAGTTTCAGACAACCTTTGCTAAACTCTGCTAGTAGTTAGATGACAGATTGTTGGTGGTAAATGCAAAAGAAGAAGAAGAAGAAGAAGAAGATGATGATGATGATGGTGGTGGGAGATGATTTTTTTGTTTTCTTTGTTTCTTTCTCTTTCTTTCCTTTCCTTTTAGTTGTTTCTTTTCTTTTTAGTTTTAGCAAAACTACAATTACACAGAATCAAAATAATTTTGGTTTTGCTTTTTCAAGGCGTTATGGGAATTTTTGCTTCTTCTTCTTCTTCTTCTTCTATTATTATTAAATAACCGAAATAAGCTACAATTGCACTTTTACTAACAATGAACTAAAATAAAATAAAATAAAATAAAATAAAATAAAATTAGAATCTAAAAATAAAAGTTACAAGTTGGAAAGTTTGTTCAAAACACACACCCACACACCCATACACCCACACACCCACACACCCACACACCCAACACATATACACTAACTAACAAGGGGAATAGGGGTCATCTAAATATGTAGTGCTTGTATATTCTTTAAACATGGAAGTAAGGATTACAAAAGAAAAAAAATGATAAGTTTGGTGCTGACTAAACATTGTGAATGACAGACTCTTTTCTTTTCTACATCTAAATGACTAAAAATCGTCGTATATTTCTGAAGTCCGACCACACCACGTTTTTTGCGACATTAGTTAATGAAGCTGTGTAATTATTGGTCAGTTAAAAGAAAACAAAAACAAAAAAAAAAAAAAGAAAAGAAAAAAGAACAGAACACCCCAGTTAATGTACTTTTTACTTAGCTTTCCCCAGCAGTATGTTACCCCTTCATCTTACATACTGGTAGCACGATTGTGGTTCCACTAAGTAATATAAGAGGAGATTTTCGTACTAACTCTTTAATCTAATCTATTAAACCGTTACCCAACATAAATAACAAGCTTCGTAGCTATAACTATAATTACTCACATCTTACTTAGATGTAGCTTGCAATTAGCCAAGAGCTCAATAAAGGATGTATTAGTTTATGTACTAGACCGAGACTGCATAGAAGTTTGATCTCTTTTTTTTTCTTAAAAAAAAAATATTTTTTTTGCAGTTCTCATCACCCATCTTTAGAGAATCACTTAGATATCTCAATTTGATAACTATTAATATATTAGTGCACAGTCTGAGGAATATATAATGGCCGTCACGAAACAAAACAACACTCGCGATAAGAAACTATCTAATAGAAGGAGAAAGAAGAGAAGAACCGAAGACTTTTCGTCTTCATCTGAGTCTTCCTCATCTTCATCCTCAAGTGAATCAGATAGCGAAGATGGCGGGGAACAAGACAACAAAGTACCGCCTGCCCAACAAGTAACAATGGACGATATAGAAATAGATACAAATGACGAAACATCGTCGAAGTTGTCTAAAAAGGCTCCCGATAACTTGACTATAGAGCAGAAACAACAACTAAACTCAATTTCATTCTCAACAACATTAGTTTCAGAAGCCACCAATCCAAATACAACAAATGCAATGAAAAGTATACCGAATCTCACAGAAGTATCCAACTCTATTGAACTGTCCAAACAAGAAATAAACACGCGATTTTTGAAGCTAATGACAAAAGAATTTGGAAATGATATAGACGAATTGAGGAAAAAACCAGACTTTAAAGAAGCATCGTTGAGCGTTTTAGCAAAGACGCTTCAATCAGGAGCCAATATGTTTGACATTGATGTGTTGCAGGGATTACTTGGCGCAGAAGGAAAAGACGAGTAATATGATCCATAATGTGAAAAGGTTCTAGCCCCCATAGGTATAAGCCCATGCCAAATACTTGCTTGTATTGATGCGACATTTGCACTCACATTAGACTGCGCCCAGGTCAGTATTTTCTACCTTTCATACTGCAGCAATGAAGCTTGATATGCAAGAGTGCGTTCACACTCGTTTCAGAGTATAATTTATGGTACATAAGTTTTATCACTCTCTATGTAATGTGTTAATCCGGTTAGGCATAAATAACCTTTTACTTAGTAGTAACACTCCCTTTCAGTTTATTAATAGAACACAACAATCGTTACCTAATCAATTAGTTACACAAAACTACACAATTTACTTTTTTACCCTAATAAACGATACTTTCGCAAAAGAAACCAAAAGACTAAATCCACAAAATGTTTCTAACCGATAGAACAGTACGATTTATACCTTTCCTTTTCATTTCATTCCTTTTCTCAGAACCAATACACCAACACCACACTATAGAGAAAGAACATAACCTACTTCACCCAATACATGGATAACTACTTTTAATTAAAGTAAAAAGTGAGCTATTCATCTATTCTTCACTTTTGCTGTTTACCACAAAAGGTAATTACACTATCGAGCTAGCTGTCAAAGTATTTGAGAATATGACCGTGGGTAACTCAAATCAGCATAATGAGATTGATGATGCTGTCACCGCACATACACAAGAGCAGTCAAACAGCAGTTCCAAGTTAGACAACTCAGTCACCCCTAATCAAAATTATGGAGCCATTACTGGTGACAATGATGGGTCGCACGTGGATATCAATATCGAAGCATGTGAATCTCCAGAAGATTTAGATCTGAGCAAGCCACAGACATTTCCTCCCACGCCACAGGAGTTGCATGAAAATATCAATGAAAATAGCTTGTTGTTGTCCCTGGGCCGATTCCATCCAGATGGCGACGACGATGATGACGATCGAATGAGCAAGATAATCAAATTGGCCAAGCGACCTAGTTTCATTTGGATCTTTGGTCTAGGAATTCTAGCTATTATAATTTTCCAGTTGACGTTCTTGCCAAGGACCTCGTTGTCGAGGGACTATAGACGCTGGCATGGGATACATTTGACAAAAACTGACGTCAAGCGAAATTTTTTACAGTTTACCGGTATTGGTAACAGTCATCGTGATCTAACCACCGAAGAATATATTGACAATTGGTTGTACGACTTTACCACTATAAACAACAAAGCCAAGTACAATATATTGGCAAATGATAACCCCGAATTAAGCCGCTATGTTGAGTCAAACTTTAAAGACTTTGGGTTCAAAACTGAAAAACATAGCTATGAGATTGATTTGCAAGAACCTTGTGCGTCAATCATTAAATTGCTTGATCCTGAAAGTGAAGTTGTGTATCAATGCGAAGTTTCGGAGCCAAAATTTAAGACACCAGGGTTTTTTGCCTATGGAGTGAACAGAAATGTAACAGCCGGATTTATTTATGTCAACTACGGTACTCCAGAGGATTATGATTTGTTGTTAGCCACTAATAACCCTCTAAAGGGGAACATTTTTATCATCAAAAATCACCTTGAAGAGCAGAATATTACAATTGGCGAGAAAATTGCATTAGCAGAACACCATGGAGCCATGGGTGTCTTGACTTTTTTTGATTCTGATCCCTTTGGAAATGAAGAGAGTAAATCTTCCTTTATGAATGTGGCCATTTCAAGGGGCTGCAATAGTGAAGGGGCAAAGATTCCGGCCATCCCTATTAGCAAGAAATTATTGCTTCCCGTTCTTGATACACAGCAAAACCTGGCTTACAAATCCGTGTTCAATAAATGGGAATACTTGCCTTATTCTAACTCTAAATTCAAATTGGAGATTGACAGTGTTTTTGAAAACTCAAAGCGAGCAAAGTTGACAAACATTGTTGGTACCTTAAAGGGGATCATGAATGACGCCGATGTTATAATTGGTGCTAGGCGTGATTCGTTAACCTCCAATAATCCTCTATCAGGACATGCAGTCCTATTTGAAGTTATGAGAAATTACCAACGATTGATAGAGAAAGGGTGGAAACCATTAAGAAATATCAAATTTGTATCTTGGGATGGTTCATACATGGATTCATTGGGCGTCAAATTATTCACTAATGATACGGTAGTGTTTAATCCGAAACGATCAGTGGTCTCATACATCAATCTTGATACAGATACAGTGACTGGAAGCAAGTTTGATGTGGACTCTAATCCGTTACTCAATCATTTATTAAAGAAAACCTCGAAATATATCCCAATTCCTAAACGCGCAGCTTTTGTAAAGACCTTGGGCAGGGACGCAGAGTGGAGTTCAATCGAGGAAAAAATCGACTATGACATTGTTAACATTTTTGATGATGACAATGATGACGATGACGATGACGATGACGATGACGATGACGATGACGATGATGAAGAGTACACAACTTTGCACAAATACTGGATGAAGCAAGATAATGCAACAGTCAATAACAATTTGGGGTTGCCGTTGATAAACTCCGAGGCTAGAATCTTTCAACAACACTTGTCCACTCCCGTTGTAAACTTAAAGTTTAGTAATGACGAGAAAAGAGACAGTGCAAAGTATATTCCAAACTCCAACTATTATTCACGTGATTGGTTGATAAAACAAGATATTGATAACGATTTGTTGCTACATGGATCACTAATTAGGTTTGTGGGATTATTAGCTATAAATTTAAGTGAGCAGGAGGTTGTTGATTACAAAACGTACAAGTATCTCAAATTGATCCAGTCTTTTTATCGTCAATTATTGGAAATAGAAAAGGAGAAATTGTTTCAATGGAAAAACAATGCAGTCTCAAACTACCTCATCTACAAGAATTCCATTTTCCAAGATCTCGACACTGATGAAGAAGTCCATTTCCACCAGATTGTGACCCAATTCACATCGCTCATGAATAATATAGTGACCCTGGCAAAGGATTTTGATGAATATAACGAACGTGTTGAACAAGGACTAAGTCAGGATTACCCATGGTACATGTACTACAAAAAGTTGCAGCACTTTGCCCAGTTCAAAGTGACCAATTACAAGCTCTCTCATTTGGAAAAGGACTTGAAATTGACGGATCAAGATTACACGTATTTGGAGAATAAGGACCCACGAAAGAATGTCAATGCCGATGCCAACTTGGTCAAACAGACTCAAGAAGAAGGGCTTGCCTCAAATGGACTTAAAGGTATTTTGGATGGCTGGAAAAACAACAAATTCTACTACAATTCGGTGATTTATAGTGTGCCTAAATTTAGTGTTGAGCATAACAATACTTGGTATGATGAGCGCTTGACCAAGAGCACATTCACTTATTTGTATGCGGCGATTGATGATGATGATTACGAATCCACTGCAAAGTGGTTTGTATTGATTTACGAAAAGTTGACAAATATACAGTATAAAATGACTTAGGGGTGACGTGGTTTATGTATAGACAAAAGTAAATAAATGGCTATTAATGTAAATCAAGTGAGGGGAACGGGAAGTTGTTGATGGGTATTGGCTAGAGATATGTGTGAAGAAACAGAGACGCGCGAAATTGTAATTTATAAAATTTTGGCAGCCAAAATTTTAACACACTAAGTTTGAAAATATCGAAACCATGACACCACATGCTAGTTAGGAACTAATCACCGCTGGTTACTATTTTTGGCTGGATTTTGTACTAGCTACATCCCCCCCCCCCCTCCCCCCAAATGGACCTCGTCACCAACCAATCAAAAGGCCTTCAGACCGCCTGGCTCTTGTCAACATTGGGCTCCAAAACGTCTTCGAGAAGTAAGATTATAAGAAAAGATGACTTGTTAAGTATTCTGATTCCTAAAATCTGCAACGAGTTGATCAATTTCCATCGCGATAATAATACTGGCATCAATATAAGATTTTCTTCAAATGTGTTGCATGGAATATCGATCTTGTATAAGTCAAAGACCATGCAAGTGTTGACCGAAGTGGCCCACGTTCAATTGAGATTACAAAATGCGTATCGTCAATTACAAACAGGACAAAATGACCAGTTTGCGAAACCAAATGGGACTCGGGCTATTTTGAAACGTTCAGATTATTTGGAAAATGATTTCACGTTTCATGTTGGGTCAGATTTGATGCCGAGGCTAGAGTTACCTGAGTGTGGGATGGCTGATCTGCCAGAGGTGAAGCGTCGCAAATTGAAAATTGCTGAGTTTGATTTACACGAATTTTCGTTGTTTGATAGCACAACTGAGGATAACACAACTAGTGTTACTGGGGTGGGCCCTTTTGCATTGGTTCTTGGAAATCAAGCTGATGCCAACTTGGAAGACTTTGAGTTGTCAACACACAATCATGAACTTGGAAAGTACAAAGATGATGGCGAGCGTATCAATTTACAGTTTAACGAAGACGGTGATATCTTGGAAATCCAAGGTCAGGATATGGAGGATGTTCGTGGCTCATCTGAAGACATAGAAATTGAACAGTCTTGTAGAACCATGGAAGATGTGTCATTAGAGTTGCATGCTAGAGATGGTATTGTGGAGGACATCAAGAACCAAAAGAGTTTCCACGATGACAGTCTGGATTTAAATTTTCAAGTTACACGGAGATATGAAAGACATGGTACTGAATCACGGTCGGCTGTCGCACCTGTTGGTCTATTTAGTGTTCCAAATCGTAAGCTAGTGGTTGATGAAAACATATGTTTGACACGAGAATCAATACTCACTAACCACGACAATTATGCCACAATCATGAACTACCGAGCTTCGCTAATTCCCCAAAGACGTCAATTGCAACAAGTGTACCAAGAACTCAATGTGACAAACTTTAGACCGTGGACCAATGGCAACACCGGTTATAATTTTAATTCGTCAAGTATCGAACAAAGTATCAATCGTACCATGGGTATATTCCATCGAACAGAAGTAATGGTCAATGAGGCATCAGAACAAGCAAGAAATTCACAATTACAAATGGAAGTTGAGAGGTCGAGGCTTTTAGAGGATACTGAGTTGAATGATGATTTGGAAGATGTTGCACAGCGCGAAACAGATGAAGCCGGGATGAATTTCGATGCAAATATCTTGGACATGGATTTCAATTTCGATGAAACTAGTAAAGAAGAAGAAGATGAAGAAGATGAGAATGACATCTTTCTTCCATCAAGTAGTTTCAGTTTATCCGATGGCGAGAATAATTTGCAGCCAAATTTGATGCCTCGATTAAGAAAGTTGATTAAATACTTTATTCAAAAGCTGATGGAGTTGGGCAAGCTGGTTGATTCTCAGGAAAAGAAATATCAGCTTACATTCAAAGAGTTGGTGCCATTAAGAGATAATGAAGAGGTAAACACTAGACGGATTGCTGCTGGTGTGTTTTCTAACGTCTTGTTTCTTGCTAATAAAAACATAGTGTCGATCAGTGTGGAGCCCCAAGGGATTGAATCTTGGAAGAGTAGTTTGCTGAAGCCAAATGGTATCAATTTGGCTTTAACTTTTCCTTCCACGACTTGATGTGGCTAGTTGATAGGAGTATTAAGGTTCCGTTTCTTATTTGTTTTGGTATATACAACTCTTTCCCTCTGTTTCTTCTTTAACACCCCTCTGGTGATTCTACATACTATCAAATTCAGAACTGTTCTCTAAAGATTCTATCTATATATATCTAAATAGTTTGTTTTAAAAATGAGCTGCTGGCAAGTTCAAACGAGCACCACCATCGACTGACAAATCAACCCCGTTGATGTAGTTTGCCTGCTTTGAGCACAAAAACAAAAGAGCTGCCTTTAAATCTTCTGACTCGCCCAACCTACCACGAGGGTTTGTTTCTGTCAATCCCTTTCCTGCCACTTCAATTAAACCATTGGCCATCTTTGTTGGGAAAAACCCTGGCAAGATTGAATTGACATTGATGTGTCTTGGTGCAAACTGAACTGCCAAGTTTCTTCCCAAGTGAGATGCAGCAGCTTTAGAGCCAAGGTATCCGTAAGTTCCCACAATATCGTTAGTAGCCAAACTAATGATGGACGACATGATGACAATCCTTGATGGGTCTCCAACCGAAGCTGCCTTCTCCAACAATGGAGTGAACAACTGAATGGAGTGGTACACAGCAACAAAGTTCAAATTAACAACCTTCTTGATTGCAGCAACGTTGTGATCCTCTAATGGAGCACCCCAAGTAGCACCAGCATTGGCAACTAAAATGTCAATCTTGTCGACTCTCTTTTCCACTTCTTTGGCAAAGTTCTGGGCTTGTTCCTCTACAGCCAAGTCGGCTGGAATTGCGACAACCTCAACCGACTTGCCGTTTTTCTTTGCTAAATCTTCCAAGTGCTTCTTAGCCTCTTCACATGCTTTGGCTTTACGCGAGGTGATAAAGATTGTTTTGATTCCGTTTTCAACAAAGGCTTCAGCGCAGTAAAGTCCTAAACCACGAGTTCCACCGGTGACGACAGCCACTTTATTATCGACGTTTAATTGCATGATATAATTGATGAAATTGTAAAATTCAAGGAAGAGGAAATTGTTGCTAGAATATTGCTTTCTTTTTTTTTCTATAATGGAGAAGAAAATAAAGTGGGGCACTGTTTTCTCCAGATTTTCTCGGTCCTAACTATTCAACCGAGAAGCATTTCACCGTTTCGTATCAAAATCAAGGGAGAGGTAGCGTGGGATGTCACTTGTGGAACTTTCCAGCGAAGAGCTAGCACAACTGAGATCTGCTTGATTATATTAGCTACTTTCCAGAAATCTACCTATATATTATTCTAGAGTAATATCGGTGCCTGTAACGGCAATTATCTAGGCAACTGTGCAGGAATTAAGATGTGTATACTGGAAATTCTATAAAAGTTGTATCTAGTATAGGGCAGACAAGAAGGTGTTGTCTTCAAATGGCAAGGGACCTTTCTTCTTTCTCACAAGTGGAAAAGACCAAAATTACGACTCATATCCTATCTTCGGATCTAGGGGGTCTGTGGTCCTAGTTTTGAACACCTGGAAGGAGTACCCAATAACCTTTACCCGGAGATTTGTAAGGACTTCAACCTTAGACTGTGCATAGCATATACTAAAAAAATGTGCCAAATCATTACCACAAATGAAATCCCCTTTCTTGGTAAATAAAACACCCGGGCACACTAAAATAGTACAGTACATCCACTACAAAGTCAATTGAATGAGATACTTAATTCTACAATGTTGTAATGAGTACCTATCATTTTAAATTTCTTTGCAGTAAAAATAACACAATTGTTAAGCGACAAGAAGGAAAAGAAAAATTAAAATCTCGTTATTACGTACCACGTTTATAAATAAATAAAACCACACAATTAAAATCATCTTGTTTTTACTTCTTTGTCTACTTTTCTTACTCATCAAAAGTTGTTTTCAACTGATAGCTGCTTATGAAATTCGCTGAGGCCCTTAGTGATGGCTTAGTTGCAGAATGGCAAGACCAATACGTTGATTACAAGGGTGGTAAAAAGTTGATAAAGAAGATTCACAAGCTCAAGGACGAGTATGATCAAGAAGCAGCCAGCTTGTTAGCAGACAAAAATAAGGATGACGGTACTAACGACGATAGAATACCGCTATTGGACTCAAATGAACTCGGGAGACGTGATGGGCCATACGCTAACGATGCAACACCATCAACCGCTTCAAACACTCGGAGTGAGAATAGGAGACCTTCAGTGTTTAACTATTCACTCAAGTCTAGTAAGACAGATTACTTTACCGAGAGGAGAAAGTTTCAACTATGGCTTGATGAACAGTTGTTGAAAGTGGATGAGTTTTATTCCGAAAAGGAGCAAGATGTCTATGAACGGTTTTTGTTATTGGAGGATCAATTGTATCAAATGAGGGATCAAAAGAACCAGGTACAGCGACAAAGGAGGCAGCATAATGTGAATGCTCATGATATTGGGGCGAATGGAGAACGAGTCATTCCTCATCGAGTCAATGACCTAGCTTTTCACACCAAATTTTTCATTAGTGGATTGAGTAGATGGGATCTACCGTCACTTCCTTCAATGGTGTTCTTAAAGAAACTAAGAGGTAAGAGGAAAGCAAAGACTGAGGATGATATATCATTGCATGTTCAAGACTCTGTCGATTTGAATTACGCCGAAAATCGAGTCAGAAATGGTGTTGTTGAATTGAGCGATCATTCGACCGACCAAACTTCATTTGAGTCAGAGTCGGAAATTGAGGAACTTCCACCTTCGGTTCCCGCTGAGCCACAGACTGATGCTCAAGTACGACAGTCGCGAAGACGTGATTATACGCCCAAGAAACAGCATTTCGGAGTTCCGTATTTGTATGCGAGAAAACAGCTAAAGGCAGCTCTCTTGGAACACTATCGAGCTTTGTCAATTTTGAAGTCATACAGAACGATGAATAGAACTGCGTTTAGGAAAATTACAAAGAAATACGATAAAGCAATGCATACAAAGATAATGGAACCTTTTATGGAAAGAATCAATACATCGTCCTACTTTTTAACCAGCGATTTGGTTGATAAGATAATCAACCAAGTTGATGAACTTTACATTGCCTTTTTTGACCCCGAATCAAAAGATAGGAAACAGTCGTTGGAAAAGTTAAAGACAATTGCTTATACATTTAATTCAACAGAAATGAAACAGCCACAATACTATTCTGAATTTTTCAGTTCCGGTATATTCATTGGATTTGGTATTCCGTTGTTCACTTTGGCATTGTATACAGCATTACACAAGACAATCATTGGAGAGCTTCCCGAGGGTCGGTTTTTGCTACAAGTGTGGGGTGGATTCTTTCTTCTTACATTAACATTCCTCCTATTTGGGATCAACATGGCCGTATTTGATAGGTTTAGAATCAACTACAAGTTTATTTTCGAGTTTGATATTGCATCAGCACTAAACTACAAACAATTTTGGTTGCTTCCCTCGTTTGCTTTTGCGTTTTTGTCGCTTTTGGGGTGGTTTAGTTTCAATAATTTTTGGCCTTATCAATTTCCAGGCCGAGACTGGCCATGGATTTTTTTTGGGGTAATGTTGGTGCTCTTTTTATGGCCCACTAATGCATTATATGGGTCAAGTCGACGCTGGTTACAATTTGCCTTGTGGAGACTACTCTTGTCGGGACTCTACCCAGTTGAATTTAGAGATTTCTTCTTGGGTGATATTGTATGTTCACTAACGTACACAATGGGGAATCTACCATTCTTTTTCTGTTTGTTTTCGCATCATTGGAGAGGAACTCTTGGTGGTCAACCAACTAGTGCAAATACATGCACCTCATCAAGGTCTAGACTAATGGGATTTTTCAGCTCTTTGCCAAGTGTGTGGCGGTTACTACAATGTGTGCGTCGTTATATGGATACTGGAGACTGGTTCCCCCATTTGGCAAATATGTTAAAGTATTCGGTGTCTACTGTGTACTATATGACGCTTAGTATCTATCGTATTGATAATAGTGAGAGGAACAGAATTGTGTTTATCATTTTTGCTGCAATCAATTCAATATACTCGTCAATTTGGGATATTGTTATGGATTGGTCGTTGTTGCAAACAGGGTCCAAGCATTTCCTATTACGAGATTATTTATTTTACAAGAAGCCATACTATTACTATATAGCCATGGTTGCTGATGTCATTTTACGATTCCAATGGATCTTTTATGCATTTTTCACTCATCAGATTCAACAAAGTGCAGTAACTTCGTTTGGCGTTGCTTTGGCGGAAATATTACGTCGATTCATTTGGATATTCTTCCGGATGGAAAATGAGCATTGTACCAATGTTATATTGTTTAGGGCATCCAAAGATACGCCGTTGCCTTATGCCGTGTCGGCTAAAGTTGAACGTGCAGTGAAGAAGTTGGTAGAGTCGAGGTATGATGAGAGGAAATTATCTGACGAAGAGAGGATTTCCGAAGAGAATGTTGGATTCACTACTGGACGTTCTGGATCTAGAGGTGAGGAAGGAAGTAGGAGTTCGGTTGATCTTACCAGGTTACTGACCAGACAATCAATGCCACAGTTGCAACAACGAAAGACTTACTTTAAGCAAATTACTGACCGGTTGAATACGGCACATATAAAGGATTTCCAGAGAAGAAAGACAACGACGCATATAGACGAGGATTCCGATGAGGATGAGGATGATGACGATGCAAGCGTGACGGGCAAGTCCAATAGAGCCTCACGATTGTCGTCTATACGCGATGAGTGAACCACTTAGTCTCGTTAAATTTAAATACTTTCTATTAATAGATTATACTGTATGATCAAGTTGAGAGTGTAAATGCGTAGACATAGAGCTTTACAAAGTGATTTAAAATCGTTTAGATAATTATTAGACGATATTAACATTTAATTAAACAAAAACAAGGATGAAGAAGAATAGAATTAATGGTTGGGTTTTCGGTGATGGTTACCCTAATCAGTCTTACTTTTCGATCATTTAAGCAGCGTGTTCACCATTGTGTTCATCATGCTTGGCAAATTCCTGTTGAGCAGCATCATCAATTTCAGCTGGTTCTTCATCTTCATCATACTCGTGGTGTAAAGACAAGGTTGGTTTAACGGCAGCAGCATCCAAGGTCCATGAAGCCAAAGCATTTTCGGCATCAATGATAATTTGCTTAGAAGCTTCGTAACCATCGTAAGCTGGTCTAGTTTCACCTGGGGTAACAGCTGAATCGTCCAATAATTCCAAAAGAGCCTTACCGTAACCAGCAATCAAAGCATACTTCTCAGCCAATTCTCTAGTAGCATCAAATTGGTAGTTGAAAGCAGCCTTCAATTGTTCTCTAGTAATGTTACTCAATTGGGCTTCAGCAACCAAAGATTCAGCTTCAGCTCTAACCAATTCTTGTTCCAAAACTGGGATTTTTGGTGATTGTGGGTCCTTGTACTTCAAGTGAGCAATTTCATCAGTGATTTTTTGTTTTCTTTCTCTTGAAGGTTGTACTGAACCTTCGATATCTCTAATGCTCTTTAAAGTGATTCTGTATTGGTCATACTTGTCAATGTATTGGTCTTCCAATTCACCAATTTCGTAAATCAAGACACCCAATTTGTCAGTAACGTCGGAGACGTCATCGTCATTTTCTTCACCCCAAGCACTCAATTGCTTAGCAATGTCTTTTCTTTCTCTTGAAGTGACTTCAATTGATCTCATCAAGTTCTTTTCCATCTTGATGAATTGGGCCAATTTTCTAGACAATTCTGGACCAGTGGCACCAGCAGCTGCCTTTCTAATGGATGAAGACAACCCACCTGCACCAAAAAATCTATTTTTGGTGGATGATGGTGGTGGTGGTGGTGCTTGCAATTGAGAGGCGGTTGGAGCCTTTGAAGATCTCAATGAGTAAGTTCTGTGCATCTTTGAAAGTGTATTATAATGATGGGGGGGGGTCTAGGATTTTAGAAAAGAAAGGGAAAAATTTACTACAAGAAATGGAAATATGAATGACTATTTATAAATGTAATACAAATTGAATTGAATATTAATAGCAAGTGAAATTTTGTCGAACAAACAATCATCAAACACACAACTAATTAATTTTTAAAATTTAACACAATGTTAACAAAAGAATAAAAGAATAAAAGAATAAAAGAACAAAAGAACAATAAGCGCCAGAAATATTTCAGACATATGACTTTCTTCTTGTACGTTTTTTTTTTTTTATTTCACCTGTTTTGCATGACTCTATTGCTATTTTTTTAGGGCAATATGAGTGTCATAAAGTCAACAGCTTCAACTACATTGATCTGCAAAGATGCCTTCTTTTGTATTGCGTTGAAGTCATACTTCGTAATCTGCAATTCAATTGTGTTTTCTCTGTTAATTGTTCTGATAGCAAACTAAGAACATCCAAAAGAAAAAAATTAAAAAAATTAAAAATAAAAAAAATGACTGAATGTCCGAGAAAATCAACCACAGCTTCATACACACATACAAATTGACAGCAAAAACAGAGTTTAACACACACATTGTTGTGCATCATGGGTAATTAGCAGTATGATTATGCCTCCAATCTACACCTTTTGATCGTTTCAAGTCTTTCAGTTTAGTATTTATGACGCACATGACACACTACTAATGTTGCTACCACTTTTTGATTCATTTGTATTTTGTGTGTTTATTTAAGAAAAATATGTGTTCGCTATTTCCTAATTCGGCGAGTAAATTGCTGTTTTAAACAAAATAACAAACAAAAAAATTCATATGACGTATAGGGAAATTTAAATGTATGATTTAGGAAAGTGAGCCGCACGCATATATAATTGCAACGACTGCAATTTGACATTTAAGAGAGAGGCGCAAACCACCCTTCAAATCATACATTTGATAGAGTTGATGGGAAGAGTCATCTCTTTTCCGGGATTCGACCTCTATTAGTACCAAATAAGGTTGTGTTGTCGACTTGCAAGACCATCTTTGATCTGTGGATTGATTCTCAAGAGTTTCTTACTAGGAAGAGTTGCGAGTGAACAGGGTACACTCGGATACAACCCACCAATCCCTCGCCACTTTGTATTTGTAGCAGCTTCAGAGTCATTTTCTTGTGCATTATCGTGCCTCAAACAGGAAAAGTTTTGGTTTCTCTGCTAAGATGAAATGACCAAACAGACAAAGACAATGTCTGGGGCTGCACGCCTCAAGTCATTCAAGTTTCTTTCATACTTTACTTTGCTGTATCCTCTAAGAATCCTCCTGATAAGGCACAACTCATATCGTATTTTCTTTTGTTTCTCGAAGAGCCACATTCTTCTTGGTATGACGTCAGAACAAAGATTTTCTTCGTTTCAGTTTTGTGTTTGGAGTATTTGACAGCCATTGATTAAATACCAATCTGGCTAAGGTTTCAGTAGGTGCAAAAGATCTTCTCGTGAAACTATAATCAATGGCTCGGGCATGATTGGTAAAAAGTGCTAGTTGACCCAACTTTCTCTAGCTTTCCATCATTGCACAAGAAGTCGTACGATGATGCCCAAACAGAAGGAAAGTCACTACAAGAATTGGTGTTAAAAATATATCCAAAAATTACGAGAAATAGATAACAGACACAAGCCAACAGTTTTCTTCAAAGAAGGTGAAGAGATCGATGATATTGAAATTATGATATCAATGCCGAGTGAATCAGCTTGCGTGAAACGAAAAAGAATCTAAAAAGAGCTAGGCTAAAATTACATCTTTATATGCTAATTTAGACACCGCTTAATGCAGTCTTGCTCACCCAAAAAGTAAAATAGTTGTACGGTCTCAGTCTCGAGGTCGTATCAAATCTACATCAAGCAGTTCGACAATACAAGTGATGAACCCCTCGTTCACGTAACTCGCTCACTTATGACTAGCAAACGCCCCATTGCAGAATGCAATAGAGAATCTCAAACTCCTACAAATTGTCAATAATTAACCACCAAGACATTTAACAATATTTTACGCTAAATCAATAAAAACTATACGAAAAAGTTTTGTTACGATCACAATGTTCCAACTGCTATTGTTGTTAAATCGTTCTAGACATTCTTCGGTCTAAAACGAATGCGAAATTAACAATCCACGGTTATTACTGAAACATATAATCAAGTGGATAAAAGTTATTTATTCTGATAATTACTTTCGAAGGGTAAATGTTACGTTTATGCATATTTTGTGTGCGTTCCACCACGGAAGTAAATATCCCTATGGCAAATTACAGCTTAAGGTATTTTCAAGCTCATCTCAAGAGATGAGATGGGATGTCAAATCTGGAATAATATACATATACATTTTATCGTACATTTTAAGAATGCTGTGGTCTGGTTCACACAATTCAAATGGATATTATAATTAGGCCTAACGTTCAACCATATGTTTCACACACAGCTCAGCTAATACTTTCGTATCATATCGAAAACCAAAATAAATTTGTCAAGCTTGATATGTTTATTGACGAATTTCTCAAGGTTCAAAAAAATGAACTGCACTCATGAATGGTTGATCATGGAAATAGTTTACCTTCCAGGGTAAAAGACTAATAGGATCCCGATGGATATTCACAATCAGATCAAACAGGTACCAAAAGAGCCCGACTAGTAGCGCAAGAATTTAGCCAGAAAGAAGATATTCACCTTCCCTAAAGTAACATGTTTTAGAAAGAATTCTGTTCTTGTTTTAGATTTCTTTTAATCTGAGAAGCGTGACTCCAACTCGTGCAAAAATGGCAAGTTATTCTATGGTTTAAGGTCTTGATCTCTAGTATAATACATATTGGTACCTATAGAAGAAGTAGGCTTGATTACAACGACTGGGTCATAGCTTAAGGGGAGAAAATATTCGTATCCGTTACATAATTGTTTTATTTGAAAATTTCACCATAGTATTAATTAATTACACAAGCACTTCAAAAGGATGTCTAGCGCAAAGTCCAAAATTCACTTAATCAAACGCATCAACCAGCTCAATCCACTTTCTTCTTCTTGCTTTGTGGGCCATCTTCACTATCGAGTTTCCTCTTCACCGAAAGTCTCACATCCCCAAGGATTCTGTAATAGTCATCTTCCAATGCTTGGTAAGCAGTTTGCAACTTATCCCGTCTGGTAGCTTCATCCAAAGCATCCAACCCTTCTTTGTTTTTCTTGTACAATCTTTTCTTGATGAATAACCTCACGTCTGATTTGGACACATCCTTATTATGCTTCAATTTATATAGTAAGATCAATTCCAAAAGTCTTGCAAATTGTCGTTTCTCCAACTTCAACTGTGCTCTTGTTTTATTAAGCCAATCTTGATCAATGTTCTTGGCAACAATCTTGTCATAGTCAAACCCCAAATCACCCAACCGTTTCAAATCGGCTCGATCCCTCATATCATCAAAACCTTCATTGGGATCTTCAACTACAATTTCGACAATATCGTCATTAGTCAACCAATACTTGCAAAGATGGCTATAAAACGATTGTCCAAGTCCCTGTCCTTGGTATATTGGAAGGATAATAAATTGGGATATTTTGATCCTAACTTCTGCTTTTTCATCATCAAATGCTTTGGCTCCCGGGTACTTCCAGTAATTATAAGCAGTGGCGAATCCAACAACAGATGGTTCTTTATCCTCTGGTGTCTTTTCATAAAGGACATAAAGATCCCACAACTCATCTTCGACATCAATGAATGAACCTGCTTCAATATATAACAAAACAAGAATCTGTAGCCGTTTATGTAACTCAACCCCGGCTGCCAGTTTTAGGTTAATCTTGTATACCTCGTATTCAACATCATCTTGTTTAAATGTATCTATCTGATCACCTGGTATCTTGTAAATTTTCTTTTCTTCGTTAATTGAATCAACCCAGGCAATTTCATCTTTAAACACGGTACTTTCCGGAACATATTTGTCCATAGTGGCTTTCAAATCAACCAACTCGGGATCATCCAATTTCTCCTTATACTTGATATTGAGAAATGGCTTGAACGTGTAGTGGTCAAAGCAAAGAAAGATGTTCAAGTCTTGATACCCATATACCGTCTCGGCATCTCCAAATATCGGGTAGGTAAACAATGGTTGGAAATTTATCGCTTGTTCGCCATTTGTGACAAACATCTTGAGTGCATCATTCGATGATATTGTCCATAATTCAGGATGCAACGATGCTGCCGATATCTGTTTACTATTCTCTAACGACATGCTTTGCTTATAAGTTAACTGGGGTTTGGTTGAGAAAAAGTTTTGTTGACGAAATATTTATCTTTTGCAAAAACACGCGCGCGCCAAAGAACAAACTCCAAAAGCTAGCTGCTCTTACAACTCTCTACCATAACGTTCTCTATATTTACAGAAGATACACATAATTTACCCTAAAACAACAACTAAATCACCAGCATCAACCATATCACCATTCTTGTGATAAATCTTTATAACTTTGCCTCCCCTTGGAGCATTAACCATCATTTCCGTCTTCATGGCCTCAACAACAATCAATGGCTGATCCTTGTCAACGTTATCACCCACACTAACAAGACTCTTCCAGAATCTACCGGAGAACTCCGAGTAAACCATTTCAGCGTTTTCATCAAACTTTTCATCTTCTTGCACTTTAGTTCCACTTTGCTCCAATTCACTATTTGAAATTTGAATCAATCTGTTAAACTCCTCCAATTTTTCACCACCTTGCGATTTCTGAAATTGTTCAATTGATTCAGAGTTGGCTTGAATCCATTGTAAATATTGACCATGGTCGAAAACAGAATCAATTATATCAACCTTGAATTTTCCCACATTCATTTCCTCGGAAAACTTGTCAATTTCAGTCTCACTAACTGGATAAAATTCAATTTGATCAAATGGAGACAACAACCATGGCTTGTTCACGTCATTAGAGTGCTCACCAAGTGTCAATTTATCCCAAATTGGCACCGTTCTACCAACCAATTGGTATCCACCTGGTGACTCCATGGTATAGATACACATATAATTACCTCCGATACCAACAGTACCATTTGGTGTGTACGTTCTTGATGGGTTGTACTTGGTACCCAAAAATCTGTGTCTTGGATCTAATGGGACAGCACATGGAGCACCAAGGAAAACATCACCCAAACCCAAGACCAAGAAACGAGCAGTGTACAACATATCCTTGACATCGTTTCTGGTAATTCCATTAATGTTGGCTATGAAATCAACATTGTTTGGCAACCAAGGAGCTTCACTTCTGATGGTTTCTTGATACCTCTTGACGGCATCCAATGTCTTTTGATCTTCAAATGCCATAGGCAATCTGACAACTCTAGATTTAACTCTCCACTTATTGATGAAAACCATTTCCTTTTCATAAGCCACAAGAGTGTCCAAGGCTTCCTTTTGGGTAATATCGTCAGTAAATTCAACTAAAACTGATCTTACACCTGGTGACAACTCGAAAATTCCCTTTGGTTTATACTGTTTTACCATCTCAACCAACTTGTGAATTCTGTAAGCCTTGTTCAAATCCAAAATGTTTTCTCCGTATTCAACAAGAATATATCTATCACCAGCCTGACGGTAGGTAATTTTAGGCGAAGTTTCAGAAACTTTAATTTGACAAAGAACTGGCGTTTCTGGATGCACCAACCCATAACTTTCAACGTCTCCTAATTCTCCTTTCAAAGACTCAATACCTGCATCTTGTTGACTCTTCAATTGCTTGGCAGAATCGTATGTGATAGGAATGAATTGGATTGATTCGCCTGGCTTCACTTGACCAATCTTCCACAACTCGGCTTCAGCAACAACGGCTTCACAAACAAAACCACCCAAACTTGGACCATCACATGTTAAAACAACTGGTTCGTCACCAGTAAAGTTTACTGCTCCCATGGAGTAGACATAATCGTGAGCATTTGATGGGTGTAGACCAGCTTCACCTCCATCAGCCCTTGCCCATTTGGGTTTTGGACCAATTAATCTAACACCAAATCTGTTTGAGTTGTAGTGGACTTTCCAAGTTGATGAAAAGAATTCAGAGACTGATTCTGGCTTGAAAAAATCGGGTGATCCATGAGGACCACAAGTGACACCAATTTGCCAAACTTTGTTGTCGTAGTTTGGAATAAGGGATGATGGGACTGCTACTGGTTTGGAAACTGGTGGAGCCAACGTGCAGCTTGAGATTTCCGGCTGTCCTAAAAACAAAACATCTCCAAATTTTAAAACTCTTCCGTTGTAACCTCCCAAGTTACCCAAGGCAAAGGTTGACCTCGAGCCCAAGTATTCAACAACATCGACACCACCTCTGATGGCTAAATATGCACGACAACCACTGGTCAACTTTCCAATAGATAAAGTATCGCCGCTTTTGATTTCAATTGGTTCCCATTGCGAAACTTGCTTGTCATTAACCTCAATAGGTGCTTTACCACCAGTTACAGCCACAACACAATCTTGGTGGAACAAAATTTTTGGACCATTGAGTGTAATTTCCATACCTGGAGCAGTGCTATCATTGCCAACTATTCTGTTTGCAAGTCTGAATGAGTATTGGTCCATGCATCCTGATGGGGGAACACCAATATTCCAGTATCCTCTTCTACCTGGGTAGTCTTGGACGGTAGTGTATGCACCAGGGCTCAAGATTTCAATAGCACGTGGTTTGTATTCATAAGTATCCAACACCTTTGTGGCAACTCTGGCCTCTTCAAACATCTTGGAATTTGCAATTGATCGAAGGTAATCAACGTTGGTAATACATCCATAAACGACAGTTTCATCCAAAGCTTGGCGCAACTTCTTCAATGCATCATTCCTATCTTTTCCATGAACAATAATCTTTGCCAAAGTAGGATCATATTCAGCTGAGACTACAGTACCCTTCTGAACCCAAGTATCAACTCTCGCCCAACTAGGAAATTTGACTTCAGTCAATTGACCAGGTGAAGGTTTAAACCCCTTTGCCGGGTTCTCAGCATACAATCTAGCTTCCATTGAAGCTCCTTTGACTTCAATCTTTTGTGAGAAATCTGGTGGAGTGTCAGCCGCAATTAAAAGCATCCATTCCACCAAGTCTAAACCAGTAACCATTTCAGTGATTGGATGTTCGACTTGCAATCTGGCATTGACTTCCAAAAAGTAAAACTCATCCCTTTTTGGGTCGTAAATGTACTCAACAGTACCAGCACCTTTGTAATTCATTGAAGCGCCCAAACTTTCACCGGCTTTTCTCATTCTTTGACGTGTAGCTTCAGGCAAGTCAGGGGCAGGTGTTTCTTCAATAATCTTTTGGTTTCTTCTTTGCAAAGAGCAATCTCTTTCACCAACGGCAATGGCATTACCGTTACCATCACCCAACATCTGAATTTCTACATGTCTGGCATTTTCAACAAACCTTTCAAGAAAGACACCAGCATCACCAAAGTATGACAATCCTTGGTGTTGTACTGTTTCAAAGACTCGTTCAATGTCCTCTTCCGAGTCAACTTTTTGCAAACCGATACCACCACCACCGGCAGTTGACTTAACCATGATTGGGTATTCTAACTTGGCAGCGATTTCTCTTGCCTCCTTGGCATCTTTAACCAATCCAGATCCGGGAACCAATGGGACGCCAGCTTTCTCAGCAATTTCACGTGCAGAATGTTTCAATCCTAATTTTCTAATCGCATCACCCGATGGTCCAACAAAAATAATGCCTTCTTTACCACAACGATCAGAAAAATCGGCATTTTCAGACAAGAATCCGTAACCTGGAATGATAGCCTCAGCTCCCGAGTCCTTGGCAGCGTTTATGACTTTGTCAATATCAATGTATGTCTGGGCAGCAGTTGTACCATGCAATGGAATCGAGACATCGGCACTAGTAACATGTTCGGCAAACTTGTCAGGATCTGAATATATGGCAATGGACTTTATACCCAATTTTTTTAATGTCTTGATTATACGAACAGCTATTTCACCTCTGTTAGCCACCAAAACTGAGTTGAATGGCTTTTTGTGGCTTTTTGATTCAGCAGCAAGGTGTTCTTGGTAATTTTTCCATCCACCGTATTGTGAGATATCTACAGTTCCAGGCACATTATAGCCAGACTCTTCACAAATGAATGACTTGACCCATTCGCCTGATGCCAACTCTGCAGATCCAATTCCCAAAGGCTCAGGGACAAAGTTAATAAAGGTTCCAAATCTCTCCTTCGGTATGGAGTAGATTTCGACTGCGATGTTGGCACCATTTTCTTCAACTCTTCTCAATCCTGGTTTTGCCACTGGACCAGTTTTTGGTAAAGCATACAATTTATACTTTTTTGAAGTGGCTGTTGATTCAACAAACCTGGCATCAACTTTTTCTAGTTGCCAGTGTAGTTGAAAGCCTTTTAAGTGTGCGCCAACAACGGCCAATTTAACTTGTTCCGATGGAATAGTTTTAGGAATATTTGGAAGCAACTCCTCGGCAATAGATGACTCAATCAATTTCTCTTTCAAAGCACCGTAAAAGAATGGTACAGTTTTTGAGTATGGGACCATGTAGCGACTTGCCAAATCTAACAATGCATAGTCATTGAATTTGTGAGACAACAACGTGATACCGAAAGGTTGTCCATCTTTTCTAAAGCCAGCTGGGATGGCCAAAGCAGACATATCGGCCAAGTTGACAAAGTTTGTATAGGTTCCTTGGCATGAATTAACTTTGACTGGTTCGGCAAGTACTTCTTTAATTTTTGGGTTCAAAGGTGCAGTTGGAACAATGATTGCATCGACATCCTTCAACAATTTTTTAACCTTTTGCAAAATCCTTTGTCTCTTGTACTCAAACTCAAAACATTGGGCAGCTGAGTAGTGTTCACCACCCTTGACAATATTAATCACAGTAGGATCCAAATCTTCAGTTGGTGGATTGGTTGCCAAAAAGTCACGCACAGCGACAAATCTTTCTGTTACCCAGGGACCTTCATATAAGCACCTGGCTAGTTCAAGCAAAGGCTCAATGTCTAAAGACACCAAATCAACTCCAACGTCATTTGCAAATATCTCGACTGCTTTGTTGTATAATCCTGGGTTTTCTGTTTCTCCGCACCATATCAAATTGGTAGGCACGACAATTCTTGGTTTTTTGGAAAACTTCAACAAGGGATTGGTTGGCATTTCTCTCGAATATTCATCATTGTCACCATCCTCCTTGGCCATGATTTCAAAAGTTAACTGAGCATCTTGTAAGGTAGTCGAAAAGATGGATACACAATCTAATGACTTGCATGCTGGCACCACACCGCTGCACGAAAATACACCTTTCGTGGGCTTTAAGCCAATGATGTTGTTTAACGCAGCCGGTACTCTACCAGATCCTGCGGTATCAGTGCCCAATGAGATTGGCACAATTCCTCTAGCAACAACTGATGCTGAACCAGCAGAAGATCCACCACTAACATAGTCCTTGTTGAATGTGTTTGGGGTTACACCATATGGCGATCTTGTACCAACCAAACCAGTAGCAAACTGGTCCAAATTTGTTTTCCCTATTATGATAGCACCTGCATCTCTTAACAACTTGACAGTTGTAGCATCTTTTTCTGGTTTGTAAGCAAATGAAGGACAAGCAGCTGTTGTTTCGAATCCTTTGGCGTCGATATTGTCTTTAACGGCTATGGGAACACCATATAATGGGAGTGATGTTTTATTAGCCTTTGATTGTAGGAAATTCCATTGATGAGTTAAATCTTCAACTGTTGCTAATGAAATCCATGCGGGATCTTCTGGTGCTGTTTTTTGTGATTTGAGGAGGTTAATCAATAATTTAAACGATTGTTGTGGTGTTGAGCTGTAATGAGTTTTCTTCCAGTCTTCCACTGTCCATCCTAAAGTAGAAACCATGTTTGAATGAGTAAATCGTATGCTTTTCAAAGAAAGTAGGGGGTGTGTAAACTTATTATTTGATCAAGGAAATCCTCCAACTTTTATATATCTTCAATAATGTCTTTGAAATCAGCGGCATTTTCCGATAACAAAAGTATAAGGGTAAACAAAGTAAGCTGAAAAATTTTTGATTCTATTATTATGCATAAACTGGTTTAAGCATTTGTGTAATAATCGGGCTGATAAGGAAAAGAAAAAATGTCGCTCTCCAAAAACGACAATTTAGCGCGAGAATGAGAGTGGGCAATAGTAAATGTCGTCTTTGTTAATCCGATAACAAAATTGTCGTACACAGAATGTCTCCCTCGCTCCAAGTCGCCAATTTCCGGCCCACTGGCTGAGGCAAATGGAAAAAGAAGCAATTTATGTTTTTTGTACACAATCGATACAGTAGACCAATTAAGAAAAGGCTGAATTATCTATTGTTTGCAGAGCTCGTTTAGAAGATGACGACACTGTTCATACATATCCCAGCTTTGAGCAGTTGTGTTGCAGAGGTAAAGAGGTCTCGGGTATATCCGTAACTCACACAACTATGAAAGACCCTCAAGAGAGAATTAACGAGGACAGGACTCTAACCTCTTCATGTGCTCAAGCATACTATAGTCTCTGTAGGTCACTCAAAGGCTAATCTAAAAACGTTTTATGCAGAGCTTGCAGCACATCGTGCATAATCAAGTCTTGTATTATAAGTTTTGATAAGCTTTCAGTAGTAGCAGTAGTCAAGCATTTAATAGGAAAGACGCTGATAGCCACCCAAACGTTTCTTGATAGTCAAAGCTTGGACTATGTTCCTTGAACTTGCGCTACCGACTTGTGGAAACTAAATTTCTTTTTGCCTTTTTTTCTCCTTCTCATTGGAGTTTGATAAGAAAAACGGATTTAGAAATTCGTTAGCGTTTATGCGGCCCGGAAAAAATACCGAGACCTACTTATACGTTATCAGCTTATTACACTGGTGCATTACTCTTATGATATCTCACACTAACAAAGAACCCTTCCTTGGCATGTGTCAAAGTTTACGTTGCAACAATTTAGAAAGCACTATGCTTGAGCTTTAGTAATGGTTCTCTCGACAACACACCTAACAGAATGTAGTCAATAAAAGAAGTGCTAGGTACAAAACATAATCAGATAAATATTAATAATACACATATACGTAAAAAAAGTTCTATTTCTTTTCATCAGACAACTCATCATCTATATTGCCGTAATTCATATCAACAGCCTTACCATCAACAACTTGTGGATTCGACAATTGAGCAATTATCTGTGATTGAACAGCATGCATTTCTTCTGGATGGTCATTTTGCCATTGTCTCAACTTATACGTTTGTCCAGTCAAGTCCCAGTAGATACCTCTTGCCGTGTGGTAAAGACTTTGTCTTCCTTCCCATACTGGATACACAATCACTTGGAAAACCGTATACCATATCCATATGAAAAACACGACAACCCAACCAGTAAAGAACTTACGGGAAAAGATATACTTGCTTCCGTATAATGGCATGGGCCATATGACTAGCAAACTGAGGGTTAAGAATAAACAAACATAGACACATCTCTTGAACGCATGGTGTAATGTTTGTTGTTCTTGACTGTAATGTTCTCTTTCTTGCTCGACCAACTGACTAGCATATACTGTGATTGGAGACTTTACTGGAGACAACCTTTCATCATCATTGTAGTTATCTGATTTAGTAGCTTCCATCAACTCTTCCTCTTCATCCACACGAGTGATTCTTGTTTCCAACAACTTCCAATTGAAATTCTGGGGCTTGAAAATAAGGGTAAATAATGGAACTGTAATCAAGGGAAACAACAAAGCAACAACGTTACCTGTCAACATTGAATCATCTTCAAATAAGTTGTCGTAGGAAATAGTACCAAATTTAGTTTTGCAAACAACCAACCACGACATAATAGCCAATCCAGTAGCAATTGGTGGTGTGAACGTAGCTGCATACCAATTCTGTTTTGCTGACAAGATTGTCATTGATGAACTCAAAACAGCACCACCAATAATCACCCCCATCAATTCATACAAGAATCCCATTGAAACATTGGCATAGTAAAGACCAATGGCAAACCCTGCCATGGTATAGGCAAAAACAACGCATGAAATATGGGAAATGAAAATCAACTTTTTACCACTGGCCTTGGGGTTGATGTAAGTTCTGTAAATATCATAGGTGGAGATTGTCGACACAGCAATCAATTCTGATGACATTGCACTGGTAACGGCCATGTAAATCATAATTAAACTTAAAACAGCACCACCTTTGCCCAATAAAGCAGATGCAGCGTTGGGCAATACTAAACCAGCAGCAACTTCATCACTAGTCATGGGTCTTCCTAATGGCCAGTAATCAGTATGCTCCAATGCCAAAGCAGCAAAACCCAAAGTCAATGAGCAAAAAGCGGGAATAGGAAGCCAAGCCAAGGAACCCAAGATGTAACCTTTATAAGCTGAAACTGGATCGGCAGCGAATGCTTTGTTGAAATAACCATTGTCCAAAAACACAGTACCGAAATTGCCAACAATGTTAATGACAAAGAAAATACCACCCGATTTGGAATTAAAAGTCAAAAATGATCCATCGTGGTTACCATCAACTGGTTTGGTCTCTGCCAACTTAGTCACCAAGTCCCAAACAACCCCAGGTGATCCCAATTTGGAACTGGTAGCCCATGTGCTAAAGGCAAAGATGATGATAATAGTAACCATAATAACAGTATGAGCATAGTCAGTCAAGATTGTTGCTTTCAATCCACCAAATACAGAATACACAGTTGGCGAAAGACCAATCAACAAACATGCAGCTACTGGATGCATACCAGTCAAGTCACGTACTGTGGCTGAGCCACCACTCAACAACATAGCAGTGACCAAGATATTTGTAGCAAGACCCCAAAAGATGTAGACGATGTGTGTTGCTGTGCCGTACCTTGCACGTACAATTTCCAAGTAAGTTCTAGCCAGAGGTGCCCTCTCCTTAGCTTTGATGGCCAACGAAGCAAACAATGTGATTTGAACGGTGGCACCAAAAGCATAACTGCAAGATCCAAAGATACCGTTTTTATAAGCCTGTGTCGTTGATGTTAGCAAGGTAGCGGCCCATGTCCATGACGAAACAACAGCAGCACTGATCAAACCCGATTTGACCGACCTACCAGCAGTGGCAAACTCTTCAGCAGTTATAATTTCTTTGTTGTATCTTTTTAACAAGTACGTCGTTAGTATCATACCAAAGGCAAATACCGCACCTAAACCAACCAAAATTGCATAACCTGCACTTTGAGGTAAAGGAATAAATGTAGTGTCACTCATTATTTGCAAAAGTAAGTGTTATTGTCGTTGAAAGTGAATGTATAGTGTCTTCTGTAGAATTGAAAAATGTGAAAAAAAATTGGAAAAGTTAGAAGGACATCTCTATCCTCTTATATAGATCATCTCAACTCCATTGTTTAAGCATTATTGTATGCATTTCTATTGTCTTTAATCATCCGACATGATTCATGGGGCATACTTTATCAATTGTTGTTGAAATTGGTTGCAACTGTTTTATGGTTATTGTTTTTTTTTTCTCTTATCTCTCGACGATTAATAAATTGTTTCAGAAAAACTTAAAGATAAGAAGAATAAAATTTATCATCTGTAATATATCATTGGCTTGTGAATTAGTGTCACTATAGAGATAATGAGTAGTGCAAATACGTAGGAACTCTAATGCTTCAGCCTCGTAATTAAATTTCGAGGCGATAAAAATCCGGGGTTTGCAAATGGGCCAGCTCTCAATTGGCGGTTGCAAAGTAGTTGCAAAAAATTCCTACATTACAACTGCGAGAGACAATTTGGAGGGGCTCAATTATCTAGCTAGTCACAATAAAAAGGGGTGGTTATTTTATTTGGAAGTACTCTTAGCCACTTTGATAAAAACTTTTGCACAGAGCCAATCAAAAATTAAAGGCATTAGGTAAGGCAATATTTTTGTCGTCTAATTTTTGTTTTCTATTATCAGTCCCTGTCATAATCAAAACACCAAACCTGTCTTATTAGGATTGTGTGCACTGATAAGAAGAAATGCCAATAGTATCCTGCATATAAACGGGTTGTGCATGTACACTACTAAGAAATGATTGGGCCGTTAACGCAAGGCATAAATTGAGATGAGATGGCTTTTGTGTAGCTTATAGTTTGAGGCAAATTCCTTAATTTGACAGTTTTTCTATTGCATTAGGATTGGACACAAGTGTGGTAGACTGATTGTGGACTTGAGATGCACCTAGATTGACCAATAAACAAGTGGCCAAACAAAATGAGTCAAATCCCAAGCACTTTCCATAACTAATTAAGGAGAGGAATCTCTGTTGGCTCTCTCGTCTTACCTGTGATAACTACTTTGTACACAAACTTTAGCTTACGGCCCGGAGCAACTCATAACCTCATATCTCTAACTCATTTCAAATTCTGGTCTTGCAAAACTAAGTGTTAAGGCAGATGGTGTTTCTTTTAATCTATATCTTTACGGAGGCAGATACGAGATTTGGCAATTGGAAAACATTCACCACGGGCCGGACAAATTACCAGTGTTAGCCCTTGCTACATTTACGCATTAAGATTTACTTTGAAAAGGATTAAGTTTAGTAATCTTGTTCCAAAAGTGGCAATCTACAGATTTGATAACCGCGATAAAGCAAATTGCTAAATGAGAAATTAAATTCTAAAAATAAATAAAAGATTAACAGCTGAACAGTTGGGAAAGTATTGTATCTTTACAAAAATTTATAAGAAATTAATGCAAAAATATTGCAAAAAAATCAAGTGAAAATAGAATTGTCTCTGGTTTAAATTGATACACACAGTTATATAGATGTATATAGTAAAGGATGGCAACAGTAGTTTTGATATCCAGCTGCTGAATCCAACCTCATTTTATAAAAAAAGAAAACAGTAAAACTATCCATACATATGAATGGTTGTCCTGGGTAAAGAAAATTAATAAAAAATAAAATAAAATAAAATAAACCAAAAAATTGTCCCTCATCGTTATAATGTCCGTCATTCCTGCGCTATTGTCAAAGCACCTTGGTTCAAAAGTTGAGTATTAACAGCTTCGATATGTGCTATTTCACGACTCTTCGACGTACTCTCTGTCATCAACTTTACCTTCCAACTCATTTCTAATTTCTTCCATTTGCATCACTTGCTTCTTCCATTCTTGTTTCTCCTTTTCAGTGTTGGTGTCTTTAATAAAGAATGAATCATCAGGTCTTCTATACGATCTTCCAATTCTATCCCATAACGTAGTAAATTGCCCATAATTGTAATTGAAATATAAATGATGAACAGTATGACAAGCAGTTCCGTTAACCACTGGGTCATTACTCATATAGTTACCATCATGAATCATCACCGTCCAGAAGTTGACAAAGGTGAATAATCCCAAATACAATACCTTATGCAAGGGAAACAACAATGGGTAAAGGTGATAAGGCAAACTCTGAGCCCATCCATCAACAGGGTGGAATGCATGGGAAGCAAATGGAGTACAAACAATCCATTTGTGATGTGGTTTGTGTAATTTCTTGTAAACAGAAGGCCAATGCAACCAGCGATGAATAAAATAAATCAAACAATCGGTGAATAAAATAAACATGGGTATTTGCAACACGATAAATTTCCAACCGCCAGTGTTTTCGTTGATATCCAAATAAAGACGAGAAAACCCTTTTAATTCCAAAAGGAAAAAGGGGTTTGTCAAAGCAACCATAATGGGGATGGCAGTCATTGCACGTTCAATTTCCAACCACATTTGGTTTTTCAAGTATCTTGGATGGTTAAAGATCCTGCGGTCAAACACAAATAAATAACTGAAATAAGCAACAATAAGGTACAATAACCAGCCAAAGATTGTTGTTACCACCAATATACTTAATGATTCACGTAAAAGATTTGATCTCGATAAAATTGAACTCGAGAAATAGTCGCCAGCAGGTAAAAAAGTTGGTTTCAATCCGTAAATTTCTGATTTATTTTGCAAACTCATGATTTTTGAAAATAAATACAAAGGCAAGTTAGCCACATTGACACTAGTAGAATTGAATTGGAAATTTAAAGCACTTGAAGCCGATGAAGAGGCATTTCCAAGTATGGCTTTGTCAAGTGTGTCATAAGCGTTGGCTGAATTTGCAACTGAAGCAGGAAGGAACTGAGACACTGTTGATGAGACTTGTTGAATTAGCGGGGAGTTGTGAATAAATTGGTCAACTTTACCGCCTTTTGGTAAAGCAGAAGCATATAGCCGGTCAAATAAAAAGTAGTCACACACTTCTAATACGATATCCATGTTGTGCTATGTTTGTATTATGTATAAAGGAAAAAAAACACGTGGGTCCCCTTGTGATGCTTTGGGTTTGGTTTTTGGTCTTTTGCTAAAGTCTTTGGGTGCAACTGTTAATACAAAGTGAAAAACAGTGAGTAGTTAGTTGAGTAGTGAGTTAGCTAGGTGTGGTGTGTGGTGGTTGTAGCAGTAGCTGAATAGTAGCTGAGTGTTAGCGAATGGACCTATCTGTTCTTATTCAGATATAAGTGATATATTTATATATATATGAAATAGTATTTCTTCTGTTTATAAATTAAAGGAGAAGAATTCTTTTTTTTTTTATTTTTTTTTTCTCTCTGCTAATATGTTTATACGAGGGAAGTCTCTCTTCTTCTTAATTCCGAAACTGAAAAAGTTCTAATTGGTTATAAAATCAACTGGGGGTTCTCTTCTTTAACTAATATTTTGCAGTTTGTGAAAATAGGCTACTTAAACAGGGTAATAGAACTGATTCCCGGTCTTTTACCCTTGTATTTATATATTATAGTAGTGACAAGAGTTTAAGCGTCTAATGCATGTATTGAGTCTATTGATTTGTAATAGGATGATTTTTTTTTTTGTTTTGAATTCTCCCGTACATAGTGAAATGTGTCAAAACGCGTGAGTAAACAGTTCCAGTAAAAAATTAGTGGAATGATATTGAACTGGTGATTAACTTAAGGAATTATACTTGTACGTATATACGATGGGGAAGATTGTAAGAAAGATTTTCGTATTGCGTATTACAGGATTCATCAACAGGTTTCAGATTTAGTCTTTAAAGCAGTTGTAACGGCCTTTAATCTGTCCCACAAATCGGTAATCTTACACATTAGTAAGGGCAAAAAAAAAGAACCGATAGATCTCCTCTCCCCTCCTTACCCAATTAGTAATAAAGCAACGATATTCACAAAGCTCCATGCTTTCTATTTGTTCTTATCGTTTACATCTCCCTGTCTCAGTTTCTTCTTCTTCTTCTTTGCTGCTGCTGCTGCTCCTCGTTTTCCAATTTTGTGTAACTTCATGTCAACTGCGTCTCGTTCCCACAGTCAAACAGAAAACTTTTTTATACGACGAAAATAAAAAAGAAATCTCCTATTGCCCTGAGTTGTACACGCGATTATTAGGTAGAATAAGGAACTGACTGTAGGAGTGAGACATTATACCATATAACAACACGATCCGCTTACTGCGTGAACTATGCACACCTCTCAATCTATTCTGTAACGGCCCAACCTTTTAATCAATCGGATGTTTTTTTTGTCTTTGGCTGCTCTATACGACCAAATCGGTTATTGGGTTTGTGTAATCCTACACTTAGATTGCAAAATCAAACTTATATGCTACCAAATGACTCAGAAAGAAAGAATCAAGAACAATGGAAACGGTCCTTGTTTTCTGATATTTATAAGAGTATACATATTAGAGCTCTTGTTTGGCATAGTATATGTATGATATCTAATTACTATATACAAGGCTATACCCCTTTCATCGTTATTTACAACAAATCTAGTAGATCTGTATTTATACCACTAGTATTACTAGCATTATTAGATTGTGGTGGCGATGTCGTACTTGTTCTCAGAACATTTGGCAGGGCAGAACCACCCTTTGGAGACAACACAGAAGCATTGAACCCCGGTGGATAATTCCCACCATGCACCAACTGTGAAGAAGAAGAAGAAGAAGCAGCAGCAGTATGATTACCCATCGATGCCGGCCTGCTGTTACTATTCCTATTTAACGATGGGCTTAATGGAGTGGTGGGCAAACTCTTCATCTTGTTTGCTTCTGATGTCCAATTGATCTTACTATTGGACTTCGTCTTGGTGTTATTGGCATTGGCCAGTTGGAAATCATCAAAGTCATCATCATCACCTTCATTATCATGGTATGCAGGTCTATCATATGTGCTCTTCAATCCATCAAATAGATTGGAGGTTGCTGCGCTGTTGCTATTGGTGGTAGTTGTAGCTCCAAAACGCAATGGCGTAGATTGAGTTAAATTAATAGACTTTGGCGTTGCAATTGCAGCTGGTTTACTTCTTGCGGGGTTCAACGTACTCAGTCTACTTGTAGGTGTCTGTGTCTTGGCCCCTGTCCGTGTTGAGCTGGATGATTTCCTCGTTGGTTGCATGACTTCACTCTTTGGTGCAATTTCTGGCTTCTCCGGCGCTTTAATAGCTTGAGATTCCAACAATGTTTCGAAATTAGGTTTTCCTCGCGCATGTATTTGACCACCAGCTCGACCATTGACATGACGCTCAGGTAATTGTGCCAATTTCTTATCCACCATAACCTTTTGAATCTTGTTGATAATAACCATGAATGACTTGAATTCCTTTTGATCACAATCAATGCATTCAAATGATAATGTATAACATTGAGGTATAATTGATTCAACAAGTATCTTCAAATCCAAATTCATATCTTCACTAGATACAACCTTGTCAAAAAATTTCAAAATTCGTTCGATAACTTCCTCATCGCGGTCCTTTAATGTCTTGGTCACTGGTAAGAATTGCTCACTGATTATAATTTTATCAATGGCCCTTGCATCAACAAAATTTTCAAACGTATTTAGAATTTTCAATTTGGTGGTAAATACTGATGTTGCCTGAAAAATTTTAATCAACAAGGGGAACATCGTATTCTTCATGTATGAAAAATCAACCTTGCTAACAAAATTGGGAAGATAATCAAGAAAAGTTTCTTGCAATTCAATTTGAACATCTTTTTGATCTTGTTCTTTTGCCGCTAGGGTAAATACAAGATCCAATATAGTCTTTATAAAACTCATAAATTGTTTATCATTGGTCTTTTCCTGCAAAACATTTAAATTCTTAACCAAAGTTAATCTAGTTTTAACTGACGCATTGATGAGCTTAGTAAACGTCTTTAGTTTCTTGCTCTTGGCCTCGTCTTTGAAAACAACGTCGTAAACTTTCTCCAGTAGTGATGAACTATCCTTCAACAATACACTGTAAACCCGATCTTGGAACGTCAATGCTGATAATGATTTCGAAATTGCCAAGATTATCTCCAACGACAACGAAATCAATTCATCAATGTTGGGATCTATAGACACCGTCTCGTCCAATACAGTCAACTCATTTATCAATTGTCCAATCAACAATGGCAATATCTTCAGCGATCTAAACGCTGACGGAAACTGGTTAAGCAAATCGGTTTGTGTTGTTGGGTCAAATTTAAGCAACCCTCTCATAAACACCAATTTCTCATCAATTGTCTTTGTGGTGAACTCGTCTATAAACCACATGGCTTTAATTATGGTTCCATTGAAAAAATCCGAATCGATAAATTGATCTAGTCGCAATCTGTCATAAGGGTACCTGGCTAGCAACTGTGGGAACAACGGATACAACTTTTCAGGAACTTTTTTCAATATATATTTCAACCCACTAGGACTAGTTCGATGGCTGTAAAATTTCGATTCAAATTTGCGAAATTCATGCTTGTAATCCTGAATACTGTTGGCGTCATTTAAATGAATCAACAAATCAGCATCATCATAATTGTATAAATAAAAAATCAACATCCCAAATGACCAAATGTCATTAGCAAAATCCAATTTTGGCTGCGGATCAACAATCAACTCCGGTGCCGTGAAATTTAAATTCAAATTAGCAAATGGAATAAATGATGACGTATTCATAATAAAGAAATTGTCTCGTTCTTGAGGTGATATCTCATTGAGGTTCTTTAAGAAAGTGAAGCCGGCCAACTTCCAATCGCCCTGATTATTGATAAATATCGATGAAGGTTGAATATTCAAATGGATGATGTTACATTGATTATGAATAAATTGTAAACCCTTGGCCACTTGTAACAACCCCTTTTGAATAGATAGATCGTCCAAATCTTTCAGCGATGCAGTGCTTAAATTACTAATAACCGCCTCAGTAACAAAGATGAACTTAGTCTTTGTCTCTTCCAATGGTTCAAGCGTGGTTAAAACTTGCGGATGTCTCAATTTACTCAATTGATTAATTTCAAACTTGACCAATTCATAGCATTCCTTGATGATCTTTTTCGGACTACTATTCGCAGCTAGCGATGACATTTGACACATTCGGTGAACTTGCGATTCAAATTTCAGCTTATCAAATATAAAGACAGACACTATTCGACTGGTTGACTTGTGTTTTGCAGGATATACAGTCCATGGCTCACTGACAAACGATGGGTTATCCAGAACATTGTACGCTGCTCTAATCCCAGTTTTGAAACCTAAACTGCTTAGCATGTTTTCTGATGTAATGCCAGTAGATTATTTTCAGAGGTCAGCACTGTTCGTTGTCACAATTTTCGTGTAACAAAAAGGATGAACAAGATGAAATGGTGCGGAATTTTTCGAGTGTCGCAAGAAATTGAGGAGGGATTTGCGACATCTGGTTCAATGACCAATGATGGCCCATGTCTGGGTGTTTCTTAACGGGCACAAGAGAATTGTGTTTAGAGTCGTGCAACAAATTTAAGGCAATATTTGGACTACCAAAATTGAATCGTTTCAACTTGCTAAATTATATGTAAATTTTGTTGCACTAAACATGCTATAGATAACGTAGGGATTATTTAAGTATGTGGTGACTAGAGTGGGAAATGGACCTGCTGGGCTTATTACTATGAGAGGCTATCTTTGTTAATATAGTTCTAGACTATACAGGAAGTTTTGAACTCGCATGTTGGGTACCCCTGATTTGAGAAAGCGACATAATAATTTGTCTTTCCCTTTACTTACCCTCACATAAATACATAGGAAAGTCACATCATGGGGTTAAATGAGGATGCATTGTAGGACGGGTCTTTCGATGGGATATAAACCGACGTCTCGCCTCTAAAAGATCCACCACTACCAGGGCCACCACCACCACCCCCTCTACCCCTACCTCTAAACCCACCTCTATACCCGCCTCTAAATCCACCTCTGCCTCTATAGCCTCCACGGCCTCTTCCTCTAAAACTACTTCTTTCATAATCTTGCCCATTTGCAGCAGCAAAAGCGGCTTCTTGTGCAGCTTGTCCTCCATGCTTACCTCTACCAAACTGTCTTCCTTCTCTAAAACCAGGATCCAAATCTATCGATATGCTTTGACTATCTAGAATAGTGGATTGTAGATACTTCATGGCATTAAGTGCACCTTGTTCGGTTCTGTATATGACAAAACAGAATCCACATGGTGTCAACTTGTTGCGATCTAATCCCATTATGATCTTATCTATGGCGCCGCATTTCATGAATAGTTCATGTATTTGTTCCTCAGTGGTGAAATGGGATAAATTTCCAACATACACAGTGCGCGATGTCATTGCTCTTTCAAGCTCACCGTAATTATGTCTTGCCTTCCGTATTAAGTACTGAGATGGCTTGTCTAGCCTTTCGGCTGAGTTGTTGAAGTTGTTCTCTAGCAAATCCATTGGTGTCTGGTGAGTTGAAAAGGTTTGATATTATTTGGTGGATTTTTTTTTTGTGATGATTTTTTAAACTCGCAATACAAAGCAATTTGGCTACGCTACAGATTCACTACTGAAGATACACATGTTCAGATAGAAACTACTTAATATATTAAAATAACACTCTCCATACGCGACTAACTTTGACACTTGATGTTGTTGTCGGAATAAAAGTTAATAAAACAATTGTTGTCATTGAAACAGACACTACTCAATTTCCCTTCCTTTGGTGTAGAACAATTTGGTGTCAATGGACTCAATCTGTATTTGTGGTCCATAAATTTTTGATTGAATCCAACGTCACTAGTATTCCACAATGGTTTAGCCACATAGTTGTGCCAGAAGGTACCATTCAAAGGCGCATCTTCTGGCCAAGTGTGGTCTGAATCATAAAAATCTCTAGCACTATATTCAATTTCCCACTCTGGCTCTTCACCTCCATTGGTGAAGGTCAAATTCAATTGAGTATAGTAGTTGTATGCATTGATGATGTTGAAACTTTCATGCTCAACTTCGTACCACTTCCACGAAGGGTTATAACTAGTAAATGGAGTTACTGATTGCGCAACCCAGGACATATTGATAACATCTTCAGCAACAGCATCCGCAGCAGTAACATTGCTAGAGTACAATATGGAGAACTGATCTCTATGCGTATGACCGTAAAACAAATTGGCAACGGTGTAAGGGGAAAATCGTTCAATGATTTTACCAAAGATTCTCGACTGAATTGGCAAGACGTCATAATTGTTTGGTGGAATGTGTGCCATTATCCAAACTCTTTGGCCCTTTTGTTCCGAGTCCACCAATTCATCAACTAGGAATTTCCAATTTCCAAACAAGTCGGGGCTAGTCGTTTGGTCAATATAAGCCCATAAATTATCAGCGTAGTAAGTATTTGAGTTCAAGGCAATAATTTTCAATCCTCTGTTGGTAACATATGAGAACCCAGTATAGTGGTGTCTCAAATCACTAGCATCCTTCTCATCAAACCACTCATTATTGATCCACAAGTTCACCATGTCATCAATGTTGTATTGGTATGAATTGTTACGATCAAATTGTAATGGGGCAACTTGCGCATAAGGAAACGAGTCGTGATTACCCAATGAAGGCATAATGGTGATGTTGTTTAAAAAGTGTTTAATCAAATTAAAAGCAACAACTTCGGATTCCTTGGTGATATTGGGAGTTGCGTGAACTCCATCATGGTCAACCAAATCACCTGTGAATAAAACAAATTCGAAATTCTTTTCCTCATGCAACTTGGCCACTTCAATTAACGAGTTGTTCATCAATAA